TAATATAATTATAAGGATTTAAAATAGCCCAGAATTAAAAGTAGACTAAATATAAAAGCTTATATAAAGACTTAACTATATATTCTTATACTCTATTAGTATTAAAATCCTACATATAGAATATTATTATTTATCTTATTCTTTAGAGATATAAGGGGCTAGGAGTTATTAGACACAGTATCAGAAGTAGAGATTATACTAAGAGATTTAATTAAAGAATCCTTAGGAGTATATAGAGATTTAGATTATTTATTTATCTACATTAATATTTACTTAATTTTATGATTTATCTTATATAGCTAATTTATCTACATAAACAATATTTTTATAAGATACTCTAAATATAAGAACAAATCAGGATTGATGACAGCAAATTACTATTATATTAATATTTTCTTAAATATTAAAATACTACTCTCAAAGAGAAGAATAGCTAGAGTAGATTTAAATTATTAGAATTAAATACTTCAAATTGACTGCCACACTTAATTATAAGATAGTTAAAACTATCTTACTATTACCCCAAGCATTAAATTAATATAGAAAAAGTAAGAAATTAATAATATAGGATATACTAAATCCATATTTAATAAAATTTTAATAAAAAAGTATAGTATTAAAATAATATTTATCATCAAGAAAAAAGATGAGGCTAAAGAAGAGAAAAGAAAAAAAAAGAAAATTAGAATAAGAAAGATAAGGATTTATATATACTTACTACTAGCATTAATCTTAATTACTTTTTATGTATTTAATCCTCTATCTGATACTTATTATTTACCTTTAATTTCTCTATTAAAAATAATAATTTTATTACAAAACTTAAACTATTAATTCTATATATTAAATCCTATAAGCCTGCAAAGTTTTAGGCTCAGGGACATACTCTTATAAAGAGAGGGATAGCTATAAGATAGAATCTTAGATAGAGTTGGGAATAACTTCAAAGTATAATGGGTATATAACCTTGCCCAGCTTCCCGCCGTTAATTAGACTAGCAGCTTGGCACACACCACCTTATAATAGCAGGTGGCCTCAGGCCTTCATGAAGCAGCGATTAGCTGCTGAGCATATGTGTATATACGTTCTATATTCGAATCTATTCCTAGGCCGAAGCCGAATCCCAGCTACGTTCTTGCAACCCCCGTCACATTAATAAAAGATCATATACTTAAGTTATCACAGTTAATTTAAGATAATAGAAGAAAACTAAATATATAGTAAATAAATATCCTTATATAACTTTCCTCTATTATAGCCATTATAGCTATTTCCTTACACTAGGCTCTGACAAGTCTGATTATATCCATCATAGCTATATACTAACACCTGGCTCTAATGACTATAATAGCTCTAATCCTAATATGTCCTAGCTCCACTAGTGGTATCTTCGGATAATCCTTTGTTCCCACGCGTTAGCGTTCCGTATTCATTGGCTGTGACGTTCTGATTCTCTGACACCTATACCTCTAAAAGATGATAGAATATACAAAGATAGAATATTTTATAGAAATTAAATCTTTTAATATTTTTTAAATTTAGATGCTAGATTAATAGACTATTAATAGAACTTATAATATTATATTTAATAAAAATATATTTTTTAATCTATTCTAACCAATCTGATAATATAATTTATAAGAATTTATTAAGTTTAAAGAAGTATTTAATATTATTTTAAATTTAAAGAATAATCTAGTAGAAGAATTAGAATTAGATAAGAAAATTACTAAGGAACTAGAAAATATATAAAAATCTATTAAGTAGGCCATTTTAAAAATATAAAAAAAGGCCTTTAAGAAATTACATTCAATACACCTTTTAATACTATTGATATTTAATTTTAGACATAAATAACCCTTAAATTCACTACTAAATCAATCTACTCAAAATAAAGAATCTCTAATATCTATATATAATTAAGGAAATACTCACTTGCTTACTTTAGAATCCCTATCTCCTATAGAAGAGACTATTAATATATTATATAACTATAATACTAAGACCAATATATAACTCTAAGCTAAAGCTTAATTATATAATAATTATAAATATATACTTAGATATAATAAAATTTCTGCTACACTTAACACTTCTAATATTATAGAAGGCAAGAGAAATTGTAAACTAAAGACTAAGCTAAATATAAGATCTTATTTTATTGCTTTTAATATTATATTAGATACTTAGAAAAAACTAAAAAATAATTCTTTATATCTACATCAAAATAAGCTTCTTAAGATTCTAAATTATTAGAAAGATCTTTTCAAACTACCTCAAACCTATTATAAAAGATTTATAAAGGCTATAAGAAAGAAATATTATACTTTATTAAAAAAAGAAACATTTAAAGAGATAAAAAAATCAGATATTAATCTAAATTTTAAATATATTAAGATTTTACCCTTATATTAAGTATTTACTTATAAACTAGACAATAATAATTATTTAATATATTATAAGGCACATCTCTACATTAGAGATAATATATAGCTTAACTAAAATAATATTTATACTATTATAATAAGTACAAAAATAATCTATTATCTACTATATCTTATAATTATTTTTAGATATAAAATAAGCTAGTATAATATAATTAATACCTTCCTAAATACTCTAATTAATAAAAAACGCTTCTTTATATACTTTTCTAAAGACATTAAAAGAAAAAATAAATATATACTAAAGCTACTAAGAATATTTTATAATCTTAAATAATCCTCTTAACTATAATAAAAAAAACTAACAAAAATATTCTAAGAATTTAATATAAGATAATGCTCAGATAAGATATATCTCTACTTAAATAAATATCTTATTATCTTCTTCTTTATTAATAATATTATAATACTCTATAAATTAAGAAATAAATATTATTACACTTTATTCTAAAAAAAGATTATAAATAAATATAAAGTTAAAACATTTAAAGATATTAAATAATTCTTAAGTATAAGAATTATTCAGAATAAAAATATAAGAACTATTTATCTATACTAGAATTTCTATATTAAAAAAATTATAAAACACTATAATCTACCTATTAATAAATTACCTATAACACTAATAACTACTATTAAATTAATATCTTATAAAAGTAAAGTAATGTCTTCTTAAATTATACTTTACTAAGAAAAAACAGGATCTATATTATATACAGTAATTATAATAAAATCTAACATTATTTATATAACTTCTTATTTAAGCACATTTATATAAAATCTAATATTAATTCATATAAAGGCTATTAATTATATACTTCTATATCTTTATTGCATAAAATTTTATATAATATACTTTATAAGATTATTTAAAACCAATCTAATTCATATAATAAGTAATATAGCATTTACTAATTATCTAGATTAATATAATATTAAGATCTTTCTTTTTAAGCTATTCAAAGATCTAATTAATTAGATTTTAAAGAAATAAAGAATTATTATTATATTTACTATTAAGGCTAAGCTTCTTACCTTATCTAATATAAGAAAACAACTCCTTTAATAAGAATAATTTTTTAAAGCTATTAAATTCAATATTAAATAAAGTCCTCTTACTATTAAATACAATAATTATTAAATAATATATTTAATGATTAAAAATAAAATAATTTAAACACGCTTTCATTATATTAATATTTATAATTACTAACTACGTGAAAAAGTGCAAGATTAATAGATTAATATATATTAGATTAATACTAATAATATAACTACTAATAACCTTATTAAATCTCTCTTAATTAAGAAGTATAAAGCCTTTATTAAGTACTTAGAATTAATTAATATAAATTATTATATTAAATTTTAGCTTAATTAAAAACCTTATTAGCACTAATAAGATGTCTAATATAAGGAATCTTTATTAGATCTAGGAAGATAGCTTATTCAATAAAATAACTAGCTAGTATAACTTTCTATATCTTTTCTTCTCTTTTTATTAGTTCTTAATTTAATTTTTAAATTTATTACTTTTTTTATTGCTTCTTAATACTATATTTCTATACAGATTATTAGATATTACTTTTTTCTTTTGTTTTATTCTTTCCTATTTTAGATTATACATTAGAGAGATATAACAGCAGATTATAACCATTATTCTAAATACAGCATATAATCCACAACCAACACCATATTTCACAGAGATACACCTAATTAGCCAGAATAGGCATTAGATACATGTCTTAGTTGACCCCTATTCTAATCATAAATATGGCCTCAAGTAACCCCTGAATATTCTCTTTAGTTAGATATGCAGATTATATAGTATTCTCAATACTAGCTAATACAGCGTTCCGAATCCGTTGTTAACAAGACTTTGCGCAAGAAGCTTCCCCAATCATATAATAGATACTAGAAACATCCTTATATATACATGACTGACTTATTCGCACACTATTTGCCCGATGAACTAAGATGTGATCAAGTCTGCAGTAATGAGTTGAGACCGATGTGCTCAGGGTATCTTATTAGGATTCTGGCACCTGCAACGGGTCATATGCAGGAGTTGTTTGAAGTAGAATGCTCGCTTACTCTGCTTTATTCGCCCAACATTTCCTGGAGATATTGTCCAGGTGGTAAAGGACAAACAAAGAATATCAATGTAAATATGATGAATATGTCTTTGCTGAGCCGGTGGACGTCCTTTGCAGTGTTCTAGGCTGTTGCCATGGGAGTAATTCATTGTTCCTTGCGCTATTTCTTTAGTCATGTGACTCTACTCAGCATTCATCCCTCCCAGTGCCTTTTCCTTATTTTTCCAACTCCATGGAACTCCTCTATAAACCACCACACACAAGTCCCGGTCATCTCTTTGGAAACTACTCTCTGTCAATGAGCATCTCGCTCTTCACAATCGTCGTTAATGGTGATACAAAGCCACGCTGAACGAGGCATGGATTCACAAGAACACCCTGTTGGCTCTGCAATGTTGAAACACGGAAGATTAGTCTTGAGGTTATTGATCAAACTTCCTTTGTTCCCCCAGTCAAAGCTTCAAGAGTTGAAGATGAACTCATTATTGAGACCCGCCTTTTGCTCTTTGAGTATGGTGCGCTCATGAATAAGTCCATTGCGCTGAAGATAGAGTTCATCGAAACGAGTCGCTTCGGCAGGGGTGAGATTGGGAGGCTTGGGGATGATAGCGGGCTTAGAGGAGTAACAAGACCAAGGGAGCGAGCAACACGCTATTATCCAACCATTCAAATTAGCTTCACGATATAGACAGTAACAAAGATCATTGTGCGTAACATACCAACTTGAACTCTGGATCATGAGCCTCATTGACTTGCTCAAGAAACTTCTTGACGCGAGTTTCTATAGAAGAGGCGGTGTGATCAACCATGGTTGCCAAAGAGAAACATGGTTATGTTAGTTTTGCTGAACTGAAGTGAAGCAGGCAGACTGAATACACATACCTTCCTATGTGTCGAATAGATTTTGACATAAGTTCGAGTGCAGGCAATAATTAGAAAGGAGTTTCGATCTAAGCAACATAGTCAGCCTTAGCAAGGAAGACACAAGCATCGATGGAAGACATGAGAACCTTACATTTTTCAACATTGCGGTGCCAACGTGGTGTCCTTCTGATTCCATGCCTCGTTTGGTGTGGCTTTGTAACACTATTCACGACGACTGGTTATGGTCGGCTCATCCCAACTTCTGAAGATATCAAATAATTCTACTTATCTATCTGCTCATCAAGGGATCCCTTCTTGATGGCTTACCGGTCAATATTCCGTTGTTAGAAGTCTCGGTCCTGATGAAGCATGTGCGACGTTTAGCTAAGTAGTTAGAAGCACACTAGGTTAGATAACAGCAGAACTATCGTCTGCCAAAGTCTCATCTTCGGATCTTGTAGTCTTTAGGGATGTTTGATTTCGGTTTGGATCCTGAAATTAAACGAACAATTTGTTCGTCCAATTTATCCCTTTGAGGCGAGATAATTGGTTAACCTTAAACCAAGTGGGAAAAAGGGAGAGTAATCATATTAAGTCATTCGTTGACTCAGCTTTTGTGTGTGTGTGTGTGTGTGTGTATTGGTAGGAGCTCGATGAGAAAAGCCTTTGCGATACGTGTCTGTTTTTGGATCATAGGCGCTGAGGACAATTGGAGTATGCTTGAGGCACCGCGGGAATGAAGTCATGAAACTATAGAAAAAGGCCTCCGGCAATCAGGAAAAGCGAATTAGCATGGTCTAATAAAATCTAGCGGCCAATTAGATACTCCTACCCAGCAAGAAGCCATTTTCATCCACGGTATCTCGACAAACCTATCCCATCTGGTCCTCAAGGGTTACCATTCATTTTGCTTCTAAAAGCTTCCTATCAAATACTCACTGCAAACCGCATAGCTTGAAAGTGAACTAATATCACTAAGATGTTGCCACCTGTGCCAAGACTTTGCTGTTGAAGGGTTCGATACTCTCGGATATGCTGGCCGGTTGTCGGTATTCGGAGCATCCTGACGCTGGTGAGGACATCGACAAAGTTGACGAAGCCCCTGGGCACTGGTGGCGTTATGAGCGGAGCTGAAGCTGGTGATATCCGCGAAAAATTGGGGATGGGGCCTTGTTCCGCCTACAGCAGCTAGTTTCAGCTGTGTAGCCGTAGCAACAAGAGCCCAGCTGAAGGTGCAGAGCATCAGTTATGAAAGTCTTGGCCTGGTCAATGCGGAACTATCCAACGTAATAGTAGGCAGTAGCTTTTGTGCTGCTGGGCGGCTGATGGCCTCGCGGAATTTGTGCGTACGTGAAACATCCGAGTTCATTTCAACTAGTTCTACTGTAAGCAGCTTATTCTAGTACGATGAATCAAAGTTGGAGAGAATTGCGCTTGGCCACAGCATGGCGCTGAAGAATTGCTAATTCACTGGGCAGTGGAGGCGAAGCTGGTCAACATTTGAAATTGCTGGTTAATAGACCTGGCTATGTCTTTTCGGATCTCGAACATAAGCTGTACGGAGCACAAGTTACGAAAAAGCTACATCCGTGTGCACAGACGGCGTGGAGACGCCGGATCGTAGGGGCTAGATTGTACAACGTACATACTTTTCATATAATGATCTTCATAGAGTATAATGACAGTAATTTCTGTTTTTTCCCGGACCGGGCAATCCGGAAAGGACGATCTAAAATATCGCCACACGTCAAGTCTGTGTTCAGAAGAGAACGACAGTCAAAGAACGGAGGTAAAATTAAAGCGCGCTGGGCCGAGACACGAATCTTACTCTCGATCATCAGTATGGAGTACTCCGTTTACATATTCCGTATACCTTGGAGCTAGGCGATTTGCCCGGGCGACAGAGATACGAGGTGTTAGGCAACCGTCAAAGCTGACTACGTGCGTATTGCCTTTTCTGGAACACATCAAGCATAATAGGGTGGAGTTTATGAATGGCTTAGATTTATGCTGTTAGAGACGATGAATAAAATATTTATTAGAACGCAATGCCCTAGCAACTTGGCAGGCTCCATATTGAAGCTATCTAAGTGGGAAATTTGGGCCCATAGTGAATTCATATCGAGACTCTCCCTTGTGATCAGCCCGTGGTAAGAAGACATGCACTTTGTTTACTTTTCTGCTTTGTTGTGAGTATCATTTCTAGATGTAGTTCATTAGGGCTTAGGGCACGGAGGACACACGTCTTTGTAATCCCACACTCAACAGAAACGTACGTATTTTTCAACAAATACCTTAGCTAGAGATATTAATAAAACTAGACTAGTTACTTCACAAGAAAAGGAAAGCAAAGAAGAGGGGTCTCTTTGGCGTGCGGGTGACTCTTTGGTGCGTAGTGGCTACAACCCCATTGTGTGTACAGTACCTAGGTATGTTCGAGAGTCGTTAACCGTTCCTTGTACAAAGGAACCCAAGGGAATCCAAAGGAATCCATGTTCATACCCATGCTCATACCCACTGTTCGCGACGGCTTTACTGTAAGGTACGGGTCTAGCTCGGGTGAACGTGCGTCGTGTTATCGGGTCGATCCCTTTATGCATGCAGGATTCGTATTGGCTCATAAATTTTGAGGGCAACACATTTTTGAACCCATTCAATCTTCTCTATTACTAGTTGCTAGCTACTAAATACAAGCTTAAACTTAATACAATCAAGTTATTTAGTTTATCAAAACCTACCTACTATACAAATAGAAGTCTAGATTTCTCTTCAAGGCATTCTTAGTAGATCAAGTATGGCGCACTATTGTGAACACGCCACAAGCTAAAATAGTATTTCTAGTTTAGAAATCTAAAACAAGCTAACTATGAGTGAAATGTGATGTATCTGATATTCTAATTGTTGGTAATATGGCTAATTGCTACTATGTGTATGGTATTTCCGCCTATAACGAGTTGGTTGTTAAGGACTGGACCGGGATTTCGAAGAACTCTAAGCGAGATGCTAAGGATTCTCTCATATTTGTGGAGACTCGATATGTTGCCTAAATATTGCTGAATCTAACTAGTCCAGCTTCAATCACCCCCCGGCGACGTTGACGTATCTAGGTATAAAAGGGGGTTGAAGTGCCTTCGGAGGGAAGATATTTCTTCTCTAGATTATCTCAGTCAAACTTCTACGAGGTATAGTTAAGATTTTTGGATGTTTTTATTTTTCTTTCTTTTTCTTTTTATTTTATTTACCAACTTGTTGTATGCTTCCATTTCCTTCCAAAACTCTTTTTTCTTGTTTCTTTAGAAGACTGATACCGCCATTGATGATAGTCAACTAACGTCGTCAGACCGCAGGCCCCAAGTTTCAAAAGACAAACACACTTTTCACTTCGACATGCCGGCCATCAGCCACAATCATCTAGAGTCCGACTATTGCTATGCATGCGATATCACCGATGTTCAGCTACTGTTCATACAGGCCCAGACAGACAAGATCCAAGATAAATCCAAAGCACGGGTTTTGAGAGATATCAGGACATTTGCGCAAGACAAAGGGGTACAGGAGCTCGATTATTATTTCTTCTGTGCTAGGTTTTTGAAAGATTGTGAGAAATTGCTGGGAGCGGAGAATGTTGTGCCCTGCTGGGACACCTTCAAAGTCTCAAAACAATGCAAAGACCTTGGTGAGTATACCATGAACACTACTATAACGTCGATATTGGATGTTCCAATCAGGTAGAGACTTGGAGGCATAGTCTATTGGATATGGTGCTAATGATGTCGGATCACAGTGGCAAGCAATTTCGACCCTTCAACGCCAAAAGAGGACTCGGAAGAAGAACAGGGTTTCGTGCGGCGAGTGTTCAGAAGTATCGGCCTATATTAAGTCCGGCTTACTTTGTTCAGTTGGATTGAGATGGGTTTGTCTATGGCGGAGATAATTAGGTTGTTGATTCACTGGTGCGAATTTTTTGCGATTCAAAATTTTGGGGATAGAAAAAAGAACAAAGTGTTTTAGTTTGTCGTCGTGTTCTTTGAAGAGTTCTTTTTAAAAAACGATGTTATTTTATAGTTAGGGTTACTGTTCAGAGGATCGACCAATGGCAGCCCATCATAAAAATTACCGAGAAAGGAAAGTCTTCCAAACTCAAATATGACCCAATCAGCTAATCACTCAACGCCTTTAACTTTTTCGTCTGTAACCCGTTAGAGATCAAAGGACGATATTGTTTAATGCTTTGGATTGATGGCCTGTCATATTCCGTGTATGATAAAGAGCATTTGCCCCAAGTCGTGAGAAAAAGTCACATCTTTTCTTGGAGTTTCATGTAAATCATGTCGCTCCATCTATGCCATAATTGAATAATTAACCTTTACACCGGTGAAATCCCTTGTCGAGGATCTCTGAATCGAGTCATAATCCAACGAAACGAGTTCGCAGGTAGACGGGCGAGCAAGAACACTATTGCCGATATCAATATTGCGACGACAATATATATCCAGAAGTTACGACCACCAGGTGCAATGTCCGAATTCATGCTAAATAGACTGCTCGTAAAGCTCAGGGGGACGAAAACAAATGCCAAAAAGGTAAGCCGGCTCACATTTGCTGCCTCTAGAAAGGACCGACGACTATCCGAAACTTGAAACAGCGACATTACAATAGGCAACATGCTTTCAAGGAGTTCAGAGTAACGATTCAGATTCCTCTCTATAGAGGTAAAGTCGACTGATAAGTCTTCAATGTCTTCGGAATACTCCTTATCCCTGTTCTTTGCTTGATGCTCCAGAAACAGCTTGATGGCAGCGATTTTCTGCTGTGATGCAAGGCTTCGGCGGCGCCAAGTTTGAAGGCTATCAAGATCGATATTCAATTTATCCAGGTCTTGTGTATCGACTTGCTGGCCTTGAATTAGGTATTCATATTTCTTGATATGGTAGCTCATGACCGCCAGGTAGTTGTTCCATTCAGCCGCAACAATTTTCAACGGATACACACTCAAGGAGAGCAACGTTGGATTATCTAGATCAAGATTGGCTGGCAATTCTCGAGTCCAGAAATACAGCAAATCCCCCAGGAGGCCTTCACGGGAGAGTGTCTGCATTGCCGCCATTCTGGGGTTTACTGGAACAGGGCTCAAGAAGTCCTCGTATCCACGAAGAAAGTGCTTGATATCAATACTGAGATTAACGCCACTCTTGCGATCATTTTCATTTTCTGATATTAAAAGCCGGTTATGGGAAATAGGCGGGTCCGCTAGTATTAAACCTGAATGATAGTGTTAGCATTGTAATGGTCGAGGCATGTGCAGATGCTACGTTATCACTCACATAGCCAATAGGCACGGTTCTCTGTCTTCTCGCAGAAGTAGATAGAACAGCAATGCTGCACTAGGCCAATACAGGTATTGCGAGTAGGCGGCAAGACCGCCACTTTCCTGCACACATTCGTTGCGCGAACCAATTTTCGCTCCGGCCCGAACTGTGGCGGAAGTTCGAGTGGTCGATGATACTGGACGCTTACATAGTTTTGGCGTCGGATCCTTGAGGGTAGCATTGCCAGGTTTGGTGTCTGAGCGCTAATGGCTCGGTAGGGTGCATGAATGTGCAGCGCAAAGAAGAGGGGGTCAATCTCAAGCGTCGACCCTAGCGTGTTGACCACATCGCGCGAGAGGTCCTCCACAACTAGTATCCGGCCTTTCAAACCATCCTCCAAAGGACAAACCGCTGATACCAAATCCTCCGGCTGTAGCAAACAATATCGCAGGTCCGCGCTTCCCGCGTCGTTGCATACGAAATCGAAGCTTGCTATTCGGCATGTATCTCGTTCAGGAGTCGACTCGGCAAGAAAGCGCTGAATATTTGCAAAACAGGGATTGTTTTGGCTTTGGGCAGCAACGTATGACTCGTAATGGTGCATTCTTTTTCCTGCTCTGGGATGTATCTGGCGTGCCTTGATTTGCTCGACTATCCCTCTCAAGATGGTTGCAACACCTTTTGGGCGGTGGTTCGAAGAATTTTCATTCCTGATAGCGGCATTCCAGCTCAAATACAAGAAAATTGACATTCATCTGCAAGGCTAACCAGTTAGTACACGATCTCATGATATTACTTGCAGCTATGTAAGATTGCGTGGTGGATATACAGCCAATCGACCATATACTCACTCGCTGTCATGGATGCCACTAAAGCAGCCGTGCGGCCCAGTTCTTCAGCCTTGCCATGTGTTTTTTCTTGGATGGTATGCATAATATGTATACTGTTCACCGCTTGATCTCTGAGGCTCATCTCTATGACTGATAAGTACTGCCAACTTCGGGTTGTCAATTTTCGAAATCCAAAGCCATTGCACGATAACTAACAACTTTGTTTTCATAGCCAATTTCAGGCGAGCGCAGCATGGATACCATGGGTTCTGAGGAATCATCCAAAGTGATTTCTGATTTCCTGAGGGGCTGGAATGAATCCATCCACTACTATCATAATTTCGCTAAGGCGGTGGCTGACAAGTGCAGAAGAGCTCTGGAATCTCGGGGTATTGAGGCCGAAGTAACGTACCGAGCTAAGAAGGAAAAGAGTCTGGCCAACAAACTCAATCAGAGGTCTAAGCCCAACCCCTATATTTATAAAGATAGGGAAGCAATTCTGCATGACATTCAAGACCTCGCTGGCGTTCGGATTGTTGTGAAAACGTTGACAGATCAAATCGCCGTTCATTCCATTCTCTATAGGGAGGTAAATATTGAGAAATACGCCCCAAAACAGGATACTCCGACGACTGCGACGAGTCTCTTCTCACGAAAACACAATTGGTACTCTGCAAATCATTATGTCGCTCGTCGGAGGAAGGAAGACTTGGAATTGCAATCGTTCGGGGAGTACACACGAGTTGAAATCCAGGTGCCATTAGCATTTCAACATGCCTTCGCTAAGCTGGAGCATGATATTGTCTACAAAGGGCGTTCAGGTTCGGTCACACTCAAACAACTCCAACTGCTCGATAATCTTAGCGGATTGGTGGGCGTTACCACTGATCTTGCCGATCTTGCCATAAATGAAAGTGATCAAAAGGAAGAACTTGATTGCGGTTCCTTTGAGAATTTCCATCAACTAGGCGTTTGCTTGTCCAGGTTGGTTAAACAATACCACCATCAAGAAGCAGACATTGGCCCTTTAGAAGGGTTGCAGCGCCTGTTAAAATTTCGAGGACTCGACAACCCCATTAGTCTGGGAGATATATATGATCACCTGGAATCAAGTCCTCTCGACATGAAGGAAGCCACCATGAGATCATATGGAAATTACCCACCCCGTGTGTCGGTTCGTGTGATGGATTATATCGTCTTTTCCATTGGGTCCACTCCACATGAATCTGATATTGACCGGTTCTCGGGCAGGGAGATATTAGCTGTCATTGTCAGCACCTTCATCTGGTTAAATGAACTCTTTACCCCCCATATCGCGTGGCTATCTAAGCTGCTTTCCAGGAGCTACAGATATGAAGATGGAGTCAGACATCATGATCTCACATGGCTCAGCAAGACTAGACTGGAGGAATTGCGAGATTCCGAGATGATTGGTGTTGAAGATGAGGAACGACTGCGTAGGATTGCTCGTTGGTTCAGTCACCATACAGAACGGCCGGTCAAGCTTGCCTTCAGCATTTCTAGCTTGGATTCTTCTTTCTGGCGAGATCTCGATAACGAATGGCATCTCTATGTCCAAGCGATTTCCGTAATGAGGATCCTCAAAATGGATGCTGTGCTTCGAACGTGAAGGATGTGAAGCGGCACATTCATCTTAGAAACATGATTTCTTGAATTTCGAGGTTGCCTGCACTTAGAAGGTACTCGTCGTGTTGAGGCTCAAGGCCAGCATGTTTAGTGACGAGGTTATGTTTGGTGTGTTTGTTGTGTCCAGTCTCGCTCCTGGCAGGGTCAGTGCTTCGAAAGCCCTAGCCCTAACGGATGTAGTTATGCATTATGCTTCATTTTAAAATTCTTGATTTCAATTCGCCTTTGCTTTGTTCTCAGCCTTTTTATTTCAATATTATTCTGACCTTTTTAACTCTAGTGAAACGAATGTTCTTAACTCCTCTGACATCCATTGGATAACGCTGTCAAGCTTGCTTTCTCCTCATTATATAGGAGAACTCACTATTATTCATTTATGCAATTTGAAGAATACGAGCACCAAGACGCTAGCTACCTAGTTATTGTACATTAGCCTCGCTGGGGTGTTTCCAGCCTCGTCAAAGCAGGCGAAAGTAGACTAGGCACTATACACTAATATGTCCAATGAACAACACACCGCAACATTGCGGTGAAACGAGTATAGGGTATTAGTTAGCATCCTACCAGCCAATAGACTAATATGTCAATATAAATACGGACTATCAAAATTTAAAATTCAAATCAAAGTTCCTCCATTAGTAGTGCTGAAAACATAAGTATGACAGCGACTAAGAATATGTATGTATCTAGAGAAAATCTGGGTAAAGTTAATGAAGTATGCACATGAGAAATCAGAATGAAAAAGCTATTATATATGCTCGGCAGAAGAGAAAGAGAAAATAGACAAAAAAGCGCTGTTCAAAAGCGAAGGGTCTGAAGCCACGCCTTTTCATTTGCACCAGATGGAGAAGTTAAAAGGTGTTCAAAGCATTCACTGTTCTTTATGCCCTTTCAACTAATTATTATGTAAATCCCGGTCGAGGGAACACCGGCACCGTGCCAAGTCGTTCTAGACCACCCATTGTTCCCTGCTGTCCGCCCACTTGCCATCCCTGGCCAGACTGTTGATTGATGAACGCACTTTGGCGGAATGGATTTGTGCTTCCCGTTGGGTTAGGTTGTAATGGTTGCAGATTGACTTGGGGGGATGGCGATTGTTTTGCGAATGGATTGGTTCCTGTGCGCTGTGGTTGAAGTGGCTGCGCAGCAGTTTGATTCTGCTGGAAAGAAGACGGGATGGGGGGGGGATTCGACGGAACAGCAGTGGACAATCTCTTGGAAAATGGGTTTGTATTCTGGCGTGTCAACGGTTGAGCGGCCTGTTGCTGCTGACCGAAACCGCCAACTGCACCGGTTTGACTTGTTATGAGCATAGATGTTCGGAAAGGGTTCGTCATCTGCTGAGACGGTGACGCAGTCGTCGAGGCTTGCTGCTGAGGGAATGTTGCGACGCCATCCTGTGGGATGACTGATAGTGTGTTCTGAAAGCCATACGATTGAGGTCCGTACCCACCGAAACCGACTCCTGTGGACTGAGGTTGCAGTTGCTGCGGTGTGAGCTGTGGTTGTGGTTGTGGCTGCACTTGAGCGAAGGGATTTGTGCTGTTCTGATTATAACCACCCGCAAACCCAGTTTGCTGTTGGTAAAAGCCTGGTTGAGCTTGGGGCATAAACCCATTTTGTTGGGCGGGAAAGCCAGTTGATTGCGTTTGGAACATTGCCTGGCCAAAGCCGGCTTGTTGAAAATTTGGCTGCTGTTGCACAGGTGCATTTGTGGGTTGCGGCTGATTCGGCTCAATGGAATCAAAAAAATCGATAAGGTCAGTGGCTGGGGCTTTGGTCTCCGTCTTCGGTGCGGGGGCTGTCTGTGGTCTGTTGGATGAACTTGAAATTGTATCTTTTTTGGGCAGCACTGGTGACCTGCCAGCGGAAGTAGAAACACCTCGGCCTGCTTGTTTAGCCCCTCTCTGTAATTGATACTCTCTTCGCCGTAGATCAAAGTCGGGATCTTTCAAATCGTCCTCCAGTAGTTGCGTGAGATCGGTTGAGGCATGTTTAAGGTTCGGAATTTCTAGCCGCGTAGCATACTCGAAGTGTCGAGCAACACCAAGGAATTTCACGACCTCCTCTGTCTGAGAACTAAAAGTCTTGTATATTTTCAATGCGCGTTCGCTATCGGGGCGGGACATCTCAAAATAATGTTCTGGCGTATAATTAGCATTCAAACGTCGTATATGCGAGGTATAACACAGGAAGGTACCTAAAACATTGATTGTCGCCTCGTTCATAACAGAATAGAGAGCCAGTAAGTCCATGGTCAACAGCCGGAATGCCGTTAACGTGATTTCATTCTCAACTTCATCGGTGAGAAGCTGATCAAAATGGTCAGCGGCGGTTACCCGTACTGATCAAAAGGAGGAAGTCCACATACATCACATTTGAGCAATGCCTTGATTTGCCTCTGTACCACTTCTGTTTCTCTTAGCAAGCCCTTATCGACAGTCAATCGCTTTAATCGGCCTTGGCCACCTCGCACGTAATCGGTTTTAGTATCAGCGAATGCCTTGGCGCGGGAAATGAGATAGTCAGAATATCTTCGGATATTATGTCCCTGAGCTTGCACTAAACGGAGGTTAGCATGGGGATAGAATTCTCCATTGGTTCCTTGACTTGCCTTCCGAGAAACTGCTGATAGCGACCTTCCGGGGATTCTCGGAAAGGTATTCAAGAGTGATATTCTCCGCCCCTTCTCGTATCATCAAATGAAGAACAATCAGGGATTTAAAAACAATGGTCCATGTTGAATCGCGCAATCGAAACTGTAACGTCCGGAAGATTTCTCCCACGCCGGCTTCTCCGCTGCGCGTCGCTAGCAGGATATGTTCGATATACTTGGATTTGGGGGGCGCAAGCTGTGAAGATAGCAATCAGTCAATGCCTGTCAGGCAAATCGTACACATAGAGAGAATTGATGGTGGCAGGCCTACTTTGATCTTAGTGGCCCCTTTGACCGACTTCTCGAAGTTTTGCGTCATTGTCTGAACGCCTCCTGGGCGCGCCGTGCACACTTGACGCGATGATTATAGATGCCGCAAGACTTTCAGAAGTGTAAACCGATTGCAATCCGTATCGGCCGAGTGCAAAATATCGAAAGGGAATGGCTGAAGATTAGCTTGAGTGGCCAACATAAGATGCCATGGTCGGTTAGTTGGGCATGCAAACAAAGTCAAGCGATGTGCCCCTCTGGCACGAGGGTGTGGTGAGAAGGCGGCGGGATATAAAGTGTCGAAGTATCAAAGGCGAAGGTCGCACACCAAAGCATAGCAGTCGAGCAGTCCAGAGATGGCGCACAGCATGCGTGAGTATGTGAGTATGCTGGGGGATGCTTCGGGATGGCGTTGGGAAATTGCTGACGTTAGCCCAAGCTGCTTCCTCGGCGTGGCCGCCGAATCTCTTGGCACTGTCGCCCTTCCTTATATGGCAGTTCCACCATACAAAAACTTCCTACTCTGACTCGACCAAGGCCTGAAAGGACACAAGGCTGATGTGGATTATTCTCACTGCAATGAGACTAATTGAGCTATATCCTCACTGTTACCAATGTACCGACTCGATGTCTTCACGTCCACTCCCAGGCTGGGGCGCTGATATACAACGTGCCATCTTCTCTCTTCGGCTTCATTTTCTATCACAGCAGATTTTCAAGCGCTTCATACAGAACTCAATTACAAGAACATTTATATGATACCTATATTTCCTATTTACCTACCTAGGTAGCTAGTACCAAAACAAAGATGCAACCTAGAGATGGATCGATGTCTTCCCACTCCTTACTCAGGTGTCGAGGCCCTATGAACCTTTATACTCTGGGCTGAGGACTACCTTTTTGCAGAGATTTAAGGCATCTATGGACGACACCTTATCCAGAGGCTTTCTTTCTTCACATGCTTGACCCACTACTCAGTCACGTCTCACTACTCAATCTCAACTCGCTTTGCCCCTCTTCCATTCACCTACCTAAATACTCTCGTCACTTACTCTGGTTACCTACCTAGCTCTCAACACCTGTTCTCATTACTGGGTGCTTTCAGGATCCCCTACCTAACCACATATTCCGCTCAGCTCCAATTATCTACTGAGCTCTCTGACTCAGCCTTCTCTTCTCAGCTCTCTCTGCTCATCTATTGACAGTCTCACTCCTCTGGTACTATCTTTGTCACTTTCCCCGCCTCTTCGTTTCATCAAATCCTCTTACGTCAGTTACAAGATGACGAGCAACCCTCCTACTCTAGCTCTAAATTTCAGGAGAAGACGTGTTCAGCACAAATGGACACAGGAGGAGCGCATGCTTCTGTGTTGTATGAAGCGGTTTTTTGATCTTTCGAATAGAGACATTACGAAGATTTTTAACAGTCTCTACGAAACAAAGATCCGTAATGAGGGATTTTCAGACGGCTTGCCAAGATCGACGGTGAACACCCAATGGGAAGACTTGAGACGAAAAAGACATCTTGATTTCAACCTTGTTCATCGAGAAGTAAGCTTCGCACAAGGTCCCATCCACTTTGCTCCTCTACTAGACAAAATACGATCTGCTGCTCGCCGATTACATCTTGGACTTGTTGCTAGAGCAAGGGACCTTGAAATTACGGCCCAGGAGCGTGTAATAGGTTCTGAAAGACGTGCACGCATATCTACGACTATATCAACTCCTGGTCAAGAACGAAGAGTGACTAGTAGTACGTCTCATGCATCTTCCTCTTCAGGCCTATTAAATGATCGACAGCCAGGATCATCAGTTTCAGCGGTGCCTGAGTCTACTGAGGTACGTCTAATTGATCTCTTCTTCCTTCTTCCTTCTTTGCTGAGTCCTGTTACTTTCCAAAACTAATAATAGAATAGAACAGTCAAAGCTCAGATGTTCCCGAGCCAATCACTCGCATAAGGTCTTATGCATTGAAAAACGAGATCCAGCCACCAACTAGACCTAGCAATGTACCGGGCCTACTTTGGCGATTCTCAAATGATGATTCCATGGGAATCAATCATAGATCAGGATATATTGCTGGTGCTTTTATCAACGACATTGGAAATATACCGTCCCCAGAAGAAAGAGCAGCTGAATTTCCGACATGGCTTGAATGCCACGTTAGGCCTCGAAGAATCCCGTCTCCGTTCATATCAAGCTCTATGGATCCCCTTGTACCTATTCATAGAGCATTGACTCGAGGAAAAAACGCCTTTGTGAGCTTAGTTGATTCGAGTCAGGTTAATCCTAGACATATTTTTTATATGCAGGACCTAATGAAGCAATACCAAATTTACACTCCAGGCTACAGAGGGGTAAAAGAATACATCATATGGGGTGCCATCGGTCGAGGGGCAATTGTGATGTCGTTCAGAGCAGACCATTTGATTACGATTGCTAACGAGCATCCCGACATCAAAAATGCTTTACAGCTAGAGTTGATATCAGTTTCTCCTAACTGCAAATCGCAGTTATACAAAAAGATAGCAACTAAAGAATTTGAAAACGATCTCTCTATCGGCAAAGTTATCGGCAAGTTTCTTAGACTCCTTCACTTACAACAAGAATATGTTGAGGATGTTGCCCTTGCTCTTAATAGCTCCTGGTCATTCACTTCTTCAGAAACAAACACAGACTTTCTTCGAGGTGCACGTCAAGCATATCAGGAAATTGCATCGCCTCTACAAAGTCAGACATCCGCTTCTCAAAGTCAGAGTTCTCCTGATAGGCGACCAAGCAATATTGATCTAGGTGACCAGGATACTCACGACTACGTTATAGTCGATCGTCCACAGGCTGATCGAACAATCCAAGATCAGCAACTACGACAGTCCATTGACCGCCTTAGTATTCACGACAATGAAGAACTACCTATACAAAACTACAGCAGAGTCATTGCCGCTCGTTCTCCATCTGTGGCTGCAAGAACTGTAGCGACTCGCCGAATCTCCCTTTTTGATCAGGAATCTGAGTCGTGGGTTGTGATACCAGAGGCTCAGCCCTCTATCAGAGGTAGAGACCTAATATTGCCATCAATTGAAAATGGAACTCCGCCATGTGAACAAACCGATGCCCAGCCGCCTAGTTCTCAGCAGCCCACGTTTGAGACTCCTACCAGCAGCCCGAAAATCAAACGCTCTCGTAGCGAGAGCACAGATAGCGAGTCAACTTTAAGCCCCTCAACACCCGCTCGCCAGTTTTCGAGAGAACGATCCCATGTCGATCGCGTACTTGGAATCGACTGGGCAAGCTTTTGGGACTCAATGCAGAACCATGCCTAGTGAGGTGACTAGGTAGCGCCATTTAAAAAATTGACGTGGACAGTCTGTTTATATCCTGCCTTTTTCTCACTATTATTTGTCGTCTTTCTCGTTGCAGCGCACACGATTTCTTGGGCATTGGCATTGTTATGTGTTCGCTTATCTTAATCTTCCACAAGTTGCCTGTCTGCCATGCTGTGAGTAAGATTAAAAGCCAAGAGAGGAATGAAGAACAAAAGGAGTTATCCCATTGATTTGTTTAATGCATAAGAATAAAAAGAAGTTTACTTTGTACCAACCAGATACACATGGCCGTAGGCTTGGGAACATACTTTTGGAATAAATCTGGCATAGGAGGTCGCAGATTATCCAATCATACATGATGATAGTGGAATCTATTATAATTTTGTTTCTTTGCAATCAAGTCTTGCGAAGAGGGGGAAAGTCAAAAGATCCCCCGATCTCCAGTCCTTCATATTCCCTGATTTTGGTTTCCTTCTTTCATGTTCCTAGCATTGATGTCGTAAAAAAAAGACCCCCACAAAACCCATTTACACCGCAATTGCTGGATTCACAAAAATTCTTTTTTTAAAATTTGTTGAAAGCCTTGACAGCCTGGCCAGTGCGGGGAAGGACGCGGAGGACGTTGAAGCGGACCTGCAGAAGGGTAGAAAGTTAGTCTACTATGCCAGACAACTCTGCCAATTTATTTTTTGAAAGATATTTCCTTCCATGTACAAAGGACAAAGCGTAGACAAATCCACGAGTTGCAAGGGGCAGTTCTGCGGAAAAAGATGAAAAATAAGATAACGTACAGTCTTGCTGAGAGGGCGGCACTGGCCAACGGTAACCTGGTCACCTTCCTCAACACGGAAAGCTGGGGAGACGTGGGCAGCCAAGTTCTTGTGGCGCCTCTCGTAACGGTCGTACTTGGGAACGTAGTGGAGGTATTCACGGCGGATGATGAGGGTACGGTGCATCTTGGTGGACACAACGGTACCGGTCAAGATACGACCACGGATGGAAACGAGACCAGTGAAGGGGCACTTCTTGTCTATATAGATGAACAGTCAGTACTTTGTTGCATTTGGATATCGCGAATCCTAAAGAGTTGATGGGTGCCAAAGAAGATCTTGGATATCTGCATTCAACGCAAATACTAGCACATTGACGAATGTCACGATAGTTGAGTTGATTTTTCCTTTTCTTCCCAATGTATTCGGTATTCGGTCCGCCTCTTTGCGTTGGCCACAGATTCAAGACTTCTTCACATCCCGCACTCCAAGCCATCCACGTGAGAATCTTTTCCGATGAGCTTAATCCATACCGATGTAGCTGCCCTCAATGGCGGTCTTGGGAGTACGGAATCCCAGACCGACATCCTTGTACCATCTTCGGCCTCCCTTTCCAACTCTCTTGCTCTTCGCCTTGGTCTTAGCGTTGGCGAAAATGTGAGGCTGCTTCTGGAAAGCGCGCTCCGACTGGACGGTCAACTCGGTCGCCATGGTTGCGATAATTCAGTCCGACACAGCGAATTCGGTTGTCGAGCTGGGTGAGTTGTCGGGAGGTGTGGTGGTCGTCGAAATTGAAGAAGATTTTGTGCGGAGCCCAGTTTGCAGTGTTAGTTTCGGATATTCAGTGTGGGAGTGTGCGGTAGCGGCACTAGGCCGAATACAGAATAGTGGGTCTCGGCTAGGGCTTTTTGGTTTGTTTACATCAAAGCGTTCTCTGAAGGCGGTGGACGGCGTTTGCGCCGGCAGGGACGCGCCTGCTCTATGGGCCTTTGTTGATATGCGATCACTTCCAACATTCCCTTGCGACTCACGTCTTTACAGCACGCGTTTTCAAGGAACATGCGATCTGCTATCGAATTTTGAATTTATGTCGCCGAGTTAATACCTCTACAGCCCAAACCATGGCGTCGCGCGACCAGGCGGGGAGCAAACGCCCGCGCTCTCGCCAGTCCATCGCCTATGTGCCAAAGAGTAGCACGACATTGGATAAGGAGAATGCCACCACAGATATTGGCGCGATGAAGGGCATTATGGGTGCTGGGAGAACTATGACAAGGGACAAGAAGTCCCGTAGCAAGAGTCTGGGGCCAGGAGGTTTAGATGCTCTTCAAATGTCGAGCGGTAATAGACGGAAGGTATTGAACTTCCTTCCTGCTTGGGCGGAGCGAAGTCGCATTGTGAACATCTTGCTAACCCATGTCTTACAGTCAAGCATGGCCCTTCCTTTAAAGTCTATTCTCAAGCCAACGGTACCGGTGTCACCCCTCCGTAACATTCCTACATTTGATGAAGCACGGAGACGAAATGAGAGCCGCAGCCCATCACCACGCAGACGGAGAGACGTGCCGAACTTACCGCAGGCAGAGGAGGGTATGCTGATTGATTTCTCTACGCCAGCCAAGATTTCAGTGACGGGAACAGAACAGTTGGACAACCCATTTGATGGGTTCAACGCCTCGTCAGCCATCCGAGATGCAAAAGAGAGAGAGGAAAAAGAACGGAAAGAACGCGAAAAGAAGGCAATTCTCGAGCAGCGAGAAGCTCGCCGGAAATCGATGGGTGAGTCGAGCAGGTACGGACCTGTAAAGGTATCATTCATGACTGACAATTACTAGCCAATCGCCGAGTGTCGTTCGCCCCCGAAGCTACACTACACACCTGGAATGTGGTCGAACTTGGCGAGGACTCGACATCGTCATCAACAGCTAACTCGACTAGACGTGCATCCTCGTTAGCAAATTCTACAAATCAGACACCTCCTGAAAACCAAGAGACCTATACAGAAGACCAAGATGCCCCTTTTTCTCCTGTTCAGCTTGGAGAACAGCAGCCGGAATTGTCTTCGAGCCCCTTCAGTGGAAGCTCTGCAGGAGGCAGTGATGGGACACAGAGTCCGGCCAAAGAGGTTGACGTCGACGATGCAGACTCGGATAGCGAAGACTTTGACGCTCAAAGTACGGCAATGAGTATGGACGATATCACTTCTCATACGAATGGCATAGAGCAGATGGATGACTCGAGTACAAGTTCAAGTCTGCGTCTGAACGAAGCATTGCGGCAAGCGGCACGAGAAGCTGGGACTGTGGGTATCGATCTTGAAGATGACGACGAAGTATCCATGGAAATAGCGGACCAGGAGATTACCGGTGCATTCAAGCCCTGGATCCAGAAAGGGCAAAGAATCAGCTTTGATATGGAAGATATGAGCGCATTGCAAGACCAAGAAAATGTCGATTCTTTTCAACGATCGACCCGTCACGAATATTCTGATACGGCTGATGATGTTGAAGATGACTACAACGAGAATGAAGAGCTTAGCATGGAAATCACAAATGCCGTTGGGAAGATTCTCGGGGGCGCTCCTAATCGTTCGAGCTTAGGCTATCGAAAATCTATAGGAGAGCAAACTAATTATGACGAGCAAACAATGGAATTGACGAAGGTTGTTGGTGGTATTGAAAAGCAGCACTCTCCCACGAAGTCAGATGTTGACAGCAATATGAACGACGATGAGGAAATGACTATGGAGTTCACATCGGTTGTTGGTGGAGTGTTAAGTAAACAGGCACCTGGCATCTCGCATTCCAATAATAACGATTCTGCTAGCGTGGAGTCACAACGTAGTGAGCAAGTTGGGCGCGACTTCTCTGAATGGGGTGATGGTGACGAAGACGAGGATGCAGGAATGGAAATGGAATTCACCGGCGCAGTTGGTGGAATACTATCTCCTATTTTTGAGGAGAGAACTGACTCACAAGATGGGCATACCGCTGGCATGGACATCACCGCAGCAGTAGGCAGGATCCTTCCGCCTGGATTAGACACTTCCGATAAGGCTCAGGCAAAGCAACTCATGGAGTTAGAATCCGATGCAGGACAGCTCGTTAGTTCGCCTTTCCAAGACCAAGTGCCACAATCTCCCCCCAAGCCCTTAGCATCACATCACGTTGCTTCCGTCGCGTCTGAGACTGGAAGCCCCAATCTTGCTAGTGTTCGCTCGAGGCGTACAAGAAGAGACTCAGCATCATCTGCTGCCAATTTCTCGCCAATTCGGCAAATGACCCCCAGCAAGCCTCGAACACCAACACAGCACCTGACACCTCAACGCGCTCGTCCAATAACTCCTGGAAAGACACCTCCTTCGAGTAATATAACTTTTAGAAGCGCATCGCCCAAGAAGCTGTTCAGGGAGGAAATCAAAGCCTCAGTGACAAAGTCTCATACTCCTGAACGAAGGAGCCTTTTCGAAGACAATGCGAATGGCAACTCAACTCCGGCTTTTATTTTGCGACCTCATCCAAGGTACTCTTCAGGCCTAGGTGTTGATAAAGAAGGTCTAGGTTCACCCAAGGTTGCCGACATATTGGATCGTCGTCGCTCTATAGGCGAAGATGCACAAGAATTCGTCCCTCAAGAGTCATCACCCAGACGACTTCGCTTTGAAGACCCCGTCAAGCTTCATGAAGAGGTCGATCGTGAGCGAGAAGAGGAAGAGAGTAGAGAGGCAGGAGGTACGCCTGTGCTCCAGGTTTTTGAACCTGACGCTACGTCGAACTTGAGAGATCTTATTTCGAGCCTGACGCCCAAGAAAAGAAAAGTGGGAAACCGGAAGAGTTTACATGTCGGAGCGGCAAAGGGCTTACTAGGAAAGCGACCAATTGAGCTTGATGACGAGGAGGAAGAAGAAGAATCCCCCAAGCGAATTCGTGCTGCTAATGCGAGTCCAGTCAAGCCTGTGAAACTTCCTGCACCCCCAACCAAAGAAGAGACAGTGAGACGTGTGAACCGTGGCTCTATGGGGAAGCCTTTTAATCTTTCACCCGAGAAGCAAGCCAGTTTTACGCCACGAGGACAGCCCCCAAGGCCACGAAGCCCTCTAAAGTCTAGGAGCCCTGTCCAGACATTGTATAGACGGGACAATACCGCGACCGACGAATACCAAATGGAAGGTGAACAAGTTGCCGACGAAAACCAAGAGAATGTCGAAGATGATGCAAATTGGGAGCCAATTCAGCTACAGGACTTTCTAAACTTAACCAATATCCATTTTATGGAACTGACAACTACTAAGCGACGACATACTACTGTCCCAGGAAATGATAAAACTATGGATGTTACAGGTTCTCGGGAGCCGGAAAGGAGAAACATCACTTTCGAAGATTGCGTTGCAGCAGGATTCTGCACGGTGCCGATGCTGGAATTATACCAACATGTGAGTTACCTTTACTATATGTTAATAGTCGCATTCACTGACTCCATATTACCTAGTCTTGTCGTGAGTTGAAGTCATACATTTCCGAAGGACGCCAGATTATTCGCTCGATCGAAGAAGAGACTCTTGCCGAAAATCCTCCACTATTCCGTGAATACGTTACGGCTCGACCTGATATTCGCCTTCTTATGGACAACCAATTTCGCAATGTGAAAACCCATGCTAGACTCCTAAGCAAGGCGATGTGGTATGAGTGGCGAATGAAATTGCTCGAAGGACTCAAGGAAGGACTAGACCGTCATGTTGAGGAGATGAAAGCAGATGATGCTCTACTTTCGCAACAAGAGAGCATCTTGCAGGATGTTGTTCCTGAACTTGTCGCAAGACGCTCCGTGTTGAATTCTGAGGCGACGAAATTGCAAGAAATTGTAGATGAGATGGAGAGTTGTGATCCTGAGGAGCTGCGCATGGCCCGTGAACGACTATCTAATGTCAACGCTGAGATTGCAAGGAAAAGAAGACAACTGGAAGAAATGCAAGAGAATCTTCAGGATAAAACCGACACAATTGAGGCCGGAACAGAATTGAAAATGGAATTCATGGAACAGATTCGCGAAGCGGAGCGAGTACGGGAAGAATGTAGGGGCTGGAGTGTTAAGGAGGTGAATGCTTTAAAGGGTAGGTCCAACTTTACCGCCACGATGCAGTTTCCTTTATAAAAGGTATCTGAGCTAAATGATTTTTTAGATTCTGTCAAGATGTTGGAAATGCAAACTGGATGGTCTATTGTATCGGCTACGAATAAGTTTGAACGGACTGGACCTGGATTGACTCTGAAATACAAGGAAGAGCTTGAAGTCAAGTTCTATCCCAAGCTCTTGAAATCTGCCACGGCATCAGACGAAACCAAGGGGGCAGTTCCCTTTGAGCTCGCATATTCTGCACACAAAGCCGCGCATTCTCTTAGTATCCCGCCGGTCAAATCAGTCATCCTCTCGCATATACGCACTGCTATGAAATCCATCCCGTCCTCGGCCTCAATCAAACAAATCTTCCAATTCATGTCTGACGCTTGGGATTTAACATACCAGTTTGAGGAAGAAATCCGGATCCTTAATTTCTATGGGGTCACCAAGACCGCACTCCTAGACAATGCCGATGCGGGGGTAACCTCGCGCGCAAGATGCATTCTTGTTGGGACTGTTGATGCGGGACAGGAAGCTCGACAGGCTCGAATCGATGTGGACTTTTGCGTAACCCCCCGAGTTGACCAAACTAAAAAGGAAGGCTCTGAAGGGGTAGTCGAGAAGCTGCAGTTATATACTGAGGTGGCCGTGAGCAAAGTCTATGGGTTTCCCGAAGATGGATCACGCAAGAAGGTCCTGTCGGACACGCAGATGCGGGATGTCATTCTACGCAAGCTGGGGAACAAAAGCAAAGGAGCTGACACATCGTTCGGGTTGACGGTCAATCTCGGACAGGGCAGCTGGGGAAGGTCAGCCCAAGAGCTGGCGTTGAAAGTGTTTTCGTGAGTTGGTTGGACGTTGGTTGTCCTGGCGTTTGTTGTTGTAACTAAACCAGCCGGTGTTGACTATTTTGGCGTTGTGGTCACTGTTAGGTGGGGTCATGTGGCGCATGGGATTGTCTAACTGAGTGTCATGGCCGACGTAAAGCGAGTATTCTTTTTTTAAGCCCTAACTACCCTAGTTAGCTTGTGATTGATTATCCCGTAGCCACTATATCATCTGCATTTATGCATACATCTCGAGTTCTACTTCTCTTAGCACGATAAGGGACTGGACGCTTTCCTATCCAGGGGCTAGCGCAGATGCAGCCAGCAAATCACGGAGCACGGAGAGCCCAGTTCCCCCCGATTAATTTGCAGTCCCCACTAGTCCTTTTCTGGGCGCACACAACCCTTTGTGACGCGGCCAGCCAATCACGTGCCCAAGATGGCGGCTAGCGTCGTTTACGTCGTATCATCCGGCCGAGCCGAACCTCTCAATTTTGCAACTCCCCGTGCCGCTGCAGCCGTCTCGTTCTTGATGCTGCTACACACACACGTGTTATTTACCATCTCTTCTCTTTCCTTTTCTTCTGTCCCTGTCTCTCTTACAAACGGAGCGTGGTTCATATCGTTTCTTCTTCTTTTGTCTCTTCTCGTCAAGTAGCATGGTGTGATGGCGGAGCCACCAAGTCGGGGATCTCTTGCAAGCGTCCTCCGACCGGAAGCCCGGAGCTCCTCCGCGCGGCCTAACCGCATTAGGCAACATACAGTCTATACATATACGAGAGAACCGGGGGCAGTAGTTAGGAAGTTAGAATGTGGTCTTTGTATGACAAATTGACATCTCGCCCAAATAACTAGTCAAATGATGGCTCAGAGATTTGTACTCCGTAGCCGTGAGAACAAAGACACGGCCATGCTAGCATTTGCAGTCGATTGAGGCGGCAGGATGCATGATGCCAATGCCCTCCCTTCTTTGAGGCTTGACCCTTAACAGGCTGACATCATTCGAGGCCTCGGGGAGTTGGGCAGATCACTCTCTGCATTTGCGTTTCCCCTCTGGCTGTGGCACTGGCACACTGTGTGACTGGCGAGGGCTGTCCGGTGGCCGTTCATTGGGTAGAGGTGCAGCCACAGCACTATCAGGATTTCGGAGTTGGCACTTTGAAGGGTTATCGACGGGCTGACCGTTTTAGCGCTGATCCAGAAGGGACCCGCTCAAGGCGCTTCTGGCCTCGACCATCGAATTTCCCTCTTACGTACCTACCGCCTGCCCTGCTCAGCCTCCATTAACATAACAAGATTGTCGAAGTGACGGGGGAGGGAGGTTTACGTGCGCCCCAGAACCCAAATGGAAGCATACATCTACCCCCATCATGTACGGCATCAAGGTCCAAGGCGCTTATAAGGGGGCGCTGGATTCGCTCCCGCGAGATTTGAGCAAGAAGGAGAGCAACCCGCCGCCGCAGCGTCATCGCGGGCTGACCGTAAGTTGCTTCCCCTCCATGCTTGCGATGTGGTGTATATGGCCAGTTCTTTTTGCTGTTCGGTTTATTTGGAACAATAGCGCAACGCCAGAAGAGCTGGAAAAGACAATATATATATATATATATATATCCATGTCGGGTGTTCAACTTGCTAACATACCAACTAGATCTGCGATGCCTGCCGCCAGAGGCGATCACGATGTTTTTTCGACATGGCCAATCCAGTCTGTGGCCAGTGTCTGCTGCACGGCACAAACTGTACTGGTCGATCCAGAAAGTCAAAAGTCGAATCTATGAAAAGGTACCCGCTTTAGTCATGCTTGCATCCAGTTTGCCTTGATGCTTCGTTCTGCTTACACGCATGTTTTCCTTCCAGGTCTCGGCGAGCGCGGGAATTGGAGGCCGAGGTACAGCGAATGGAACGTCTCTTGCGATCTGCCGGCATTGATCCTGGAGAAAGCGCGTTGGATGTACACCCGGTAGAGGAGGATGAAGACTTGGATTCGGAGATCGATGGTCTTGAATGCGATGGCAGCGCCCGCTTCAACAACAGTGAACATTCATCTGCGTCGCCAGCAGATCGCCAAAGCTCCGAGTCGTGTACCTCACCGCGATCGTCCTGTAGCGGAAACACTGAGAATTTTAGTCACTCGCTGGTTCTAAAGTCAAACCGTCCCGAAGCGGAAGGCGTGTTTTTTGGTGAGTAGGCTTCGCGGACAAAAAGGCCTTGACGTGCAACATTCTTACATGGCAGAAAGGAACTTCGTCGAGTTATTATATCCTCTCCCAGCAGGGAATTCAATTTATCCGTGACGCGTCGGGCGTAACTGATTTCCCCAGTCGCCTACTATCGCAACCATCATGGTCAACTAGAAACCGTTTCCCTTGGCCCCATAGTATGTACGCCGATTTATTTGAATGCCGCGTCTACAAAGCGCTGCCACCTCGAGCCGACGTGTTTGCGCTATTCAAAACCTATTTTGCCACAGTCAATCGCGTCTTCCCCATAATTAACGAAGAAAGCTTTATGCGCATGGTTGAGTGGCAGTATACTCAACAGACATGTACCGATGTCGCTAGATGGGCCAGTATCAACGCTTTGTTGGCTCTCAGCTTTAGGTATCGAGACAAACGTGGCTCGCGGTCTGATAAGGATACTGATAGGGCGTGGCTGTACTGGAAAAATGCCGCGGCTGTGTATACGGAATTGTCGTTGCGCCCGCATGGAATCCTTGGAATTCAAGCTCTCCTGGCGATGGTACGTGGTCTATGTCCCGAGTCGTTTCGCGCTTATACTAATCACATAATAATTGGCACTGTAGGCGATATTTGCTCGCGTTAATAGTCACTTGATGCTGGCAATTCCATTGATAACAGCTGCCATGAAGGCGGCCCAAGCGTTAGGCTTGCATAGACGGAATTCACGGCTGGATATCAGCCCTGCTGAGCAAGAAACCAGGAGAAGAGTGTGGTGGTGTATATACATTATAGACGAGGGGTGAGTCACCATTGATTGTTTGCTAGTTATATATGCTGACCTGTCATTAGTATCGGTATCAAAACAGGGCGAGGGTATCTGCAACACGCGGATGATTTTGACGTCGAGTTACCAAGCAGAGATCCCGACTCGCCTAATGAGAAAGGCAATGCTTGGGACATTGATTTATTCAGTTCATATTGCAGTCATGCCGTCCTCCGCTGCAATATTTATCGTGGACTGTACGCCACCCAAGCGTTCTACAAGACATTTGACGAGCTGTGCGAGACCGTGGATACCCTATCAGCCCAATTAGATCAATGGAAACAAGGAACCCCATGCCTTGTATACAAACTACCAGACTCAAAAACGCTGGACAGCAAGCAGGAACTAGAAGTTACTGCCCACATCGCGCACAGGCTTGGCTACCTCAATTCAATGACGCTGATTCATCGCATGCCGATTCTCTATGAAATCGCAACGCGGAGACATTCCCATCCCGATAAGGACCCTTTGAAATACGTCTCTGTCACTTCTCGGCATCACAATCTGATCTGCCTGCATGCGGCGCGTGATTCTTTAAGCCTGCTGGATGCATTACCGTGGAAAGATACTGTTTATAATGGGTGCGTAGGCTATCAGAAAAATACTTGATTGTAGACCGAACTAACGGAATATGCAGGATTCTTTTTGATTTTTTGTTTTTTGCGGCATCCATACTGTTCTCGAATATCGTCCAAACACCTTTAATGGCAGAACTTGGACCTGTCGACGAGATTCTGAGATTGCTAAATCTCACAAAGAATTATTTTGCTACTCTTGCTCCCCACCATGGGCAATCCAAAGCTGTGACGTTTATGGCTACCATGACCTCTGTTATGGAACGCACGGCAAAGAAAATCATCGATAAAGCCATGAAAGAAGAGAAGAACAACAACAACAACAACGACAATAACACAAACACAAACACAAACACAAACGTGTACACGAATAACTCAACAACACGCAAAGAAAAACAACACCAAAACATATATACCCCCCCGACACAACAAGCAAGCATTTCTCCTACAACAATCGAGCAAACCGAAGAGATACGGTTTCCAAACACCGACCTGTTCCCTTCAGCGCCATTCTCCGGAGATTCGATATCCGACAACTTTGGGCAAATGGGTTTTGGCGACACAACAGATGCATTTCCGCAGTCTGCCAGCTTCCCGTATATGGCGCCGATGCCCGAACAGAATATGCAGATGACAGAAGCATACGCACATATGTACACTGACCTGTACGGATATGACATGCCGTCGTACCTGACGGCGCCCGTGCCGAATGGAATGTGGGGGCAAGCGGGCATGCCTGATTTCGCAGGCAGCATTCCGAATGAAGCAAAATACGATGCGAATATGACGAGCGATGTGATTTTGGAATACATGTGGAATAACAATGGGTGATTGGGCGACAGAAGAACGAGAGAAAAATGCATCTACCCTCTAAAAGATATGTTATGTCTAGACATTTCCTTTTTTTAATCTGATCCAAGTGAGAAGAAGCAATCTATTTCCTTGATCGGCCACGCACGTGCAGTTCAAGCCATGGACATTGGCAGTCGTTGATGTACGAAGTGTCAACGCAGGTTGACCGCCACTGATCTAGGCGACCAGCAACTTCAACTCTTCAAGGAGGCCCCTTACCTACAAACGAAGCGGATCGTCGTCGTCTGCCAAGACGGAAAGATTATAGAAAGCATGTTTTTCGTGTGATGATTTTGCGAGAGATTTCCTTGTTTTATTAAGATTCATACCTGGTTGGAGGTAGAGCGATACATATACATATCATATACATATACATAAAACTACAATCTAAATATACATTTGTACGGAGTGCATATACGATGATCGATTGCCGCGCGGTTCTCGGAGAGGCGCGGAGATAAGCACTGGCAATTCCTGACTGAGGCATCACATTTCTCCCTAGGTCTAGACTAGTCAAGCTAGTGCTCACTCTAAACTAAACAAACTTCAGACTTCAGTCAGGAGGGACATGACACCGACCGCCAACAACATAACTAACATCCCCTTATTCATCATCATCATCTTAAGCTAGTTATGATATTTATGTACGGCCTGCCAGACCCTGGCCCCATATCTCCACCCGACACAACAGGAGGCCGGCCATGTCGAAGCCCCCTGCGAAGAGGCGCCTGGAATTGGTCTTCACAGATCCGCTAACAAAACCCAAGCCGAAGAGGCAGCAGGTGTCAAAGGCTTGCGAATGGTGTCGCACGTTTCGTATCAAATGCGACAGTCGCTTTCCGTGCACTAATTGCCAGGCTAAGGGGCGGGCATGTAATGTCAGAAATACGAATTCGACGCGCACGTTTTCCGAGGCTCTGAAGTAGGTATATTGGAAAACAGAATTTGATTTCTTAAAAAAAACGAAAAAAAAAAAACGAAAGGTATAGATAGATATAAGGGGTATATGCTGATATTTTGGTTATAGGCGAATTGAGACACTTCAAGATCGGATTAAGGATCTTGAAAAACAGGTCGAGACTGCCAGGTCGCAGGCTCATGATGTTGTTTCAAACCAGAGAGAAACGGCCAAACCTGAGCAGTCGCCAGCATCTGTAAATCCAAATCCACCATTGAACCCAGATCCAGATCCGCCGCAGGAGGAGTGTGGTGCAAGTGGAACCAGAAGCAGAAGAAAAAGTCTGAAACACCTAGAGTCCATTCAAATACGGACTGCCCAGTCTCAACAGCGGCATTATTATGGCCGATCCTCGTCATTCTATTTCATTGGAAGACTGAGCTCCTACCTCGGTATAGCTCCACATCAACTGACCCCCGACGGACTCATGCGACTTGACTCTGAAACTCGAGCGCTTTCCAATGGGAAAGCCGACACAGAACCATCCCATGCACAGTCTAACGTGTTGACCACCGAGCAATATCTCACCCGAGGCCAGGAGGAGTATTTTCTCGGCTTATTCTGGCATTCTTATAACCTTTATTACCCGATTATAGACCGGGAGCAGTTCAAGAGCTACTACCAGTCGCTGTGGACATCCCAAACCATCAGGAAACCATCCGCACTCGTCGATATAGTCCTCGCCATATCCATGCAGTATGCAGATGCGCTTATGCCGCGGGACTATCTATCATTTCGCACAAATATCGAAGGCATTGTCAACGTCAATATAGATGCCGTTGGCACCGGCCGGAAATTCTTCAGGAGATGCCAGCTCCTCTTGACCGACGAGCTTGAAGGCCCGTCCAATACCACCCTGCAATGCCATTTCTTCTCTGTGATTTACCTCTCAAATTCCTCCTACCACAATGTCGCACATAGCCATCTGGCATCGGCGATTAGAACAGGAGTAATTCTAGGTTTGCATTGGAGGCCGTCGGAAACTCTGCCACTGGGCCAGGCAGAATTCAACGGGCGGCTTTGGTGGACTGTGTACGCGCTGGAAATGAAAGTTGCAATGGAGCTCGGACGACCGCTGGCGGTTGATCTGTCCGAAGTGACTTGCCACCCACCGGAAAACCATGAGGATGATCCACATACGTTCGAGGGAACGAACAGGTACACGGCGAATAAGCACTATGTTCAGTTAATGCTTGCTAGTCGATCGGTGCATGCCGCGTTTCAGAAGAAGTATTCCGAGGTTCTCGAGGAATGCAGTCGGGATAAGAACTACATCGGCAACAATGATCAGCATCATCATCAGCATCAACATCATAATAATAATATTAATAACCTTTATAGCAACCCTGGCGCTCTAGAGAAAGTAGCGGAGGCGTTTGCATCAATGGTCCAGTCTTTGCATGCTTGGCGGCAAGACGTCCCTGAGCCACTGAAGACGAAAAGGATGAACGGCGGCGAGCCTCTATCGACCGATCGATCGGTGCTCAACCTCAAGCAGCACGTCCCACTAGGCATGAGCCGTTGTCGACTATTCCTGGAGCTTCTCTATCACAATCTCTGCATGAATCTATACCGACCTTTTATCTGTTTCTATCAGCATCCCGACGGGAACAGGAACACGCCATTCGTGGACGCAAATGCAGCATCCAGCTTGAACCACGCCGTCACCATAACTAGTATTATACACCAAGCATTGAAGCAGACAAATTTCCTAGCGGGCTTTCACGAGGCTTTCCAATGGCAATGGAATGCCACTATTACGCTCGTTGGGTTTCTGGCGGCATTCCCAGCCAGCAAGGCGAACTTGATACCCTCGACTCGCAAGGCGCTGAAATTGGCCATACAGGTTTTTGATCTTATTGGGAAGTATCTCGGTATAGCCTGCAGTGCGGCGAGGGTCACGCGCGATCTTTTTGCGAGGGCAGACCGGTTGGCTTCTTTGCGCAGCAACATTACTGCCAATGCCAATATGACAAGTGAGAATGGGGTCTATTTACAGACTACGGCGAATGGCTTCGCACCGGCGTTTAGTTATACCAGTATATACACGACAGACCAGAATGTTTTGAGTACATGGAATGCTGACGAGCAAGCCGAGTTTGCGTCTTCGTGGGCGACCTATCCGGGTGGAGATGAGGGTTTGCTTGATTGACTGAAATTATCTCGTGATGTATTATGTATATATATTTATATATCTGTGTGGGTATCTAGATAGTTATATCCTCAGTCTTTCTGTATTACTAACTACAGGCTACATTAAGAATATGCCCCCCGCTGTTGGCCAACTTAAAACCTTCCAAGAAAGGCATCGGATTACCGAATACGGCAGTTGACCTAACGTCCTTTCCAGAAGGAAGTGCACGTACTTTGGGTACACGCAGATTACGAGTAATTTTCAGGCTAAAATCACACCATATCTCCGGGCGATTAATGACCCCCTCAGCCCCGCATATTCTCCAAGCCACCAACCTCGGAACACGAGAAGCTGTTCCCGACGTGTAACGGTGACTGGGTTGTTCCACTGGGAACGGATACATCGGTTAGGACGTGTGTTATTGAGTTTGCGGTAATGGTTGTCTCCGTGGGCATCCTCTCTATCGGGGATATGGGCATGGGCATTGCGCGGTTGCTTAGAGCTCATGCATATCAAGTGTTGACCGTGGGTGCTGGGAGAAGGTGTGTATCTATTTTACGCTGTGTTATAGTGAGCCGTCCGTTGATTGCTGCTCTGCAGTCAAGACACGCTTGATCGCATCCAGGCAGCGTCTATCACGGCTCTGCCCACAGACCAGGACTTGGTCATTCAATCCGACTACATCCTGTCAGTCGTGCCACCGCGGGATTCTTTAGCCACCGCACGCCGCATCCTAGACGCAGTTCAGCTTCCCGACACTCCTTCCAAGCGGGCGGAGCGGAGGGACGCGCCCCCAAAGCTGTATTTCTTCGATCTAAATGCTGCTGCTCCGCGGCTCATGCGAGATATCGAGTCCTTAGCCCGCAATATCTCGCTGCCTTCTTCTTCTTCTTCTTCTTCCTCTTTTCCTGTCGTCCACTTTCTCGACGGCGGCATCATCGGCGGCCCGCCATCGTATAATGCCGCAGACGATAGATGGAAGAAACCCAGCATAGTGATATCGGGACCCGTCGACGATGATTTCCCCTCAACATTTGCCCCTCTCGCTGAAACGCTCAACATGAAGATAGTCGGGCCAAAGATCGGATCTGCGTCAGCACTCAAGCTCTCCTTTGCGTCACTGACGAAGGGACTGACTGCCCTGACCCTGCTGTCCTTTGCAACGGCGCAGTCGGAGGCGGTGCTGCCAGAGCTACTGGAACATCTGAACGAGTACGCACCCACGACGGCGGCGCTGACAACCGGTGGAGCGGTGAGTATGGCGCCCAAGGCATACCGTTGGGTGGAAGAGATGCGTGCGATTGGCGAGGCCTTCGACACAGAGGGCCACTGGGATGGGCTGGGGAGCAGGGTTTATGGAGCCTTTGCTGAGGTGTATAGGAAGGTGGCCGAGGACACGGTGCTGGGGGAGGAGAAAATAGGCAGGCGGCAGCGCGGGCAGTCCGCGGAAGACGTGGCCGAGATTTTGGCCCAGGCTAACCGCGGCAAACCGAGCACGCAGTAGGACATACAGACTACATGTACATATACGTATACGTATCCGTACTACATAGTTTAGGTAACTTGGCCACAGGCAGGCCGAAGCTGTTACCTAATCGAAACGACGTCGTGCAGGGGTTTCTCAGGGCAGCTAATCGACAGCGTGTGAGGTTAGGGCATGGATGGGCGGCGGCTGTATTTGGCGTTCGCAAATGCCATCGCCAAAATTACTCCAAAAATACATATGCGGTAATGGCGTTACGAGCTTAACGCGCCCCCGCGGCGGGCCGGCTGCGGGCGCTGATTGGCGCGCAGGCTGCCAGAATCACGACATTTCCCCATTCCATGAAACAATCGACCAGAGCGGTTTAGCCCGGACGTGCTGTAACTTAACTTGCAAAGGCATCGATGGATCTTCCACGCACAATTCTGCATCGCGAGCGCTCAGCTGCTTACATGTCGACACCCGATCAGGGAATAACGTGATCCCGCGGTCTCGTGCCAGCTGCTGCGTCGGAAGCTCGCACAAAAGTTGTGCCTTTGCAAGCGTGCATCGAGAAGAAAAACACACGCTCGCTTGATCTCTCTCTCTCTCTCTCTCTCTCTCTCTCTCTCTCTCTCTCTCTTCTCTCCAACACGTTATTATATTCATTGTCATGGCGGAGGACCGTCGCCAGCCGCCGCCGCCGCCGCATCACCATATCCCGACGACCCAGGACCCTCTGAGCTCTGTCCGGCTGCAGCATTTCAACTATCTCTCGCCCGCTGCCAGTGCCGGCCCCCAGGCTTCTTCCCAGCAGCAGCCGTCGCAGCATTTCCAGTCTTCTGTGGCTCCGGCTCCTGAACGGCGCCATTATTCTTTCGACACAGACACGGAGTCTCAGCGCTATCCGCTTGGACCTGTGCCTCCCGTGGACTATGATCAGACCGAGGGTCTCGGTGGTGTGTCAGTGAGCTCGTACGACAGCATTGACGACGACCGGATTGATCCTGCCGTGCGTGGGTATCCTTATCACGGTGAGAACATCCCGTCTAATACATCTATTCCATTCACACAGCACACACAGCTTTGCTTTCGTCCCGGATAGCTCTTAACCGTTTGCCTTTGATCGTGTATACATATATCGTGTATTTAATACGTGTCAAACAAATATAGCCGCATCTTTTTGACCTAGATTAAAAATATTCCCTTTTCTTCTGTTTTCAATTATTCCTCTAGACTAACGGACCGCAGGTGAAAAGCCAATCAACTACCATGCACCCGACCACGGGATTTCATACATGACATCTTCGCTCTACCCATCCAATTCCTCGTATCCTGTCGAGGATGCGGCGGGCGGCGGGTATGCACGTGGAGACCGCACACCATCCGACATATCATCATCCATTTCTCCACCCAACGGCCAAATCGGCAACAACAAGTACAGCACCATCCCGCCGGGCGAGCGACTGGCTCGTGCCCTAAGCATCGAGGAACAGTCCCGCCTGGCCGTGGAAGAGGACAAACGCCGCCGGAACACAGCCGCCAGTGCCCGATTCCGCGTCAAAAAGAAACAGCGCGAACAGGCTCTGGAGCGTGCGGTGCGAGAAGCCACTGAGGTCAAATCCTCGCTAGAAGCTAGAGTGACACAGCTGGAAATGGAGAATCGGTGGCTGAAGAATCTGCTGACAGAGAAAAATGAAAACCTCTTATCTCGCTTGGCGGCTTTGCAACCTTCGTCGTCATCCGAAGGGAGTGGTGACAAGTCGGACGATCATCCTCATCCTCATCCTTCCCCTTCCCTTCTTCCTCCCCTGGCTTCTGCGTCTAGCACTTCGTTGACTGCTGAGCAGCAGCAGCAGCAGCAGCAACAACTTCCAAAGAAGTCAGATTCGTCCAATGCCACGGCACAAAAACCGATTAAGCCGAAACTTGCCGTTGGCGTCGGGACTGATGATAAGAAGTGATTCAATCATCACCATCTCTGCTCTTCATTATGTGTTTTTTTTTTTTTTCCTGCGGGGGTCTTCATGTGGAATATATTACTCTTCTCATTTGCTTTGTTCGCCCATAATCCATCACTTTTTTATATCTCCGTGCCGTTACCGACCTGAATGGAGTTGGCGTGTGTTTATATACTACGAATCACTCAATGGGTTGGAGTGAGTTATCTCATATTTATCTTCATTGTCCTTTGCTTTTTCTAGGATTCAGGATGAGGCTGTATCTATCTAGTGTTTCATTGTTTCTGTGCCTTCGGTCTGCGTGCGGGGGGAGTGTGTGTGTGTGTGTCTGTTGCCTCCATTTTATCGATCAGTAATATGATACGACGCTACGAAAATGCGAATGCAAATGCAAATGCAAAGCAGAGGACTATCGGCCTACTCCGGTTTACGTCTGATATGCTTTGTGTCTCTCATCTAATCAATCCTTTGGTATCTGTACTCGTATGCAGCGTCATAAGGAAGCGTGAGTATGCGGGGCTAACCGAGCAGCGGTGTAGACTGATGATGACGAATACATATATTAACTACTGCGTAGTACAAAGTACTAATGTCCAGGGCAATGATAATAACTCTACAAACAGTGCAATAGTCAGGAAGCTTCTTATTAATAATTATTAAACTAATCAACTAGTGGAAATCGAAGACTAAAGACAGACAAGAGTAACCTTACATACAACGATAAAACATTAATCAGTTGCCAGGACTGACAAAAGGGATCGGACAAGCATATATAAACAAAAGGGAAAGAAAATCGTCCAAAAACGCCTGTCTGGTTGCTTGTTCTGTTCTCACCACGAGTAGTCCTGAGAATTAAGAGTGGTCAAACAGGAGTTAACTAATAGATCGCAAGAGTTCCCTTTTGCGAGAAACAAGAAAACAGCAGCAGCAACAACAACAACACATTATTGACACTGTAATTGAATTAATGTCCATTGGCCCATTCAAGCTGCGACAGGCTCGCGTTCTTCAGCGCGTCCACGGATTTCTCCGTTGGCACCGCCGCTGTGCGCAATGCTTCCATCATCTTCCACAATGCCATCCTCACTCACGTCATCTTCATGGTAGCCGGCATGCTGGTCAGCTGGAACCCAGGTATCTTGGTCCTTGAGAGACGGCTCGTGTTCGACATCATCACGCTTGATGTTGTTGCGGCGTCGCTGAGACAATGTGCGTGACCGTGTGGACAGGTTGGACCGAACAGCTGCGCCAGAGGTGACCCAGTTGGTGAGGGCATCCTCACAGTCCTGGATAATAGCCTTGCTAGCATCGTAGCCATCGTATGCCTGGCGGGTTTCGCCGGGAGTAACGGGGGTGTCATCGACCAGCTCTAGCAGATGCTTGCCGTAGCCAGCAATGATAGCAACCTTTTCGCAGTGCTCGCGGAGAGCATCGAACTGGTAGCTAAAAGCCGCCTTCAACTTCTCGCGGGTAATGTTTGACAACTGGGCTTCGGCGACCAATGACTCGGCTTCGGCGCGGACCAATTCCTGCTCGAGAACGACGATGCGCGGGGAGTTCGGGTCTTTGTACTTGAGTTTCGCGATCTCGTCCGTAATTTTTTGTTTGCCTGTATTTATTTGCCTTGGTAAGATAATGTTCTTCGTCTAAATTTTTTTGTGTTTTAAGATCATCTCAAAAGGAGAAAAACTTACGGTCTCTGCTTGGCTGCACGGACGCCTCAATGTTGCGAATACTCTTAATAGTAAGACGGTATTGGTCGTAGCGGTCGACAAACTGGTCCTCCAGTTCACCGATCTCATAAATCAGCACACCGAGCTTGTCCGTGACATCGGAAACATCGTCATCGCCGGCTTCGCCCCAGGTAGAAAGTTGTTGCTGCCAAAGTTAGCATGTTCGCTATGAGAAGGCGGGGAAAAAAATAAAAAGACATACAGCAACCTCCATCCTTTCCCGGCCGACCAATTCCATACTCCTCATGACGTTCTTCTCCATCTTGACGAGCTGGGTAAGCTTCTTCGACAGATCCGGGCCAAAGGCGCCCGCGGCGTTCTTGCGGAATGCATGGCCTATACGGGCCATCTCGGTTAGCATTGAGAGTCCCAGGCGCAGGCGCCACAGCCTGACTGTAACTTCTGGCGAGTTTGAAGGGGCAATGATCGTTCCGAGACGTTCACTTGCAGCCAAGACACCGGGTCCGACGACAATGAAGGTGGTGAAACTCAATCAATTGGACTCACCAAAGTTGCTTCGTCCAAACAAGCGACTAGTCTTGGTGCTGGACGTTGGCGGGGGAGGGTTTTCGATTTGCGAGGCAGTCGGCGCACGCGACTGGCGCATAGAGTAGGTGCGATGCATGGCTGCGGCGGGAATTGCGAGGAGAGCAGGAAGGACGCAGTTGGAGTTGTCAGTCGACGGACGTCTAAAGTATGACGGAGTATCGAGGTGTCGTAGGAATAAGTTAAGATTTCTTCTTTTTTCCTTCGCTGCGGTTCGACAGCAGACAGGTGACGTGACAGTGACTACAAGCGGGGAGAGGCCGGAAAAGAAAAGACTCCGACCGTGCTAGTGAGCGGCTGAGCACAACGACGAGCAGACTCGACTGTTTGGGGGAACAGAGCAGAGCAGAACTGGAAATGGCTTATGGAAGTGACGAGACACAAATTTTCTCTGAGGTCGAAAACGATTGCGGAAGCGCATGCAGATTATATAACGACGGTCGATGACTAGCTACCCTGGGGGAGTGACGTCGTGCGAGGGAGCTCTCGCCCGCTGATTGGCCCTTGCTTGCTCTAGCGCAGTCTGCACTAGACTCGCTTTCTTTTGTGCATGTCACGGAATAATAATAATGTTCACTGTTCACTGTTCGCTGTTCGCTGCTATCCATTGCCCAATGGCCACCTCCCTCTTTATCTTTAAAAGAAAGCGAAACAAAAGGCCACTGCCACAGCCATTAATGGCCAGTGATTAAGCATGCCCAACCAGCCTAGCCGAGTTCGGCCATGGACTCGCAGACGTCATCAATGATACGTAGCCCACTAGAGCCCAATCGGGACTAGCCGACCAGCACAGCCCCCGTCGGGCCTCTTTTTGAGCTTCCCAATACAAACTGGGCAAATCTTCCCCGATTCGGTCCAATGAGGATAGCGATCGTCCTACTTTATTCCGGCTGTGCGCCCTGATTGGCTCTCAGCCTCGATTGAGTTTGCTGCCTTGCCTCCATTGGGAATCAGCACCCTCATTCGTCAATTTGCGTCCAAGTGCTTATCCAGATTAGATCTTCAGGCACGAACACACACTTGATCTGCGAGCTATCTTGCCGACGTATGTGGCTGTGCGCGTTCTTAACAAACCGGCAAAGCTTGCGTCACTTAAGATCGTCCGCCCATCTAGGTACAAAGAATTCTCACTGGTCTTTCCGGCTGCTTCTCTTACGCCTCTTCTTACTAGATTCAGAGCGCTCTCCATCATCCTGCGCATCCTCCGTTGTGTTCCCTTCAGACCCCCGCTTTCGACTTTCTGCCTCACTTCGCAGTCGTCCCAAAGCTTTGTCCATGCGGCTCTTGCCCTCGGCGCGCACCCGTGGCGCAAAAGCGCCAGCACCAAGCCCGCCGCTCATATAGCGCGTGATGTTGGACTGTGTTCCTTCCTGTTCTCGTTTGTTCATATCACGAATCACTGGAACCAAAACCTCATCGGTGCGCTCCTGAGACCAGCCAATCGTCGCCATGAGGAACTTTCGCAGGCCATTTAGATCTGGCACGCCCCATTGAAACTCAGATGTGTCACTGTCCACCTCGGGATTGAGATACGCCTCATCGATATGGCGATCGGGAAACGACGGCGGTAGAAAAAGCTTCGACGCCATCTTTTTGAACTTCTTGCGGAACCGCTGGTGAGGATCATTGGGTATTTCGGCTCCCATCTGCACCTGCAACCACCAAGCACGGAATTCGTCAAGACTTGTGAACTCGGTAATGATTTCCAATGCCGTTACCGGCCCTACACCGGGTATACCTTCAGTATAATCGCTCCCGAGCAGGTGAGCAAACTGAATAAATTTAACTCGATCTAGTGCGTATTCTTTCTCGAGGTCGTTGGAGAGGAAGCATTCGACAAACTTGCTTTGGTTGAACATATTTTTGTAAATTCGAGTGCCCCCAAAAAGGAAGGTATCGCTGTCATCCGTGACAATCCCATCTACAAGACCAAGAGACACCAGTTGGGCACATTGTGCTTCGGCTTCCATAGGCGCAGTGATGTACGGTAAACCAAACAGACGGAGAAGCTGCTGACATTCGGCAACCATAATTTGAGACACTTCGTCGGCGTCTCGTCGGTCTTTCTTCTGTTGGTTCCGTAGTTGTTTTAATTCTTGTTCAAAATCTCGTGCGTTTTCCGTCTGTGTCTTGTTGTTGAACGTAGAAACAAAGCGCGCATGCTCCTCTGTCTCTGCAGCGAGCTGTAACATCAGATCTTCCTCTTCGGGGTCAGAATAGTCTCCCTGGTTGCCAACATCAGCACCATCTTGCGCTTCAAAAAGAGCAGTGTCGTCTTCAAGTAAAGAAGTTGCATTGTTTAAAGAGTCCTGTACTGCATTATGAGCAGGCGGGACGACGTCTTCAAACTCCGGAGAGGGTGACTTCGGCTCTGCAACGGTGCCGACTGGCTCTCTCTCATCGTCCGTTGGCTCCCAGTCTGAAAGAGCTTTCTCAGAGACGTCCTCCCCTACTGAAAGAGTTTTAGTAAGAGACTCACGAGGCACTGTGACTGGTTCAGACGGTTTAGGGGGGGTTGTTCGAACGTTTTCGGCAATGTCATTCATTAGAACTGGGTGCTCTGTTGTGACGGAATTCTCGTCCGTGTGCTGGAGTCGATTATCTGGCGTGCCAGTCTCAGAGTCCAGATCGATGACATGCTTAGAATTTGATATCTCATCCACGTCAATGATATCGGGCGACATGCGCTTTTGCAAAGGTTTTAGTTCCTCAAAGACGACATCATCGTAGGTTGTTTTCATAGGCTCTACTTCAACTTGGTCATCTATAAAGTCTTGCTTGATCTCATCTTCTTTGGCAAACCATGGAGGAAGAGCAGCAGCTTTCTTCTTCGCCTTGCTCTGAATACTTTCAGCTTGCTTCTCAAAGCCTCCGGCATCGTCAGCGAGAGGAGCAGCCTGTGGGAGCTCTTCCTTTGCTCGTCTGTTGATTTTCAAAGACTCGAATGGCAACGGTCCACTAAACTTATGTTCTGGCCCAACTTCTGGACCCATGGACTTGGGTTTAGGTCCTGGTTGAGATTGCTTGGATCGTGCCAACGCTGCTGCGAAATCCATTTCATCATCATCACTTTCAGGGCTGCCTTCTGACTCGTGTATAGGTGCCGCAGAAGATTGAACGTCGCTGGTTACTGGCAAAGTTTTCTTGTGCTCATCTTCCTGTGGATTTTCCAAAGACATAGCTATTGCTCTTTGCAGGTCTTCATCCTCATTATCATCAAAGATATCGTCGAGATATTGATCGTCAGCCTCTGCAGCCGCTGAAAAAAATAATGCGTCTTCGTCTTCCTCCTCGGCTGTTTGAGCAGCAACCTGACGTTGCGTAGCATAAGCATCATTTTTTCGATTCGCGGTCTGTCGTCGAATTGACTCATCGAAAACGCCCTTTTGTAAGATAGGAAGCCTGTTCAGGCCTTCGATCGGCACATCCTCAAAGGCATCATCATCATCTTCGTCATCCTTGACTGGAAGGACGTCCGGTTGACCGTATTGATCAACGTCAATTGGTCGGTCTACAGCTGCACCCTCTTTATTTCCAACGACGCCAAGAGCCCATCCACCCTCAACATCAGGATTTTTTACGAGAACATATTCCATCCCACGTTCTCCAGCTATACGTCGACCTGACTCGAAATCAAAGGCAACGTCTGCGCCATTCATGCCGTTGAGATTCATTAATCTCTGAGTAAGATCATTACGTTCCTTAACTCGCTCAATTTGAAACTTGGAAAAGGCCATTCGGTCCGGAAACATCGAGTCGAGTTGTTCTTTAGAATAACCCATTCGCAAGCGGCTACGGATTCGCGCAGCATTTAGAATATTGTAGCGGTCCGTCGCCGGTAGGCTCATGAAAAATGGGCCATCAAAGTCAATTTTAGAAAAGTCATAAAGATTAATGTCTTCGCCATTGTGGAATTGTCGTGCATATTCTTCCAACTCTTCTTGGGACATAATCCGCGGATCATCCGGTCCACCCAGTTGATCAAGCCCGACTTCAAGGTCAGGCAGGTGGTATGCATCCTGCTTTCGAAACTTTCGGTTCTGTTGTTTCTCTTTCGGTGTCATGAATATCTCGTCTACATAAACGGCCTCTCCCAAATCTTCTTGCTCTTCGGCAGCTTCATGACGAGCAGCCGCACGTTTCGCCTCTTCCTCCGCCCGTCTTTGGATCTGCACGGCCAGCAGTTTTCCAGCAGTCCGCACAGCATCCTCTCTTCTGCCCTCTCGCCTTGTCCTTCGTGCTGCGATGGTCTGACGTTTGAGGATCGGGGCTCCACCGTCAAACACAAAAACCGGTTTGATCCCGAAGTATAGAAGTTTGCATATTCGACGGAAGAAGCCGACGACGTGCGCATTCCTCAAAGCATTACCCTCTTTATCTCGCACAGCCTTGAGGAACTGGTAGATCCATATCGACGCGTCGACGGCGAGACGTTTTCGGTTCAGGGTTTCAAGTTTGACCGGTCGCGCGCAGGGTTGGACAACAGTCCAGAGACCGGTGACACCCATGGTTGGGATTTATATCCCATAATACTCGTCGATCAAAATACAATCGCAAAATTCATCGGTAGTCGTCAGTAGAAACTGGGGCCGAATGGGATGTTCGTTTTTCGATGGTTTTTTGAGATGTCGATAGGGGAGCTGTGAGATAATGACGCATTTCTCCCACACGACTTTGTCACGTAGTCACGTGAATCAATATGTCCCGAAATTGCTTAGTGGCTAAATCGATAAGCTTAAAGCCATGACGACGAAGTTATACAAGCCAATTGGCAGAATGAGCATCGCGTATATCATACTATTAAATTTATTGTTGACGCTACAGAAAATTTTGAATAAGATATCATCCGCACATGAAACTTTGCAGCAAACGCCCAAATATCCACCCCCAATAATCAATCAAAATGATCTAGTCGTGATACTCCTCGGCTACGTCCGACGTACTCTGAACATTCTCATTGACAAATTTGAGATCCGACAACCCGTACAGCACAATCGAACCCATCCCCAGGAAAGCACTCACGATAGAAAATACCATGGCGACAATTCCCCGCGCCGTGAAGCCGCCCGGGATCCAACCTGGCTGCGCGTTCTGACCCCTGAGATCGGTGTAATCTTCTGTGTTGCCCGCGGCGTTTCCCTCGTATTGCACACCTGCAGCACGGCATGTGTCGATATGGCCACTAGGGATGGTCATCCGTTGCTGTATCTGCAACGGCGCCTCGACCATCGTCATGGCTAACCCTTGCGCTAGATGCCAGTCGATGTGGCAGTGGAAAAGCCAAACGCCTGGGTTATCCGCCACAAAGCGGATCACAAAATATCCTTGCGGTGGTAGCACGAGCGTGTCACGTCGAGCTGGATATGCGGGGAATGCTGAGTGGTTCGACGGATCGTATGGGAAGGGGTCCCCGTCAGCGTACTTGAAGAAGTCTGGGCCATAGGATGGATTTTTTCCAAGGACCTGAAACTGATGTCCATGCAAATGGAAGGGATGGCTGCCCGTGTCGTTGTTGTTGAGAACGATTTCGACAACATCATTGTGACCCAGCACCATGGAGTGTGTGTAGTCGCCGTAGACAGTTGCATCGGTTGCCAGCTCGCCCGCGGACATGACCGTGTACAGAGTAGGTACCTTGGGTGCCGTGTAGCTAATATTGTTGAGAAATGCGTAGCCTTTACCGTTGTCGAGGTTATCCATTACGACAGCCAGATTGATCGATATTGTCGGGTTTTCTAGCAGCGACATGTGGTCATAAGGCACTAACGTGCTGTCCTCATAGGGGTCCAGGTCTGAAGACACAGAGACCGTAATATTAGCTTGTGGATGCGCTGCTGATGCATCGTACTGCAGCCAATTGGTATAGTTGAGGCGCAGATCTGAGGGTATCGTGTCCAGTAAGGTCGAATCGGCCACGGTAACAATTGGGTAGTTTTTATCAGTCGTATTCTTTGTTGTAAGTAGCACAGAGTACCGTTGAGCAACCGCAATGTAGAGCATGTCGGCCTCGGTGGGCTCAGTGTACACGCCATCAATTTCGACAATCTGGAAGGTATGGTCTTCAATGTAAAAATACTGCGCAACGAATACGCCGACATTTATTAGCCGAAGCAGATATGTCGTGTTAGGCTTGACATCTAAGTTGATGCCCTGCGTCGTATCATTGAACAGAAAAGCGTTCGGGACTAAAGAAGATCGTTAGAAAGTGAACCTCAACGCAGATTGAGAGGAAAGCTTACTCGGCTCTGCCCCTGTGGGATTATATAACGACATAAATTCAGGCTTGATGTTCTCGGCCATGTTATGGTACCAGTCAGACATAGTGATGGTGAACTCCTCTTCATAGTCATCGACAAAATAAGAACTATTGTCGTGGACAATGAGGGCCTGTCGATAACCATCAGGTATACAGTAATCAGTGTGACAATGATAGAAGTACGTCCCGTTCTGGTTGACGGTGAAGTTATACGTGAAGCTAGCTCCAGGTGGGATTGGGCACTGCGTCACCATTGAGGGCCCGTCCATGTTGTTGGTGCCATTCTGGTACATGCCGTGAAAATGGATACTAGTGTTCTTATCACCTAGGCCATTGTACATATTCACGATCAGCTGATCCCCCTTGTCGACCTCGATGACGGGTAACGGCCATTGCCCGTTGACGCCCACCACCTTGCGGTCTGCGAGCCCGTCTGGGTTCGCAGTCACCCATGTAACATTGAAATCGTACACGACATTTTTGGCAAGTACTAGTGACTTGCTAAGTGCAAACGCCAGGAATATGAAAACGGACAGCATTCTGAGCAAAGGTGGACATCTCCTCGAGTTGTCAGGTGGTGTCGGTCCAAGTCGTCTTTTTATAAAAAAACGTGCCGGCGACAGAGTATTTTCCGAGGTCCGCATCAGATAAAACAGATGGGATGCGGTAGCCAATCAGAACGTTGCATCTGATAAAATACCTCACCGAGATCAGCCCCGCTAGCAGCCTCTGATTCGCCAAATGGAAACAAAGTTCCTTAGTGTTTCCTTAAAGGGCATAGTACGTCGCTAGCGCGAGGACTAGCCGATCAGATAACAATTTTCTACTCCGCCGGCACGAGAGAGAAGGGGGGAAAAACAGCCGAGTCCGCAGCGGTCGCCTGAACGAAGTTTTTCTCTGCGTCGGATGAATTAAAATAAATTACATAGAGCGCCCCCCTCCCAATATTGTCTCTGTTAAGCACAATTTCCTCTGTGGCATATCTGGTCAATTGCCCACCATGGTGAACGTCTTTGCCGTTCAGGTCTTCTTCATCGTCTTTCGCGAGTGCCTCGAGGCGGTGATCATCGTCTCAGTGCTGCTCTCCTTCCTCAAACAGAGTTTGGGCCAACCGCACCAGGACCAAGCAATATACAAACGACTTGTCCGCCAGGTATGGTTCGGCTCGTTCCTGGGCATCTTCATCTGCTTCGTTATTGGTGGTGCTTTCATCGGTGTCTTCTATGGACTAGGTCACGACATCTGGGCCAATGCAGAGAATTTGTGGGAGGGCATTTTCTACCTAATCGCAACCATAATCATCACAATTATGGGCTTGACTTTGCTACGTATCAACAAGGCCAAAGAACAATGGCGCATCAAGATCGCCAAGGCACTGGTCGAGAAGCACAAGGACAAGAAAAAATCTAAGCTGCTTGGCGATTGGGCCCGCCGCTACGCTATGTTCCTCCTGCCATTCATTACCACCCTGCGTGAGGGCGTTGAGGCTGTAGTCTTTGTTGGCGGCGTCTCTCTCGGTTACCCAGCCACTGCTTTCCCCCTGCCTGTCGTGACAGGCATTCTCACTGGGTTGGCATGCGGCTACCTCATCTACCGTGGCGGTAACGTCATGTCCATTCAGCTCTTTCTTATTGCGTCAACGTGTGTGTTGTACCTGATTGCCGCCGGAATGTTCTCCAAGTCCGTCTGGGACATACAATACTACCGCTTCCAGCTGGCTGTTGGCTCCGACGTTGCCGAAGAAGGCAGTGGGCCAGGTTCATACGATATTAGCGAGACAGTCTGGCATGTTAACTGTTGCAACGCTGAGACCGACAACGGCTGGGACGTATTCAATGCTATCCTCGGTTGGGAAAACACGGGCACCTACGGGTCTATCATTGCGTACAATGTATACTGGCTTTTCATTATGCTGACTGTTGGCTACATGATGTGGGAGGAACGTTCGGGAAAGCAAACACTACGAGAGCGCATTCTCACGGTGCTAGCCAAGGTGCCTGGGCTCAAGGGCTATGCTAGGGCAAAGCTCGATGTCACCCAACAGAACCCTGAGGATATTGTGCGCCAGGTACACAGCGGGATTTTCAATGATCCTGCGGTGGAACAATCGGTGGAAATGAAGTAAGCAGCTATGTTGCTACTATGTGTTTAAGATAATGCGCCTGTTATTCCAATTGCTATCAGTATTAATTATATTTCCATCGTCATGGCCCTTTCTGCTTTGCATCTTTCTTTCGGGAACTCAAACTTAACAGGTCATTGGCATATGACTGGTGAGAAGTCCGTTATGATTCATCAGGGCTGCCTCCAATTCCCACTTAGGAAGGTGGGGTGGTCGTCGCAAGTAGAAGCGGTGGTGAGTCTTTCTTCCATGCAAGGATAACAGTCCTTTTCCTATCATTTCCTTCTTTCAAAGAATCAAATAAGCAGCATACGAGCAGGTTGGTTGAACTTGTAACAGAAACTTAATACGCCTCCCTGCGGGAACAATTCCCCTCTTGTGATTATAATTCTCCTGTGAACTGCCAGTGCACAGGGTTATTCTCTCGGGCCCTTTGCTCCAGTATGACAGTCCCCCTTTGACGATGGAGTAAAATTCAGCGATTGTACACTTCCACCAATATTTCATAAGAGCAAATGACAAGCATCAGACAGCGAGACTTTATTCATCAGTTGATACATGTCCACGTGACATATACTTTCCTAAATAGGCTAAGAGGGGGGTTGTATGCGGGCAAAGTGGGTAAATGTTCTGCCAGCAGAAAAAAGAATTCTGTGAATAGCCAAGCGCACTCTAAGAATTGCTTGACGGGGAGGATCAATGTCGGGTTCACTAGAGGTATGCACAAATGTTACGATCATCTTCGAGTGTTTTGTAAGTGTTTAAGCTCTACTAACTATAAAAAAATCTACAGGACTTTGGCGGCTGTTTCCCAGTCACTGGCTTGAAGGAATTCTGGCTTGGCGCCTCGAACTTCCTCCTGCAAGGCCAGGGGCCATTTGTCTCTGTGGTTGATGTTGAAAGTGGGAAATTAATTCAGAAGACAAAGGTCTTTAGACGGAACAATGTGTATGGTTTCATGATTGATGAGGTACGATGTCAGGAACAAGGCAGAGTTAGCGTCCTCGTATGGGGTGGCTCTTCGCTACGAATTATCGATATTCACAGGCAAAGAGATGATGGTGATCTCAGGATAGTTTGTGGCTCGCTTGAACATGCAGCTCCCGACTGGATATATGACATATGCCCCGCACATATCGGAGACAGTGGCAGTCTCGCTTACTTGGTCACAGGCCACAACTCTGTACTCAGTATAAATGCGAAGAGGACTGTCAACTCCAAGTACCCAAACAAAATACAGCTGAGGCATTTGCTGGCTGGTGTCAAGTCTACACTCTACTCGGCTAACATATTGGCTCTCTCGGCTTCGCATATCCTAGTAGCAGCCGGAACGGTCTTCGGTGAAATAATCGTTTGGTCCTGTTTCATTTCCAAACACGATTCTCAATCTCTGTATTCTTCTTCCATTCATCATTTTTTCACAGGTCATGAGGGATCAATTTTCGGAGTCAATATTTCCGGGGAGCTCCCGCTGACGGAAGGGAAATCAGGGAGACTGCTCGCTAGTTGCAGTGATGATCGTACGGTCCGGATTTGGAATATCTCAGACTGTTTTTATGCCACTTCTGCGGACCAGGCGGCATATGCCACGGATGGATTTGACCTTCGAAGCACCGGTTTTGGAAGCACTGCTCCAGCGAAGATGTCAAGCGGCTCAGAATCAGCGGTTGCTAAATGTTGGGGCCATGCCGCCCGTGTCTGGGGGGTGTACTTTCTGCCTATTCGAGCTGAATATCCGAATGTTGTCAACCTTGTTTCTCGAGGCGAAGATGCTACAAGTCTGTTGTGGCGGCTAGATCTGACAGGCGCTCACCAATTCAATGGGGACATGAAGCTCGATTTGACGAATATTTCAACTCTCAGCCATCACGCAGGAAAGCATATCTGGTCGTTGGCTTTGTCTGAAGGGGATAAAGATACGAAGCTTTTATATACGGGGGGCAACGACGGTACAGTCAGAACATATGAACTGACCTTCCTCGGCAAAGATGGCAATAATGGCGAGGAGCCATCTATCAAGATTTCACCGTACAGCCCGAAGACTCTTCTGAAAGCTGCGCGTGCCAAAATCGATCACGACGGCTTTGTTCCGCGATTTTTTGCTTTCGTTTCGAGCAACACCTTTATTATAACATATGCTTCTGGTCTTGTGCAGCTAGGAACTCTCCTCACTACCTCACATAATCCGAACCAAGCTGCTGCAGCTAAACCAGAGATCTCCTGGGAAGATTTAGCGGTAGCTGAGGACCTAAGTTCATCTTCTTGTATATCTGCACTTCCGCGCCACGGCCTTGCCGTAATTGGTGGCTCTACCGGAATTCTACGTCTCTACAACCACACTACCAAAACATTAACTGAACTGACCAAGGTTTCTTCTCGACCTGTGAAAATAGTTATGCTTGATGCTGATTTCAACGCATCGAAAGTGGGCCACAGTTTCAGATTTTTGGTTGCATACCCTCGCTCAAAAAACGCAGAGCTATTTGATTTTGAAACGGCAGGTAGCGGCAGCTCTTATACTATCAGAAAGACTGAGCTGATATGCCCTCCATACATCGCAATAACCACGGGCTCGATCGTGTGTCATGGCAGATATCTTGCTGTAGGCGGCAAATCCGGCCAAATTCTATTCTACAAACTAGACGCCCGAAAAGAATGTCTCGAGTGCTCATTTATTGAACACCGACTTCATGGAAAAGCAAGTGTTACATTTCTAAGTCCAATTGAAGACGTCGAAGATCCTAATGAGGGATACGTTCTGACGGGTGGTCGAGACGGCAATTATTGCGTGTATCGTTTGCACTGCTATCCAGACAGAGACGTTACTCCGCGTGATTTTCAGATTGTTCATCGTTCAGTGGCGTTCTTGTCGCAGGTGGAAGGCGCTTATTTCGACCAGAAAACAGGCCATTTCATGGTGTTCGGTTTCCGGGGCAATTTCTTGATCCTGTGGGATGAGACAACGCAGACTGATATTCTAGCGCTGGACTGCGGTGGTGTTCATCGAGTGTGGGAGTTCACGCCTGATCCCGATGCACTAGGGGCATGCACCATTATCTGGATTCAAGCGCGGGCTTTGCACGTTCTTGTGGCAGGTTCTGCGGTACATCGACCTCTCCAAATGGGTACCCATGGACGAGAAATCAAGAGCTTAGCGATCGCCAGAACCCAGACAGGCAATGGTCGAAATCTAAGCAGGGCGTCACCACTTATAGCGAGCGGGGGAGAAGATACATTAATACATATCTCGACAAGGTCGCGAGACAAAGACAGCATGTGGAACCCTGTACGGTGTTTGCATGTCATGGGCGACCATGTTTCTGGGCTGCAGCGGATCAAGTGGTCGGATGACGGGCGATTCTTGTTTTCCAGCGCCTGTCGAGAGGAATTTTTCGTTTGGAGGATTCGATCAGTGCCGAAATTCGGCCTTGCGACGTTAATGGAGGCGGCTTGTCCGAGGGAAGAGTTTGAGACGGAGCTCCGAATTATGAGTTTTGATGTGCTTCGCATGCAATCGGCAGCTGACGAGGACCGTTTTCTGCTGGCTCTTGTCTACTCGAATTCTACAATCAAGGTAGACTGCCTACTCCACCTTCTTTGAAATATCATTTACTTATTCAACACAGGTATTCTCATACACAAGTTCAGCGGAAACCCATGCTTTTGAGCTTCTCGGAAGAGGCACCTATTCCACGAATTGCCTGACAGAAGTCCACTTCGTGGGCGACAGCGATTCTAACTTTGCGCTCGTCACAGGAGCTACTGATGGATATATTGCTTTTTGGCCTCTTCAATGGATTACACACAGTCGCATTGATGGGTATACTACAATAGCAAGCGCATCTGCGACTACCTCTGTTCCTACCGTGCATAGCATCGAGTGGAAGACACACCATGCCATACATACTAGCAGCATCAAGAGTCTGGAGGTAGAGGAGATTTCACCGGGTTTTCAGGTCCTCGTTGGCGGCGGAGATGACAATTCCCTGTCCGTGACGCTAGTAAGACTGGATACTGTTGTTCGTGTGGTCAGTAGTATGTCGGTTTCCAACGCGCACGCCTCGGCGGTTACGGCAGTCAGGATATTGCACAGTTCCGTGTCGTCCGAGGAAGGTCGTGGCACGGCTATATTGTCGGTAGCATCGGCAGGGAACGACCAGTGCGTCAAGCTCTGGTCTGTCACGGTTGGTCTGGCCCAGAATCAAGCGATTGGCATTTCACTGGTGTCAGTTCGATATTGTCCTGTGGCTGACGTTGCGGCGATGGATATTATGGAGGTTGGCGACAGCCCTACAGTGGACCGGGTGTTGGTTATAGGCGGAGTTGGCCTGGAAATGGTGCCAGTGCCTTGGCATTGACAGCCCTGCCAAGTGTGTCAACCTCAGGCTGCAACAATGCGGGACTAACCACAAGGGGCTAATGATGGGCTGATCCACGTAATCATTGGTTAATGTTCCAGATTCCAGAATGCGAGGAGTCAATAATATGACACTGCGATAATACTCAACAGCAGTTAGCTAAAACCTAAGATTAACGTTTTGTTAAATGTCTGCCTGGTGAGCACCACAGCCTCCAAAGAGCCTTCAGCACCAAAATATGACTGCGAAAGTAAAATCCCAATGTCCGGATTAAAATAGAAACAAAAGCATGGCTGGGGCAGCTCCACTTGAGGCTGGGGCAGGCTGGCGTATGGCGCCAAGCCTCGCTGTGTCCCGCTGAGCCACGCCAGTCGGGCCAATCACAGGGCGGCTTACACGCGGCTGGCACGGGACGGGACTGCAGTTTCTGTTTATTTATTAAGCCGCCATCCCTCACCTCACCACGTCTCGCTCCTTCTCATTATCCTCCTTCGTCTCTTTATTGCACCGTCAGTCTGACTCTGTCTGTGCATTCGACACTCGCGGCATACCCTTTGTCAGCCCGCCGCCATGTCTCTCGGTCGCATCGTCTGCATCGCCTTCCCTTACGCCGTCACGGTCGGCGCTTTGGTCTCTCTGATATTTGTCGGCATCGGCAGCACAAATTCCAAGTCAAGCACCGACAATGATCTCTACTTTTTCAGAGTACGTATTACTTCTGCGTTTCTTCTAAAAAAGGTCAAGTTACTAACTAGACATTCCAAACAGGCCGATCTTAGCAATTTGACCATTTCTGGCACCTCTCTTCTGAGTGCGGCTGAAAGCGCCCTGAGCGATCTCACCAGTCGGAGTGATGCCGATAGCGCACTTGAATCAGCCTTGACAGACGCCGTAGGCAAGAGCAATATTCGCGATTTCTACGACATCGGCCTGTGGGGCTACTGTTCCGGCAACAAGACAAGTGACGGCAAATATGTAGTCGACTACTGCACCAAGCCCAAGGCCGAATATGCATTTGACCCCGTGGAAGTCTGGGGCCTGAACTCCTCCAGCGCCGATAGTGCCATCGATGACATTCTTCCAACCAGTCTGAAAGACGCCCTCAGCACATACAAGGCCGTGTCCAAATGGATGTTCATTGCCTATATCATCGCTTTCGCCGCGACTGCGCTTGAGTTGATTGTTGGTATCTTTGCTATCTGCAGCCGCATGGGTAGTTTCATCACCAGTTTGATCTCGGGAGTTGCTTTCCTCTTCACAGCTGCCGCTTCGATCACCGCAACCGCACTGTTCGCCGTGTATACGGGTGTATTCAATTCCGATCTGAAACAGTACGACATCCATGGTTCCATGGGTAAGAACATCTTTGTCGCCACATGGTTCGCAACCGCGTTCGCTTTTGCCGGAATCTTTTTCTGGCTGATGAGCTCGTGCTGCTGTGCCGCTCGTTCTCCCTATCATGGCAACCACCGTCGTAACCGCGTCATGGCCGAGAAGGCTCCTTATACATACGAGCGCGTCAGCACCCCTTACGGCAACAGCCCCTACATTGGTGGCAGTGCACCTGCTCCGGCTCCAGTTGATCCATACACGCAACATCACAACGTTCCTATGCAGCCTTACCGTTCGGACGCGTACGAGCCATTCCGTCACGTCTGATGTGCTTTGGATAAAATAAAACGAAACAAATAAAATAAAGTATTACGACGGTGATTTCTTTCCATTTTGTGTTGATATGTTTTTCTCGTTTACGAAAACTTTTGTGTGTTTGGAGCGGAACTCTTGATTCTTATGATCTAATGAATGGGTGTGTCTAGACTCTTGAGGCATGGTATAGCTTCATCAATGATTGATACTTGATACCCAATGAATAAATTTATCAATTTTTTGCCAGACTTTGTCTTGACTCTCTTTCAATAGATATTCAAAGTAAGATTCAGCAAAGAATAGAGCAGTTACATGAATGTTGTACGCTCCGATAATTAATTTCCAACGCTTACGATACGTCGCCTGACAGATATAGCTGTGATCGATTATACTCCAAGACGAGCCCGGCGTATTGATTTCTCTGGTGGTATATTCCGACTAATGAATCAAATACAGAGCTTTCTTTGATTGCGTATATGGAAACATATTCGTTTATTGTCGTGGGGATTCATTACAACACATGGAGAAATGTAGCTTCCACTAGAAACAAACTTCATTGGCAGGGTAACGTTATATATCCAGCCACTTCTTCTCATCAAAAAACGCATCGCAAGAACTATAAAATCAATCAAATTCGGCCTTGCTGAAAAACGGCTCTATCAGCGTCCCACCCAAATCCACCAGCACTGATTCTCTATAATTCCTCCAGGAGACATCCCCGGGAAGTATGTCGGCGGATTTTGGAATTTCCAGATCCTCAATTATTCTTGGGATATGTTCTACTGTTGTTTCGTGCGGGATGTATATTCTTTGACAATCGCCAGTCGGCCGGCTAGTTGGGTAATATCGGACATCACACGCCTTTCTTTCATGCGTGCGACGTCGAAAAGGGCGCGTTTGACGCACTGGGCAAGTTGGACGTCGCTTAGTTGCATCCACCCATAGCACTTCACGGCCCACTGGCCATTGCAGTTCATGTCGTTGAGACGGGCGAAGGCGCGACACTCATTGGCGAAGGGGCATGTGTTCCTTATGGGATGCCCATATGGTGTAGGTATGGTTTTCCAGTCGCGAAACTGGTCTAGGAATTAGTCGAAACTTAGAAAGAAGTCACTACGTAGAGCTAGTTGTTACCAGCTTGAGACAGTACGGTTTACCATCATTCTCTCGAAAACGAAAGAGATAGCCATCCTCGCCGCAGGGGAAGAATCTCAAGTGACTGAATTGTCGGTCACGATACTCAAATCGTTTTAATTTTGGCCGATAAAAGACATGTTTGTTCACTGCGTCAAGCTGTAGAGGTTCTCAGTAATCTAAGAACTCCTGCATAGGTAATGCCATAACGAGCCCAGCTGTAGCGCACACCGGCCTTGCCATAAATTTTACAAACCTCTTTCACATACGATTTGTTTGTGGAAAATTTTAATATTAGTTTTCTGATATTTGAAATGTTTTAAATCTACACATAATGCTTCACATGTAATTAATAGATAGAGCTTTTTAAGTAGACTTTCTAGCATGATTACTTGGTTACATGATAGGCTTACTTAGTTAATGTTATATTCACATAATTTCACCGCCTGTAGCCAATTCCTCTGTATAATAATGTATAGACCACTGTGTCTAAATTAGGAGCCAAACTTATAGTTACAAAGTTTGTTATATACAGGTTTCTTAGATATATTAAATCTACTTTAGCCCCACTCTTATAGTAAAAAAATAATTTGCATTCATATAAAAAATATCCTATAACTATTAACTTTTGATCACGTAAAAAGGTTAGACATCTTACCTAGCTACTAAAAGCTATAGCGAATTCCAGCCCATAGAACGAAGACTGTTGAAATACCAAATCCGATACAGGCAACGTGAAGATTCGCTCCACAGACCCATTCAAGCTTGCGCTTAGAAGACTAGCGTCTGAGCCGCAAGAGCCTATTCTCCTCGTAAAGCACCCCATACCACTCCGGCCAAGACGCGATGGTCACTAGCGGGAACTCAACTGCCGTTCGTTCGTATTGCTGAAATTGCCTCTTGGCCGCGGTCCAGCGTGTTTCCCCCAGGCCCAACGGAGTTGTCCAAGGAGGGTTTGTAACGTAGCCAAGCATCGGGTGGCTGCATTCGGCTTGTTTCAAAAGGAGAAAAGCGCGACGAAATTGGCCGAGGCCGAGAGAGGCCCGCGCTAGCCTGTTCGGGCCTTGGCGGGTCCTCAGCCTCAGGCTAAGCTCGGTCTGATTCGCCTGCGTCATTCACTACGGTTCCTGCTACTTAATCTTCCCTCCTCGTCCGTCCCTCTTTGCTTTCTTTCTTTCCTTCCATTTCAAAGCAATCAAAGAAAGGAAGAAGCAGAGAAAGAAAGAAGATGCCTTCAAAGACCGGCCTCGCCCTATTCGGCCTAGCCGCCAGCGCCCTTGCTGAGCCCCAGGTGCTGCACATGCCTCTGACCCGCAACCCCAATGCCAATCGCCTCGCCAAACGTAACGGCGATGCTCTGGTCGACATCACAAACGACCTGAGCGAAGGACTCTACTACGTGAATGCCTCGGTCGGAACTCCCGGCCAGGAGATTCAGTTGACCCTGGATACCGGCAGCAGTGATATCTGGTTTTTTGGTGCCAACTCGTGCGATGAGAACACGACTGATTGCTTCGGAGGAACATGTATGCCCTCCCCCTTGCTTCTTGGCTTCATTCCACAGAAGAGCTTGTTTTTTTCCACGTGCCACTCGCTAGTCACATTCCATCCCACGTGCTAACAGCAGCATTCCTTGGTTAGATAACCCGTCGAAATCTTCCAGCGTAACTGTCCTGAACCCCAAGGGCGCTTTCTCCATCCAATATGGCACGGCAGGATCCAATGTCACCGGAAACTATATTACAGACGATTTCAGCGTTGGCGCAGCCTCCGTAAAGAATCTCACCATGGCGTATGCCACCTATGCCGCCTACGTTCCGACCGGCGTCATGGGAATTGGTTTTGACACCAACGAAGCAATCACCGATGAATACGGTAGCCCATATCCGAACTTTGTGGATGTGTTGGTTTCGCAGAATGTGACCAAAACCAAGGCGTACAGTCTATGGTTGAACGACTTGGGTAAGTTCGACGCTGTGCTTTTTGAAAAGTTGTAATGTACTGACCCGCTCTAGATTCCAGTACTGGAAATATTCTCTTCGGAGGCTACGACACCAAGAAGTTCTCTGGCGAACTCTTGACCGTAGACATCCAGCCTGACGAGATGTCTGGCGAGATCACAAGTATGACGGTCGCATGGACCTCGCTGAACGTTACAGCAAACTCCAAAACAACGCAAGTGACCAAGAGTGATTTCACGTCGCCGGCCTTGCTGGACTCGGGTACCACGATCACTATTGTACCGGACGACATCTACTATGCACTATTCGAGTATTTCCAAGCGGAATCTGACGGAGAAGGCGATGCAATTGTCAAGTGCAGCCTTCTCGATTCGTCCGATGGCACTCTTGATTTCGGATTTGGTGGAACCGGCGGTCCTGTAGTTAAAGTACCATTCTCTGAGCTTGCGCTTCCTGCCACTGACACCAACGGCAACTGGTTGGCATTCGAAGACGGCGAGCTGGCGTGTGTTCTCGGACTAGAGGGGACAGACGACGGCGAGATGCCCGTCATTTTCGGCGACACCTTCCTGCGGTCTGCCTATGTTGTTTACGATCTGACCAACAAGCAGATTTCCCTTGCACAGACCGTCTTCAACGCCACGGACAGCAACATCGTCGAAATTAGCTCTTCGAGTCCCGTTGCAAGCGTTGTCACAGGCGTCACCGTCACCCAGACTGCTACCAACAACCCCCTCGGTCAAGCCACAGCCACGGCCGCAAGCTCCACTCCAACAGACTCCAGCGGCAGCAGCATCAATTCCATCGGTGTTCTGAGTAGCAGCACTTCCACAGCAACATCGGCGGCTTCTACTTCTAGTCATGGATCCGCTGCATCGATCCCTGCGCCTGTTCCGGGCTTGATGACCAGTTTGCTGGTTGCTGGGGCTTCCATGATGTTTGGTAGTGTGTTTTTCATGCTCCATTAGAATTTCTCTCTTCGCTCATTTACTTTTCTTTCTTTTCTTGCTTTCTCTTTTTTTTTTTTTTTTTTTTTTTTTTTTTTTTTTTTTTTTTCTTTTTTCATCTACATGGGTTATCTAATACCGTTTGCTTTATTGTTTCTACTTGAACATTTTTCTATTTTCACATGGATAAATTGATATACATATATGCGTCGTTGAGGACTACGGTTAGACACGCATCCGAAAAATGTACATATTCATATATACATGGTCCTAAAAGTATGAAAACACTTTGCTTCGATGTATCCCTAGTGCATCTATAAAACATGCTATTCCGGAACTCCATACGTCGGTATACACCTCAGTCAGTATCAAATATGTACATTCCTTGTCTATTTTCACTCTTGGTGTATTTTTTCATGGAAATAATCTCGCCACAGGACCCCTCGGCCAAAGCCCTGACAATCAATGCCCAACGCAAGCGGAATAGGATAAAACCAAAACTCAATCGGCGCCGACGCAGTCTCAAATATACTCTGCAACCCCGGTTCCTCAGTAACAAACACAGCAATCGCAAGACTCACAACGGCACCAGCCAGTAGCCATGGGTTACGTCTCTGCTTGCGGATCGGGTCCGCCTGCAGGATTGAGAGACGCTTGTTGCGCACGCTGAGGATATTGCCCCATTGCAGAAAGACGAGGGTGATGAAATACACGCTTTGCGCGGCGGTGTTGAAGCATGTTAGTTCGGCCTCGCTGTAGCCGTAGAAGCCGTCTGAGTATTTCTCGAAGGCCAAGATGAGGGCGTGGAAGGGGATGCCGCGTGTCTGTAGTAGTAGAGGAAATACATGGCGTGGGCGCAGACGGTCTCCATGACGCCGATAAACAGGTAGCTTTGAATGTAGACCTTGATGTTGATCAGGTGGTCCTTGCGGTGGTCTCGAGAAGGTCGAACTCTTCCTATTCCATGATCAGGGAGAGGGAGAGAAACAAGTCGGTGAAGACGCAGATGATGATCACCAGGAACGAGGATAGTGGCAGTGGGACGCCGAAGTATACCTTCATCAGGACAGGCCAGATTTCAGACCACGGCCCTCAGCTGCACACAGCTTGATTCCTCTGATCCAGTCCGAGTCCAAAGCCTGGGTCGCTGTCAATCGGCGCCGGGGAGTCGGCTGTAGGATTGAGTAGATCACGCTTCGACGAAGGTCCTACCAGAATAATTTAGCCGAAGAAAGAGAAAAACGCAACTCTTTATCCCTTCAGTAGATCAGAGGAGGATTGGCCTGACTTACCCCAGAGACAAGCTCCATATACTTATTGCACCTTCCACTCTCCAAATCCCGCATATAACTTCGATATAGGAGATCATCACACGTAGCGCTCTTCCAGGGCAAACGACCAGACCTCATAGCAAAGTAGATAATCCCAACAGCCCACATATCCCCAGCAGCAGGGTCAAAGGTCGTTCTCGCAAACTGTTCGGGCGCCATAAATGGAATCGTCCCTGTCAGGTTCTGATGCTGAGTGTTTACTCCAAAACCTGCGTCTCTTCTTTCATTCTTATTCGGTGGCAACAGTGATGACGCCCATGGCATTTGGAAGCATTCTGCGTAGCAAAAGTCTGTAATCTTCAATGTTCCTTGGCGGGTTAAGAGGATGTTCTCGGGTTTGAGATTTCGGTGCGAAACACCCACGCTGTGCATGTATTGGACGCCATGAAGAAGCTGTTTGAGAAAGCAGTCTGCTTCAGCAGGCTCTAGCTTGGTCACCTGTTCAAGCACATTTAGAAGGCTTCCGGCGTCACAGAATTCCATGACTTCGCAGAGGTCTCCGTGGTCGGTGGATAACAATTCAACAACCCGGACGATGTTGGGATGTTGCAGTGTATGTGCGATACAGAACTCGCCTGTGACACGTCTTAGGTACATCTTGAGTGACATGTTTTGTCGTGGACGGACGAATAGTTTGACGGCGAAGTATTGTCCTGGGTTTTCTAGTTTACCGTGCTCTTGCGATGATGGTGTGCTTTTGGCTCGCACTAGACATAATCTAATATGACTGGATGGATTGTCAAGAATATCCTGTTGATAGTCATATTTTGTCGACAGTAGCTGTTGATTGTATTTTCCATGGCTTTTCATCTTTATCTTGTTGAGCCAAGCACAAAAGCTCGACAGGACGGTTTCAAAAGGGAGATTCATGTCAGGATCATGACCCATCCCATAGCCCAAGCTGTGGCTGCTGCTTTTTCTTCTTCTGCCGGATTGATAGCCTTGGCATGACCAAGATGGCAAATGGTGCTTTTGGCAGGTATCTTTCACCTGGGTGCACCTTTCCACAGACTCGTCATGAATAGGCAAAGGCGACTCCATTTGTGGCCTGTCGCGAGACAATAGTGACTGCTCATCACCCTCGGAATTTATTTGATAATCTGCGGAGTACCTTTCATTGTAAGAGGTCAAAGGTGGCATATTTCAATAAGAAGTTGTCTACCTCGAAAGATTGAGAGGAAGGAGGATGCGGTGGCGAAAGCCGCGAGATCAGCCACAAAGCAGGCTGCCACCAATTTATATCCCCAGAATTATACTCTTCATAACTAAATTAGACGTACTACGACGGCATTCATTGATCTTCATAGATACCGCATGTTACGTACCCCGGAGGTAGGGATACGGATGCACATCTATCCCTTTTTTAGATGCTAGAAATTCACGAGCATGTAGATTCGTCATCATATCATGTCCAAGCTGGGGGTCTACGTGGTCAATCATGTACTAAGTCAAAATACCATCAGATAAGGAATGACCGTATCCACCTATCGGTATGCGTCTCTCCCCTACGAGTTTGGCAAGATGTTACACGGGTCAAACTCTGGGGTGCATACACGTAGCACGATATCCAGCACAGCCTGTGTGCGCTATCGTGTGTTTATTGATTTATTCTCGCTTATTCTAGTTTTGAGAGGCGCAAACAAGTATACCACAAGCGAGCTAAGTTATATACGAAGAATTCGAGAAAATGCACTACGCGAAGTTATAGATCTTACATTAATAGCAATTGATTCCCTGAGTAGTAAGCACCTAAGCAGAACGCTTTGGTTGATGTGCCGCAGTTCTCCAGGCCGTTACTCAACATGCTGATCCATATTTCGCTTGTCTGCAGGAATGACTCGTTAGCAATGAACAGATCAAGTAGTAGAAATTCTCAAGACTTGCGGTCTACAACGTTCAATAAGCAAAGAAGGCATTAGCGTGCTTGTATGGAGAAAATAATTCCCTCATTCGAGGCCATTCCGTATATACGGGCCGTTCTATACCTGATATATGTATGGCTGAACCGCTTTCCTTTCTTATTTACTGAAGTAGGATATTACTTTCCTTAAACTGCATCTAACATGCTTATATGCTTACATGCTGTATCGATGCTGGGGCCTACGGCTACAGGGTTTCCAAAATTGCCCAATACGGAAATCCTCGAAACGGCAATGATTCATTGATGTATATATCCATCCTGCACCTCACTATTATGTATGCGTACGTAATAGTCACCGCATTATCAATTCTCTACATGGTAGGATTGTTCTTACAAAATCGGTAACCATGAAGTGTGATTACGTGACTTTGACGTCGCAACCCAGGCACAATCTAAATATCTGAATTCTCGCGGCAGAGAATAAATCAGAATTCGAGAACTCCACAGCAATAAAAGAGCGACCGAATATCAACAAATATACATCCAGCATGCAATCAGTTCTTCAGCGTGTCGTCGGTCCTAAGAAAGAGGCCGCCGACCTCAGTGGGAGAGTTGCAGTGGTCATTGGAGGAGCTCTAGGCATAGGGTAATTATCCTCCCGGATGCAACGCCTGGCAAAGCCCTAACTCCCGATCATGAGCAAGGTACGAAATTTCTCGGGCTCTTGCACTTAATGGAGCACGAGTGATCATGGTAAATCGCCAAGAGGACCAAGGACAGTCCGCGATCGAGAGTATCCAAAAGGAAGGCGGACAAGATACCAAAGTCTCCTGGATCCCATGCGACTTGGGAAACTTCAAAAACATCAAGGAGGTTTTTACGGGTTTTCGTGACCGCGAAGACCGTCTTGACCTTGTATGTTCCGAAACCATGAAGAGAGTTGAAGGGAAGATGTTGCTAAGTCCTCTCCTCCTTAGCTCGCTCTTTCAGCTGGCATCAACGCCGCTCCCTACGACGAGACCATCGACGGTATCGACAGACACTTCCAAGTGAATTGGCTTGGACAGCTATACGTCTGTAATCTGCTCTACAGCCTTCTTCGGAAAACGTCTAGATTGCCCGATACTCCAGCTCCGCGCATTGTCTTCGAATCATCCGAGCTGCATCGTCTAGCACCGTCGTCGACGTTCCGATCTGTGGGAGAGATCAACGACTCTAAGATCGATCCCGCGCAACTATATGCACGGTCGAAACTTGCCATTATTTTGGGTGTCAAGTACGGATTGGTAGATCGTGTGATACGACCAAATAATGATCGCATATTTGCCCTTTCCGTACATCCTGGTGCTGTATGACCAAACCCGTTATTAAAACCAGTTAACACTTTGACCAGCATGTGCTGATAATCATCAGGTAAACACCGCCATGCAACAGCAGTGGAAAGATGCCTATCCGGGGCTCCTGGGGAAGCTGCTCACAACTTCCATGCTTACTATCGGTCGCAACCCAGAGCAGGGGTCTTGTAGCGCTCTGTATGCGGCAATCAGCTCGGAAATTGAGCAGAAGAACTGGAATGGCTACTACTTGACAAACCCCGGGCAGTCAGGGAAGGAATCGAGCCAGGCTTCTGATCCTGCGCTGGGAGAGGCGCTTTGGGAGCTGAGTCTTCAGATGATTAGGGAGAAAGTGGGGGCAGATGGGATTGCAGATTGGAATTCTACCTAATATTGAGAGTCTATAAGATAGGATGTCATTAGTACAGTCGATCCTTACTTACACTACCTCATTTGACTATGTCTATATTCCTATAAATGGATGTCAAATCAGTCAGATTCCGGCCAACATCCAACAATAGCACCATCATTCCCATCGACCGTCAAAACAACGTTGGCCCCGTACTCTAGCGGATTTCCTTCCCAAATCACCCAGTCCGAATTCCTCTCTACTCCCTCAAACCCGAGAATGTCATCAAGCTTGCCCGAGAAGAGATTCACCGCTTCCTGAGCCCCGAGGCCGGCCTGCTTGGCAATGGCAGCTGCTTCAATGGGAAGGTTTGCGAGATGCCAGTCATCTGTATTCGTATTAGCGGGGAAATGAGCTAGATCATTTCTAAATGGCGGGGGGGAGGGGAAAAGTACGCACAATCAGGAGGCAATGCAAGCGCAAATGTGACATTCGATTCTACCAGAACTTGCACAGAGGATATCGTCAATGGCGGTCCAACGAGAACATCTTTCTTTTCCCAAGTTGATGGTGCAGAGTGAGCAGCGGCAAAAATTAGTGGGAGGTCGGCTGCAACAATTTCATCGGCAACCTAACAAGCATATGTTAGGGAATGGTTTCTGTCTGATAATCTCGGGAAGACAGGTGAACTAACACTAGGTGCTTCGGCAGCGCCATATACGACCAATCTCGCTTTGGGATAGTCTTTCTTAATCTTAATCAGTTGAAGGATGTCGTACTGGATAATATTAGTCCTTTGCTTTCACTTTCTTGTGGTGACTGGAGTCTAACCTTGTTTTCGGTATGCACCACGACCGGGATCTTTCCGTCGGCAGCCTTTCCATAAAGTGTATCTTTGCCCTTATTCTCTGACAGTATCTTTCTAAGAGAGGCAACAGACTTGGATACCGTTGGGGTCTGGGACGAGTCTGTATAGCTTCCGTTAAATGCCATTCTACACACGCGAAGACAGCAAGCTAAACAAACGTACCTTTAGCATCCTGTCCAACGACGAAATGCAATGCAACGTCATCCTTGTATATTCCTCCATTGAGAGGGTTGCTGCCTTCAGCTGTCTTGATGCCAGCACTAACGCCTTTCAAAAAGCCGTTGGTATTCGGATAGGTGATGGATCGAGTCACGCCTCCAAGCCGTGCTCGATCAAAGGCTTTGCCTTCAGAGTGAATTCCGTATTTGGCATAGAGGGCAGACTCCGGGTCAAAGATGTTCGCGTTCGAATCGCCAGCTCCATCAACTGTGCTAGCCTCGGACGGTATCTCGATAAGGCCCAGGCCACTTGACACCGTGGTCAAACCGGGGAGTACGTGGCCATTGTGAAGAGAGATCACTTTGCCGACTGAATTAGTTGAAACGCATTCGGTGTGCTCTCCAAGGCATTCAATCTGTCCGTTCGTAAGGACCATCGTCAAGTTTCCTGTCGAAGATAATTGCTTGGTGTGTAGATTCTTCAAATAAGAGGTGGTAATTCCGGTGATTATCACGGTGTCGTCTTTGCTTGTACTTGAACAAAAAGCTCCGACGTCTTCGGGTGCAGTTTCTGCACGCATCTTGGGCTTGTCGAGGGTGTTGGTCCTGGAATGGTCGACTCTCTCATCTAGTGTAGATTTGCCGTCGATAAACACTTGCTTCGGTGTAGCGCCGGCGATTAATGGATGCGCGTCCCATACGACAATATCTGCATCGAACTGTAGGTGTTAATGTTGTCAACAAAAGGCCGCGAATGTTGACTTGTTAGGGTGATACATACGCCAGGCTTCACATAGCCGATGCGATGATGCAGTTCGAGAGATCTTGCCGGAACACTGGTGACTGATTGCAAAGCAAGAATTTCTGAAAGACCAAAGGAATGTGCAGTGGCAGCTTGAGATCTGCGCTTCATTTAGCGATTCACACATGCACACAAACAGAAAGAAGAACTCACACTAGATATTTAGCATTGGTGAGCTCATCGGAATGGTCCTATTCATTTTCTTAGAAGCATGATTCAAAAAATGAAAAGACGAATTTAATTACCGATTTATAGGCAACCGGTACGCCGTGCTCAGCCAGGATTTTACCGGCGTATAAATTCCCATCATAACCCTCCTTCTTGTACAAACTGAAATCGGCGAATGTCGCAATTGTGATATTCCTGGAAAGAAAATCAGCCCAGTATATCACACAGCACACAGATCAAGGGTCAACATACTGTCCGCTGCTCTTAATCATTTCCGGTACCTTCCACGCGCTCAAGGCGTGGTGGAAGGCCTGAATGCGGAAGCCAAACTCTTCACTATGAAGAAGCATATCCTCGAAATCTTCTGGCTCATAGCAATGAACATTGATACCAATCTTGCCTCTTAACATGGCGACAGATGAGTCCAATTCAAGCTCTTCTGGCAAACCTCCCTTTCCATTTGGGCCTTCGGCAAGAAGACTGGCCACAGCAGTAGCATCTCTATTCTGCTTGGCTGTTGAGGCTGCAGCACACCAGGCATCCTGGTTTTCTCGCAAGTCTTGAGCTCGCGCCATGTGGTGGCGAAGCTTCCATGCATTTCCCATCCTAGTGTGGTGGTACACCCTGCGCGGATTCTCACCACAGGCCATCTTCAAATATCGACGGCGATCCTCTTTGGGAATGCCATGTTCGAGAAGCAACTCTTCGACCACTTCCTCGCCGTGCTCTCCGCCTTTAAGGAAGTTCTTCACGGGGAATGCCTCGCCGCCCATGATATTTGCCGAACCTGGAAGAATGAGCGACGTAGTCACTCCGCCGGATGCAATAATGGAGGCAGCAATATCATACGGCTTCATAGAATCAAGAGATCGGACCATGGGGGTCAAAGGCCCCGTCTCGTCATTGATCTCATTTCCATCAGCCGTGTTTGCGAGCTCTGGCCAGCTCAGAGCCAGATGGTGCGAATGCATGTCCACCAGGCCCGGGGTTACAAAATCGCCGTTATAGTGACGGACAATCGTATTGGAGTCTGCTTTGAACTCGGCAGCATTGCTTGATGATGAAACAGACTGCACCACGCCCTCGCGGAAAACGACATCAACGGGCTCGGTGTATAGGATCTCGCCGTCGAAAAGAGTCACATTCCGCAATATCGTCGTCTGGGACTGTCCACTCACCGGGTTCCATCGCGGGTTGCTGCGGTTGGCAGGGACTGGGAACGAGTACGACACCCATGGCGCGCTGTACTGTTCACACTTCTGGAGCTGCGCGTCAAATCTGTCCCACTGTGATTGTGTGAGCTGGGCGTCTCCGTGGAACTCGAGGACGTATTTCGATTGCGGCGGATTGTAGGAAGTCAACAACAGGAAGCCGATCACGAGGAGAGCCGGCAGGACTACGCGACTGAGCCGGACTCGGCGAAAGGAAGGAGCCTGAGGACGCACTGTCCCGGCGACCTTGGAAAGCCCCATTTGGACAGAATATTGCTGGGGAAGAAATATGGACAGAGAGGGACATTCCAGTATTCTCCTGCCTATTTATGCTACTTGCGTGCGAAATTACGTGCTTATCAGTCCGGGCTAGCGCTAGGGTATAACTAACTATAGCCTGCTGCCTGCAGATATGCCACCAGCGTTGCACCACTACGACAGCAGACAGGCGTTGACTCACACCACGGGGTTGATTTTGCCCTTCCCTCTGGACTTCCTCTTTAAGAAATTCAGGTAGATACTAGATGGAAAACCACGGAGTTGTGTTGTTTCGAATCGAAGGCGGTAGAGCTTTTAATTCATCGAATCCAAGCTACATACACGAGAAAATCCGCATACCATTGATGCCCGCCGGAAGGAGAAGCTCGTGACATATGATCATATTTTGGGGGTGTTCTCCGTAGAAAATCATCCAGATGCAATCAAGCCATTTTGAAACACACAAATGTACCCAAACCCATTAAACTGCGCCAAATATAAAATCCGTCACCGTTTACTCGTTAATTTCACGCAGACGACGGAGGGTCGAGCGAGCAGCGGAAGCAGCGGGGGTTCTGGCCGATAGTTAGCTAAAGCGTACTTTTTTCTTTGGCAATTCGTTCAGTTGCAATGGGGAGACTAACGAGAGAGCGTAGGCGCCGCCGGTGATGGTCTTCTTGCAGCCGGAGCAGTTCCAGATACCGACAGAATGGCGGCGGACGGTGTTACGACCGCAGAAGGTGCTGTAGTGCATTAGCATTTGTGTTGTTGCGTCCCGTTTCGAACATCCGACATACCAGGTGTAGCGAGCGTGTTGAGTGACTTCGAGACGCTTCAATTGCTTACGGAGGGAGGCACCATATCTAATCATTGCTTATTAGCCCCGGATTTTGCACATGCATCCACGGTGATTAGAGAGTTAGTACATACCTGACACCGTACTTTCCGGTGATACCGACCTCTGAAGAATCCAGTCAGTATTTTTCCAGAATCGCCAAAACGCATGATCCAAATCGAGGGCACATCGGCGTAATATGTTGGTAGTCGACCGAAATCGACGGAATTTTGTCGGACGCAGAAAATCATAGGAAGGAGGATTCCTTACTGGTAGTTCTCTTGGCCATTTCGACTAGCTATGGAATAAGAATCAGCACGGCGTTCAACGAGAGAGCGTATACAGAGAGTTGGATCAGGCTGGTGTGCAAATTTGTCGATCGGCGCACACAAACATGAAACAACACCCAGAGAACGATTCGGTGGTGGAAAAGCGAAGGAAAGAATTCTGAATGGGGCGCAACATCCAGATTCCGCTCAAAGCACGTACCTGCGAACTTGATGTCGGCTAAATGACGAGTTGTTGGTTGCTGAGGCTTGACTGTCTCTCTCTGGTTGTGTGGATAGCCTCGAATTTGGCGACTGTGCGGTTGCTGGGCCGGGGAAAACTATTTTCCGCGACGGATTCGGGTTCGCTTAGCAAGGCCGGTCACTGGATCTCGGGCTTCTGATTGGCGGGCAGGGCGCTCCTCCAAATTCGTCTGGTCGTTCGTATTTCCACTTATCAAGACTTGTAAGTAGTTAGTTAACTACTTGTTGCCTATTAACTATAATGTCACTATGTCAATCAACATGTTTGAAATTTCACGTACGAGACAGGAAACCCTGGCAATATCGAGCGAGCTCTTATGCAGTCCTCGAAGCGCAGTGCGACCGCTTACAGAATCCAGCCTGGCAAGTAGAACCTCAAGTTGGGTAAAACATGCATGGTTATGTATATCAATTATCTCATATATATGTATATACCTGGTAATTTTTATTTTTGGCGCGTTTCTGTTACACGGATGACCCTGTCAAACGACTTTGCGGGGAAATGTCGGAAAGTGCGCCTCCGTACTCCGCAAATGTTCCTTCCCTCGTATTCCACAATGTAACTTGCGCGATGCCACCTCCGCCCTCTCCATCTCTTTCTTGGATTCTCTGGAAAATGCGTGCTGTGGGCTCCTAACAACAGATGGCCCGGCAGGTCTTCCGGTGCTGTTGCGATATTTGGATTTCGATTTTCCCATTTAAAAATGTCGGCCGAAGACACGACGAATTCTCCGCTGGAGGAGTCCCCAGAACCAGAGGACCAAGCCATCGGTCCGGAGACGACTCCGGCAGATGGCGTCAAAAAGCGCTGGCGTAGGAATCGCGTTGCGTGCGACGCCTGTCATACCCGTCGTGTAAGGTGTGACCGCGCGTTCCCATGTTCGAGATGCATCGCAAGCCAGACGCAGTGCGAGCTTACGAGAGAGAGACGGAAAAGGGGGCGCATACCGCGCAGTGAATACTCACGTAGAGACAGTTCCTTTGTGGTGCAGGACGCACAGGAAGAAGCAGTCGATGACCAAAAGGTTCGCGCGCAGAGGAAGTCTACCACCCATCAGCCCGACTTCATCAGCATGGTCACAAATCCTCCACCCACGGAGCAAATTGCGCAAACTACTAATTTCTCTCCCTCCGCTCAGACATCGCCCGGTCATCCACTACCTCCTTCTGCCCAGGGCAGTGGCGAACGCCAGTCACAGCTACAGCCGTCGCCTAGAGAAACGATCAGGGAAGATGGAAAAGCGGTTGAAGATTGGATGTCGAGTTCGAATGGCTTTGTACAACAACCATTCCCGTATCCGATCCTAGGAAATTTAGGGCTGTCGGATGGGTTCTTTGATGTTTCTTTCGATATGATGGGTATGAACAATATGAACGGACATCAGTTGTCGCGATGCAGATCGCGACAACCACGGAATAACGATCGACCTCAGCGGACAGGAGAGACTCCTCTGAAATACCCTGTGCTAGCACCGCTGATGCCTTTTCTGGAGCCGTACCTCTCGCGAGATCTGGTCTATGATCTCCTTGATCTGTATTTCACGAGCGCTTTCTCAACAGCTATGCACCCTGCCTGCCATCACATCCATTGCTACGTTGTCCGGAAGTCGTCTTTCCTCAGCCGCGAAAACCCACGAGTCAGTAGTCCCGCCCTGCTTGCGAGCATGCTCTGGGTGGCTGCACTTGATGACCGGACATTTTCCTTGTCGATCTCTCCTCCAAAGCGGAAGAAACTCTGTCAATTTCTATGTGCATTGACTGTACGATTATTACGGCCCTTGATTCATGTCTCGTTCAAAGAAAATGAAAGCTTCCCCATCATCGATAACGACCACATATTTCCTAGCGCGGCTCATGATCGGACCCATTCTTTTGAAGGAGGCGGTGATGACCGAGGCTTGGTCGGACCGGCTGGATCATTGGATGATGTGGTTACTTATATCCATGTAGCTTCAATTATATCTTCCAGTGAGCAAAAAGCAGCTAGCATGCGATGGTATTTTCTTTTTTTCCTGGGCTGGTGTTGAAGACTCTCGCTAAGACTTATCTGCAGGTGGCACGCTGCTTTTACCCTAGCAAGAGAACTACGACTCAACCAGGAAGTCGAAGCAACCTCAAATCTTAATAGCCCAGTAGACAGCTCTAATGTACCTTTCGAATTTGCCGAGGGCACTTGGTATGGCACAAGCCGCAATGGGGCTAATTGGGACTTTCTCCTTCCCTCTGGTCGAGCAAACTTGAACTGTGTATGCACACAGCAGCAACATCGACCTAATCTTATGACGGAAGAACACCGCGAAGAACGTCGTCGAACTTGGTGGCTTCTATACATTATGGACCGCCATCTAGCACTATGCTACAACCATCCTCTCGCATTACTCGACGCAGAGTGCGATGATCTCCTTTTGCCTCTCGAAGAAGGGCCTTGGCAGGCCGGTGATATACACAGCAATAGTTCCAAGGCCGACGGCCCTCAATGTCCCGTGTCTGGCGATACAAACAGACGGCGATGTTTTCCGAATTTCACGTGCAACGACCACTCGGTATTTGGCTTCTATCTACCTCTGATGGCCATCACTGGAGAGTTGATCAACCTCAACCAGGCTAAGAATCACCCGATGCTGGGTACCCGTCTTCAAGGCAAGGATACATGGGATGTGCAAGTGAATGAAGTCCTGCGTCAGTTGGACACATACAAAGCAACACTACAAGCCTTTGCAACCCACTATTCCCCAACTACCGCCGTCCCGCCGACATCACCGCCTGTACCACCACTCGCACAACAGCCACCGGGACCGAGTCAACCGCAGCAGCAGACTACACTCACACCACCGATGCTTAATGAACCAGCAGGTATTGATGAAATAAGCTATAAATCATATCATTCATGGCACACGCAAACTGTCGTTGCATACGCCTCTTACGTTGTGCACGTACTACATATTCTCTTAATGGGCAAATGGGACCCGGTATCTCTACTAGAAGACAAAGACTTTTGGACATCATCGCCAACATTTGCATCAACAATATCGCACGCCCTAGAAGCCGCAAACACTCTCGAGCGGATCCTCCACTACGACCCTGACATCAGCTTTATGCCAGATTTCTTCGGCATCCAGCTTCTACAGGGAAGCTTCCTGCTGCTACTCATTGTAGAGCGGCTGCAGAATGAGGCCGGCGAAGGTATTCTGAAAGCTTGTGAAGTGGTGATTCGCGCGACCGAGTCCTGCGTTGTAACTCTGAACACTGAGTATCAGCGCAATTTCAGGCAGGTCATGCGTAGTGCTGTGGCACAGGCACGAGGGCGTCCCGTAAATCATAGTGAAATCTGGCACCGTCGAAAAGCCGTATTGGCGTTGTACAGGTGGACTAGGAATGGGACGGGGTTGGCTTTGTAGATTTTCAATCAACAAGCTTGTATATAAAAGGATTTGTACGTAAATAAGGGTCAAAAGCACATGGTATCTTTCAAAATCAAGTCCAACTCAAAACGCCTGTCTCTGTCCCAGATATGAACCAGGAAAAGTACAACAAGACGACAAATCACGAACAATCCAAACTAAACCCAGCCCTCTTAATCCATCCTTTCCCTTCTTCTTCTTCTTCTTCTTCTTCTTCTTCTTCCTTCGCCGTCATCATATTCATCAGGACCAAATGCCCATCCACACCTTCAAAGGCTACACCACCTTTTTCCGCCCTCTGCATCATTTCCGAATTCGCTTTCGTTCGTTGCCCGTTCTCGCAGTTCCATACCCATCCCTCTTTGAGCCACATCCAGCTGAGATATGCTCGCAGTTCTTTGTCCTGAGGAAGAACGCGTTTCCATTCCGGCTCGTAGACGTTGCTAGAAGAAGTACTCATATTCCCTTCCTCTCGTCCGCCCTCATCATAGCAAGAAGAGTACCGAAGCCGATCCCGACAGAATATACGCCATGAATCAATCGCATATGCCCCAACACCAGGCAAATGCGCAATCTCCCATGCAACTCTCTGATCGCCCTCACCCTCATCCTCATCAGACACAACTTCATCAGGCCCAACATTCGCGCCATCCCTTTTACAGGGATAATTCAATTTTCGATACCGCCTCCCCTTCGCCGGCGGACATTTCAGCCACGTTTGCGCAATGGCAATGAATTTGGTCGCTCGTTGGTTCTGAAACCCCAGACCCCGGATTATGTTTACTATATCTTCGTGGTTGGCGCATGCCATTTTCGGGATGGTCGGGTACTGGGCGAAGAGTTTGAAAAGCACTGGGATTGCTACTGGGCCTCGCGTGCGGTTGAGGAATATGGTGGCTATAAGGAGTTTGAAGGGGGAAGAGGCGAGTTGTTCTTGGATTAGGCCGAAGCTGGGTGCTGAGATGGGCGGGAAGGGGAGACAGGATGCTTCGATTAGGGGGAGGGGTTTGGGGAAGTAAGGAGATAGTTTTGGTGGTTGTTTTCGCGGGGAGGAATGCTTTGGTTTTTGTGGTTTCTGTTTTTTCTGTTGTTCCTTTTGTGGTGATGTCGGTGGCTCTGTGTTTGGTCGTCGTGCTCTGGTATTCATGTCGTGTCGACTGATGCCATCTTGAGCATCACAAGTCTCAAGCGAGGCTTGCACAGCAGGAACTGCATCATGCTCACCACCTTGAACCCCCTTTATAACTCGGCCAGTTGCATGTTGCAGGTCTTCCACAGAGAAAGAAGTACTAGTATGATGCACATCTATACTCCCTCTCCCCTTAGCCAAGTCATCACTATCTATTTCTCCTTCTTCCTGTCCTGCTCCAGTCTCATCTGCATAGGTCTTGACACCATCTTCACTTCTCACGTTCAAGTTCAAGTTCAAGTGCAAGCCCGTATCCGACTTTGGACTAGTTTTCTTCGTCTGACGAGTAAAGTAGCGTGATGTTTTGGCTGTTTTCTTGGTGGTGCTCTGCGTGCTGCGACTTGGCATGCTAGGTTAGATAGTAGCGCGCGTTCAAAAGGGTATTCGTCCCACAGAAATGGAATGGAATGGATTGATATAATTGAAATAGTAGTTCGTTTATATATATATATATGCAGGTCACTGGTGCATGACTACAGTTCAACGGAGAATTTGATGCTTGGAATGCGGAGGAATTAAGAGCGCTATTCATATTTGGGCTTAGCGTGGTAGACAAATCAGTTTACTTGACTCGTGTTCGAATCGCATCAGTCAGAAATGATAAATTCAAGCAGAGGATAAATAAAGAGAAAATGCCAATAAATAGATTCTATAATACACATAAACTTGAAAGTAAAAAAAGTAGATATATGCAAATCAAAGAAATATATAATCTCCTGTTTTCGAAATGAAAGACAGAAGGAAGAGAAAAATAAAAAGGGACACAGACCCTTATCATGACTGAACTTTACCAGCCTCTCGTACTTCATTCATGAAACTATCCTCATTGCCAGCCACACTCAGAATCCAATAATGTCCAACGCCGGCGTTGGCAAATTGACCGCCACCAAATCCCATGATCGGCGTTGGCGAGCTATGGCGAGTCTTGCCGTCCCTCAAAATCGTGCCCAGGTCATGGGGGCCCCAGCCTATGACGTGTTTTATCTCTTCACAGGACTTGGCATCCGTTGCTTTAAGACCTAGTAGTTGGGCCTGAAGACAGCCCAAAATGGCTACTCCAGCACGGATAATAATGCGATCACCTTCAAAGGCCCAACAGTCCCATACGCGGCTTAGATGTTCGAGATCAAGACCGTTGGTGAATAGCGATCGGAACATGGGTCCCCAGATATCTTCATCGTTTAGTTGGGCTGTTTCGTATAAGTGGCTATAGAGACGAGGGAATTTATATCGTAGTGTAGCAGAAGCGAGACCGTATGTTCGGGCTATGGCGCTGCGGTCGTGGGTAAGGAATGCAAGAGGAAGTGGACGGTTAAGCGCATTGGCCATGACAATGAAAGCGGAAGCGGATGTGGGGAGTTGGAGAACAAGGAGGGCAGCAATAGTCTATGAGTATCTGTTAGTTACCATGGCCAGCAGGAACAGAAGTGATGTGCATGACAACTTACGTGAAGACCATAGGTGTACCCTACATCACTGCGATACATGGCATATGCCTCCAACACATCAATTAGGGTGTCCCGGAGCGGACCACCTTCTTGGAAGAGATGGAGTTCAGGAAATGCAGACGACACATCTCGAGATATGGCTGCGAACCATTCTCGCATCCTTCGACTGGTATCACCAGCGCCTTCATCGCCTCGAGATTTGGCATCCTTAGCCCGCTGGAGGGCTTTTTGATACGATTCTGTGGTTAAAGACAGCTCATTGCTAATGGCCCGTTGCCACACAGCCCCACGGCACCGAGGTGTGACGCCTCGCCACCACAACTCTCGCGTTCGTGGCTCGGAAATAGCTTCGTTCCAATGCGGTAAAACGTGGTCTTCCCATATCCGCTGCAGAGTTTCCCTGGTATTATCCTTTTCACACTGCTCAGCGGCAGCTTTAGCGGCCTTCTTCTTTTCTGCAGCCTGGTTTTAGCACGGGAAAATAGGATCACCAACGAAACAGAATTCACTAACCTGCCTCCTTGGCCAAGGCCATCATCTTCTTGTACTCTTTCAAGTGTTTCTTTTCTTCCAAAGGATCTTTTGGCGGTAACCAGCTAGGGCGTGTACGACTCAGGACCTTCTCTTTCTCTTTGCTGACAGGTAACGGATCAATCATGATGTTGGATTTCTGCAACGGCGGCAGATCTGTCATTACACCAGATGTCCGTTTTGATTCCACACTTGATCGTTCAGAAGCAAGTCCATTCTGGACTCTTTCCTCGCGCTTGCGGTCGGCATCATCGGCATGGTACTCCAGTGTTTGGGTCAACACCTTTGCTTCCTCCGACAGTTCAGCCATGGCTAGATTGTACGAGTAAGTGCGTGGATTTCGCGGTGATATCTGGCCTCGTTCGGGGCCTGCAGACGAAGAACGATGGAATTGAAGCCGTGACTTTGCGCCAGGAGAATGCCGAGAAGAGGTCCGCGATTTCGACCGTGGGGCCACTTCATCCTGCGACACAGCATGTGACAAGGGTATAGGCTTGGGGTTGGTTTCTTGATCGAGACTGTTGCTGCGTGAAACTGGGCGTTCTCCCTGCGGGCGCGGCGATAAGGGAACATTCCACAAGCTAGCATCGTCTGGCAAGTCGTCATCCGAGTCGTGATATTCGTCCTCCAGTTCCTTTACTGATTTCCGTACCGGTGCCGGTTGCAAAGAGCCTCGGCGAGAAGAAGAAAGAGCCCTTGGTGCGATAGGCGATAGGTTCTGGCTGGAAGCAGATGGCGAAAACTTGGCCGCAGAATTTGAAACAGGGGCAGAAGATGGGGATACCGAGCGAGATCGAAGTGGACGGGGGAGAGAGGGAGTCGAGGCACTTCCGCCTGTCAATCGACGGCCACTCTTTAGCATCCTCGGTTCCAGTGTACCCTTTGGGTATTGTCCAGACATGCCTTGGATATTCCTCGACGAGGGTGGCATAACTTGTCTCCTTTGGCCAGAAGTCAAGTCTCTGACAGGTTTCGAGGGTGGAGTTGCAGATTTCAAGCTACTCATGCTACTAACATGCGAAATGACACGATTTTTGCTGGAAGCTCGAGAGCCGGCTCGGGAACGAGAGTGAGGGTATGGAAAGGGCTCGGGGAACGGCTGGATTTCGGAGTCATCTTCCAAACCGATTTCTTCAAAATTGGAGGTATCCGCGAAGTTAACATTGATGTCGGCATCGTGAGAAGAAGAATGGAAGGACGATGATTTCGAGGATTTGGATGGGGTGAGGTCGGGAACTGAGCTAGGCGAAGTAAGCGTAGCGGTCGCCATAGCGGACTATCCCTCGGGATTCCTCTTTTTAGGGGGGTAAAGAGAGGGGGAGCACGAGCAAGCCTTGCTGAGTTTTTTGTGATTTGTCACGGTGGGTTGCAAACAATGAAGATTGGAACTAGATTGTGTCGTGTGCGCGATGTTTTGTGCCGAAAAATCGCGCGGCTCCCGAATTCACAAGACTGATGATACGACACCCACCGCAGGACGCTGAGGAAGTCGGCAGAGTCAATTTTGACGTATCTGTTGTTTCTCGCGGGCAGCGCGAAGAGGAGAAAGGGGGAAAGTATTAGACGGTGACTGCAGGAGTCAAAAAGGAGACGTCGTCTACCTGGACGGAGGAGAATAGAGAGAGAGGGGGTGTGGAAGAAAAGAAGAGAGAAAAGCAAAAAGCAAAAGCGGAAAGAAAAAGGAGAGAAACGAATGTACAGCGACAATATACTAGAGGCAGCAAGAAGGAAAGAAAAAAGAACGAACGAACAAGTGCGTAGCCAAGGCAAGTCAACGAAGGAATTCAGTCGGTGGGCGGACGAAAGCAGGCTGAGGTTGAGGCCGAGAACGACGACTTCCGCTTGTTGCGCCATTTCCGAAATGGGCAAGAACTTGTTGGCTGTCGGAGGAAGCTGCCGCTTGGCGTGGTGCCTGAGGCCGCCGCACTTTCTTCTTCACTTTTGTTCCTTTTTTTAACGTCTGCAAACAACATGCGCGCCGCATGCAGCACCGTCCTACTAGTCCTAGAGCGTCTCGACAGTCAACGCACACCGGCCGGCCTATTGATCAGTGGCAGATATATTATCGCACATCATATTATATTGATGTGCTGCAGCCACACTCTCAGCAATAATATTGAGGCCGTATGGGGATCTACATAGTCGGTCTAGGCCCCCCTGCTGCGGTGCTGTGGCGCAGTATGGCTAGATCAGTACGCCCTTGCTTGTTGTTCTACGGCGCATTAAGCTCACTAGGTATGGGTCTCGAGGTCCTGGAATGTCAGATTAGGTGCATCTACATGGGTGCTATGCCAGATATATTATTATTAAAGGATGTGTTATATACATATTACACAATTGCTATCCCTATGAGTACCAGCGCCCATTAATACATCCATGGATTATATACACAAACATGACGCGATCAAATGGTATCTAGAACACGAGCCAGTCCGTACAAACATACAAACATACAATACATAGCCATTCCGTCCGTCCTAAGCAACAGAAAGCAAACGCCCTACCCGAAAAAGAACTTTACCAAGTCATATGAAAATATATTTATATATATATATATGTGTGTGTGTGTGTGTGTACTCATGCGAATCCATGCAGTCCACACGTTTCCTCGTTGACCTCGCTCTTGTTGCGGCTAACCTCGCAAACCTGCTTGAACCAATTGACACGGCAATCCTCGCCATTCAACCAGTATGCAAGCGGCGTCAGTTTATTCGCCTGGCAGCCATGACACTTGTCGCTATCGGGGCAATTGCTAAACACACTGTGCTGGTATCCAATATCCCGGAACCAGTGTATCTGCTCGTTGGGCGCGAAAAGCCCCAGCGCAACGCTGTGCACAGGTGCGTCGCCCCATCGCTCATAGAAGAAATTTCCCGTTTGGTCGAGGTGGTTAAAATAATCGGTGTAGGTTTTGGAGCGCCAGAAATCCAAGTCGCCAACCTCGAAGTTGCTCCAGAAATGACATGTGCTGTAGCCATTAGCGATTTTCGTGATGGCAGGCCGCGCATCCGAGTCTGTGAGCCAGTGGTAGGAATTCTCGTGGCTGCCGAGAGCATACTCTGGGTGTGACTCGAGGAAGTCCGTAGTTGTTGGCCAGAGAGTGGGGATGGATTTGGGGTCATCGTAAATGTTGATAGTGAAGCCATAGGTTTTGTTATTTTCAGCCATGAATTGAAATACGTCGTATTCGATATCGCAGAAAAACCTGTCAAGAAATTAGTTCTCGTTACCAAAAGTAGCAGGAACGGAAGCGGCATACTTGACATCGGGTTCGACGCGCCAATAATACTTATATTTGTCTAATGCAGGATGGCGAAAAAAGAAGCCAGAGTACCATCGGCACATTTTATGGTAACTCAGTTGAGTGGCATGTTGGACCCCGTCACTGGCCATTTGTAGGAATGCTTCCTCCATGCGCGCTTGATCGATCCATTCGGGCACATCCCAATGTTCTCTCGGTATGAGTTCTAGTGCGTAGGGTCGTTAATCTTTGGCTTTTCCTGCTCGAGAAAAATAACAGGCATGATTTACCATATGTACATGGCGCGTTAGTCTCCGCCTGTGTCTTCTCCTTAAATTCCGTCGTGAACGGGACATCATTGAAGAAGATCCATGGATACTGAAATTTCGCATTAAAAGACTTCTCCATGTACCTCATCGACGATATAATGCCATCGAGTTCGGAATTGCGGACGAGTGAAATAAGCGCAGCATTTGCACGCGGACTGGTCTTGGGGTCTGTAGGAGGTGCTTGATTCATGGCTGCCCAAGAATAATTTCTGTGTTAGACGAACATCACATCCTAAAGAGAAAAGTAGCAACACGTGGAGGTCGAATCATACAGAGATGCATCCGGGCTATTGCCCTATCGCCAGACGATTTGAACCATGAGTCGCGATAGTACACCACCAGAACCAACAAGCACACCAAAGCGCCTATTATGTATCGTTTGAATGATTTGCGTATACTGGGAGAAGGCATGATCGTGTGCCACTTGGGTATCTGTGCGCCTCGATAACATCCAGGGAGATAAGAGTAGAGGGACCCACGATCTCAGATATCAATATCAAACGTTTAATCAAAGAATATATAAAATCATGAGTCGATAGAGACAAGTTCTCCAGAGTAAATATCTTTGCCCCTTTTCCAAGACGTCTCAGGCAACCGAGTTTTGTTGAGATCAGGCAGACTATCGCAAAGACGCCAAGGGTCTATACATCGTCGTTCGCCTGTTGTAATATTCTCGCGCATCCCATTTTTAAGATGAAAAACACGACCAGGCAGATAAAAAAAGAAATCGAGGCTAGCCCCCTACGACTGGTTGAGGACAAAAGTATTTGTTTCTTTTCCAAGCCAAGCCAAGGAAAAAGAAGAAACCAGAGAAAAGCGCATGGTTGTCAAGCTGAAAGACCGCGCTAACCCATTTGCGGGTTAAGAGAACATAACGTGGTTTCCCCCAGTTTGCTACTCTTTGTCTAATCTTTGTTATTGGCAGACCCTTCTCCATTGTGGGGTTGCCGGTGGCAAGCGCGGAGTTTCTTGTTGATCGCTGACTATGATTGGCCATTTGTTGCGCACGGGCGAGCCCTCGTTGCTTTATATAATCAGAGAAGTTGGCTAAGTGGGTCCAGGTACAAAGCAGTTATACTCGGCAGCAGCCAATCGCAGCTGTCCTTACAGCCGCAAACTCTAAATTCAGCCAATCAAAAGTAGCCCCCGTCAGGCAACTTGATTACAGCGACGTGACAAAGTGCGTGTGATATTTACGCGTAAGCAATATGATGATTGAGCAATCAGGCATGAAAATACGCCTAAGTGGTACCGAATTCAGCCCGACGCATCTGGGTTTACTTTTGTTTCTGATATGGTGGCACCAGTCTGACACGTCGCAGAATATGTGATGTGATGTCAGCCGCAGGTCTCGGCTTAACCACTGTCGATGATTTGCTCAGTGACACGTTGCTTCTATCTATTACATAGGACCTGCTGTTTGGCTCTGGATATTCCAGAGCATTGGTTTCATTCTTGCTTAATGTGTTATAGACAATGGCTCTGGGCTTTGGATACATATGTGTGGAAATATATTGAAAGCACTGCCTCATGTAAAGTAATCCCCGGATCGTCGAATATGGAGTTGCACCCAATAAACTTTGACTACTGATGATGGTGATCTCTGAGATGATATCATACATAACCTAGGCTCATGAGATCACATATATATGAAAATAAAAAAAAAATCTTAAAACAAAGATTCTCCTGGCTCGTCTTGTCAGCCACGTATCGTATACTCGGAACTCCATATTGGTATAATGCATGCGGAAGATCTGCGATGTCACCATCGCCCCTCTTCCCTAGGTAGTAGTTAGCCCATATCCCTCTAATACCATTCCTCTCTCGCACGAGATAGAGGATTTAGGCAGGAAAGGAATAAAAAAAGAAGTTGATCAAAGGGACCGGTAAATTGCAAGGCACCAGCGCTGGAGAACTTAAGTACGGATTAAACTCATTTCTCCAGTTGTAGTATGTTGTGGTGTAGTATCATAAGTATATAGACATATACCTAGGTATAACGCTTGTGCTACCTAGGTACTGACCATTACTTTGCACGCTGAACTATCACAAGGAACCTTATGGTGTTTGATACATACTCCGTAGAAGCTTGCTTGGAGATGTAAATATTCCTCGTTGCAATTTCTGTTGGCGACAGGAAACAGGGCAGATCTATGAAGAATTATCCTAATTGCTTGGACCATCTCACGCTGAGAATGAACCCCTCCTAGCGTGCCCTAAGCCCTAAGCCCTACCTAAGTACTACATAGTGAACAGAAGTACCTCGGCGATGTCGGACATGGACTGTACAGCCGAACGCCAAGAATACACTTCCGTACGAAAATTGGCAGAAGTCAAAAATTACGTGACAATACGCTTACATCATTATTTGCCAATCACGGGATCGCAAACTTGCGATCTCTTTCCTTTCAGTACGGCACAGGCAGCGTGTAGGTCAATCTAGAGGCTCAAAGGTTCATTGTACTCCGTAGTATGCACCTTTTAGATATCTCTGAGTATATAAGTTGTCAAATCCTAGGTGATGCATCCAAGATACTTGTCATGTGATATGCCATCGACCAGGGTGGAAGAAACTAGCGGATCAATAATAGGCTCGGGAGGTTGGCTCCCTTTCCCAATATGATCACCGAAAGGAGCGACCGTCACCGCGACTTCCCAACCCCCCGCCTCCCCCTCGTGAATAGAACGTCGCAAGCTGCTGGATGGCGAAACATAGAACTTGGATCGAAAAGACGGGGAAGTGCGCATAACTCATATATTTATATATATACTCCATCGTCTTGTGTGGGAAATGGCGCTGGAACAAACGCTGGAGGCGCCGGGGTTAAATATTCCGAAGGATTTCCTCGGCACGGTTGCGCATTTTCTAGCGTCCTTTTCACCTCAGGGCGTATCCAGTTCGTAACAGCGCGTAATCCCTCAGCTTGACAGCAAATAAATACGGTGTATTCGTGTGTAACAGCCATCCGAGAGACCCGCGACCAAGATTCCAGGCAAATAACGGATCCACAATCCGACGCAGCCGTGAGGTCACGGTTGTCACAGCGACCGGTAGAGCACGGTCAAAACGAAGGTAGCTGCGCGGAAAATTTTTTTCAGAGGGGTCACCTATATACTACACTCGCCTGTACAGAGTAGAGTATCCAGCAATTGCTTACTACTGCTCCAGACTACACGCAATTGAGCTGCGTACGCCAAAGACGAGAAGAAGACAGCGTAAGGAGTGTGTTCGGACAGTGGGAAATGGTACCCACTCGTGCAGCCGAATTGAGTACTTGCCGTGGGTCAGCTCGGAATACCGACGGGGACGCTTGCTGGCAAAGCGGCCAACCAGAGCAGCAACTGCAGTGGGGGCACACTACTTGATCCGATAAGAGTTGATCGGATAGCCCAAGGGAGTGTCTCATTGGGTGATTGCAGTGGGTCGGGACAGGGCAAACCTTTGGTTTGGTGCGAGCTCTGACCCACATTGATCTTCTAGCCTCGCACTAAGAGAGCTCCCTTCCGAAACGGGCTACGCGCGACTGACCTCAGAAATTTCGACTCTCTCTTCTCTCTGCGCAGCACAACGCGAGGAATGGAGCACAGAGCAGAGAGGCAGCTTCAATTGACCCCCAATGGACATTCACTGGACATTGGAAGGCAATTGCGTGGGCGTGATGAACACAGGTATAAAGCCCGGGAGTCTCCTCTCGAATAGCTTCGTTTGTGTTTGTGGCTCCAGTTTCCATCGTCACCCACGGCCCCATCAATACGCGCCGGATGCTCCGTATGTAAAGTAGCCAGGTATTTATTACGCCTCCGTACGGCGCTCGCCATACCCGATTCAACCCGAGCGCAACCCATACTGTAACCGCCCGTACACAGGCAGCGCTGGAGTTACCCACCCGTAATTTTTCTTAGTCAGGCCACAGTAGCAAGTCCCTTCCTTCCCTCCCTTTTTCTTCCGTGGCTGGAAAAAAAACGCTCCTATTTTTTTCTCGTCATCAACAAAACCCATTCTTCCTTTCTCTTCTTTCTCCCCTTCCATCTCCAATCATCCCTCGTCTTCTTCCCTCCTCATCTCTCCTCTCAATTTCCATCAGAGAAATCATTCTCTCGACCTCACATACCTACACAATGGCCTCCAAGATGTTCGCCTCCCGAATGGCCACCATGGCCTCTTCCAACGTCGCTCGCTCGACCGTCCGCAGCCAGTTCGCTGCTGTCCCCAAGCGTACCTTCACCAACGCCGTCCGTCCTCAGGGCCAGCGCTTCGCTGCTCCCAACGCCTTCCAGGCCTCCAAGCGCACCATCCCTGCCACCGTCGCTCGCCAGGCTTTCCAGGCCCAGGCTCGCCGTGGCTACTCCTCTGAGATCGCCAACGCTCTCGTCGAGGTCTCTCAGAACATTGGTATGGGCTCTGCTGCCATTGGTCTTGCTGGTGCCGGTGCCGGTATCGGTCTCGTCTTCGCTGCTCTGTTGAACGCCGTTGCCCGCAACCCTTCTCTCCGTGGTACCCTCTTCGGTTACGCCATTTTGGGTTTCGCTTTCGTCGAAGCCATTGGTCTTTTCGATCTCATGATTGCCATGATGGCCAAGTTCCTGTAAACTACTATTTCAACTCGGATCTAAATTGATCTTCTTGCACCTTTTACACGCCACTTGATACTTTTCTTCGACAAAAACGGAGCCCAAAATCGATCAACTTGTTTTTTGTTTGTTTTACTTGGACGACGACTTTTCGATTCGATAGGGATTTTTTTGGACTACAACAGGAACGACCACGTGGTTTGAACAAAAATTCTTATTGCCAGATCGATCGCTCTCAGCAATGAGACCGGAAATATTCGAAAACGTCTATTTCCATCTTTTTTTCTTTTGTTTTTTCTATAAGAGAGAGAGAGGACTTTTCATCTAGAGAGGTATAGAAAGGAGGGAGATATTTTTAGAAAGACAAAGAAAAGAAATGGTGATAGAAAGGTTTCGTTTCATACATGACAAAAAAATTCTCACAAAAAAAAAAGCACGACAAATTCTCAAAGTTGGAAGAAAAACCCGATTTTGGCGTGGGTGTATCAGTGTATTATCCATCCTGTGTACTACTTATTTAGCATCACTCATCATCATCTCATTATTTTATCATACATTTTTCCTTTGTTGAATTCTTCCTTTTCTTCTCTTATCTTATAGTGTCCTCGATTAGGCATCTTTGTATAGTATTTCACTCACTATGGAGTGGGTTGAGGAGCTTTACCCAACGCTTTGTCATATTCCGTAGCTAGAGGAGGGACTCGAAGAATCCGGGGTAAAGCAATACCAAACCCCGGGCGAAAACAAACAGAAGGCCTGAAGGCTGAAGCGCAGCTAATTGCCCAATTCAGACATTGGACTCTTACTTCCATTGGATGCAGGGAATGAGCGCGTTTGATTGGTTGTTAGAGCTATCTATGCTAGACGACGCATGTAAGTAGTACACCTACCTTCTGAGTAGTATATTTGATTTGATTAGATCAATCTTGAGTATTCTGTGAAAATGTCCATTCATGGTAAATGCCTAGATACCTATGTTTATATTATCACCGGCTTAGGTTCAGGGATGTTCCAACTATTTGAAGGCCGACAAACGGAGTACGTAATTTTGCCTTATTCCCGAATATTACGAGCGTATCGCATACCTAGGTACCCTCTTTCTATATATAGTAATTAACTAGTTTTATACAGTCCCAGTACTAGCGACTGGATACTTACTGGCAGATATACAAGATAAGGGCTTGCTGGTCGTCATAGTTGAGGGACTCAAGCGTTAGTAAACCAATAATCTGCTGATGGTTACAAAGACAAAAGGATCATGCATTGCGCGGTTAATATTATTTAGAGGGACTCGCCTGAAGAATCAGCTATTATGATCCAATAGTTTAAGGAAGCATATCTTTTCAATGAGTCGGTTTTGCTGGAAAGGGCAGTTATAGCATATTCATTGGTTTATACCTCGCTAAATACTATATGCAGGAGAATCGAAAGACTGTTTCATAATTTATATTTTGGAAACCAGTCTCGCGTATCCGATGCCTATGTACCCTACATTCGCAACATATGACTGGCTAGCTTCATTTACACGTTCCTAGAGAATATAGGTACTCGCTTTCCATCCACATGCATTTGTTCCAATGAGCCACCATTGATGACATCTTAGATTAATTAGCCGTTGATATATAAGCCTTTCGTAACTTCATAGACCAGCATCCGTCCTGCTCATTAATTCCATCTTGTATCCAGAACCTTACTGAATCATCTCTTGATATCTCGCCCCTGAACACCATGGCACCAGTTGATCCATTAACGGTCCAACATGGCACCCGCCTAGTCGCTCAAGTTAGAGTTGTTGTCCATACCTTGGATGCTGCTGGGGCTACTATAAGCGATAACCATTGGTCTATCTATCTGGTTCTTGCAGACAATATTGGCTCTATTAGCATCAATATGAGGGCAGAGTAAAGCTTTCCATTTGCCCTTAGCCTCTAAATTAAATGCTATTGTGCGTACTTATGGACAATTGTGAAATATGGGTGGAATTGCTGTTATAACGTGTCTTAGGTCAATCGAAGGACTTAACATGCAAATTGCATGACTCAAAAGCCATTCACAAGGTGCTGCAAGTGGAATGAAAACCAGCTTTACAGACAGTCACGTGATCTGCGAAGCTCTGCTACATGGCAGATCACGTGACTAATGGGGGTAATAAAGCCATAAAAGCACCAATATTAGCAGAACCTTTGTAGGATATCTAACAAGCACTTTTTTTACTATTAGATAAAAGCAGTTTGATGTTACATAAAGCTATAAATAATATATATTTTGAACAAATTAAGTGTTATAATAATGTGCGTATGCATATGTTCGCTCGCATAAAGCGGCGTGCCGCGCACACTAATCCAGAAATCAAAACCACCCACGATCTCTCATAGGTAGAATAATTGACAGGCACTATTCCTGTCTAGGTAGGCACAAGGGACCCGCTCTGTCTGCCTTCTGATTGGCTGTTGAGTTCTTACTTATCGTGACATCCAGAGCCTGAGGCCACCACGCAAACACCACCCACTTACGGACAACAAAATGCAGAAATTCACGATCACAGAGGTATCTGTTCTCGAGAATGCATTTAATTCGCTGTAATGAAATACTAACTCGAAACCCAAGCCGTTTCTCGACTCCAAATGCGGTCTTTCCGAGGGCCCTTTCTACGAAGAAGCGACCAATACCTTGCGCTTCATCGACATCGCCAAGCGGCATGTCTGGTGGGTTGATTTAAACGAGGGCGCATCCTCGGCGAGGAAGATTGAATATGACATTTCATTCGGGTGAGAAGATTGTCTCTCTGGACTCGGCATTCGTTTCAGATTGATGGATGAATATTGATATCACAGCTTCTTAATACAGTGTCACGGCCAATCTGCAGTCAGAAACGGATACTTTCCTATTTGGCGGAAAACATGGCATCGGCATTGCAAAGCGCGACAGCAGTGAATACAAATACATCCAGCGCTTCTGGAACGAAGCCGAAATCGCTAAGGATTATGAGAATATTATGCGCGGCAACGATGGCGCGGTTGATAGCCAGGGCCGTTTTTGGGTCGGTGCCATGAACGACCCGGCGGTCACGAATGGAAAGTTTGATCCTGTCGGTTCGTCAACCTCTGCGCAGGAAGAACTTGGTCAAAGATTGGATCGCTAAAGTGATGCATACATATACAGGTATTCTCTTCCGTTTCGATACAGACGGCTCATTGCATCGTGTTCTTGAAAATGTGACTATCCCCAATGGCCTCTCGTTTAGCCTAGATGATAAAACCATGTATTGGACTGATAGTCCTACGGGCAACATCTATGCCTTCGACTACGATGCGGCGACGGGAAAGATCTCTAATCAGCGCGTCTTTTGGCATTCTGAAATTGGTGGCCCGGATGGCCATGCAATGGATGCTGAGGGTAATTTGTGGGTTGCTCTGTGGGGAGGTTGGAAGGTTGTTAGGGTTTCACCCGAGGGAAAAGTCACTGCTGAGATTGAGGTGCCCACGAGATGTCCCACGGTGAGTGTCTTACTTTCTTCTCATATACATAATGTATGACAAATTGCTGATTATGTTACAAGGCCGTCGTCTTTGTCGGCGAGGATGTCTACATCACAAGTGAACAAGACCCCGAAGCAGACAAGTATCCCGAGTCGGCTAGGTGGCACGGAGGTGTCTTCAAGTGCCATGTTGGCATTAGAGGAAGAAAGCTCTTTGATGCTAAAATTACCGCCAATTGAGATGAACATAGACCAATCTTCAGTGTTTATATTAAAGTTAAGACATAGACCTGTGCCACATAGACCTGTGCCGTATATACCGCGGGACCGAATATATGATTGAATATACACTGTACAAACAAAGCACTCCTACAATTTTTGCTGCACAGCTTTGTAGATTGCCTCGACGTATTGTTGCGTGCGCTCACTTCCTGTGTACCCCTCTTGACCCATCTTATTCATCGCATAGCCAATAACCAGCTGTTTCTCGAAGTCGATGAGAAGGATTGATCCACCCCATCCTGTCCAGAAAATGACCCTGCCTTCTGGTATATAAGGCGTAGTATCAGGATGCGATAGGCCGAACCCAATGCCCCAACAAATGGGCACTAGAGTCACCACGTCAGTTCCTTTATACTGTATCTCCAAGATCCTGTCTATCGTTTGTTGCAATAGCAGACGCTGCTTCCTGTCCGCGACCAAGGCAGAGAAGATACGACCGATCGCCCGAGCATTCATATGTCCATTAATCGCGCCAATCTGAGCACGTGGAAAGCCTGGTGTATTTGGTGCGGTTGAGCTGTTGAGCGCAAACGCCACCGTCTTCATCATGACTCCTTCGGGATCCACGGCACCGAACATGCTTGTGTCGAGAGTCGGTGGAGGAATGATTTCCGCAACACGGTGCCAGTCAGACTCGCGAGCTCCAACCTGGTAATCGGCGTCTAATGGACGTGCAATCTCGTCTTGGACAAAGTCGCGAAGGCTCTTGCCACTGACGCGGCGTACGATTTCGCCAACTAAATGGCCATAGCTGACGGCATGATAACCTGATATAGTGCCTGGTCTAGATGACAAAATTTAGTTCTGACAAGAGAAAAACTGGACATTGTTCGTTCTTTCTTACCGGCTCCGAAATCAGAGATCTTCACGCTCATATCCGGCGTGAGGTTGGTATATTGAAGAAGGGATTCGCCGATGACCAGATAGCGCGGAGCCCATCTGTCTGGCTTGCCATCTAGTCGCCGAAGGGGCTACGTAATTTTGGATTTGTCTTCTGGAGTTCGGTTTCTTTTACCGAACGTAGATCTGGACGAAGAGAAACAAGGAGATTTCCCGGCTGGAACTCGCCGTGAACGATGCCGTTTCTGTGAAGAAATGATAAACTAGATAAGGAGTCCTACATAAATAGGCCAAGCATAGACATACATCCTGTCAAAAGCGAGTCAAACTGTAGCAAATGAACCATGGTCTAGTTCTCGAGTAATACGGTAGTGGCCCTATTGAATTGAGTCTCCAAGATGCACCGGATGAAACCTTCCAGGGTGGTACAGCTCAGCCCCTTCGCCTGTCTCCTGGAACCTTCCCTCATCTCTAAATAGAGGAGTAGACGTTGCGAATATCTTTGAGCATAGCCAAGAATGAGCGGGTTGATCAAGTATGGGATATACTATGACGAAGTAGCTGTTTCTTTGGAGGACGTTCAATCTGAGATGACTAGTGGAGAAGTGCCCCTCCACTAGATACCACTTCTCAACTAACCGCCATTTCATACAAGTGCCTCTCAAAAGGCAGCCATAATGACTTATGACTCATCGCCCATGGACTGGCATCATTACGTCTTACTGGCAACACAAATAAACAACAAACGAACAAGATAACAGAGGAAGAAAAAACGAAAAAAATGCGACAATCATTCAAGATTGAACCCGCCATATTTCCTCGCGACAAACAAGCCATAACCCAACTCTTTACTGCATACACCGAGGCGCTAGGCCTTGACTTGACGTTCCAAGACTATGAAACCGAGATCAACTCACTGCCCGGAAAATACGCACCAGACCGTTGGGGATGTCTGCTTGTTGCTCGCATAGACAATAACGACACAAAAGCTGGCATGGTCGATGACAGAGAGCTGCTAGGTTGCGTCGCCTATCGCGCATTACCCCCGTCTCCTTTCGATGCAGACGAAAGATACTGCGAGATGAAAAGATTGTACGTTACCCCACAGGCACGCGGCAGTGGCATGGGCACAAAACTTGTAGAAACGATCATCCAGCACGCAAAATCGACGCGGTTGTATCGAGGAATGAGGCTGGATACGCTTCCTTCAACGTATATGGCGAGTGCGAGGGCATTGTATAAGAGATATGGCTTTGTGGAAATCGAGGGGTATTACGAGACGCCAATTGAGAGCACTATTTTCATGGAGTTGAAGTTTTAGCATATACATGCTAATATACATTCTTCGTCATCCCTTTTCGCACATTGTTGATGATCAGGCATGCTCGCACTGGCACAGTGGTAGTGGGTTGCCTATTCTTCCTTTTTGATTGACGCCTTACTGAAAAGCGGCCAATTGCAATGAAAATGATTTTCCACTCAAAAAGACCAGAACCATTGCCACTGACAGTTTCGGAAATAGTATTAGTGATCAAGCCTCTAACAATTTGTCACCAACCATTGGAACTAATCTAGATCACAGTGTGTAGATTGTGTTCCTTGATCGTATAACACTGCGATGAAAGAAGCGCAAAGCCTGGCATACTGGTAGCTTCAAACATCTCTAGAAAGAAACAAACTGCCATGGCGCCGGAAAAGTTGGTTAAAGTGGCAGAGAGTGCTAGAGCGCCTCCCCAAGTAGTAACACAGAAAGAAGAGTACTTAGCAAGAGAAAGGACCTGAAGCAAACGAAAGGTAGGATACTGGTGGATATTTTCCAGTGTAAGCAGTTCCACTTTTGATCTTTACTTCTTCAATTGTACTTAGCACGCCTCCCAAATAAAAAACCGAGATAGAGGATAGACCCAAACCACTAATATCATCTCCAACCAAATACATATCCTCCTTGATGCCCATGATATTAGCATCAGCGAAAATTTGTACATAGTCTATCTCTGTTGGTGAGATGATATCTAGGGACAGTGTGGCCGAAATAAGGTCAAGAACCTTTCCTGCTTCCATTGGAGCCTTCGCGATTTCTTTTTGGGGCGGAGTAATATTGATGAGGAAATCCTGCGGATAACCGTGGAAAATTCAAACCTCGATGCAGGCACATAACGAGAAGAAATGCAGTATATAAATAAGTGTATTGGGACTGTCATCACGTGACGTCTAGAAGCCTAAAATCGGGGTAGCCAAGAATCCGGGGAAAGCGGGCCGCCGCCGAAGAGAAAATATCCGCTTTGGGAAAGGCGCGGGGTGTAACTGACGGCCTTGTACGCAGCATCTCCGCGTATGGGCCGAGATGGCCGACCGATAGAAACTGTGGATATCTGCATTTGAAAAATACTATGTACTGGAGTATATTTCAGATGTAGTAGCGTACTGGCTATCCATTTCTCCGAACTATATTGTAATACTTGCCGATTTTCTTCGCATTTATCTGGCGACCCCTCACATGACAGGAAGAGAAAACCTGTAAACGTGGAGATGCACTTACGAGCCGACTTTGCAGATACACAAGTAATAGGTTGGGTAGGCACTGTACAGCAAGAGTTATATACCCAAATCATTCGCGCAGTCGCACTGCCCTCCGCATAAACCGCAGTCATGACAGAATTGAGGGAATGGTTACTCTAATACTTCCTCAGTTTCCAAACAACGCCGTTTGTGTTCGCATGATAGACACCACATCTGTCGTGTCTCCACATGCGGAGGGGTTTGTGGTCTCGTTATGCCCGGTCACGAAATCATGAGCATGATGACCATGGCATTTCTAATTGAAATGAGCGATTGGGGAAGAAAGCGATATTTGACTTGGCCACACGCAAAGACTATTGAAATTCGCCTCCTATGACACTTCAACGGATCAAGGATACTATTCCTAATGGTCGGATCGAGCAGGACGTGATTGAAATTCTACAAGAAAAGGGCGTGAGCCTTAGTGTATCAGTGTACATTACTCTGATACTCAAGAATAAGTAATAACTAGCGTTGATTTAATGACTAAAAAGAAGATCCCTAGAAAATATCACATCGTACAGTCACTGGAATCATATAGGTAGCCCTGATTCGTCCCCTCCATTCACTAGTTTTCCCATAGGCCTGGTGGTGAGAAGTCTCTAATGCCTACATGTAGTTTATGTAGTTAGCTCCTTGTATATCTGCATACAAGTATTGGGGCACTAAGCTAGGTAATACCTTGTCAAATGAATTTTCAGTTTACGCATTTAGCCCGGTCCTTGATTCCTGCTGCCACCTGTTCGCGAGTTGGCGGTACCTGGACTTTCTTTGAGGGGTCTTTTGGGTTGGGCCCCTCAGAACCATCCAATTCAAAAGCGATAGAAAAACCGAGAACCCTGAATTGGTATCTGCCATCTGAGGTTGCTATTGTTTCGGTGTGGAATATTCCTGCACTGGTCGTCTTTCCATCCCCGTGTACTCTGTTCCATGCTCCTGTAGGAGACCAGAAAATTGTGAGATTGTCGGCTTTCATATTGTCGGCATAATCCTTCACAGTGGTATTCGAAGGGTGCTTGCCTCCACCTTTTCTAGGCTAAAGTGCGAATGTTATTCTTCACGCTAGATAACATGTTGAAGTCGGGTGAGATGCTGGATGGGATCGGTTTATGCAAGTTTTTGGCAGCTGCGAGACTGATAGAAAGAAATGATGTTCATGAAGAGACCATAAAATGGATTCGTGACTCTCATTTATACCTCTACACCGGCCCTGGAGGAGTGGAGACCCCCATAGACGATGATATAATTATATGCTAAACAAACCTGAAATAGATAACCATGAGATATTTCATAATAAAGAAGTTGTATGTACATGAATCTTCGACGTTTACTTGTCCAGCCGACAAGCTGAAGTCCTTCCGATATGGAGCCCTCGTCTATCTGTCCCAAAAGGGAAAGCAGCTAAAAGAGGTTAATCGGCGGGCAACCAATCAGCTTGCTCGATTTCTGCCTCGGGCGTCTATTTGTCCCGAAAGGGGATAGTGCTTAGGCTTACATCAGACTCATCAGTTCATTTGACTAACTTACTCCGTTCCTTCTTTTCTCTTGTCGAAGTTGTATAAGCAGGTTTCTAACAAGGCAAATGGATGAAGGCGAGATTTCTCTTAATTCCACCGCCGATAAGCGGGCAAAGCGGTTTCACACCCGAAGTCGCACTGGATGTGTCACCTGCAGGCAACGCCATATTCGATGCGACGAGAAACTCCCCATGTGGTAAGTTGGCTTGAGTTAATATTTTCAAAAAAGGCCGTGTTAGGATGTGATGCTATATTTGGCCGGCTGGAGAAGACATTTAGACTGAAATTAGAGCCAAATAGTGCAAACTGCATCAGTAGTAAGAGATCATGCCACTATACACACACCAATATCCCTCTACGCGATCGGCGAGCGGTGAAACGTCCTGGGGAACAGGCCCCATGGTCTACTCGAAGCTTCTTGACAAGTCAGTCTTCGCCGTCCTCATCCCTATCTATCTTACCGGCGGTTAGTCCGACCTGGCGGAAGAGTATGACTCCTTCGTCATCCTTCAAGTTCGCGCTTGGAGAAACCCTAGATCCATTTGATAGCATGAATATCAAAATGCCATTTAGATCGAAAGAACTCTTGCAGTACTGTGAGTCCATGAAAGAGAAAGAATCAGGATTGGGAGTCCCTCCGAATAGCCTTCCTCAATTGTATCTCTGACAGTACTCGACTAGTCTATCATACGGGCTCTTCCTTTGGCAATATGCCAGGAATTCAAAAATTGTTCGTATATATCCCTGATACCCAGAATTGAGTAGGTGTGGTAACTGTGGTGAACTAATCATAAATGGGAATACTAAATTAGTGTCACTGCAAATATGGATGACCCATACGTTTTTCGCAACATCCTTCTCATTGCTGGACTCCACTATGCCTGGAACGTTGGCAATTTGTCATCTTTTGACTCGACGTTCCTTTTCCACAAGGTCCAGAGTATCCGAACCATCAATACGTGGATTGAAAATCGTACCTCGTCAAGCCTAACGCTCTGTGTGAGGCACATCGCCACTCTATGCGTGGTAGAAGTAGGCACGCCACTATCATCTCCCTACTTATCCAAATACTAAGACCTATAGTGCTGCCTTGGCAATTTTTCGACCGCGGAGACACACTTGGATGGCCTCATGCTACTATTGGACTCCAAGGAAGCCTATGGAACGATTCCGAGCACCCCAAAAGAGGATTTGGATGAAGAATTTACTGAAAGGTATCTGATAATGTAAGTACACTGCTTAAACCTCTTAACTGCCTACTGTGTTCGTCAAGATGCTCACTAAAGTTATAGGGCTTTTAATCTCGTTCACAGTCTGAAAAGCCGCTTTGACGACTTTGTGATATCGACTCTCAATCCGACCCTATATAGCAGGCACATGGACCCTAAAGAAATTGCCCATCTCATTCATCAATGGCATACCCAAGAGGTTACTGGAATTTTGCCCCGCCTTAGGGCGATGAATCTGTTTCCTTCCTTTTTAAGCCCCATCTCTCCAGAAGTGCAAATAAAAAAGATCGACGTCCAGCCAATCCTCGGTTGTATGCAGGAAATTACAGACGCGTTTGAATTGCGTTACTCTGAGCTCTATTATGGCACTGGCTGTGCCTTACCATACCATCTGTGGGCTTCTGGTGGTCCGTCAAAGCTACTATCGGCCGTAATTGGTGCTCACATAAGCTCGATCACGGCTCATACCAATGAAAATTTACGATCCTCGGAAGGCATCAAGTCCTCGTGGACCGGCATCTGCGTCGCTGTGGGATTGTACCTGACTAGTGTACTCGGCGTTTGGAATCAGGGCTACCCGGCTGAGAATCGGCTCCTACACCATATCCTGCGCATTTTGAGACACGATCTTGAAGATAGTCTCGCTGAAGTTATGATAAATGGCACAGCTGCACAAGACTTATGGCTCTGGAAAGCGTTTCTTGGAGCGTTAAGTTTGGCTCATGTCGTTACCGCGGCAGGCGTTGGGGTCTGCGATGCAAGACTTTGGAATCTCGTACCAGACTTTAACCACTATATCCAGATTTGGGCTGGAACCACGCGAATCAGCATGTGGCAAAATGCTAGACATAGATTAGAGAATATTGTTTTTCCTACACACTTTCAGCGGGAGGGCCTCGCGAAGGAATTATGGAATCGGGCATTATCGGCATCGTGAATGTCTACCTCAGAGAACAATTACGATTATGGTCTCTTAAAATAAAATGGATAGTCATGACACTCTTATATAGGTATAACATATAGACCAAATCTACTAAATTATAATACAACGAGTGTTTCTCAATAAAGAAAGAATGAGCAGAGAGGTAAGCATTCGCAGTGGCTTATACTAACTACTCAATAAATTCGTAGTATGAATCATGAATTAATGAGCAAGCATATGGCACTTGGTGAATAAATGACACATATCAAACATCAATCAGTAAGCGACAAATGATAATCATGAAAGTGTATACAAGAATGAAGAAGAGATGCTTTCCTTGGTACGGAATTAGCTGATCTGTTTATACTGCTTACTTTGACGTATGACGAACTACGATACCTGATGTGATGAACAAATAATTTGCTGATATGCCTAAATATATCGTAACGTTTTCCCCTTTGAAATTAGGCAAATCTCATCACAGAATCATCTACCGTGGCTCACACCTTTCTCTTCTCAATAATAGCTCCCCCAAGATCAACTCACAATTTGAACCTGCTTAGAAAATCCCATTCCACTTAATATTGAGATATGGGCGTCTCATTATTCATATCCCCTGACTAACAGCAATAATGATTGAAATCTGAATCAACACAGATGGGTTATGAGGCTCTGACAACACAGCATGTAGATGAGCTTTTAATTCCTCCTTGGTACGGATTTTGGCGTGATACTACATTATATCTATTATTAGACGTCCTCAAATTGGATTACGCATCACGAATACCGCCACGGGCCTTTCATACTCTTTCTTCATATTCAGGTCTCCAGAGGTATTTTCAGCAATACAGTTCCACCCAGCGTTTCCGTCTCTTATCAGAGGACAAGCCACATGGAAACACACATCGGAAGAATAAATCAATTATTGATGTGATGGAACAAGACATTTGTCTGGACAATGCGTTACACTACAGCGGCTACGATGGAAATCTCGGTGTCTTCATTGGCATTCCAGAAGCCAACCCCGACTGTATACCTGACTCTTGTATGTATGTCCTACCTAGAGAGTCATCCGCCCTTCAACCATACCTGCGACGTCCAGCATCCGCTTCGAGCGGTCCTGCACCGAACGAAGTCATTGCCCACCAGTGTGATTGCCCAGACGGTATGCAGCTAGATGAGTACAAAGCCTTATCTCATCTCCCTTTGGGAACTCGGATTCAGTGGTCAAATATCTTAGCTCAACTAGTCATGCCAGCTGTGAACTTCAAGAGATGTGAGACAACTCTGTTCATCCTCCAAGTCATATACCAAGCCGGGCCCTCCGGTGTGAATGTTCTTCGAGAAGGGCATCGAATAATTGAGAAAAGCCAATTTCACTCGAAAGCTTATCTCAAGAATTCGCGAAATGACTGAATCCATCAAGGAAAATTGGGAGGGATACCACGTCTTACATACCTTGATATCTCTTACCGCCCGTGTCTTGAGTTTGACTTCCAACAACTTTCAGGATGACTGCTTGAAAGTCTTGCTTGATCTGAGACAAATATCTCTGTCTTGGATCAAAACTCTGAAACAGAAAGTCCAGGACTCCATCGTGGACACCCACAGACAAGAGTTATCGAAGAAAGCAGTGCTCATAGCATTGATTTGTATGTCTTCTTTTGATGTGGATCCAGCACATCTACATGCTGTGCTATCAGAGCCTCATAACCTATCTGTGTTGATTCAGATTTCAATTATCATTGAAGAAGACCGCAATTGTATCACCTCCACGTTGGACCCGCTAGCTTTGATATTGCACGACAACTCGAAGCGGCTATTGCTTCGGACGAGTACCATCATACTTGAATTCATCCATAATATCACGCCCTCTGCTCTCAACCATGCTATACTACAATCGTGGTCGGGATACCCTGGAGGAGCTTCATGGGGAAAGGTTTCGGAGAAAGAAGTTGATTGGCTCTTTACAGAGACGGCACAACAAATTGGAGGGGACTCATTGGCCATACATTATAATATTATTACTGGAGAACTATTGGTAAATGGAGATCGTCTATCGCGCCTATCCACGAAGTATGAGCAACATCCCACATATCGAGTCTTATTCGGCTATTCCTCCTTAGAGATTATGCCAAGCGGTTTGCCAGGCATGAGATACTCGACCAAGAAAGATTTCGCCGAGCACACTGTGCACTTCGGTCTCTCAAGCGAAACCTCGGCTGAGTACGACCTCGTGATCCACGCTATCCACGAAAATCAAACCCTGGAACTAGTGCCATCAAGATTGGAGTTGCCTAATCGGATACATGTGACACATTTGGCATCTACATCAACCATTGAAATCGACCTCCCTCTCCTCAACCTTTCTTTTAACAGACCGAAGTCTGGCCAGAAGATCCAGTCCAGGCAGTTTCGTGGGTTTTCCATTGGTGAACACCAAGGTTGTGGCACTTTGATGAATTTTCAGAACAAGCTTGTTCTGACACACGAGGAAGATGAGCACGAACTAGTCCTCCTTTTGGAAGGGCAGTTGAACACTACAAAGACTGATGATCATATAGTTGTTCGTGTGAATCAGCTTGCTGCTCGCAAAGTACATGCATATCACATTGATCGATCTCTTGGCCGATTACTTGATAACGGAAATCTCCAGAGCAAGCTTGTTCTGTCTCTGCTACATGGATTAACCTCTTTTTGCTTGCCTGATCCCCTGACCAGAATGACAGGCACGGAACAAGCCCTTTTAATTTTAGCTTCTGAATCAGTATCTTCTTTTGACGCTTATACAGAGGAAAATGTGCAAATATTAGAAGAAATTGCTTGTCTATCTCCGTCACGGGAGTATTATCCTGAACATTCCCAAGAGATGCAAAGGGTACGTTGGAGACCTAATCTGGGGTTTATGTCCCAACACGGAGCCTTTTTCAAAAAGGTTAAACAACTAGTCGATGAGAGATGCGAAGACGGTTCCTGTGGCCGGAGTCGTGCCCAAAAACACCGAATTTAGGCGCAATGGCAACGAACTTACTAACAAGAGATTTGATCCGCCCTTCGACATTTCGTATATCAGGATTCGGCGCAGAGCTGTCTACAAAATCCTACGACAGGAAGTACGAGGGCCGTGATCTAGATCAGGACTCTGAGTCTGGAAAACGTGTTTTTGTTTCAACGCATCTCACGTATCATGAACGTGGAGAGATATGTGACGCTCTAGAGAGAGGCTCAATATCTGAATTATGGAAGTTTCTCGCCAAATCATCATTGACGTATGGCCAAGAGGAACCATTTCCCTTTCGATATGATGCTTAATTTTTACTAGAGCCGCATAATTCTATCCGTCAATATTGGCTTAGTCTTCATGCTGCCCTTCAAAACAAAACTCCGAGGAATAAGTTCCGCGTCATGCTCTGGTTATCATCATTAGCATTTTCCGAAGAAGCCAACATGCTTGTGATTCAGATCCTGAGTTTGTTTTACACGCTAAAGGATATGCGTCAGGTGTCAATCCCTACGGCTTCCAGATTCTACCTTTCTCGGGGATGTGACTTTAGGAGCTATGAACTAAAAACTTTTATTGAATCTTCTATTCGACCCATGATAGAATGCCCGGAAGGAGACATAACGCAAGGCAGTTATGAAACGCCGTATGAGTTTCAGACGAGAAGGGAAATATCTTATGTGAACAATCAAGAACTAGCTACCGGTGAGTTGATATCAAGGTTACAGTCCATGTGGGTTTCGAGGACAATATCGTGCTTCGATACCTCAAACCTTATCAGGGACTACATCAAAGTGGAAACCGCCATGGGTCCCATTCGCGAGCAATTTCGAATTTAGTACGATAATCATTCATTCTATAACTATCTAATCGACATCAAAAAGGTGGTTGATCGGTGTCCACGAGGCTCATCTGCAGCACCTCGCCTTTGCCAGAGGCAAAGCCCTCAAATTCTACAACGAAATCGGTGCTATGTCAGCATGACTGATATTTTCAGTCTACAAGCCCCAACAATAAACCCCATTACAGAGAGCATTTCAGACTCCATTCTCTCCGAGAGGAATGCTCCTAGTACCTTCACTAACAGTCTAAAGCAATTAGTCGAAGACTTAAGTGCTCATGCAAAATCACCTTATGAAAATGACTACGTCGCATACCTTAGAAAGAGTCTCCAGACACTACAAGAGAACCCTGCACAGGATTTCTCACTGACAGAAGATTCTAGACTAGTTCAGAACTTGAAAGAAAACCTGTTGCATCATCGAAGCCACCTTGCGAGCTTCTATAGTCGAATAGTGTCAGCAGTCAAGCAAGCTGATGCAGTTGTCAATGATACCACTTCCCGCAACAGATACATGAAAATTGTCATGAACGTCGGCCATGGCCCGCGGTTCGGCCCTAGTCATTTGCTAAGATATCTGAGGGCGCAGCTGTGGTCTTCGGTTCCAGGATCATGGCAACATGCTATCGTTAGCTATGGACTTGCATTTTCTGGGACTCAGCGCGCGCATAGTCTGGTTGAGTCTATCGGTAATCGAAAGAAATTAACCAAGGAAATCTGCAATCGAGGACACGAAAATTGGGATCCTGAACGATACACGGATTCTTTGCTTCTGGAACTTGAGAACAATCTCAGAATTCGTAATGTCCAAGAAGAAATTGCTCGTGAAATGAGAGATAGACCGACAGGAGGAAATGCAGTAATGCAACTAAACATAGGCGAGGGAAAATCATTCGTTATTGTACCAATTGTGGCCGCTGCCTTGGCCGATAGCTCTCGCTCAGTGCGCATAATTGTTGCAAAACCTCAATCGAAACAGATGTTCGAGATGCTGATCCTCAAATTGGCCGGGATGCTAGGCAGGCGCATTTACCGTTTACCATTCTCACGTGCACTGAAAATCAATAGTGCACAAGCCCAAGAAATTTTTGAGATGTGTCAAGAATGTATGAAGAATCGTGGCGTTCTTTTGGTGCAACCAGAGCAAATACTCTCTCTGAAATTGATGTGTTTGGAAAGCTTCCGCATAGAAAAGGACGATGTGGGCGAAATACTCTTGAAAACTCAGGCACTGTTCAATCAATATGCAAGAGACATCGTTGATGAAAGTGACGAGAATTTCAGTGTCAAATTTGAACTGATTTATACAAACGGCCAACAACGGCCTGTGCAATTCAGTCCAGATAGGTGGATGGTCATCCATCAAATCCTTGACATGGTGCGGGATCATTTGGCTGCAGTGAAGAGCGAATTCCCTCGCGTTGAAATAGCAAGATGTCCGGTGAGCATTCCCTCGCACCCGTATTGTCGAAATTGGTGCTCAACGTGATTTGATTTCGCGCCTCGCAAAGTCTATTTGCCAGAGAGGTATGGAGCGGTTCCCTATCGCCAGACATCGAAAAGCTGTTATAGATCCAATTTATACCTATATTACCAAGTGGGAACTTAATGAACAAGAGGCCCAAGCGGTTGAAAAAGATTCGACTGAGTTCTGGGGTGAGACGACCCGAGAAATGATGCTTCTTCTACGCGGAATCCTCGCCGGTGGAATACTATCTTTTGCATTCGGTCAAAAACGATGGCGAGTGAACTATGGCTTGACTTCTGCTCGTCAACCTCCTACAAAACTCGCCGTCCCTTATCGTGCAAAGGACAACCCTACCACCCGCTCAGAGTTTAGTCATCCTGATGTCGTGATCCTCTTGACGTCCCTGAGTTACTATTACGCTGGATTGCAGGATGATGATTTGTTTGATGCATTTAATCATCTTTTGAGAGCAGACCAGGCGGATGTGGAGTATCAAATTTGGGTCAGGGATGCAGACTGCTTGCCGAAGGCGTTTCATCAAATAGTTGGTATCAACCTCAAAGATCGATACTTATGCACTGAGAAACTATTTCCTTGCTACCGATTCGCAAAGAGTGTGACCGATTACTTCCTGCGTCACATAGTTTTCCCAAAGGAAATGAAAGGATTCCCGCATAAATTGTCGGCATCCGGGTGGGATTTAGGTCAAATTACAGATCAGCCCACGACTGGATTCAGCGGGACAAATGATTCACGACGTTTACTACCGATCGATGTCAAGCAACTGGACTTGCCTGAACAAATGCACACCAATGCTCTTGTTTTGAACTATCTATTACAGCCGGAAAATGAAGTTGTACAGATCTCATCCGCAGATGGACAGATGATTTCTAAAGCTCAGAGCGTCTTGGCTTTAGCAATGCAACATTCCCCTCCAATTCAAGTTATACTGGACGTTGGTGCGCAAATTCTGGAGCTTAGCAACGTGAAGTTTGCCACGGAATGGCTCAAGCAATCTTCTCACCACACCGTACCGGAAGCCATAGTATTTTTTGACGATGATGACAACCTCTGTGTGGTTGATCGCAAGGGGCGGGTGGAACTTTTGCAAACATCACCCTTTGGAAAACACCTTGACGCACGCTATGTATTCTTAGATGAAGCTCATACCCGAGGTACAGATTTGGAATTGCCTGTAAACTATCGTGCAGCGGTGACCCTTGGTGCCGACATCACAAAAGATCGATTAGTGCAAGGTAAGTGGCTACAAATGAAATGACTGATACTTTTTATTACTAATTTCACATTCATTATACAGCAAGGTATGAGAATGAGAAAGTTGGGACATGGCCAATCAGTGGTTTTCTGCGTTCCAGATGAAATTCAATACAAAATCCGGGAACAAACAGGCAAAGTCAGTCCCGAAAAAATCGACGTCTCTGATGTGCTTAGCTGGGCAATACGAGGGACCTGGGAAGATACGAAAAAGAGCATTCCTCTGTGGGCAGCGCAAGGTGAAAGATTTGTGTCTCATGCGAGACTCTGGGATGAAATAGCTGGCCACAGCGCAATGTCTTCCGAGCAGGCCAAGAGTTTCTTAGAAGAAGAGGCTCAATCTTTGGAGCAGAGGTACCAGCCCGGTTGGAAAACTGACCGGCCAGACCCATCAGAAAAGCTTCAGGGCGATAGCATTTACTCCGAGATTGTGTCCCAATGCAAAGAATTCCACGTTATTGCTCATCACTCTGCAAGAATGAATGAAGAGCAAGAGCGGGAACTGTCACCGGAAGTTCAACAGGAGAGACAGGTACAAAAGCCACCTAGAGCAGATCCTGCCAAGCATTATGTTCATTCCGACTTGAAGCGATTTATTACTTCTGGCATCTTGCTAGATACTTCTTCTGCTTTTCGCCCTGCTTTTGAGGCACTGGCCAGGACCAGTGCAGCAGAGTTCCCACGAGATTTGTTTGTTACTGCTGATTTTTGTGAAACGATCATACCTAGCGATCCATCGTCTTTTCTCTCGGATTGGTACCAGAGATCAGTACAATGGGTCTTGTCAAGTAGAAATGAAGGCACAGACAGCGACAGGTCCACTATCATTAAACAAATGGTGATAATCAGTCCTTTCGAGGCAAATGAGCTCTATGATCTCATTCAAAACTCGAGATACGTCACGATACACCTTTACGGGCCTCGCTTCAACTTGGGGGCTCCAGCACTTGATAGATTGGACCTATACAATGTTTCTAATCTAAGAAGCGACAGTACATCCATCCCCCCAACGCTTGTCATTCAGTTGAATTTGTTTGCTGGACAGCTATACTTTAGCTCCTTTGGAGAATATGTTCGAGTCTGTGAATTCCTGGGCGTCGCTTGGGAGTCACGCGAAGATCTCATCGTTGATGCTGATGGATTTATCCGGAAAAGCAATAATGGAAGAAAAAATACCTCGACTTTCCAGCACAGTCCTATCAAGTTCCTCAAGGTTATGATCTCCAAGATCCGAAAAAATGGCGAAGACATCGAGAAAACTCATATAGGTAAATTGTTCGATGGTATGATCCTTTGCCCGAGGATTTCACTGGCGAAACTTGCCAAACCATGACTCATCAACATGCGCTGGAGTCACCTAACTAAAGCTACATGAACAACAAACTTGTGTCAAAGATATTTTATTGCCTATGTTTGAAATTGGGGAATTGATGTGGCTATGTCAATTATTGAGATGGAACGTGAAGGTTGCAGTTGAATTTGCTTGCAATGGAATACATTTTTAAATATTCATCAAGTCATAGAATCTCTTAACAGTGTAAACATGCAAGGCAGAGCGCCACGTAGATCACCTGAAGCCGAAGCCCTAATGCAAGCCTAAAAGGGCAAGTACTACAAATTTGCCTGTTTTAGATATATGCATATACACAGATACTTTCTTCTCCGGCATAATATACGCAGTCTATAGGGCCAACAATCAACTTTCAGGCAGTGCCATTAGTTTTTCTACCAGACCGATTCTTTTCGATGAAAAGTCTGTACAATTTTATTCTGTTCAATTCCTAACTAGAAAACATTTGACCTATGATAATTATTCCAGTATCCAGCTCTACAGGCCATTTGCACGACTAAGACACATTGTAGCTTGATATGGCTACAATGTGCAACGATTCTATGAATTGAATAAAGGTCGAATTCTAGGCCTAAATAAAGGCACGAGATGCATTAGCGTTGAATGTCCAACCCCTCCTCTTCTTCCAACGAAGAAAGGGGGGAGGGGAGAAGAGAAAGGTGGCATCTTACTGTGTCTTTAGACAATATCATATGATGTAGAATGCTAGGCATAGCAGCAGCAAGTAATACTGTCGCAAGAATTGATTCAATTGTATTACCGGTGTTTGACGGAATGATTTACGTAGTGCCCCTGTAGCTAACTAACTAGTTAGAGAGCACTTAGGTGCTTCGCACATGGCGCATTAGATAGGTAGTCACGCGTAATAATGGAGACCCAGGAAGGGCTAGGGTAAGTTGATGCGTTTTAGCCACTTAAATAATATATCTAACCTTATAATCTCTCTCTTTTTGTTCTCAAACGATTTCTCAACTCCCATTTTCACCTCCTAAAAGCCTAGCTGATACCCAAACAAATCAAGCATTACACAACATGCCGTACAGAGTTGAAGTTGCACAAGATGACGACCTTCCCGAACTAATGAAGGTCCTCTGGCTCAGTTTTGAACAGCCATACCAAGGAATACTACGCAATTTCTTCCCCATACTCAACAATGACCGCGAGGCCAGTTTGATTAAAGCTACCAACGGGCAGCGTGAAGAATACAAGTCCTCATACCCGGAGCTTATCTGGTTGAAGGTTCTCCAGTATTCAGACAATACCGCAGAAGAAGAGCTGGAAGACGGAAAGGGGCAAAGGGGAGGAGAGAAGCACATGAGTCAAATTGTCGGGGGCGCAAAATGGTACTTTTTCCAAAGGAATCCCTTTGTTCCACAACCAGGCTCCGATCATGACCCTGCTACTGAAGAGGCTGTCTGGTATCCAGAAGGTGTAGGCAGAACATTTGCAACAGCAGCAATGCATGCCCTCGACCTGCCGAGGATGCGCATGGCCCAGAAACCTCATTCATGTAAGGTTATATCCATCTACAGAATCTACGGTTTATCAATCTTGGCTCTGACTAATTCACGTATACAATTTTTATAGTCCTCAACATTGCATTCACCCTCCCCGAGCACCGACGAAAAGGAGTCGCGAATCTATTTCTCAAATGGGGTCTCGCACACGCCGACCAACTCGGTCTGGATAGTTGGCTTGATGCGTTTGAGCTTGGTGTACCGGTCTACGCGAAGATGGGATTTATTGCCTACGGATTGAACAAAATCTCGCCCGTTATGCCCCCAGAATACACTTCCGAGCAGAAACTTGAGTGGGAATGGATGGAGAAGGAAATACTTCCTATGGATTCCGTAACGATGTGGCGGCCTGCTGGGGGTAAATTCGTGAACGGTGAAATGGTCACACCATGGGCGAGCTAAAGTCATGGATAGATAGACTGCACAACTTGCGGATCTATTCAGATCTAGGCACTCTAAAGATGCGAGCGAAATATAACCTTCAATTTCGATATCGTATTCGAATACTGCTACTACCTACGGCTCGTATCCACCACTCAGGTTTATGACCGAATAAATATGAAGCAAATTTTGCTATCTAAACAAGGTGTTAAGCTAGCCTCACAGCCTCAGTTAACCCTTGTCTCCTGTTGCAGGGAGTTAGGACTAAAGGCCGCGACCTACCTTTTGGAGGCACGATCGGCGCTGTATTGACCAGGATTGATAATTTAGCGATGACAGTAATCAGTAACTAGCATAGGCGAATTCCGTTCCCCGTCCCTTTTTTTTTTTTGAACGCGACTTTGGTTAGGGTCTCCGGATATTTCCAGAATAGGAAAATAGTTCTTTAGACTATCCGCGATAGGCAATGGCACGCATGCTTCATTCAAAGGATTGCAACAAAGAAAACAAAGAGAAAGAGAAGAGAATAAAAAAGACCTTACGGGCGTTAGTTTCTATTAGTTTAATTTTGTGAGGTACGTAACTAAAATGCAGGGCAGAATTTCTTGATTCCCTTTCAAAGCGCCCAAACATGGGATCCTGGAAGATATTATGTACACTAATCACGTAAGAAAAGAAAAGACAAAAAAAGAAGAGAATTCTCGCTCTCTTCGCAAGTATTAAGATTCAACGACTATGCTATAGATTATTCTAGTCTCAACGGACGCTTAAGACATGATTTAATCGTAAATTCACTCGAAGTCTTTTAGAATGAGACTTGCATTTGATCGAGACACAAGATTAATGTCGGTTGAGGCCAATATAGCAGTGCCACATCATCCGGGACAGCTCGGAATGAGTTTCATTTACCAGGATAACAGTTATTTGCGAATTAGTACAGGACGAGTGCGTCCGTTATCGCAGGAGGAAAAGCTGGTACCCATGGAACTTTGAGGGCAATACAAAGAAAACCCTTGATATTCAGCCCTCTATTTGATCATTCGGAATGGCCTATATCTATGAAAGGTTAGCACGGGCCAAATGCTAGGCGACAAGACTCTTGATTACTTCGGTCTGTATGAAACGGAAAATAGACCAATGATTAGGTCCAGGTTGCCTGTATGATCCACTGAGAGAAAAACGTTCAAGATCGCTCCATTCCTCGGTGGTGCTATCTGAGGGGAGATCGCAAATTAAATAATGTGCTCTAGCAATACTGATGCTCCTGAGTCGATGGATAAAGAACGAAATTACAGCCAGGCTTAGCGGTGGCACAAGGCCATCAAAAATCGAAGATGTCTCGGTTTACAGGAGACACCGAGACACCTGCAATCAACGTCTTGTCTTGGTTTCTTCTAGTAATTTCAATTCTTGGTGTCCTTACACGATTGGGAACGAAGCTATGGATATTTCGCAAATTTACCAATGACGACTATATGATCATCCTATCTGCTGTAAGCTGTTTTGAGTTCTCAACTTTTCACTTTGCTACGATATAGCTTCGAAAGTCTGTCAACTAATGTTGTCTTACTTCCTTTCCAGGTATTTAATATTTTTCAAGGAGTAGCCCTATCTATCGCTACTGGGCACGGTTATGGTTTTCATATGGACAAACTAACCGATGCTCAATTAACTGCGATCATGAAGAGTCAATATGCTCAACAAATATTGACCATCGCGAGTCTAGCTTCTTCCAAAAGCTCGTTTATCATGTTCGTCAAGAGCATTACAGCCGTTCCAATTGACCATAAGATTGCTTGGGGCTTACTGATTAGCATGGCCACATGGGCTTTTGTGAGCATTATCACCGTGGCCTTTGGGTGTCAACCTCCGCGCACATGGGATTATCTAGATGGAAAATGCTACAATATGGTGAGTTTGCAGCTTCTATGACCTTTGCAATTCTCTCCCCTATATATATAATTCAGAAAGAGCACAAGGAAAAGCTAACATTTCGCGCTTTCCTTTTCAGCAAGCATGGGAGAACTTTTTCAGCGCATCGAATATTGCCACCGAACTGGCCATTATAGCCTATACCTTTATTATAATTGCACGAATTCATACGAGACTTGGGCGGAAACTAGGAATTGCTAGTGTGTTTGGCCTCAGGATTTTGTACGTCAAGGCCGGGAAAAATCAGAGAAACGAGAGCATAGAGGATAATCGCGTTAGCTAATCTTTCTCTGATCAGGGTCATTGGTGCTATAATAGCACAAACTGTCCTCCTCAACCGCGCCTTCAAAAGCTCTGATCTCACGCACGCAACGTGGGCTGCCACTATTGCGACCCAGACCACCCTCTGTTTAAGCATCCTCACCGCCTGCTCAGCTCAATTCAAGCCATTCCTCGACAGCCTTCAATCATCAGGAATGCGGCTAGATGCGTTGACAACACACTCGCACGGCCAATCACACAAATTTCACAATTACGCATATCACAGTGGCTCACATATGGGATCGAAGATAGTCTCTATCAACTTACGCGGCTTGACTTCACGCGGAAAGATTCATGCACACAATAGCCATGGCCCTCACGTCCAGACGGTTGTGACAGCAGATCCAATGAACTCGCCGGACTGGGATGGTGCGAGCCAGACAAGCCAGTCGCGTATTATACGAGAAACGAGGACTTGGGCAGTGACTGAGGAGCGTCATGAAGATGTTTCTGAACAAGACGACAACAATGCTTGAGGTTTATAGATTAACGTGCCAATAGGGGGTTATTTTCAACGACAAATAATGTACTTAGCTAACCTGAATGACATTACTCTGCGTTAATAATGAATTGTTAATATTCCAATTCCGTTTCCCTTTGTTTTTTAATCATACATAGCTTCGTATAGTCAATCACCGCAAAAAGTACGGCCTAAAGCTGTCTAATTCCTCGCAGCTGAACCAAACTTCTCTTATTCTGGCGCCAGAGGACATCGAAGTATTAGCGATTATACTTAACAAAGACCGCAAACAATCAGTGCATTCATCTCAGTTTCAATATTGGGCCCGCTAAAATTATACTTAGATGGCTACAATCTGCTCATCTAGTCGGTCTTTCTTTGTTTTGACCTATTTCTCGCCGGATAGTTTCTCCCTATCCCCTCGTTTAGCAAAGGATTAGCGTCTGGTCTAACTATCTGCTAAAAGTAAACTAGTAGCATGTGGATATGGGGGGTTTCGTCTAAAGTACAACAATGCAGTATGTATTCCAAGACACCACCGGTGAGGCCGTCGGGCCGGTGGCATGCATGCCATGATCCATGCATATTGCGCTATTTGTCTAGAGATGTGGTATGATGATGTTCCATAGCATACGCCATATGCAGCCACCGCAATATCGATTGATCGGCATCATGTATGTTACCCTGTACCGTGAAATGGATTGCCTCATGTGGAACAAAGAACATTAAGACTGATGACGTGGAGAACAAAGAAGAACCAAGGAACCAAAGAAAAGTATCCAATGCTATCAGGAGTCATAAGGAAAAATAGAATGTCCAAGATTGAACCTAGACGTATTACGTAGGCGAGAATATGGTAGGGACTTACTGATATGTAAGGGGGTCGCTTGTGCATTTCCAGCCGGAAAAAGCATCCAGAATGAACTTCTTTAGCTGAGGAAGATTTGACATCTGCATAGATTTCAGCCATCAGTAGTAGGCCTACGCGTTCTCAATTCCTCCTTTCAGAAGCGAAGTGCACTAAATGCATAGTGTGTGCCACTTATGCCAAGGTGCAGGGAGCTAGTTGAGGCCTCAGATATCTGCTCCATTCTTGTGCTACCCTCAGCATGGCGATAAATCCAATTCTAGAAGGGCTAGAGCATGAAACTAGGGTGGATTCCAAATCTATCTGCATTCCGAGACAGACCCATTGTCCTCTCGGAAACACGTGCTAGATATATCGGAAGTACGCCTGGGCAGCTTTCAGATTTATCATTGTGACCTCTGTATATTTTCTTTTTTTCTCGGTTGTATTCACGTTAGAAGTCCTTCTACTTTGTTCTTCAGCTGGATGATTAATCAATTCCATTGGTTTGGCATTGCAAAGAATATACAGCCATGGAGACAGTAGAGATGGATAAATTCTCCGACAGCCCTATCGCGAGGGAAATCAGAGGCTCCCCGGATAAAAAGCAGCGCGATGAAGCAAATTTGGCGCGTTTGGGCAAACGCGGTATCTTGAAGGTGATTACAAACAGTCAGAAACAATGGCTTTTACTTCCGAGAGACAGATACTAACTCAAGCTGCTGGTTATAAATAGCGGAACTTTGGATTGATGGCTGTGCTCGGTTTTAGCACATCTATTCTTATTACTTGGGAGGGTCTCTTCACGTATGCATGTTGCATTTGACTATATGCTATCTGGAGCTAACTTGTACCAAAGGACCTTCCTAGAGTCATTGGAAAAGTATGCAATACCCCGACCTTCATCTTTTAACACAGCAGATATATACCAGAAATAAGAACAGAGCTGTGGTAGGCGTTCGGTCACTGATATATTTGGATCTGGCAGTGGTGGACCTGCAGGTGCAGTGTATGGGTTCATATTCGTGTGGGCTGGATTAGCAGCGACATTTGCCATGCTATCAGAACTGGTATCCATGTAAGTCTTGAGTAATACTTTCTACGCTGTCCCAGCCGGAATTCTTAGGAATGAAGAAAGAAAGACATGTTAACTCGGAGAAGGGCACCGACAGCGGGTGGTCAGTACCATTGGTGCTCCATGCTTGCTTCTCGTAAAGCGATGAAGTTCTCTAGCTATATCACAGGTACCTCTCTAGCGCCCCTGACACTTGATACTACCGGCTGAGATAGAAGCTGATAAGGGGTCTCCTAGGCTGGCTTACTGTCGTCGGTTGGCAGGCCACTTTCGCTACGGCCTGCTTCTTGACCGGTACGATTATACAAGGCTTAATTATCCTGACCCAGCCGAGTTACGTGCCACAATCATGGCATTCGACTTTATTGTATTGGGCAATTTTATTTTTCTGCCTGGCGATCAATGTCATTGGCGGCTCTTTGTTGCCCAAATTTGAAGGTCTCATTTTGGTCCTCCATATTGTAGGCTTCTTTGCCATCCTCATTCCATTGACTTATCTCTCCGATCACGCCACTGCCAAAGAAGTATTTGCAAGTTGGACAAATGAGGGCGGCTGGAAAACACAAGGACTTTCTTTTTTTGTTGGCCTTATTGGGGCCGTATTTGCATTTGCCGGTGGTGATGCCGCAGTTCACGTAAGAGTTCCCCTAATTCAGTGCTTATCGAGGGATTCGAAAAGAAAGGTTCGAGAATAAGTCAGATCTAATACAGAAACAACTCTATACAGATGGCCGAAGAAACACATGACGCCCAAAGAGTCATCCCGCTTTCGCTCATGTTCAGCATCACAGTCAATGGCGTCCTAGGGTTTGCCATGCTAATTGCCGCCTTATTCTGTATGGGGAATCTGCAAAATGACATTGACACGCCCACTGGATACCCTTTCATTGAAATATTTCTTCAAGCAACAGGATCGATTGCTGGTACTGCTGCTATGTCCTCCATTATCGTGGTTATGGGTATATGTGCCACAGTCGGCATGTTAGCAACAGCTTCTCGACAATTTTGGGCCTTCTCGCGTGACCGGGGCACTCCAGGCTGGCGTTTTTGGAGCCGAGTATCAAAGCGTGGTAATATCCCACTCAACGCCGTGTTCTTGACTGCCACAGTTGCCACTCTGTTAGGCTTGATTCCGCTCGGTTCATCAACCGCTTTCAATGACTTGACCTCTCTGTCAACATCTGGCTTGTATTTGTCGTACATTATCTGTTGTATCCTGCTACTATATCGACGATGCACTGGGGGCATTCTTGACATGGCAGACTATCGAAATCGTAACAATTCAGATATGTCAGAAGACGACGAACAGATCATGAATACGGCTGGCGCAAAGCTCGTTTGGGGCCCGTTTCACCTTAAGGGTATATTCGGAGTTGCGATAAACTTGTTTGCCATAATATACATGCTAATTACAACATTTTTCAGCTTTTGGCCGCCTACAGAGCAAGTTACAGTGTCGACAATGAATTATAGCGCTGTGGGCACGGTGGGGGTTATGTTTCTGAGTGTGATGTATTACTTTGTACGAGCGAACAAATTTTATGAAGGGCCTCTAATAGAGATTTGAGAGGTCCTTATTTGTTATTCCTTTATTATTGATGCGACTGCCTACCGCATTACTCAGGATATGTTGGAGACTCAGATATATGGCTAAGGACCAGGAAGTGTACATACCCAGCTAAGCTGACTTTCAAATAGAAAATACCTCCATGAAAGCAAATATGGAGCTTAAATCAGAAAACAATAGAGCACATACTATTTCCTTCGCTTCAAGGATTAAGGCATGGGTCATTAGTTATTCACCTACTCCGCAGTTCCAAGGTAACGTTTGTCCCAGACGACAGCATTTAAGAGAGGATCGTAGTTATATTCGCAATTGATAGAGCTAGCAAATAATAATCTATTGTCTTAAGCTTGACTGACTAACCCGTGTCCATATGATTTTTTTTTTCTAAGAGTTTTCGAAATATCCCAGAACATTTCAGCACACCCTCTCCACCATTTTAAGAAAGACATGAGTTTCAGGAAAGAAATAGAACGGTCAAATAAAGATTGAAACCTGTCACGACTGTGAAGGCTTCCTTTGACTAGGTAGCTCGTAGGTTAACGACGTCCACCATAACCAGTGTTGTTCGACGCAGTGTTCGAGCCCGTAGGTTTTCCAGCCTGAGCATTTGCGTTCTTGAGCTATCAACATCAACTTGCCGGTGAAACGATCCTTCCTCTTCCGTCTCATGTAATGCGGCCACGCCTCCACATATTGAGCATTAGATCACGGGCTGTTTCTGGAATCTCGGCTGCCGCATATAATTTTCTAAACCGGGCTAGAATGGCAAATGTTGTTTGTCTCCCTGTACCATTGGCGAACTGAGCGGCTGTTGATGGAAGAAAAGGCCACAGGAGAACCTTAAGGTTAAATCACTTGAGCTCAGATAAGCTAAGTGATGATTCTGTCATCCACCAATGGCAGTCCTAGGTCCATCAAGCTCCAGTCTCATGATTGATGGTCGGCTAGGTCGGTGTTGCCCCGATTGCGTAAATACCTTGAACATCGGACCATAGTTGATGATGACTTTGACAAGCAGGGGTCGAATATTAATCACTGGCCTTGTAAATGCGGCTAGTTGACCTCCGTGTTCGCTTCTTTAGCATTGCCATTGTTGTTGTGGATACAACGTTAGCACAGTGCGGCTGGCCAGCGAGCAGTTGGTCATTAGGAAGAAAAAGTGACTTGTGATAATGGTATCGCTGGTTCACCAATGTCCCTTGTTATCGAGGGACAGCAAAAAAAAAGGCAAAAAAAGAAAAAACATACAGACAGACGGGATTCGCTGGTGGTCACCCACCCAACTACTAACCGGCCGGCGTGTGGCTTAAGTACGGCTGAGCGGACGGGAAGCCCTGTTTTCCACACCCTATGGTCGTATGTGCTTGTTATTCCCAAAAATGAAATTATATAGTTAACGTATTTCCCGGGTAAACCGCGCACCTGTAATTCCTATACAAAATAGACACTTTTACCCCCCTGTAAATTCCACAAATTTATATGTAAAGTAGATCTAAAAAGTTAATAAGAATCTATCTATAGATTTGTTAAGATATTAAGAAACATGCTAGTAATTATTGTAATTTTTAATACTTGAATTAGGGTCTTGGCCCTGCACAGCCAAGGCCTGTGGTAGTATTTTTGGTTCGCACTTGACTGACCACTAAAAGACCCGTAGCATCTAGGTTCTATCAAGCGAGACAGGCGACTACGCGTTGACTCTTATGAATCACGATGGCGGCAACCCACGCAGAATCAGCCGCAAAATTTGCAGATTCTAGAAGAGGCTCAGCTGGCTAAATATAATACCATGTGGATGCCAAGAGCCAATCAGAAAACTTCACAGCTCAGCCTCATCCAGAGACGGACTAGCGCATGTGCCATACAGATCGTGATTGGCTGAGAACAACACGCTAGGATTGCCTAGTTCTTAGTATAGAGACCACCAAACTCTAGTCTCAGTTAACTTCTTCACGTTCGCTAATTTAACAGCCTCCAACCCCCTGTTTCACTGAGGTAGCCAACTTCAAATCCTCAACTGTCAACCCAAGAAGACTTATATTATTGATTCAACTTGCCATTTTCTCACGAATCGACAGCCATGATGCACACCGCCGCTACTTTCACAGCAGCAGCTGCTGCATTCCTAGCCATGACTGTAGCAGGCCAAACCACATCATCAGACAGCACCACCCAGTCGCTGTCTACCACTGCCGCACCTTCAGCATCCAGCGGTAGTACCTATATTGCGCTCTTTGAGGCCGGCTACTCAACGACATTAAACGCCAGCAACCTGGCAGGCAGTATCATCAGTGCCAATGCAGACGCCACCACAATTGCCCTGAACTGCATTGAAATCAACTCGGAGTGCAACGGAGAAACCATCACCTTGACCCAAGGGCCCTCTACATGGGTTGTCGACTACAGCACGCAGTTGTCCAAAAATAATGTCGAAGTCACACTCACACTCGATACGGACTGCAATATCGTTTCTAGCACAGCAGCTGCCACATGCACCGTCACTGAGATTGCCAGAGTCTCGGCAGACGGTGAAAGCAGTGCTTCCACATTCTCAACCACCGAAACCTTCGCTAGTTCCCAAATCTATTACGATCAACTCCTGATTACTGCCGGTGTCGACAAGTTAACCAGTCCTCAGGCTACTAAGACTCCTTCCAGTGCTGCAGGTGTTGTCGCTGCTCCTCTGCCCACTGGAAATGTTGGAATGGGCGTTGGCGGAATGGCAGCTGCGGCCATGGTCGCTGTTGCTGGAATGCTTTAAGTAAATTTTTTTTGAGTTTGTCTTTATTATTTCTTCCTGCGATACCATAGTTCAATACTTTCGCGATAGTGCGAATTGCATTTTGCATTAACAAGGTCCCTGATCGAGACCTTGCCAAAGTGAATGAGTGTACAATTCTTAATACCAAGTTCTCATTTAATTCTCTAATCTCTGTTTGACACTGCATCTATCTTGACGTAAGTCTATTTATCCAAGCTAATTTCGTACAGCACAGGTAACTGGCCTCTATAAAGGCTAATATTACTAATATCTTCCACTCGCAACTTGAGAACTCAGCGTGCCCATTCCTCTTCCTATGACCAGGGCGCTCCTTATACTCACCGAAACGATGACCTAGGTGTAAGTTGAATTGTGACTCATCCCTCGGCAGTGTGCTAGTCGCATGTGATTCTTCGCGCGATCAGGGTGCCACTGTCATCCATGCCATGAAAGTCCCGCTTATCATCGAGAGTTGAAGTCAGAAGGTGAGGGTCACCGACAAATGCACAGAAGGTCAATGATAGGGGGTAGCTAGCTGTTAGCCGCCTTCCGTACACCGTCTTCATATTTCAGGGCACAGCGACAAAAATAACGGGATCATTGCACGGCAAATACGGCCATGTTGCTCTATCACTCCTGATACTCTTGTCTACACTTGCAGCCAAGTATCAGGTATGTGTTTCACTGCTAATTCACGGGCAGCATAACATTCATAACATTGAAGAGTAGGCAAGGATCTGCACTACTACATCATGCGGGCAGAAGTGCCGGGAAACCGCCAGTTATAGATCAACATCACGTACTTCGTCGGGATACTGTTCTCATGAGTCATTGTTTAATACTAGTCAACTGCTAGCAACGGCTGACCACAGGCACTTGCGCCATATACAAGTGTATGCTTTTTCGAACAGAGCCGTTATGCAATAGACCATCCGAAGCAGTACAGTGCCATGTTCATTGCAAGCCCTGTTCAGGAGACGCTCCAAACGCAGACTGGTCACGGAGCCGGTTTAACATAGGGGGGCTCCGTTTAGGTGAGAGAATTGGCAGTTTGGAATCGATCCGTGGTTTAACAGCGTATCTGGACCACCATGGCGTCAACATTCACTCAGTAAAAATGAATTTCTAGTCTAGTTATATAACTAAAACACTCTAGTAGTACATCCCTCGGAAACGCTTGAGCGTGAGCAAACAGCCATATCATCTAGCGAAGAAGCTGCCACCTGAAAGGCCGGATCTTATGTTTTATGTACCGAAGAAAAGAGGCTACAAGGGGCAGGTCAACGTATCTCAACACTTCAGGCCACACGTCAACAAACCTTGGTATTTTCAACTCGTTTCGCTTGCAGAATGACGCGGACGGAGATTGTATTAGCGGCTATTATTTTCATCATAGCCGGAAGCGAAACTGATAGTTATGATCCACTCCCTGTTGTCAGAGGCGATTAGCTACTCTTGGATATTGCTCTCTGATATAGTGTATTTTCTGTGCACCAACCCTCTGCGGCTAAGAAACCTCACAGAGAAGATCCGCGCCGGATTTTATTTTTAGAAAATCGGACTTACGCTTGGTTAAATTGCAACAGCATGAGTATCTCAACGCCGTGCCCCTGAAATATTTGTGCCTCTCCCCTCCATCATTATCAAGCAATCTTTCCAGAGAACCACTGTGTCTGGGGCCTCCATCATGGGAGGGTTCATACCACTCCAGGCCTGTGTGACTATGAATTCGCGGGCCATCAGTCGCTCTATTCCTAGTTTCCAACCCCTAGAGACGGTTCCGAAGAGGTGGGCGCCCAGAATTATGTAAATCGAAGCTACGAATAGTTCCAGACCCACAAATGCAAGACGAATTGTTGGACATAGGGCCCCATCAACCAAAAGAGACTTTCCTCACTTGACAATATACAGCAATAAATTGACCCATTCGTCTGCTAAGGTTCCTGTTAGCATTTGCATAAGAGCCATGTTAGAGCGGTTGCATTTGGATCTCACAGAACCCTCCAATAACAATCGGAATGATAGGCGTGGCTTATATAGACGAAGAAAAGTCGTGAGAGCACAAACGACAGCGAAGACGGTTAGTATCCATAGTTAGTATATAATTTCGTAGTCGACGCCTACGCCCGTCATTTGTCGAGTCTAAAGTCAGTGTGAATGCTGAGTCGCCGTTTTCTAAAAGGATTCATGCCTTTATGATGGCCAACTCGACCCCATCTCTAGTGGCGAATTTAGTGGTATGAAAATGGTACTTTAGACACCACAGTAAACTTCTTTTGAAAACAAAAGTGTTGAGCAAGTACCTCATCCTCCCGTAGACGAAGGTTCACTGATATTGAGTCGGGCAGTCCACCTAGGTATATCATCTATTTATATATGTATATCTAGGTACGCATATATGTACGAACGAAGGTATCTAGGCAGTGGGTGAGTAGATAGAATATCCATAAATTTATAACTTTGGAAGGATATCAGGGTTGAGACATTCGTCTAAATTCCTGGTTCTTGAATTTATATATTGACCAGCTGAAGATTGACTAAAATCGACACAGTGCTGTAACCGTATCTACCCTTAAGTATGGCCAAGGCTCGGTGCCCGGGGAAACATTATGTACCCCTAGCGCCAGAGCCTCGACTTCACCCCTTTCTGAGTAATCTGAATATATATTTGGTTACGAGCCTATATCGTATGTACCACTAGTCTGCGCGCAAGCGAAGTAGTTTTCTTCTTATCTTTGAGCCACACGTTCCTCCCAAGATGCACCTTATCCTCACAGAAGCGACCGTATTGGTCGGCTCTAGTGTTTTAGATGCCATGATCAATACCCAGGGGATCTCAAGGATTTCAATCTGACCCGAAAACCAGTTAGAATGGCTGGGGATAATAGGGATCCGCGAATTAATGTGATTATTCATCAAGATTTCAAGAACCATCCCCAAGACTTGTTATCCCAATTGAAGGGCGCAACAGGTTGCGTTTGGGCACTTGGTATAAGTCAGACCAAAGTTGACGCCGAGTAAGTTTATACCGCGCCTGGGGCAGATAGCCTAGTCTAACTTGCAAAACAGGGAATACGTCCAGATTACGAAAGACTTTACACTCCAAGCCGCCAAGGCTTTTCAAACGCTACCGCCGGAGAGCCCTTCGATTTTGTCTATGTTTCGGGTTCTGGCGCTACCACTACACCTGGTCGTTTCTCTGCTTTGTTCGCACGCCTAAAGGGCGAGGCAGAAATGGCTCTCGCAGGCTTGCGTAAGACTAACACGCTCCTACATACAATTCCAGTGCGTCCTGCATTCATCGATGTCAAAGAACACAGTGCCATTAAGCCGTATGTTCTAACGAGAGGCATCCCTCAACGCGTTATGCAGACTGCTCTCGGCCCTGCGCTTCATGCTTTTGTCCCAGGTATTTGTAGTCCGACAAAGCCTCTAGGACAATTCATGACAGAGCTCGCGATGGGCCAACATTAAAGGCAATTGGTTTCTTCCCCGGACATTCAAATGATTGGTGCAATGCCTTTACTAGAGAATATAGCTTTCCGACGATTGGCTGGACTTTAGAAGGGGTACGCTTGGTATGCTGCGACTACACTACGTAATGTGACATGTCAGTTTCCCGGAAAAGAATTCTTGTATAAGCAAGAAAAATTCATTGGACCAAAAAGATTAGTAATTTTTTGAGCAAGAGACACCGGTTCGGACCTTGACTGGAATCAGCACTACTATTTGTTATTTAGAATTATTGATATAAATGAATTGGCAGTCATCGAAGGGCATATTTAGCCCAGTCATGTACACAAGCACGAACAAACTATACGGAATTTTACATGTACGACTCTCCTACCTAGGTAGCATATCGTTCCCAATAACTCATTCTCAATTCTTGACCATGACAGCCATGCGGGGAATAGCGCTACCGAGATGCCTATGGCACGAATTGCGTAGTTGAACTAAAAATAATAACGCTGCGCCTTGGGTTTCCCAATTAAGTTGTGGGTGAGGTTGGAGACTTGGGTATGAATTAAGGATTATTCGTATTCGTATAAACATCTATAGATGTGTGTACGCTAAACTTAAAAATCAATCTAAAAATTAAATGATCCAATAAAACCTGTTTATTAGCGGACCCGCTTAGACAGGTACCCATTTTCCCTAGCCAATAGACATACTTAAATTTATTCCTACGATTTTTCCTTGTGAAAGGATTTCTCCTCTATAACGAAGAATTCATCAAATTTGCTTGTATTAACCAGGTAAAACACTCTATTAATTGTTATAGTATATTAGCCAATAATAGTGCATTATTCCACCTAGCTGTAACGAAAACATGCTATCTAAGTGGGTTTAGCGGATCTCTGTAACGAACGTCGAACAGAAGCTGCTTTATTGTGTAGCCTACAGAAGCTGATGCTGTGACACCCACAACCTTCTATGCTTAGCTATGGCTTACCTATACAGGGAATTTTCGACACTGTTTATTTTTTTTTTTCATCCACTATCTACCCTATAGTACCTGAGAGCTTCCTATAGTGAGTTCAACGTGTGCATTATACGTGGTAGGGCTATACGAACAAAAGGATTACCAACCCTGGAACCACTTACATTTCTGGAAGGGTGTTCGAGTAAAATTTTATAGACCTTTTGGGTAGCTCTCCTTCACGGTTGCTGATATTCGTCTCATTCCCTCCTCTTCTATTTGCTTGTGGAAAACCTGCACAATGTTCAAAGGCGAAGATAATACTGCCACATCCCCATTACAATCGACGCCAACAAATGGCAAAGGAAAGCTCTCCAATGGAAGTATTTCAGCGTGAGAAACCACTGAGTGCAATATGCCAAGATCACTGTTACCAGAAAATTAACAATTACTGAGCAGTGCCAACGCAAATTCAAAATCTTCACCACCACCGTCGTCTCTCTTCACAACAACGTTCTATCTGGCGTACCCGCCGCCGCAAAAACCCTCTCCCTTACACCGGATGAAGCCACGATTGCTGGTTCAGCTCCTCCAGCAAGCAGTGAGAAAGAAAAGACTTCAACCGGTATTTGAGGTCTTGCGGACAGTGCCACTGGGATCTCGATACTGGCAGAACGACGTTCGCTGTAGATCCGGTGATATAGTCCTGGTATGTGGTGACTTCTATAGCGATTGCACGTTACCAGACGGTTCAAGAGCCGAATATTCAGAGAATGAAAGGGATGAAGAGAAGACCAAAGTGATTGCGGTCATCCAAGGCCAGCGAAAGATCCATACAAGACAGCATCGTCAAGGACAAATCACCGCCGATGACAGCGGTCCGACCAGATTCTTCTTCAGCTGCGGTGCCATATGGGAAGCCATCACTATGCAAAACGGAGACCACTATCAATTAGTAGCAGTCGACTCCGAGGAGAGCAGGGTCAACGGAGATTATAAACTGATATCCTGGACGCGAGAATACCATCGCGATGGAAGTAGAGGGAACGAAACGCAAGCAGATGTCAAATTTCGCCTGAGGGTTGTGGATCGAAATTTCCGAGATTTTCCATTAGTCGCTACTGCGACAAAGCAATCCATAGAAGTCATGTACCAACCACTAAATCATGATGGCCTAGCTTCGTTATCACTTCAACCGGCAGGCAGGAAAAGGGCACGATCTTTTGGCAAAAGAGACAACCCATTCGCCTCCTTAGATACATCATTCTCCGAACCTTTGTATCTCTTATGTCTTGTTCTTACGTCAGCGATTTGGGTGGCTTCCAATGAGGGATGGCTAAGTTTATAAAATGCAGATGTAACAATGTTGAACACAGAGGAGGCAATAGATAATTCTGCGCTTCTCCGGATGTCTCATAAATTTACATTTGGAGGATACTATTGAATAGAATAGGATATCGGTCTACTGCTCTCCTCAAAATTGCTTGATATCTTGGGTAGAAATACTTAAGTACTATTGGTCAGATACTTAGAACACTGTTGCGCTGTTGACCGTGATAATAAGTCTTAAACTGAACGAAAACGGAAGAGAAGAGAGAAAAAAAAAAAGTCGACTTTCAACAATCCTTTTAACCATTTCATAGCCGGACTATAACTAGCGGAGCAGAGTTTGAGGTTACTCTATATTAGTAGTACTCCTGAATTTACGAAGGGAATAGTTCCGTCTACGGGGTAGATTGATATTATCAGCAATTTAAACCGAGGTAGTCATTTCTAATACCGATTGGCTCTTAGCTAGCCATACGAAACATGTGCATAGCTAAGGTTAATGATAATCACAGTGTTCAAAAACATGCTGCCTAAACAAAAACTGGCAGAAAAGAAATTGTTGCCATGGTGTCTGAGACCCTTGACTTGCTGGGTATGTGTCTGAATATTTTCTGTGCATAATTGCGAGGATTGATATCGCGTGTTATCTTCCGGATATTGCCTACTCTATGGACATACAACATGGCTATCATTTGAAACACATCAGTGCAGATACTGACCAAGTCCTCAGACTCACGACACGAGATGTACCACTGAAGGAGGGGTAAATGAGGTGAACAGTGCACATATTGAAACAATCGTACAGAGGAGGGAGAGTAATGAAAAGAAAGTACAGCTGCGCCGCATTTTTCCAGAGCTAATATGCTTGTATTTATGCAGGTTACCACCAAGTAGACTGCTCCTTCATTTTATTGGCAATATGGGCCAGTGGGAATGGTTTCCGGGCCACAGCTGCCTCAACATATATTGTCTAGGACGAATAGTGTGATCATGCACGTAAGCGCATACTACCATACTACTGTACGCCTCAGTTAAACTAAGACTGAGGGAATGCTAGTGCAGATCCTATCAAGTGCACAATGGCAAATTGACGGATATAAACCGTGGTTGGCCTTCAACCTACAAGGAATGATTACGTGAAAGAGGGGGTTTCGTCCTTCCTCTTTGTTTCTTTTCCCTGATTTATGTATTATTAATATTATCGTTTTCATATATTCTTTTTTTCAACAAAAGTTGCCCGATCTAAAGCTGCACTTGTGCGCCTCAGCGCTTAGAAGTACGGGTATTCAAGCGCTGATTGGCTGATCTGTATATACCCCTGTCCATCCACCCGCCACTCAGACTCAGCACTGCAGAGTCGTTGGCACTGGCTTGTCTCATTCATCCTGGCGAATTACTGTGTTTTGCTGTCGAGTCGGCCTGATCCTTACATTTGTCGTCATCATCATCGACATTTCCTGTTTTGCCCTGATCATGGTGTACCCGTTTGACCAGGTTTTATTGTCCCTTGGCTACGCCGTATAGGTTCTGCGCAGTGTTCAATTGGGCCGCGTGTAGACATCCGGTGCTGGAATCCGGCAACCTGCTAATCTCTTCGTCTGGCTCCATATGGCAAACGCAAGCTGGACAACAGATCCCTGCAAGCCCACCGGCCTATCAGCGCCTAGATTCTCGGGTTACGTACATCGGTGTAACTAAATTAACTGCGTCGCAAGGCTAAGAGCATGACTCCTCCCCTCATCCATAGTTTGTTTGATTAAAGTGAAAATAAAATATGACAAATTAGGGTCCATCAGAGTAGTGCAAGTTTCCATTTTTAGACATTTTGCATGCACTATGCACAATTAACCGCTCGCACCATGCCCAGATAGGCAGTTATCGGCAGGCCAAGGTAGCCGGACGAGTATCTATTTTGGGCTATTTTGGATTTTTTTTGACAGCTTTAGGGCATTATTTCTATTGAATTGTTGCTTAATTTATCCCAATATGCAACCCTGAAACCCCCGGTGTCGACAATTCAGAGGGGAGTACATGCGTGTACACAGTTGGCCCAAATAATATACAATATACCCGGGGAGAAAGATTGATCTTCTTCATTAGTTCTGTTGCATGCATGTTATCCCCTCTATTTGTTACTATATCTGTCACACTTGATGGAATATACTCACTAAATGGAACAATTTTGGAAAACAGCTCGTCTCTGTTAGTCAAAACATCGCAGGTTATATTCGTGACACATTCCTCTGGTTTTGCCACTCTCCCCGTCTCTCCATCTGTCTTTTGACTCGGCGTTCTCCACGAGTACTTGAACCTGTCATCCTAGCTGGTATCTCGGCGGGGTCATCAAGACGAGTTTCAAAGCAGTCTTTACATGTCAGGTCCAGACTCTCTTATCGTCCCCGCTCATCGCGACGGCCGTCCAAAGTCCCTCGTGCCTAGAAATCCGGAGACTAATTAATACTCGCATACTTTCTTGATCTTCACTCGTTGTTGCCTCCAACTAACAATCCGATGGCGAACTTCGTCAGCACATCTCTCGACCTCATCCGTCGACACAAACCACGACAGCATCACCTCCACTCACGATGGGGCGACGTTGGGATCACACCTCCCGTCGAAGGCTCCTGGTCTCAGATAAATAATCCCTATCTCCGCGGGGAGAAGAAATACGGACCTGGGTTTGTGCCCGCATTAGACGTGGACGACAAGGAAGTTTTGCTTGTTAACCACTATGATGGCGACACATCTGAGCACGAATCCTTCGCAGAGGGTGAGCAGGAGGAGGAGCAAGAGAAGAGGGAGAAAACCACAGACCCGAAACATCTATCAAAAGCTAGACGACTGACCCGGATCCTATTGCCTTCGAGTGTGAATACATCTGCTAGAAAGTCCGCTGAAAAGGGTAAGGTGGGCGAGTTTCTATACACACCAATCAACGCAAACTATGCGCAGGAAGTTGAAGAGCATGCAATGATGCAGAGCAGACCTGGGTTCCGTTATGTGCCTGCCAGCAAGCATTATTTGCGGGAACTGAAAATGGATATCGTTGGCTTGAGTGACGACGAAGACGAGCGATACCGTCACGAAGACACGGACAACGATGCCGAGGATGAAGATGAGGGAGAAAGAAAAGGAAGCCTTAAGCAACTTAAGAAACAACACCGCCATCAAGAACAAGTTCGCAGCCATTCGTGCGAACCTTATATCAGCGGGGGCCAGCCAATTGCTGGGGCCGAACGAAGAAGGAAACCTCGCTCTCGAACCACTGAAATTATAAAGACTGCAACCAGAAATGCATCACAGCCGGCGGCTTTGCCCCCTGGCGGTTTGAGTCGAAAGTTGAGTTCGCGCGTGGGCAGCAGCAGCAGTGCTTCACGACAGCGAAAGTATGAGCAGAGTCCGAGCCTTAGCGAAGCTCAGGATCAAAGCCGAGGACGACTCATGCACTCTCGGACCAAGTCTCCGGCTGCTCTTGTTCAGCGATCGAAATCTACTACAATCAACAAGCTGCATCGACGGACGATGACTCTTGAAATGGTCGGTGATCAAGAGGACCTGTGGTAATGACAGACATAACGAAGCACAACCCCCCTCCCCTTTTTTCTCTTTTGTTTTAACATTCATTATTTCCCTTTTCAATATGTTGAATTCGAGGCATTAATGGCGCGGTCGGCGTTCGGTTATGGCTATGACATTTGTTCCTTTTGTATTGCGATTGCGATTGCGATTGCGATTGCGATTGTATTTTGTTTTCATTTAGAAGCCAGCAACTCAGCATCATCGGCGAACAGCCATTTTTCTTTCCCTTCCTTCTTTTAGGGTTCTCTGTGCAAGCCCTAACTCCATTGCTGGTCCGGGCGGTTTCTCCAGATATGACGGCATGGAGACGTAGCGATGAGATCGTGGTCCACTTTCCGAACCCTAACTTTAAAGCCTGATAGACTGAGAATATCATTACTCTTATTTTTCAATTTCACTGACTCACCTAAGCTACTGTGTTCGATCCATCCTTGTAATTATTGCACAAGTTGTCCACGACTTGAATACTACCATCATATCCATCATCGTATCCATCATCATGGGCGGACAGTCTGTCGTACAGCTTCGCTGCAAATGTAAAGTACGTTTCTGTCTAAACATCATTCTAGCTTATCGAATTGGTGATAATACTAACTCCTATTTCTTTACCCTTTGCAGACTGACCCCTGGGGTAAGAAAGGCGACGACTCGCTCGCTGCCAGGCTGGCCGCTAAGCAACCAGGCACCGACTTCAAGATAAATAAGTGTCAGACATACTCGGAGGTTCGAACTTAAAAGATGTTTGTTTCTTCTTCTGTGTCTTGAGTGTACTGATTGAGTATAGATGTGGATGGGCACCTATCCCTCTGTCCCGTCGTACGTTATAGGAACTGACGACACCCTGGAGGAATACTTGAACAAGAACCCAGATTTGGTGGGGAAAAAGATCGCAGATCAGTTTGGTGGCGGATTGCCATTTTTGCCGAAGGTATTTCCTTTTTTTTTTTTTTTTTTTTTTCCGACCTCGACTTTAAACACTTGACTGGAATAGCTCTGATGATAATACCAGATTCTGTCAATGGACAAGGCTCTCCCCCTCCAAATCCATCCAGACCGCGAACTTGCCGAACAACTGCATAGACAAGACCCGGAGAAGTTCACTGATACCAATCACAAACCTGAGATTGCCGTTGCACTCTCACAATTTGAGCTTTTTGCCGGATGGAAACCGCTCAACGATCTGACGCAGCTCTTTCAACAACCGCCCCTGAAAAAGTTCTTGCCATCACCGCACTCCAACTTCAATGACGAAAGCCTCAAGCGCGTAGCCCAGAATATTCTCGAGGCCGACGAAAAGACCGTGGCTGACACGCTCAATGGACTAATCAATATCCCTGAAACGGCGTTTGGGAAGTACTCATACATCCCCAAAATGCTTGAAAGAGTCCGGTCGCAGTACTCCGAGTTCGACAATGGCAATCTTCTAGCCGTCGTCTGCATGAACTATATGATCCTGCAGCCCGGTGACTCCGTCTACGTTCCTGCTGACGGCATGCATGCGTATCTATCCGGCAATATCCTGGAGTGCATGGCTCGGTCGGACAACGTGCTCAACACTGGATTCTGCCCTCGCCCCGATCGAGATAGCGTGCCCTTATTTTGCGAAGCGCTCAGTTTCTGGCCCCATGAGCCCGACGAGGCTAGACTGGGGAGACACCCTGCTGAAAAGAGTCTCAATGGTAAGACAGTGGAGTACTCGCCTCCCATCAGCGAATTCAATGTCCTCGCAACGCATCTTGGAGCTGGGGAAAGGGAGAGATTGAAGCCGATCAATGGACCCAGTGTTTTGGTTGTGACGGGCGGCGGAGGCAGGATGACTGCTAAGGCTAGTCAGGGAAAGGCTTATGAGCTCAAGGAAGGTTCTGTGTACTTTGTGGCGTGTGGAGTTGAGTTGGAGTTTGAAGCTGATGCCGACAAGTTGGATATTTATATGCCATTCGTGGAGTAGACGGTATTGTTTGTATTTCGGGTATATCTAGGCAATAGCATTATCAATCAACCAACATCGTACGTAGGCATCATGAGAACTGAAGTGGTGAAAATTGGAGTATTCGGTCCTATTAGGTAAGATATGGACAAAAGAGAGAAGTTCAAATGCACCTAGGCAATCAATAAGTTAGTTCTTTGTTTATCGCATTGATGACTTTCTTGCACTTTACTGCATGGCCCTGTCTTCCAACCGGCATCGAGTATCAGAGCGCATGCTAGGGGGGATATATTCTTAGTATACGGAGTGTCTGTTCAGGTAGTCGCATAAGCCATGCATCTTCTTATAAAAGTCGTGTCATCAAAGTCTCATGCCAGGTTGAGACACGAGTCAGCGAGGTTGTTCTACTCAAAATCGAACGTAGAGAAATAGGTGCAGATATGAATAGATCGCTCCACGACGTCGTTGTCAAATGCTTAGTAGCATTTTGTAGTTACAATAATAGAAACATCTTGATGCAGCTAATTCCTTAGGGCACAACTATAACGGTAGCCCTCGAAAGCTCCTGTCCAACCATCCCGCGGCGGCTTTGCCAACGTAACCCGATTAGGAAATAGTGACCAGTCTAACAAATCCCTTTTCGCCGCGTCCCAACAACGCATCTATTTTGAGATCTTGGGCTTGATTTAAGGAGCTTTGCTTTTGCCGGTGACAACCAATAGGGTGTCCAGAGACTACGCACTAAGGCCGGCAATTCGTCTGCTAATCATGCTTCCAAGCCTTCCACGGTTGGGCCTCCGTATATTTATGGAAGTGGAAAATGTTCCGAGAAAAGCGCGTTCTATTCCAAGGGTCTTTAAGGTTTCAAATGCTTGTTTATTATGCGCCTCAATGGCTATCTCCGCGCCAGATAAAACTCTGAGTCATGGCACAACTCTTGGCTGAAGTATACATAGGCCGCTGTCCCTCTCCTTGTTTCTCGTCTCTTCATCTTGCATTGCCTCTTTCAACCAATATCGAAGAATTGACACCATACCACCAGCGCCTCTGAGTGGAAATGGGCTTGGGCTGGGCTTGAGCTTGAGCTTAGGCTTTGCTTAGGGACATCGACAAGGGGAGTCGTTTGCCTATATCCATATCATAATTCACGTTCGCCGTCCACCGTTCACGACCCATTGAGCACCTAGGCAGTCTATTTTGGGTTATGACATATATCATTCTGAACTCCAAGACTTCATCAACATCTACCACCGATCAATGCCACCATGTCGCGCCATTTCTTCCCTTTTATGATATCACAACCGTTGAATCTAGACCTCACCCTAGCTCTGGTAGCCATTTTGTTGGTCACTACAGTCCAAGCTGACAACGGCCTTGGTACCGACGCTCCAGCTCCGGTAACAGACATTCAACCCTCAACTACTGCAGCAAGTACTGGTGGCAATGGCGGATTATCGAAGACTGCAAAAATCGTGATCGGGGTTGTAGTCGGCATGGTTGGCATTTCAGCGAGTATGTTGCCGATGATGATGAAAGAAGAGAGACATTTACTCATAGCGTACTGCCACTGTCAAAGTGTGAATAGAAGAGCTAACATATATTGGTTTATAACACAGTTTGCGGTGCTGTATTCTTCTTTTGTCGGAGAACGAAAAAACGGAGCGACAAAACGAAACGCCACGAGACGATGAATTCCTACCATGACGCCCAGAGAGCAGCCCATCGACAACACCAAATGCCGTTTAGAAGTCAACGACAGCCCGATCCGGAACAAGGGATGATTGAAATTGCCAAAATCGAGCGAGAAAATTCGCAGACAATTCGAGATTCCGTACTGCCCAAATACGATCCATCATCCTTCCCGAGCAGCCAGTACAGCATAGACCTCAGCCGTGGTGCGATGTCGCTTGATATGCCTCGAGAACCGTTATTGAGCTACCATAATCATCATAATAGGAATTCGTTGTCATTCTCGCAAGTCATCGCACCACTACCACTACCGCCACCACCTCCTCCTCTACCTCCGATGCCCCCTGCGGTAGCGTGGAATAGACGATCGAGAGTAGAAACAAGCAACGACACTCGGACAAATTCATCGGCAAATAACAACTCATCTGTACCAGCTGTGTCGGTCTCTACGGGCAGTCAAGAGCGGCCTAAAGGGCCGAAGAAGCCGAAGCCCACACTAGCACGCCTGATAACGAACTTGTAGAACAGTTGGGTCTAGAGACACAATGGTATTCTTATTTAACAGCGACGACCTATATTCACAATAGCTACCCAGGGCTCGTGTTTGCTCGTCTTGAGTTTGTCGATCGAGCTCGACATGCGTCAGGAACGATGTGCTCTTTCTCCTTTTCCTCGTCCTCCTCAGCGCATACAAACACGATGCAAGTGAGAATATAGATACTTTATCTTCACTATACGACTACGATATGACCACGACACGAAATTGTATGATGGACTGTTTCTTCATACAGTGAACACTTGGGACATGAATGATAATGATAATAGCGAGGCGTTTTGGGAGCTTGGGCGGGTTTTCTATTTTTTTATTCCTACTTTTGTAAAGAGTCCATGCTGATCGATTTATACATAAGTCTATTCCTTGCCAAAAGCTGACTGATATGTCCCGGAGTTCAAGGTTCCTAGAGGTGTTAGGCTGTTTGCAATACTTGATTCTTCGAGGCTCGTATTAATCAAGTCTAGGCATTGCCCATTATGATCATGAAATGTATATTACTTAAGTCGTGGGTATGTTTAACCATTCATGACACGGACTTTAATGCGGAGCCGTTCTTAGAATTTGGGATGAATATAGCCCGTTACTAAGGGTCTGTGCCCAGTGAAAAAAAAATGAGTTGCCTAACAATGCCTCTTCGAGAGTGGTTCGACCTCAGTATTCTATACATCACAGTTTAATAGCAGTCATTAAAGATATGCCCATGGTTGTAACCGGAAATAAATCCTAAAGCATCCCCACATAGCCCTAACCCTAACTCCAAGCCCTAACTCGAACTCTTTAAAAGTTTGGCACTGGCATAATTTCTAATTGTCCAAATGCCCTGCCAGTCATCTACTTTCAAAAGTCATACAGCATATTTGTTCGGTGCAATTGAATTATTTACTACACGTTGATCGATCTGCCGAGTTAATGCCGAGAATTATCAGCGTGCTCGCTATTAAGCGCCCTCATGCTTGTCTCGGCCCATACGAACAGTCCGTTTACTCCGTACAGCGGCATGCATTAAGCATGCAGCACTGCTAGGCATTAGGACCGGGTTACAAACTTCCCGCCCTCGCATTCTTTTTCTACTACGTACGTGGAAGCAAATAACCGCCGAGGACCCCGGTTAGCTGCATCTGACGTTGCTCCGTCCATCCATTTAGCTTCGCTGTCTGCCTGTCACCACTCACTATGGCCACTTGACCCATTGATCGACCCTGCTTGATAGGCTCAGGGAGGGTATGAGGCGCATCTAGCTGACGCAAGTAGAACGAGACTTATCTACTCATCATTCGTGGAGTGCGAACGGGGGCGCCACTCGGTGAACACAACCTAGGGCATATCATTCTACGTCCGTACTTGGAGAGAAAAACGATGTTTTTGCGACTTTAGAGACTTTGGACGACTCTTGCGGCGCCACGTCGTTGGATTAGACGCCGACGCTTTCTTTCTCAGACACACTTATATAATCTGCATAACAGATGAGATGATCAGCATGTATCACTAGTGACTAACCGGACTCATCAACCAACTAACTAGTTATCTATCAATCGGCCGATTGTCTCCGGAAGTACTACTAGGTACCTAGGTAGCAGTCTAGCAGGCTACTAGAGGGCCTACATGTACAGCTAAGCGTAGATCCCGCAACTATTTCCGCCCAACGACAACAACCAGAAAAGAACGCTTGGGGGCTTTGGGGGCTTGCGGGGGTTAACCCGATGGCATGACTATGAATCAATCATACTCTCCAATGCCCTGTTTAAATAATGTGCAAACCTGCAAGGGAAAAAGTAACAGTTTCCCGACCCTTGTCGGCCAATCTCCCCATTGCCGATAATCCAGCCGATAGAAATGGGCCAGGACAGCAGACCAATCGAGGCCTATCATATGCCTTATCCGGCGATTAACAGCCCATGCCATTGGCGTCGACGGGGTCACAGTCGCGGTTGTGCCGGCTCCGTTGTGCCATGGCCGTAGCAGCGCATGCATGCATTAATGATGCATACGTATCTTCAAGGCTTGGCACGAAGGAGACACAGGCAGAGGCGTAGACTAGTAAGCAAGGACATTTGTTGTTTTTCGGAATAGTCAATACCAAACGACGCAATCTAGTCATTCGCTCGCTCACACTCGACTCAAACGAACCCTAGCAGACGCCGTAATATACCGTACCATGGGCCGCGCTTTAGCTCTGGACGAGGACAAAGAACGAGCCGCTGAATAGATTAAACCGAAAAATTCAGCTGCAGTCGTATACTACTTACTATAATAGTGTGTACTATATAATGACTGGCTGAGAAGCCACAAAGGAAGCTTATTCTTGTTTGCTTTTCAGCATCATTGGCCGGTAGAGTGCCCTGAGGATGATACACTAGGCACGAAAATCAAAGAAATGGGTCGTCTAGACTCTCAGTCTAATCAGAGACTCTGTAAGTTACCTCGTCTTTCGCCGTCCCTTTCTCTTCTCGCCGTAAAGCTAGAACGAGCATAATGGGATTTTATTTGTCACTGAACCAGGGACCTTTCCACCCTATTCTGCTTAAAAAGTAAAGTTGTTTAGACTACGTCGAGACGATCCACTTCGTCTACGCGCCTCGCCTCGAAAAAGTAGTTGACTGCGCCGCAAAACTATGCAGACACAAAAAACCACTTAGGCAACCCCCCTCTCCATCACGCAAATCATTCTCTCTTTCTGCCTGACCAACCGCCGTGCTAAGCAAGGCTACTGCTCACTTTTTCTCATCTGATATCCTGTCAATCCCCGTCGCGGTCCCGACAGTTTGGTACTGGAGGGTTGCTGTCTTGCCCTTCGTGACCGTTCCCCTCTTCCTCCTCTTCTTCCTACTTGTTGTCCTCCAGCCGATGCTCCGCTAGAAGAGGGGAGAAAACAAATAAAATGAAGCAGGTACCCTTTTCTTCATCTTCCATATCTGATTCACCCCGAGTTTCCGCTCGACTGCTACTGCCTTGTGCCGAGTCACGCTTTGGCTCTTTAGCACAGGGCACGATCTCCATTTAGCATCTAGTGGAAGAAATTCCTCTCTTCTCTAGCCTAGCATCTAGACTTTTATCTAGATGACTGGCATCTAATCATCAATCCTTGTGTATGAAAGACATCATTTGATCACATTCGGCGGCGTTTGTCATTTTTCAACTCTTTTTTTCTTTTGCTTTGCGCATTATTTTATATCCAGTCCACTTGAGTTATTTTTTTATTTTTTTCCCCTTTTCCTTCTTCCAACTGCTTCAATTCGACGTGGTATCTCTCATATCCAACCAAGCCCAAAATCAGCGCGCACATGCCCAGTATTTTTTAGACCGAGACATGTGCCTTGCAGGCCTCCTACCAGTCAGAATGGATATTCTTCGATGGAGAAGAAAGAAGGAAGTCTCATCCCGGATGGATGACCGCTTTGGAGATCCATCAATATCCGCGCCTACTCAAGGATCGTGGAATGAGATGCCTCCTCTTCGGCCCGTGAAAACGGAGCTTGCGCCAACAGATAAAGTCGGCCGATTCAAGTCTTTCTTGCGTTCGCACACGGTCGATTCACCTGATTATTCTATTAGCACTGTTGAACGTGCCAATTTCCCCCGGCACCCGATGGTAGATATGCAAAATCACCAACGGTCCGTTTCGGTCGACAGAATCCAGGAACGAATGAACAACAATAGCCATGGAAACGGCAGCACGAGCAGACCACGCTTATCTTCAAGCCCGCAGGTGCATAGAGTATCATCATATGACTCGCTCACGGGCTCTGACGAAGACGAAAGTGAGCATAATGGCCATGGAAGAGACTCAAGGGACAGACGAGACAGGCGAGACATGGTGCGGCACTCTCGGAGTCGCTCACAAGAAGAGCACTGGCAAGCGCACCTACAGCACAAAGCTCCTCATCGCAATGCACAGCATAAATCGCCTCCGTTATCTTCAACCGCAATTATGCGTCGGTACAGCTCTCAAAGCGAGTCCACGCGCACATATAACTCGACACCTTCAACAGCTACCTTCAGCTCGCAACACACGAGTGTGACAACTCCTGGATTGCACGGATTTTCCGGGTCTCTAGTGCCACCTCTGCTGAAAGAGGAGGAATATTATCCGGGCCTCAATCACTACGCTCATGAACCTCTTCCTCCTATCCCTTCCATTCGGAATAATAGGGCCGGTACTCGCACCTCGCCTTCATCTTCCCCCCCTTCGGCATCTAATAGTGCCTCTCGAGGATACTCGCGTGGTGCACGCTCCAACAAACGGCATCACACAGTCCCAGTTGGCCCGCAGGAGCTGGTGCCATCCAATGATGAATTATGGGGGTACTGATCACCGCCCGAGAAATTCAAATCTGGACTAATATGGGACATCACATTGAATAAATGATTTGGCTTGGTTTTCTCGAATATTTCTATTTTTTTGTTATTATTCTATATATCCTCTCTTTTCTTCAGGCACACCTCCGAGTCTTCTATATGCGCACTCGCAACTTCCTTAGCCATACCTTCTAGATACAAACAAAGTCTCTCCATATATAATAAAGCTCTCAATCCATAATGCTCAAGTATCTATTCTAGAGTGGTTTTATTCTGGTTCTGTCCTTGTAGCACGTGTTTATAGGCTGCTTCTTCTTCTTCTTTCTCTTCTTCAACGTATGGATGGTATCTCGGAAAATGCCAGGTACCCGTGCGGGTATGCAGCAAAGGCTTCAGACCAGACAGCAATACACACGGCTCTAGCCCTGTGCTACGGTGACAACCAGGCCATCAGACGGTCAGGGCCTTTTTTTCGCCCCTATGATTTCGCACGCTATCTGCAAGAGCATGGGCAGGCTATCTATCGGCTAGCAGCGTGACTAGCTCAGCCATTGATTAAAATATATTAACCGGTGCCTCTAAACCTGGTACCAGCAGGCTATCAGAGCTACCCCGCCACCCGATGTAATGCAATGCAGTCAAAGTAGTGAATGGATGTAATTAATGTGAACGAGCTCTTCGACATCGATCCTTGATGTTGCATCTGCCCGCGCTAAGCCCAAACTGGGACGCAGGGTTCCGATTGGCCGGGCGGGGCGGGCCGACGGCACATGATCTTTCCCCTCTCCTCTTTCCTTCCCTCTTTTAGTCTCCTCCTGAGCTGCGAATCACCGCCCGCGATGCACGTCGTCCATCACAGTCACAATGTGCTTGCACGCCTCCATCCAATCCTGGTCTCCCTCTCCATCCCGATGCCCTCTAGACCGCAGTTTCGCTGCAAATCATGGCGGGGCTCACAATGTGCTCCGGGTGCATCCAGCGAATCCGAGGCCTTCTCTAACCGCCCGGATAACAGAGCTAAGCTTCGCATGTCCTACGCCGCAGAGAATCTTCTGCTAATCAGCTTGTCGCTATGGCTTCCCATTTGCTGCGCGTCGTAAGTCGCCTGTGAGAGACTATGCATTGCGTGGTTCGTCCTTTGTGACCTTTTCTTTTTCTCCCCTCTCTCTCGTCTTTTCGAAGGAAACAGGAAAGCAAAGGCTGCGTGAACGGGGACATAGTACGTGATCTGCTTGCGACGACTTGCATTTCAAGCAAATTATGTTGAACCGGTCTTAGGCTAGCACTAATTCTTGATTCTGTCCTTGACGGAGCTAATTACATCGGATGTACCTCTTGACTTCAAAAGGGTGTAGTATCCGTGCTATTCATGTTCGTTCTCTTTACTTTCTCTTGAACTTACTTGGCATGCAGCCTATTGGACCCCTCCTACCGTGCGCTAACATTTTTTCTTCGCTGTGGACTTAAAGAACGGGCAGATAAATCAATCAGGTCTTATCCTTATCTGCTTTCTAGAGAGCTCTGGTATAAATTATCTGGGCGTACCAATCTTGGACTCTTGTCGCACGGGGTAGAAGTCTACTGGAAGACCTTATACCGCACAAATACCTGGCGTTCAATCCATTTCTTGAGGCAAGGAGAAAGTCTACTTTCTTTAGTCTTCATGATGGCGAGGATTCAATCGACCCTCTTGGGTCTCCTCGCCTTCACGATCCCCACCATTCATGCTCTGCGCACTGTCCAGGGTTCACCATGTACATCGCTCTGTGGCGACACATCAAACACCACATCCAGCGAGATATCCTGCATTGACTCGGCGTACAATACGACGCAGACAGGCGAAACCTTCGAGAGCTGTGTCTCATGTCTGCTTGAGAGTAACTTCCAAAATGCGACGAGCGGAGAGACAGACGTGAATTGGGGCTTGTGTATGTTTTTTATTTCTCGATAATAGTTGTATATATACTGACCTGCCTTTTTGGGTGTGCACAGACAATCTGAGATTTGCGTTCACCTCATGTGTCTACGACTATCCAGTGCCCGTCACCAATGTGTCTACGCCCTGCCTGGTCTCATGTACAACCCTGGGACCAGCGCTCGAGATGCAATTGACGGATCCAGTTGGCAGCGATCTCTCCAGCTTCTGTAATTCGACTTTCTTTGCAGACAATGTCGTGACAACATGTGAGAATTGTTATACCTTAACGACGGAACAAGCATATCTCACAAATTGTATGTTCTCTTAACACCATCTGGCTTCTGCTGAGATGAAAGACAATTCAAACAAATCTAGAAGCTTGGTTTGCTGATATTTCCACGATACTTATTTTAGTCTTGGAAGCTGTCCGCTACAATTGTCACTTTCCTAATGACCCTGGCGTGGCGTATTCTATCACCCCCGATCGTATCTTCAACGATACAGAACTACCGAGCACTACCAATTCCTACGGCGCCACCACCTCAGCTACATCTACTGGCGAATCCAATGTCAAGAAATATCTCACGGTCATTATTGTAATGCCTATTATTGGGTTTTTGGCTATCTCAGCCCTGACAGCTCTCTGCTGTTTCTGCCTCATCCAGCGCCGACGCAGGCTCGCAGAAGAACGCCGCAGCAACCAGCGTAATCGCTGGGCAACTGGAACTTTTACTGCGGCATGGCAACCTGCCTGGACTAATTATCCCGGCTCACCGTACCAGCAACAATTTGCAATGGAGAGTACCGCTCCCTTTGGTTCGGCTCCGTTTGGCTCTGCTATTCCGGGAAAGGGGTTCAACGTGGTTGAATCTGACGGCAAGACGTACGAGGCGGGTTACTCGACACAGTACGTCACGCCTGTGAGTGAGGATGGCTCCGATATGAAGCAATCATTCCAGTTCAGAAATGAATCTACAAGTACGCAAGGGCAGGACATAAAACACGCAGAGAGCTACCAAGAATTCTTCGCATCGCCCGGGGCGCCCCATGCATTATAAATCCACAATGAGGATCTAATTCTAACATACCTGATCGGCTTGGCAATCCTTTTTTTGAAAGATGCGGGACGCAGTAGCAGATGGGAAGAATGAAATGGGAATTCCCTCCCCAGTTTGACATGATATGACGATATAACATGAGGTCAGTTGACTTCAGTACGTTGACTGGTCTGTGGTAGTGGCTGTCTCGGTCGACGGACACTAGATATCGTCGAAGACTAGTCGGCTATTCCTCCGCCGATGGCAGCCTCTGCCACCGACAAGTTAGGGTGCTTGAAGTTGATTGTATTCGGAATATCTACTTATCGTTATGATCTGGGGCGTTTTTCCAGTCTGTCTTTGCCGACATCTTCTCCTCTTTTGCTCATGCCTGATCGGGATGATTAGAAGGAATTCCGGATGCGGAACTGGATTGGAAGTGCCGGACACTTGTCACTCATGATAACCATCAAGCAATTTCTTACATACACTACATATCATACATTAAAAACCCTCTAATGTATCTAGCGTTCATTATTTTACTACGAATTGGCGTCTTTGCTTGCTTTGATGAATGTTCACAAGCAGTTTGGTCCATAGACTGGCTGCATATTTGATTTTTATACCCGTGATTATTATTGTTAGCCTTAGAAAAAAAAGAATCAGACTTGAGATCAAGCTAGTGACATTTATTCAGTAATCCTATGCGTTGAGATTTGAATTTCTATTTATTATATATAAGCGAACTAGACCAAGGTCATTCGTCACAGGTCGTATGAAAATGGCTGTACTATATATACTATACAGCCGTCCATTACCTGGGTATCCCACTCCTATACTTGCAGACCAACGAAAAGACCTATCTTATGGATCAGATAGTAACCAGGCTGGATCAGGTTCGTCGTCCTCATCTTCTGATCGGAATGCCATGGCTTTCACATCTTCTGACGTTAAATCTTTTAGTAAATCGGCCGGTGGCTCGTCCGCATGTTCATCGTCTTCACTCGGGATGGTAATTGTTGGAGGGGGATGATTGTTCGAGTTCCTGTCTTTTGTTTCTTTAACTGTGCGTTGTTGGTCATTATCATCGTTGTCTGCAGCGCCAATTACAGGCTCATTTTCATCTTCCTGTTCTTCCGGTTGTTTGTAATCAAATGCTTGCTTCAATAGGCTCTGCGCTTCTCGTAGAGCTTGCAGCTCTGCGCCAATACTGCAGACAAGTAGCCTCCAGTCTTTCTCCTCGGCCATCTCGAGCTTTTCTTCAATCTGGCGAGTTGTAATCTCCAAGTCCGCTAGAATCCTTCTGCCTTGTTCTTGTTGATCGGCCGGATTTCCTAAGCCAGGCAACATTGACTTTGATAGGATGATGGATTGTTGCATCTCGTCCTTCAGTCTCCTTTCGAAGGCTGAAATCTGCCTGATCACACTTTGCCACAGAGGCCCCCCATCATCTAGTGCAGCGATTTCGAGATCCACGTTGTGCAGTCTCTCCTTCAATTCTGTTTGTTCTGTTCGCCAGTGATCGCGGGCCATTTCGAGTGTTCGTCGCTTAGGGTGCAATGAGTAAAAAGACGATCTGTCAACATCAGGCCGTAAGGGTTGGAGGGGTGGATTTCCTAGATACCGGCGGACTTCGGTGTCCAGAATAGACAAGGACTCTTTATATGACGATAATTTCGCGTCCACGGAATTCTCTATGCGAGACACTTCTTGGATAATATGACGGTGTCTTGCCTTCATATCAGCAAGCTTGAGTTCAAGCTCGTTGATCTCATGCTCGAGACTTTTCGCTTCTCCTTTCAACTTGCGTGCTCTTTCCCCCTCGCGATCATTCTCCATGTCCGATATCGTTTTCTCAAGTCGTTCCTTTTTGTTCGCAAACGTATCGATTTCGGTAATCGTATCTTGTCTCTGCTGGATCCGATGCTGAACGAGGCGTTTCTCTTCCTCCCTCAACGTAAGAAGGTCGCTCATTGACCTTAGTATACCCTTTCGTGCAGCGCGCAACCCGGTCTTCTTTCTCGGCGGCTGTCGAATGGGAATTGTACGCACACCTCTATCTGGACTACCTATCGCAGATGTCGGGGTATTGGAACCCTGATTCGAGGTAATATCGCTATTCGCATGGCCCGGAGACCGCATGTTGGCAAGCAGCCCATCGCTTTGCGCGTCCAACAGGCTTTGTATTTGCCGCTGCAGGTGTCTTGATTGGCGTTCGATATATACAAGCGGATCATCGTGTGGCTCTGAAGCTAGTCGTATATCTGGCAAGGGGATATCGAATAACGTGGGCATCTTTTGGATCTGCTAGTAAGGCTGGGACTGCGTTCGTTCACGAAGAAATCTCAAACGAAAAAGGAAAATTTATATGTCGCCCAGAACAAAAACAGCAGCAGAAAGGAAAGGTGCTCTTCATCAAGCGGATGTCGTAGGCCTCATGACATGAAGCACATGAGAGAGTAAGTAGCAGGTACTTAAGCTTGTGACCCGGCTAGCGATAGCTCCTTATCGGGCCGAGAGCTGCCCCGTTTTGGGATGGTGCGCCTACGCCGTTCAACTTCAAACTTCACACGGCATCTTATCGAAGGCAATAATGTATATCTAATCTAAGACCGTAAAGCACCAAAAGGTAACATAGACTAATTGGCGTGGCAATTGGGTGGTTGCACGATGTATAAGCTTACTTCGGATGTGTGCCTGAGGCCTTCTCCGTGCTTAGGGCTTTGCCCTCTCACCATGGATGGGAATAATGAGCTCGTTCTCTCCTGCGACATGCGACAACACCTTGCTGGGTCACCCCGAGGTTACATTAGGCTTGGTCTTTAGCGTAGGGGGTACACAATACCATTATCGGACGAGGACGTGGTATAGTGCGACAGGGACTGAGGCCGCAGATATGGTTAATTGAGCTTTTGATCCCAAAGCATCGGTTAACGTAGCTCTGGAAGATCAGACAAGTCGACCCCTCAGGCACAGCAGCTTAGGTATTCAAAAGACATGACAATGAGGCGAATGGAAAATCGAGCTGGAATGTGGAAAGCTCCTACCTCAGCTCTATACGTAGTTTGACAACCTTCGTGGTTTGAGTGATAAACATTCCGCGCAGTATGCCCACCGGGGATTTTCAAGTCGAACAAGGAGTTGAACCCGTTGCTTGTCTTCGTTATTCACGTATGAAAGTGGAAGATGGCGGTCCGTGGGTTGTGAAGGAAGCATTAAGCTGTCTTTGGCGAGCACCTTGTATCGAGACAACAACTTTTTGCAGCTGAGGGCCAAACAGACTTGGTCGACCGGAGGAAGATACTGATAAACCCGGGCTAAGAGGCTATCATCCAAGCAGTGGATGATGATGCGCTTCGTCTTTAGAATGTGACGACGAAGGATCAAGAATATGTTGTTGCGGATTTTCTGAAAACTACCTTTTGTTTGACCTTTTTTCCTCGTGTTATCACGCTTTCCTTCGTTTTCCAAGCTTGTAATCAAGGTATAAGCTTCCTTTTGTTGGGCATCAAGGAAATGGTTTACAGGACGAGCCAGCCCACCGAATAATGCTTGGAACTTGTGCATTTTGGGAATTTGAGTATCCAAGGACTTTTGCTAGATTTGTAGCATGGCTTGGAGGATAGAGACGTCCAATTTATCTATGACCTGAGAAGCATCTAATGACTACGTGACTTGAACCTTGTCATGATTCAAGGTCTCTGTTTCAAACTCAAAATATCGAATAGCATGATGGCTCATCGGCGCCTGAATATGGTTTATCACGATATATCATGTTTTGAAAACCGTACTGCCATGATTGCTCGGCAGTCAAGCAACGATCTTATCGATTTAGCAGGTATACTGCTAGAGATGTACTCCTTCATCAGCCTCTTTGGACTAACTGGAGCCACATTTGACTTAAGTATTCACCGTCTATGTTACAGAAGTCTCTCCAATACATGTACACTGGCTGATTAAACCAATGTAGAAAAGTGATTGTCTACTCCGGTTTCAATTCATCTGAACTGCTGAACGGAGAAACACAGGCATTCAAAGCATTCCATGCTACAAGAATACCAGTATATCATCTATGTTGCTTGATATATAGAATACTACCTAGTTCTATAAAACAAAAATAACTTAATTACGAATAAATATACATCTACTATTTTGGTATTTTGATTCTGTACCATGATTGGCCCACCCAATTACTTCCAGGAACGGCTTAGCGTCACTTCCAACAGCTCCGTCAGAGCACGTGACCTCGCAGGCAGCTTGCATCTTTGTCAGCTGCTCCGGCGTCTTGACGTGTACCAGCCCAATCTTCCTTCATCTATCCTACCTTGTTTATTTTCCATCCTTTCTCCTCCTGCAAATCCTGTTGGGACTCTTCAGACTGCTAGACTTTTCTTTTTCGAGCTATTGTGCCTAATTTGTCACTGGTGCGATCAGGACTGCCCGCGATTTTCCACCTCCAAGTTGCCATCCCCATCGCCTGAACTAGCACACAACACAGTCGGGGCCGACGGAGTGCAAGCTTGCAAGCTTTTCTTTTGCGACCAGCTCAACCACATAAGCTTCTAAGATGGTTGGACTCACATCTGCCTCTGGCCTGGTGGGCTTTCTATCGGAGCCAGACCCAGAGCTTAAAGTGTTTGCTTTGAAAACACTCGATGCCGAGGTCGACGTGCTATGGACTGATATCGTTGATGCGATTCCTGAAATGTATGTGTGCTCCTTGTATTATCATGTTTGTTATTTTTCGTTTTGTGCTCCCAACAGTTTGGCGATCGATGACGAAATACTAATCCGAAATGACCCTGCGCAGAGAGGCTCTATACGAGGACGAGACATTTCCTGAGCGCGAACTCGCAGCCTTAGTCGCTTCAAAAGTGTACTATCACTTACAAGAATACAATGAAAGCATGGTATTTGCACTTGGTGCTGGAAAGCTATTGAACTTGGACAAAGGCGGCGAGTTTGAGCAGACAATCATCTGTAGGTTTTCGTTTGCTAGCCCCCCCCCTCTTGAGCATCAATGATTCTAATGCTATCATTAGCCAAGTGTATCGATACATTCATATCACTATCCGCTAGCCGTCGTCCAGCAGTTGGCGAGACCCCACTGTCTCTCAACACCGCTTTCCCTTCATCCTCGAATGGCGCCACGAACACGTCAGCCAGCCTAGCCTCTCCCATCACGCCATTTTCACAGTCTGCCCTTCCTTCGAAATCTCTTTTGTCGCGCGAGGAAGAGCCAAGCTCAGATGCCGCCTATGCAGGTGGGGAAGACAGTGCCTCTAAATACGAAGAAACTTCCTTGGTTGTGAGGAGAGGAGTACAGAAACAACTACAAACTGTCATTGAGCGGCTTTTTGAACAGTGTTTTCGTCAACACAGATACCGCCAGGTCGTCGGAATCGCGATAGAAGCGAAGAATTTGGAGGTTTTGCGAACGGCTATCCTTCGATGCAGTGAAGCTGAGAAGCAACAGGGAGATACCTCAAGGCACGGCGAGGAATTAATCGAATATGTGCTGGATATTTGCATGGGTGTCATTCAGGAGCGAAGTTTCCGTAATGAGGTTTGTGACTGTCATTGTTGTTAGGGCTTTGGCTACTTTGAATACTAATCACATAGCTATTGCTATTAGATCCTGAAGCTCATCCTTGAGCTTCTGAATCAAATTCCGTCTCCAGACTACTTCTCAATCGCCAAATGCGTCGTTTATCTCGATGAACATTCTATGGCTACGGATATTCTACGACAACTTGTGGACAAGGGGGACGCGAAGTCGTTGGCCATCGCATATCAGATTTCGTTTGATCTTTACGATAATAGTACTCAGGAGTTTCTAAAGAAAGTTATCGGGGAGGTCGCAGAACTCATCCCAGATGAAACTCAAACTGAAGGATCAAATGGTACTGAAGCTACTGAATCAGACTCTCTGCTGCAGAATCAATCATCTTCCAAGAGCGAGTTATCGAAAGAGGCACTCGAAGCTTTCAAGGCAATTCGCGACATCTTGGACGGCGTTAAGACTATCCAGCTCAACCTTGAATTCCTCTACCGCAGCAACAAGGCCGATGTGTCAATTCTCAACAAAGTGCGAGACAGTCTTGAAGCGAGGAACTCCATTTTCCACAATGCCGTTACATTTTCAAATGCATTTATGCATGCGGGTACAACGCATGACAAGTTTTTCCGTGACAATTTGGAATGGCTCGGAAAAGCTGTCAACTGGTCGAAATTCACGGCAACTGCCGCTCTTGGTGTAATTCACAGGGGAAATCTTTCAGAGGGCCGGAAGCTTCTTGCTCCATACCTACCCCGCGAGCACATCTCCGGTGTTGGTAGCACAGGCTCCGTCTACAGCCAAGGTGGATCTCTGTTTGCATATGGTCTGATCTACGCAAATCATGGAGGTGCTGCTGTTGAGCTTATTCGTGATCATTTCAAAAAAGCGACCGAGGAAGTTGTACAACATGGAGGTGCTCTCGGTCTTGGTGTCGCAGGTATGGCAACAGGAGATGAGGGTATCTGGGAAGATCTCAAAAATGTTCTTTACACAGATTCTGCCGTGAACGGTGAGGCAGTTGGGTTAGCTATGGGCCTTGTCATGTTGGGTACCGGTAACATGAAGCTTTTGGAAGAAATGGTCCAGTACGCCCATGAGACCCAACACGAGAAGATCGTGCGGGGCCTTGCGTTGGGTATGGCTCTGATCATGTTCGGCCGACAAGAAGCCGCTGACGAACTCATTAACGGCTTATTGGGTGACCCTGATCCCTATCTCCGTTACGGGGGAATTATGACTGTTGCTTTAGCCTACTGCGGCTCAGGCAGCAACAAGGCAGTTCGCAAGCTCCTCCATGTTGCGGTCAGCGATGTCAACGACGACGTTCGTCGAGTGGCTGTGATGAGCTTGGGATTCATCCTTTTCCGCAAGCATCAGAGCGTGCCCCGTATGGTTGAGTTGTTGTCTGAATCCTACAACCCGCATGTCCGGTATGGTGCTGCCATGGCTTTGGGTATCTCCTGCGCTGGTACTGGCCTCGATGAAGCTATTGATCTTTTGGAGCCCATGCTTAAAGATCCTACGGATTTCGTGAGGCAAGGCGCTCTTATCTCACTTGCTATGGTGCTGGTTCAGCAAAACGAAGTCATGAACCCCAAGGGCGGGTCCATTCGCAAGACCATGAATAAGATGATTACGGACCGCCATGAGGATGCCATGGCGAAATTTGGTTGCGCCATTGCTTTAGGTATCATTGATGCAGGTGGACGAAACTGCACCATCAGCCTGCAGACTCAGACGGGCAATCTTAACATGCCCGGAATCGTGGGTGCTGCTGTCTTTACGCAGTACTGGTACTGGTTCCCTATGGCCCATTTCCTTTCCCTGAGCTTTACGCCGACTGCTGTCATTGGTGTTGATCAATCACTCGAGGTACCAGTGTTTAAATTCCACAGCAACACGCGACCCAGTCTCTTTGACTACCCTCCTGAGCAACAGGTCAAGGCCGATGAGACTCCTGAGAAAGTCAAGACTGCAGTCCTCTCAACAACCAACCAGGCTAAGCGACGCGCGCAACGTCGAGAGAAGGAACAGCAACAACAGCAGCGAGAGAGTATGGATGTTGATCAGACCCCAACAACACCCAAGGTCTCTGGCCAAGCTCCTGAGAAGGTGGATACGGAAGAAGGTGCTGCCAAAGAGGGCGAAGAGGGCAAGCAGGCTGACAAAGAGGAAGCTCCCGCGGATGGACCGAAGAGAAAGGTCGAGAAGGAAAAGATTGGGTATGAGCTAGAGAACATGTCACGTGTTCTCCCAGCGCAATTAAAATACTTGACTTTCCCTGACTCCCGATACGAGCCTGTCAAACGCGTAAGAATATCCTTTTCTCCTTGCTTTTACGTCTTTCTACCTATGCTGACATTCATACTAGCCTACCGGAGGAGTTGTTGTTGTCCTCGACAAGAAACCCAATGAAGAAAAAGAAACAATCGAATTGCGAGCAACTTCGGAACTTCGCCAGGCCGCCTTCTCAGACGCCCTTCAATATTTCCAAGACCGTCTGCAAGCGCAAGGTGTATCCGCCAATGCATTCGCAACACCACAACGGGGCGGAGCTGGAGCAGACGCCACCGGGGCTGCCCTGGCGGCGGGAGTACTCACTGCAGTTGATGAAGATGAGGAGGGTGCAGAGGATGCGCCTGTTCCCGATGAATTCGGCTATGAGACGGATAATATGGAGGAATAGAGGAAAGAAGATGAAGATATGGACTGCGTTAGATGGCTTTTGCGGCTTTCCAGCGGAGGTTGTGTGTTGCATAGTCCCTGCATGTATCAGTACTTTTATTATAACCTAAAGATCTCACATATGTATAAGCGCGGGCCAAGTGCCTTTTTCTTTTTGCCTTGCCTTTCCTTTTCTTTCATTTTCCTTGCGGGCTACTAGCTACTCAGCTGTTTGTCTAGAGTGTGGCAACCATGTGAAATAGTTATGATGGTTATAATTATAGTAGTGATTTGGTCTCCTCATTCCTGGCGCTGATGCACGGTGCGGCCGAGCTAGGTAACTTAGGTAGCTTAGCTATTTGCCTATATGGAAGAGTGTGCACAACTGAAACCCTGATTGATACAAGGATGTGAGGCAGAAGAGCTGGAGAACATCAGCCTCGGCACTTTCCGTTTCCGGTTTAGCGCATGACGCAGTCTTCGGCCGACGGCAACTGCCTTTGGAAATGCCTCACGAACTTGCCTAGGCATCATGATCCTCTTAGCCTTTTGCCTTGCTAACCATCACAGTTGCTGGGCACTCCCGCTCGAAGAATGATTCGCACTCCTTGCGCTGCATGATTATATAATACCTGGCCATATTCCTAACTAACTAGCTACCTAATCAGTTCCTCACCTATGACGCGGGAGCAATTCTCAAGCATGTGAATGCGCCGAAATCACCGAGTCCAACACACACGCAGTATTCCTACCTCAGCCCCCCGTTTCCGCCTGTCTTCTTCATATATCATACGCCTGATTCCCCGACAAAGGTTTTTCTCGTCTACTTCATCTCTAATTTACCCTCCCTATTTTGCTTTCGCTGCTGTCTCTATCTCCGGCTTTTTGCGGAAGACATACCCTCCCGCGTGACCGCCATGTCGCAAACGATTTCAAAAGAACAACTGGCTTCGCACAACAAGTCGGACAGCCTGTGGGTTGTCATCGACGAGGATGTATATGACCTGACAAAGTTCCAGGACGAACATCCTGGTGAGTCGTGAATTCGCCACTGTTCTCTCCACTGAACAAAGACCGTAATACTGATATTTGGGCGACTCCGCCTGAGTGAACTAGGTGGCAAAAAGAGTATGTTTCTTTACACACATACGCAATTATCCATGGTTCTGAGACCTTGGTACTAACATGAATCGTTCGGCATAGTCCTTCAACGTGTTGCCGGGAAGGATGCTTCTAAGCAGTTTTGGAAGTATCACAACGAGGGAATCTTGAAAAAATACAAGAGCAAGCTTCAGATTGGCTCGCTCGATACCAAAAAGGTTGCCACTCCTCCTCCGGCTGCTGCTGCTGCTGCTGTGCCTAGCCCAGCCAAGGCGAAGGGTGTTGCAGATGCCAAACCCGCCAAGTCGGAGGGACCGTTGGAGCCTTATGGAAATCTGATTCCATTTGCGGACCCATCATGGTACCAGGGTGTAAGTTTGCGCTGCGACTGTTGTTTTAGAAACATCAGATAAGTTGATGAGTGTTAACATTGCGGCTGCTTCTTAGCAACACTCCCCATACTACAACGAGACCCACGCTGCCCTTCGAGCAGAAGTCCGGCAATGGGTAGAGTCCGAAATCGAACCATATGTTACAGAGTGGGACGAGGGGAAGAAAGTACCAGATAGCATTTACAAACAGATGGGTGACCGAGGATATCTCGCTGGTCTTCTGGGTGTTCATTTTCCAGCTGAATACACAAAATCGCGAGTTCAGTCGGTGCCAGCAGAGAAATGGGACCATTTCCACGAACTCATCGTTACTGATGAACTCTCAAGAGCTGCCAGCGGTGGCTTGGTTTGGAACTTGATTGGTGGTTTCGGTATTGGATGTCCACCACTGGTCAAGTTTGGCAAGAAACCTTTGTTGGACAGAATTCTGCCAGGTATCTTGGCCGGTGACAAGCGAATCTGCCTTGCCATCACTGAGCCCGATGCTGGTAGTGACGTAGCGAACCTGACATGTGAAGCCAAGCTCAGCGAAGATGGCAAGCATTATATCGTGAACGGTGAGAAGAAATGGATCACCAATGGTATATGGTCCGATTACTTCACCGTTGCTGTCCGCACTGGGGGTGAGGGCATGAACGGTGTCAGTGTTCTGCTTGTTGAACGAGCCAATGGTGGTGTCAGCACCCGCCGGATGGACTGCCAGGGCGTCTGGAGCAGTGGCACCACCTACATTACTTTTGAAGACACCAAGGTCCCCGTGGAGAACTTGATTGGAAAAGAGAACCAGGGATTCAAAGGTATGTCAACAGTCTGGCATTGTAATATCATTTCACCCTATAAGAGACTAACTTATTCACGAATAGTTATCATGACGAACTTCAATCACGAACGTATTGGCATCATTATTCAAAGTCTACGATTCTCCCGTGTCTGCTACGAGGAATCAGTCAAATATGCGAATAAGCGCCGAACCTTCGGAAAGAAGTTGATCGATCACCCCGTCATCCGCATGAAGCTTGCAGATATGGCTCGCCAGATTGAGGCTGCGTTCAACTGGCTTGAAAACGTGGTATATCAAGCCCAGTCCATGGAGCATACCGAGGCTATGCTCAAGATGGGTGGTGCTATTGCTGGTCTGAAGGCTCAGTCAACCAAGACCTTTGAATTCTGTGCTCGTGAAGCCAGTCAGATTTTCGGTGGCCTCAGCTACAGCCGAGGCGGACAAGGTGGCAAGATTGAGCGTCTCTACCGTGACGTGCGCGCGTATGCTATTCCAGGTGGTAGTGAGGAGATTATGCTTGACCTCAGCATGCGCCAGAGTCTCAAGGTCTACCAGATGTTCGGCATGAAGTTATAGCTATACTTTGATGCCCTCTCACCCTCGGTATAAGCTTTTTCTTCGTTATCTCTATATCTATATCTTTATATTTACATTGGTACTATGTACTTGTATTTGGATTGCCTTTACAATCCGGAGTCTTTTTTTTTCCAGCCTGTCTCTTCACATGAAGTCTGGACTCACTGTATAATTAGTTATTATTATGCGGTTTGCTTAGATCATGCCATGAATTAAGTCGTCGTATGCGAATTTTGTTAGGGTCGACTTTTCAAGTCCCACTCTACGTACGAATTCCTTACTGCTATCGAATCAGACATAAATCTGTGTAGGTCAAGAATGCACTCATGTCGACTACTCGTTGCAGTTAGTAGTTGGCCTGAGTCTTGAAATAATTTTTTCCTGATCGGGAAACGGTAGGGTTGCCCGGACGAGCCAGGGCCGCAGTTCGGCACCGCTCCAGGAGCTAAAGCTGAACCAACCAACTCAGGGCCTGCCTGCACAGCTTGAAATCTTTACCACCTTTGATTTCTATTCCGATCTACTCCAACGCTCATCTCTCGCCTCTGTGTGGCGATCTTACGGCGAGTATTCTATGATATCGACATACTTGCATCAAGTCTGAGAGATTCCTTTACTCTCGGGGCGAGCGATTTGATTCTTCAGCCTCCGTTGCTGCGCGCAGCTTGCCCTTGGACAAAGGGACCTGACGCAACGCCTGTTTTTTATCCAATCTCGCTTCAAATTCTGATTCAATCGAGTCACTTTTTTCGTACGATTTACCCAAGCGACTCGGGTTTGGTCCCCGGGACTACGCAGAACAACCCCCGACCGCTGTGTTTCTTGATGGTCCTTCAGATTATCATCGATTCGATTTGGATTTCAAACTCGTCGAGATTCTCTATCGTGCCTGAATTATTCGCGAAGGAAAATACCGTTATTTACATCCCACTGCAATCATGTCGAACAACGTGCTGAACCAGGATTTTGGTTCTGAGGAGGAAGACGACGACTTCAACCCAGCCCCTGCTGTTGACTCGGACGAGGAAAACGACAGACCGAGTACTAGGCGGGATAGGGTAAACGAGGACGCCGAAGATGATAACGAAGATGAGAGGAAAGCCGTTGACGAAGTAGGTGAGGACGACGAGGGGAACGAAGACGAAGAAGTCGACGAGGAAGAGGAAGAGGAAGAAGATGAGGATGAGGATGATGAAGACGCCGTCTCGGTAAGTCATAGTCCAGTTATAAAGAAATATTTATTGTTCTCGTGGCAAATTCTGATTCTCGCATATGAAGGGCCGGCCCAAGAAGCGCAGGAGGCGAGGCGGGGTTAATGCTTTCTTCGAAGAAGAAGCTGGTGTCGATGATGACGACGAAGAAGCAGAGGACGAAGAGGATGACATGGGCGATGGATTCGGTGCTGAGGCTCATCCGGACGACTTGGATGCTCTGCCTGTGGGCGCTGAGCTGGACGATCGCAGACACCGACAGCTTGATCGTCAACGAGAGCTTGAAGCTCATATGGACGCTGAAAAACAGGCTGCCGCTCTTAAGGAACGATATGGACGCAACCGCATGGCCGCAACGGATTCGGTGGTTGTTCCCAAGAGACTCCTTTTACCAAGTGTCGACGATCCTAGTATCTGGGGTGTCCGATGTAAACCCGGAAAGGAAAGAGATGTCGTGCTTAACATTCAAAAACGCGTCGAACAGCGACCACCCGGCACCCGCCATGGATTGAAAATTATATCCGCTTTTGAGCGTGGGAAGACTATGACCGGCTACGTCTATGTGGAAGCGAGGAGACAAGCAGAGGTTATGGAGGCACTAGATGGCCTTCTTGACGTCTATCCTAAAACAAAGATGATTTTGGTTCCCGTGAAAGAAATGCCTGATCTTCTACGAGTTAAAAAGTCCGAGGAGCTGAATCCAGGTGACTGGGTGCGAATTAAGCGTGGCAAATATCAGGGCGATCTTGCCCAGATTGAAGAAGTTGAGACCAATGGTCTTGAAGTCACTGTTCGACTTGTTCCTCGTTTGGATTACGGACTGAATGAAGACCACCAGGCACCCGCAGAGGCTAAAAGGAAGAGGTTCGGGGCTGCGAATAATACGGCTCCTCGACCACCTCAGCGTCTCTTCAGTGAGGCCGAGGCTAGCAAGAAGCACGGCAGGCATCTGGTGGGAACATCTAATTTGAGTGGGAAGTCCTGGAATTATATGGGCGACACTTACGTCGACGGCTTCCTCATAAAGGAGATGAAGATTCAGCATCTAATCACCACAGGCGTAAACCCTCGCCTAGAGGAAGTGACTATGTTCGCCCGAGGATCTGAGGATGGCGCTGCAAACCTTGATCTGGCATCCCTAGCGAACACGCTAAAGAATGCAGTTGCAGAGGATGCTTACCGACCTGGAGATCAAGTCGAAGTGTACAAGGGTGAACAACAGGGTATAATTGGCAAGACAATCTCGACCCGCGGTGATATCATTACGCTGGAGGTTACAGAGGGCGATATGAAAGGCCAAACAATAGATGCGCCAATCAAAACATTGCGAAAGCGATTCCGCGAAGGTGACCACGTCAAAGTCATCGGCGGCAGCCGTTATCAGGACGAGTTGGGCATGGTGGTTCAGGTCAAGGGCGATAGTGTTACTATACTCAGCGATATGAGCATGGAGGAAATCACAGTGTTCAGCAAGGATCTTCGACTTTCGACGGAGTCTGGGGTGGACGGTAAACTTGGGACGTTTGATGTGCACGACCTTGTTCAGCTCGAGTAAGTGTCCTTTCTCAAACAGCTTAGTATCACATACTGATGATCTCACTAGCGCCGTCACTGTTGCCTGTATCATTCAAGTCGATCGCGAGTCGCTGCGTGTCATTGACCAAAATGGCTCAGTACGCAATGTTCTGCCGTCACGAATAGCGTCTAAAATTGCCAAACGCAAAGACGCGGTAGCTACAGATCGCAATGGCGCAGAGATCCGTCACGGCGACACAGTGCGAGAAATGTACGGAGAACAGCGCAGCGGAGTCATTATGCACATTCACCGGTCTTTCCTCTTCCTGCACAATAAGGCCCAGGCGGAAAACACCGGTGTCATCGTTGTCCGCACAACGAATGTTGTCACTGTCTCGGCCAAGGGAGGCCGTGCTACAGGCCCCGATTTATCACGCATGAACCCTGCCATGATGCAACGTCCGCCCCAGGGCTCTGCCATGCCACCTCCACGGGTAGGACGAGACCGGCTCATCGGAAAGACGGTTGGTATCACGAAAGGGAGTTACAAAGGTCTGATTGGCATTGCCAGAGAGACGACGGAGGATCTTGTGCGTGTTGAATTACACACCAAAGGAACGAAGGTCATGGTTCCACGTAGCGGAGTTGTTGTGAAGGAGTAAGTTTCATTTTCAACTCCCGTATCAATTCAATATTTCTAACAAAGACATAGCCCAGTCACTGGTCAAACAATCGATATGGCTCGTGGCGGCAGGCCTCGTGTGCCCGGTGGACCTGGAGGACCGCCACGAGAACAAGGCTGGTCTGGATCTCGCACGCCAATGGCTGCTATGGATTCGAGGACACCAGCATGGGGTGGATCCCTGTCGTCAAGAAGTAAGCGTCGCCCTCCTTTTTCCCCCGTGCTACACCTCGTGCGCAACCAATACTAACGTATAATCTCATAGCTCCTGCCTGGGGTGGCTCAGCAGCCAGCGGATCACGTACACCAGCCTGGAAAGCCGACGGCTCTCGCACCGCCTATGGCGGTGGAGGCATGGGCGGAGGACGCACACCAGCATGGAACACCGGTGCTCGCACCCCCTACGACTCCAGTTCAGGCGGTGGCAGCAGCGGCTTTGATGCATTTGCAGCCGGTTCCCGTACTCCAGCATGGGGCGCACCAGCAATGTCCGGCAGTCGCACACCAGCTTGGAACGCCAACAGCTCCACCAACAATAGTAGCAGTCGATACGACGCACCCACGCCTGGAGGCGACTATTCAGCCCCAACCCCCGGCGCATACCCCACAGCTCCTACTCCCGGCGCCTCAGGGTCTGCTGCTACGCCACGCTGGGCGGAGAGCGCGCCAACTCCCGGCACTTTCAATGCGCCTACACCTGGTGCCGGAGGAGGAGGAAGCGGCGGTGGACGACATCAACCACAGCCCTATGATGCACCAACGCCCGCCGTTGCTGCGACCCCTGGTGCTACCGGTGACGATAATCCGACTTATTTCGATGATTCGGAGTAGATATGACTATGGTTATGATATCATACATAGATACATATCTGTAGTTTTACTTTTATTTTCTCCCCCCTTCCCTTATTTTTGAGTGTGCACGCGTTTGCTTTCCAAAGTCGTGTAAAGTTTCTTAATTCAATGCGTGCATAAGACGGAGAATATTCAGATTCATTTATTGCCATCATTTTCTTTCTTTGCCATATGCATACGTGCGTATGCATTCTTCCAGCTACACTAGATTCAACAAACTAAGCCACAGGCAGAAAAATGTATGATTATTTAGATATTTTTATATGTACGTATTAATAACACAGATCAGAAGAAACGGCCACTGTCAACTCCACCCTCAACACTCCATCACCAGCACCCAACACCCTCTCTCCTTGCTAGCAGCAACAATGTTTTTGTTTGTTGTTGACTGCTCACCATATGCATATAGTGAAGACAATACGGATTAATAGATAGATGGAAAAGAGAAAGACGCATATCACATAACAGATCTGAAGCAGAAGGTAAGAAATGAAATATCAGCATTATATGAATGAAAAAAAGATTCGCCAGGAACGTAGATTTGCGCAGGGAACAAGACAGGAGGGAAAAATAAGGTGTCAGATATTTGAAAAGTAAGCCCACGACGTGAGTTGCAATTTTTTTCTTTTTGGGTTTCCACTGCTTGTTGTAATTTGTCGAAGGATAGCACGGAAAGAGAACGCCACATTAAATGTATAGAATCGTTAATGCTCACGATGTGTGAAAGATAAGAGAGGAAGGGGAAAAGAATAACGGGGGAAATGCCCATGATGTTTTGTTCCCTTTGTAGGCGCAAATTATTGACAAATCGAGATGAATCGTATCGTGCTCTATGATGAAGGTAAAGAAATTCGTCTCGACCGGTTGTACTCGGCGCAGTGTTGCTGTTTTTTGTTGATTCTGATTATTTCCTTTGTTTTCATTGTCACCGTTCGGTTGTAGGGTGAGATGCAATTTATGCGTTGGGGACAGCTCGAGCAAGAAATCGAACATTGTCCACAAAACCCTTGATGAGGTCTTCGTACTGATTTCTCTCATTGCCTTCCATGGCAAGCTCTCCTTGCCGTCGTACTTCCGCTGCAGATAGTTCAACTTCAAGTTCATGCTCGAAATCATGGTTGACAGGGCTCTGTAGCGATTGCATCATTAGTCAGCCAACTTGTCTCAAGTAATTTCAATATGCGTGCGACTTACCTCTGCTGTTCCCACTTGAGTGAGATCAATTTGATAAGCTAGATGGCGATAGCTCATGCGATCTTTGATTCTCTCACCACCCACTCTTCCCCGCGCACCGCCATCCGAAATAGGGAACTGTCGCACATCTCGATCAAAGTTCATTTCTAGGTTGACAGAGATACGCCAATCGACGTTCGTGCGAGGACTATAGACGTCCAAATCTGCGATTCGGCATTTGATAATCTTTGCGAGAACCTCGCCGGTTCTCTGGTCTGTAGTCACTCGCACCTTAGGTTTGTGTCGCGGATTAAGGTAATTCTGTAAGCGTGGCGGTATTTCATTGGGAGGTAATTCATAAAAGGTGTCACGTTCTTTCTTGTGTGCGTATGATAATGGAATCCGGTTGAGTCCAGCCTGCGGCATCGAGGCTTTGACGGCTTCATTCAGAAAATTGTTCATCACGCGATGTTGTGCCTAGATACAGTTAGATATAAGGTTCATTTGGGACCACAATAGATTACTTACTAGACTCATAGAGCTTTCGAAGGCGGTACGGTAGTCGGAAGTGTTCAGGACGCACTCGGTCATGACCGGAAGACGAAGGCGTCCCTTCGTCTCTTTATCCACAATTTTTCCTAATTTAGCTTCAATTTCTAAGATTGCTCCGGATCCTGTGGCTGAAACTCCAGCGGCTCCCGCAGCAAGGTCTCGTCTGAGAACGACTTCCTTGAAGAGAAAATCGCAAACGACCTTCGTAATTTCTTCATAGGGAATTTTGCCTGAAATCGAGGGCTCCCAGGGCCCTAATAAACCGTATACAGGCTCTGCTGGGGCTGGAGGAAGGAGACGACCGTTTGGTGGAGTGCTACCATTTACCGCTGCTGGCGGTCTGGCAGGAGTTTGCAACGATGCAGTGGATGGCGATGGTGCGGCTCCCTGGACAGATGTCGAACGGCGATGAAGAGAGAGTCGAGCTGGAGAGTTCTTTGCAATAGGTGGCCTTGGATTTGGTATGATTGGCCCTTTCGCAGTGCCTCTAGGCACTCTCCGAGCGTAAATCGGGGGTTCGTCATATCTCATTTTCTTACGTTTAAGCGGTCGTCCGGAAACTTCCGACACTTCCAAGGCTTCGGATTTGATAGGCTGGATTAGTGCAGTAGGAGTTTCGCGAGACGGTGTCTGTCTCGCCAACGGTGAGCTGCTCATCTGCATTGCTTGGGGGCCGTGAGGGTAGCTTGGCTGGGGTGTGTGCGATGCGAGCTTCGTATGGTCCGCGAAAGAACTGCTGTGAGAATGGCTGCCGGAAGGACTTTGACGCCAACGATCGTCGTCAATGCTGGTGCGATGAGGCGTGATACCCTCTCGATCTTGGGATAGACTCTGGCGTGAAACAATGGTTTTCGGACTAATGCTGACGCTTCTCTCTCTCTCAGTTTCTGGTGGGATTTGAGTACTATTAAGCCTTTCTCCTTGTCTTGAATCCATATGTTGTGGTGGGATACCCTGGTAGTTTTGTAGGCCTCCTATTCTCTGTTCAGACCCCTGATGTTCGTGGAAATTCCACAAGTTGGATGTCTGAGCGGATGTATTCTCTCCAGCAGATGGAGGACGAGCAGATTGAGGAGGACGTTGATATGGACCAGCAGGAGGACCTAAAGGTGTCCCGGGCTGGGACCGCTGCGCAGGAGGAGATATCTGGTGTTGAGGCGGGAAGGACTGTTGAGCATTAACTGGACGAGGGCTCTCGCTTGCGTAAGGTTGGGGTGAGTAACCGTGCGTGGAATGAGGACCGGGAGCGTGCTGAGCAGACTGGGAACCGGGGTAGTGATTAAAATATGATTGTTGCTGCTGGATTGACGAACCAGACTGGGGTGTATATGGTGAAGCAAGTGAGGGCTGTGCGAACACGGCAGGGCTGGCTGGGGTAGAATCTCGGGGCGCCAGCTGGTACGTCGGAGGAGGAGAACTTTGCGTGCGGTTAGAATGCGATCCTCCAGCCAGTGTTGTGGTTGAGTTGTATTGCAATGGGGATTGCGTTAAAATGTGCGTCGAGGATGCGCTTGGGGAATGCTGAGGTGGCTGTATCGAGGGTTGAGGCGGGCGCGCAAAATAGCCAGACTGATACGATGCCGGGCCGGGAGTCAACACTTGAGGTCGCGGAGTACTAAGAGGCTCTGAATGCTGGCGCGCAGGAGAGTGCTGTGATGGTGGCGGAGGTTGAGGTTTCGCAGCACCGCTGGCCTCGGAGTTCATTATGGTGCGCAGGTCCATGGCGAAGGCGAGGGGACTGCCAGCCCCAGCAATAGCGCATCAATATCCAGTCGCAGAATGCAAGCTTCGATGCTCAAGGGTCGATAGCCGGCTGTGGCATTTCAATGGTCGAGTGTGCTGGGGGAGGAGCGAGCGCAGCGTGGCGGCAGAGAGTCAAGTGCGCGTCTTTGCGAAGTTTTTGGGAGGCTCGGAAGGTTAGACTTCGGCAGGCGCGACCATGTCTGTGGTCCGAACAATAACGCGAGGGGATTCGAGCGCTGAGCAGGCTAGGAAGGTCGAGCTGAAAGAGAGAGAGAGAAAAAAAAAATGCAGTCGTTGACAAGATCCAGCGGTCCCAGGCAGGCCTGGCTATCTTGGATCGCAGGCGGCCGTTTTGTTGGAGTTGCGAACTATTGAGAGCTCATTCGAGGGCAGTTACCGCGCCCATTACTGAGATAGCATTCTATTTCCGCAGCCCAGGTGCACTCTATACGGACATATGCAAAATATCTCGAGGATTCCGACAAAGAACGCGTTCCATGCAGTTGCAGAAGTTGCGTCAGGGAGGTGTCGTGATATAGTCACGTGATATCCATTGGTAGCCTCCCAGTCACGTGCCTGCGATTAGTCAGATTAGCTGTGCCTGTTTTCGGCTAATCTGCATTGGGCCATGCAAACGGGGTATTTGAACTACGTATTTATGTATCGTCGGTACAGGCCCAAGTGCGAACCTACCACGGAGCTCATGGCTGGGCAGGCGAGAATGAACCAAGATGGTCTTCTAGACAGCGTCCCAGACTGTATCTGCATTGAATCCGGAGATAAGGCTTCGTTCCCCCTGTGCTTGCAAGATCCATCTTGCAGAGACAGTTGCCGTATCGCAAATACAAGGGGCAACAAGCCTCGACCGCGGTAGGCCGCCCCACCGGGTCCCAATCGGGTGCCTGAGGCTGCGAAAGTTAGCTGTCTTTTTCTTGCCTTCTGCAGCCGCTTCCTCCTCATTCATCTTGCGACATATCATATGCGACGCACTTGTACTGTCCTATTTCCTCATTTGCCGAGCGCTTGCATATATAACTCATTGCCTGCTTTGCCCCAGCCTCAGGATTCGGGCCAAGCAATAAATATCTGTGACAGCGTTGACCGCTTGTTACTAACAATAGAAACACCGCCTGCACGACTGGGGGGGAAGTTCAACTGCCCTTCGCTTCGCAACGATATCCTATGGGCGCATTGGTGCCAGAATGAGATATTTCTTATCCTGTTAGAGCTATCGTCTTTGGTTGCAATGATCTTTTCCTTTTTTTGTTGTTGAATGGATACCACAGCGCAGATGAGGGACGCCGTGAGACGCAGGGCGTCTCTGAACGCGCCCTCTCATGACATGCCACGAAACCTATCCCTTGAATTTACCCTTCCGGAGCTCGACAGGCAACAAGATTCTGACCGATCGTTGATGGGAAACGTGCCTGTGCGAAATGCAGCTGTGTTGCCCTGGTACAAGTCCATCTGGATGCAACAAAACGAGGACTTCCCCGAATATGCCGAACGAGTGATCTCGCAGTTTATGGTATTCACAGTGCCGAGCTACTTGCAGCACCACATCACAGGCGGCGAACCTAATAAACCCAAGAAATTACACGACATTGCCGCGCTCGATGGTTTGCGAGGATGGGCTTGTCTTCTCGTGTTCAACTTCCACTTCTTCTTTACATATACATGGCATACACACATAGGGTGGGGCTTTAATAAACAGTACTTTGGATTGCATCAGCTACCTATCATACACATGATTTTCTCGGGCCACATCATGGTCGCCATATTCTTCGTTATTTCCGGTTACGTCTTGTCCTACCGACCGCTCAAGACAATTAGAAGCGGATCCTTCGACCAGACCTTCTCAGTGCTGTCATCAGCGACTTTTCGACGTGGGTTTCGTCTTTACATTCCCTCTATTGTCGGCTTGTTTTGCGTTTTCATAGCAATTCGCCTAGGTTTATACAACTATTCGCGTTGGGTTGTGGACAAGGGCCGAACAGTTACGGGGACGAATGAACAGCACCCGATTATTTTGAAATCAACCTACATACAGCTTTGGGACTGGTATTGGACGTTGTGTCGGTTAATGAACTTCTGGGACTGGGGTCTTTTCTATAACAATTACAACCCTCACCTCTGGACAATCCCTGTCGAATTTCGCAGCTCGATTGTGCTCTTTCTCGTAATTATCGGCGTCAGTCGGTTCACAACAAGGATACGACTGGGATTAGAGTTTGCGATAATCTGGTTTTGCATGCGCTGGGGTCGTTGGGACGTGGTGCTTTTCTTGAGTGGCTTGGTGCTCGCTGAAATCGACTTGATAAACGGTATTTGGAATACCAATACCAACACTTCTAAACCTGCATCTGCTCCAGATTTGGAGAAATCTGCCGGAACCACTCCTATCCAACATTTCGCCCGGCGTTGCCATCGCGAAATCTGGATCGGCGTGTTCATACTAGGGCTATACATCGGCTCATCACCGAATCTGGGCGTGTTGCACACCCCGGGGTATGTTTGGCTTGGTAAACTCACGCCGAAGACGTACCCAGAGCCTCATCGATTTCCACAAACGATTGGCGCAGTCCTGATCGTCGCAAGCATCAATAATTCCAAAACCATTCAGAAACTCTTCGTGAACCCGCTTTCTCAATACCTCGGACAAGTATCCTACGCCTTCTACATCGTGCATGGGCCAATCTTACACGGCCTCGGCTATACGTTGATGCACAATATCTGGAAAGTAACCGGCCGCGAGACGGCATTCCAGTTCTGTTTCGGCGGTCTTATTGGATGGAGCATTTGCCTACCCATCGCGCTTTGGCTGGCGGATATCTTCTGGCGAGCCGTCGATGTTCCCAGCGTCAAGTTTGCGCGTCAGTTGGAGAGTAGACTGCTAGCTAAGTTCCAGGCGTCTTCGTAAGTCAGAGGCATTTGGCTTCAGGCACTAAGTCATCATCCTTGTGTGTACAATTGCAATGTGCACATATACCCAATTCGGCACATTGACGTGAATAGGTTGTTTTGCCCATGGTTTCCTTCTTTATCCGTCCCCATCAAGAGGATGGAGGACTGTTTACTGTTATCGACCAGCTGTATAACTGTATCCATGTATATATATATAGATGTATAAAAGAATACACATATAACCAATACCAATAACCATAAATCAGTCACCCCCGGACAATTCTAGAAGAAACATTGAGGATAGGTATGCAACCATTCATACTTCACAAGAAATCAACCGTGAAACACGAGAGTAACTGATTCATAATGTCATATGCTTGTAATTTTTTTAAAAAAAATTGCTTGCTTGCTTCTCGTATAAATCCTGAATGTCGTAATTTTTTTTGGTAAGAAAAGCAAAATGAAAGAAATAATCTCGGGCCAAAAATGCGAAGAGATACAAAGAATAGTTCAGTCAACAGCGTAAACGAAATATCAGAATGAGGGGGAGGGAGAAAACACTGATGCGCTCATCATGAATTCCAAAAAAAAAAAAAAAAAAAAAAAGGAAGCAAGGCGAAAAAAAGTCTACATTGCTACACCCCAGAACCCTTTACCACCACAAACGCCAAGCCAATCACGAGGAAGTCCAGAAGACGATGCAGGCCCTGGGGGAGACCAGGACAAATTTGAAATTTCATAATCGCATTGCCATGCTGCAGTTGGTCCGCGTTCGGTTGTAGTTGGTCCCGACGACGCTGCACCGGGGCCAGTGGGAGGAGGCGGAGGGGGAGGAGCTTGCATATGAACTGAATTGTGTTGGTTGATGAGATCCCATACAAGGACGCAGCAATCATCGCCGCCGGAAGCAAGCGTGCCCCGGCGGCTGGGTGACCATTCTATGCAGTTGACGGATCCAGAATGCCCCCTGAGCTCGACCAATGCTTGGCCTGGCTGTCGCACATCGAGGATGCGGATTAGGTTGGAGTCTTGCGAGAATGTGGCAAGGAGATGGGCATCATGGGGGGATGCTAGAACCGCAGTCAATTTTTCATCCCAATCACTAATATCTTTGATCACAGATATCCGAAAGACTTACTGGCTATGCGTAAAAGCGGGGGCGGCCATGCTGTTGAAAGTCCTGATACCGACGGACTTGAGCCTCCAGGACTCATAACTGCAGGACTTAATTTAGCAAATGAAAGCCTTCGATATAGGTTTCGTGTATGCATAGAACACTACTTACGTTTCTCGTTCTTTTCTGACGGTTCGTATATAATGGTGCTGTGTTCCAGACTCCGCAGATCAAACATGCGTACACTACCGTCTGCACCACAGCTGACAAAGACATCGACACTATTAGCACAAAAGCGCACGTCATAAACTTCCTTGTCATGGGCAATAAGTTGAGTTTTCGCCGTTAGAGTCGGAATGTCCCAAATCGTACATGTCGTGTCGATACTAGAAGTGATGATCAGACTCGGTGAAATTATATTCCAGTCTAGTGATGTTATTGGCGCCGTGTGTTCGGGGGATTTAGAATTCGATAAAAGAGCCAACGGTGACAATTTTGCCGGCGCCTGGGCTTGGGACCGGCCGGTAATCGAATTTGTAGTTTGCTGCATCATCTGGGAATTTGGCAATGACCACAGCCGGAGATGATCGCCTGACGTTGCAAGCAAGTCTGTAGACTGCTTCTGGGAGGAAGGAGGCTCCCACAGTATCCTCGTAACCGGGTACGAATGTGTCGCCTCGGCTGTTTTGACGTATTCCACCTCAACATCTCCAGGCACGACGTCTGGAGTATCAGCCTCTGGTTGTTTGCGATGAGTATCGATTATTTGAATCTGCAATGCGGTTAGATTGGTCAATCAAAAAGGATCATCCCAGGAAACTTTACATAATTATGGCTATCTTCGAGATAGCTCCCAATGGCCACTTTGCCAGCGAAAGAATTCCCTGACGACATGGGCCACTTGCACCAGTCCACTGCATAGATCGGCCACGGGGCCACGTAGTTGCTGTTTGTGGGTATTTGAATGTCACCGTTGAAGGCAGAGAATGATCCAGGCGTCATCTGGTGATCCATCAACAACGAATCGCTGGGTGGCCTTATGTCTGCTAGGCCCAGCGGAGAGTACTTGGCTCCTGACGGCGTGTGAGGGAGCATGCCACCACCCGGCGGAGACGAGTACTTTGCGCTTTCCGGCGTCGTTCCATACTGTCGGTACCTGGGCTGCTCAAACCCAGCAGGACTAGATCTTGAATGGACATGTGTATGGCTGACGGTTCCTGATCGAGAGGGCGTGCTCGCCTGTTGCGATTGCGTGGACGGCGGGGGCAGGGTAGGGGCGGCAGAAGGAGCAGTGTTGGCAGCTAAGGACACTGGACGGCCAGACATATTCCCTGGCTGCAAGGCCCCGGGAAGTGTGCTGGAGCCAGAGTTATATTGAGGATGATGAGAAGCTGACTGCTGGATACTTATTGACGGAGGACCGTGACCAGGCTCTGGCCCTGTCGTGTACCGAGGGGCATTTGAGGAGACGGTGCCTGACAAAGGAATATGAAGCTCTTCCGAGGGACGAGTATACGCCGCCGGCCGCCGTGGAGTCTCATACTGCTGCTGTGACGAAGGATTGGACATGTTGGGCGGAGGCGTCGAGCTGGATAACGGTGGGAGGTGGAGGGAGGGAGTGCAAGGCTGGGTACCTGTCTGCGATCGCATAGAGGACGAGGCTGCTGCGGGAGCTCCGAGACAGCAAGAGCTGTACTGCACACACACTGTTCAGCGCACCATGAGCATTCAAGAGGCCATTCCGAGAGCCGCGAGGTCAATTGTCTTGGGGGTGGAGCTCGAGGCACAGCGGCAGGCAGAGAATGCGGGTTTGGTCGTCTTCTTCAGATGGTTTGGATGGCAGGAGGCGATTGGGCCCCCGCGTTTTGCCGTCCGGCAGCCAACCAGCGGTCAGGGCCCGGCTTAATCAGCGACCTCGCCGTCAATGTGCCTACATGTTGTGTCTTGCTCTCGTGTACCATACTATACAATACTTTACGCGGCAGAGGTGTTGTCTCTTCACCGTTGCACTCATCCAAAGCCAGCTCCAGTCCGATGCCATGGCTGCTCCGTACGGTCTTCTACTACTACCGACCCCGCCCTCCCCCGCCGTGCGCCAGTTGAAGGAGGTATATGGACCGGCGCTGTCGCATATCTTTTCAGATGCTGCGGTCCAGCTAAAGGGCTCCAGCAATATATATAAGCTTGACATCGGCTTGGTCATTCCCCATTCACTCGGCGGTCAATACCAGCCGCGGTCGAAAGCCTTCGCCAGCATACAGCATCTCCTGGCCAACTTCTATACGCTGGTGGGCGCCACCAGTGCTTCTTATGATGTAGAGCTAGATGTACCGGGTGGCGTGGACGTCCGGGTCTTTTTAGTTGATCCCAGCGAACAGAGCCAGTTCAAAGACTCGCAAAGAGTACAAGGACCCGTCATTGACTTGGCAACACTGGCAACTTCACAACGATCCTGGGATCAGATTTATGTTCCAGATACGGACGGAGGAGAACTCCTAATTGCGGCTTTCTTGAAACTTGACGTTTCTATTCCTTCCAAGAAGCTCCCTATAGGCAATGTATCAGTTACTCCGCAGACAGTTATCACTCCCGACGATAGGCGCTCTACAAGCCATTCCGCCGTCATAGTGGGCGGGACATTTGACCATCTTCATATTGGGCATAAATTGTTGCTGACAGCCACAGCATTGGCACTTGATCATAGGAGAGAGGAGCAGGTCGGGAGCCGACCTAGATCTCTCGTAGTTGGCATAACAGGCGACGAGATGCTCGTCAACAAGAAGTTCGCAGAATACCTCGAGAGCTGGGAAGAGAGATGGCAAAACACCGCGGCGTTTCTCCGCGCCATCATCGACTTCAGTCCGCCTGGGGAGAGCCCTCCTGATATCCAGCGGACAGAGAAACCAGGCCCCAATGGCAAACAGGTTTCGTTTCAAGTCGCGCCGGATTTAACTGTCCGCTTGGTGCAGATTGCGGATCCGTTTGGCCCTACCATTGCGGAGGAAGATCTTGGGGCTCTGATTGTGTCAGCAGAAACCAGATCTGGTGGACAGGCAGTGAACGCAGAGAGAAACAAGAGAGGATGGGCATCCCTGGAGGTCTTCGAGGTGGACGTGTTGCAGGCGGGAGAAGCAGAAGCAGTAGCGGATACGTCGGCCAGTGGTTTCGAAGCCAAAATCAGCAGCACCGACATTCGCCAGCGCCGAATGAAGAGTGCCAACAGCAGCCTTTAAGCTAGCACTAGGCACTGGTCACAATGATACCTTGGATTCCGGTCACCATGCAACTGGTGAGCAGTGTGCCACGTAAGTAACGTAGATGGTAGTTAGATGGGTAGACATGTCAGATAGACTTATATATCTGAGCCAATGAGACGGATATGGGCCGGCAAAGCATGCAAGCATCCTGCTCGAGGCCACAGGCCAATCACGCCGTAGACACTGGCTGCTGGTGCATGTATGACTGACCGGGCTAGAGCGTCTAGAAAGCGAGAGACGGGCGGTTTTGCGGCGGCCATTGGCTGCGCCAGGACCAGCCCAGTGTGCCTAGTGCCACGCAGAGCGGCATCTCGTCCTCCATCGCAGCTCGCTCTCCCTCCCCCTGGTTCGCCTGCCCTCGTGGACGGGCCATTGCCGTGCAGTAGTTGGTGCGTCGCGGTCGCACCGTCACCGTGAGGATAGCCGCCTGCAGGGCTCCCGTTCTTCACGCACATCGGCGCAGCTCCAATCGCGGCGCTCAGCGACGATGCCTCGCGGTCGGTGGCTGCAGCATGGCCCTGGACTGCTGGGACCTTTGCGGTCATGTGACTGGGATCCGCTCGCTGCAGGTCGATGCAATGCGGTGACATGCGACCTGCTTTCCCTGCCAGCTTGTTTCTGCAGCCCATTGCTCGAACGATGCCATGGCCCCTGTCGACGACTCGCGCTATAATAGTCGCAGCAGTGGCTCCCCCAGATTTAAGACAGGCAAGACCAGACTGCGACATACACCTCACGTTCTGTTCGTCTCTCTATGCTCATCGCCGCGCGCCAGCCAGCCGGTGAGTCGGCTGCCTGCTCACAAGGACGATGAATGAGCCCCGTCACATCACCCACTTGGCCGACGAACTGCTGAGTCTGATTCTATCCTTCCTGCTCACGGAACCAGAGAGCCCGGACGGGCGCGAAATCCTGCACGATTATGCCTTTCCGCCATACAGAAGAAACGGCGCCAGTGCCGTGGCCTCGCGCGGCGAAAAATCCGATCTGGACAAATACAGACTGGTGTGCACGCGGTTTATGAGGATAGCGACGCCCTGGAAATTCCGTCGCTTCACCTTGAGGTTTTCGGCAGAAGGGTTTACTCGTCTGAATGAATTGGTCGACATGCAACTGGCTCGTCACACGCGATATTTCACATACATGGTGCGACCCTATTATCAAGGACGCGGTATGTTAGATTAGAACCCCGACTCAAAATAAATGATCAGAGAATATTCGCGCTGATACTTTTGCTGCCTCCCTCTATATAGATTGGGGACAGTTTCTCACGGAGATCGCATCGGATTACCCTACGCTCTCCGATATCCATACTGCCAGGCTCGCCGATCAAACATCACTGATCAAGACTTCGGAGGACATAATCTCTCTAAAGAGGGCATTGGTATCATTCACTTCCTTGCAACAGGTCAAACTCCTTCGATTACAAGATAAGGCGGATGAAGACATCATGGAGCGAGCGAGACGGTCACGCACGGCCGAAGGTCTCAAATTCGACTGGGAACCCGCGTGCTCGCGTGCAATCGGGAACCTGGGCTTGGCTCTTATGGGATCGAATTGCCAGTCTGTCCGGTTTTTGGCCCCCCAGCTAAGCCCGGAGGCCGCTCTGAAACTGCTGCATACACCTCGCGTCACCATGTCTGCTCTGGGTGAGCGGCTTACATGCTTAGATATATATTTTCATTCTGTTTCCGATGTGACTGCGTTGATGTCACGACTATCGAGCACTTTTAGGGACTTCTTCCAAGCAGCGAGAAACCTCGTTACAATAAACGTCGGGTTCCCAGCCAATAGTCCTCTAAACATGCACCTAGAGGATGTTTTCCATCATATCCACTGGCCGCGATTACGGAGCCTTGGAATTCAGGGCTGGCGCCTTCACTCATGGGAGATCGGCTCGATAGCGCGACGTCACCAGTCTCAACTGCGCGAAATGCGCCTGCCATATATATACCTGCTTGAAGGGAGCAGATGGCGAGATGTTCTTTCCGTCCTACACGACGAAATGGAACAACTAGAAGTTCTCAACCTACAACACATTAACTATGCAACACACTTTGATACCGAGGTCATGAACGGCATTGAAATCCCTCCCGGAAGCGAGGAGGAGGGAGAAGAGGAGGAGGAAGAAGAAGAAGAAGAAGTAGATGATGATGATGATGATGATGATGACTACCATCACCACCACCATCAAGAAAGTGACAACAACGACAGCCATGATGGCGATGATGGGAGTGACAACCACCATTCAGACACGCAATCCTCATCTGACATCTCCATGCACGAGATAACGTCAGAGACAGAACCCTACCCTTACTACTACCAGCACCGTGACTTGCACACCTTGACAGAACAGGAACTCGGCATGCTCAGCGTTCATGATTTGGGCGACAATGGGATGTACGTGAAGCGGGAGCATTGGCATGTATGGGAAAAATGGGTGGTTGTTTCAAGGCGTCGCATATAGGTCTTGTGTTGTGTTAGCAACACTTGAATAATACGTGAGGAAACGAAAAAAAGAGAGATTTTGGGTTTTCAATGCTTTATAGTTACTATTATTTTCTGTACGTCCTTTGTTTGACTTGAGCATGTATTTACTTGCGACTTATGCTTTGCATGGCGAGAACATGGAAGGCCACCTCTGTAGACGTTTCTGGATCAACACAGACTTCATTACAGGCATCTCCTGAGCAGTTTGGCTGTCATGTCATACATGTCAAACTCTCAAGCTCGAAAAAGGCAGCGATACGGTTCTGGTACCATGTAATTTACTGTAGCCAATGACAATACGAACGACGGGTCAAATGTGAGACATTGGCCAATGAGTGAGTATAAATACGATTCTTCAGGTAATTTACTCATGTATCTTCACGTAATCAACACAATGAGATTGTTGATAAACTTCGTCTTACTCAACCTCGACCCCGTCATTCACCTTTCTCTCCAATTCATCCAGTCTTCATTCATTTGTCCTTCATCCGATATACGCACTATATAATACGATAACAATATAGTACAGGAAAGTATATACTCAGATTGACAACAATGACACCGCCAACAAAAACACCAGACTCCCTCATCAATCACGCCTCCGCCATCCAATACTGGAACAGCATGCCTGCCACCGTCAACGGCATGCTAGGCGGCTTCCCGCAAATCTCTCGCATTGACTTGCGCGGATCAGCGAATTTCCTAGCCAAAATCCGCCGCCTGCTACAGATCGAAGGGGACACCACCGCCGCAACGACCACAACAGCAACGACCAGTAAAAGCCACAAACTCAAGCGCGGCGTTGACTGTGGTGCCGGCATTGGGCGCGTCACCGAAGGGCTACTGGGCAAGGTGTGCGAAACGGTGGATGTAGTTGAGCCTGTGGAGAAGTTTGCGCAGGTCATTCGGGATGGGCCCTTGATGAAGAAACAAAAACAGAACAAGGAAGGGGTGGAGAAAGACGAGAATGAAGACGAAGATGGGCAAGATGGGGTTGTGGAAGATGTCTATATCGTCGGACTCGAAAATTGGCACCCAGAAAAGAAATACGACCTCATCTGGAACCAGTGGTGTGTTGGACATCTCACCGATGCCCAACTAGTGGCTTACCTCAAGCGAGCTGCGAGCGCGTTGACGCCGAATGGACTTTTGGTTTTGAAGGAAAATAACTCGACCGAGCTTGATGGCACGGATGCCTTTGATGCAGTCGATAATGCTGTTACTAGGACCGATGAGAGTTTTAGGAGGTTGTTCAAGGAGGCGGGCTTGGTGCTGTTTAAGTCGGAGGAGCAATTGGGGTTTCCGAGGCAGTTAAATCTGCTTCCTGTAAGATATTATGCTTTGCGGCGCCCGTCACGACCTACTTAGTCGGACACGCTACGAAACTGATTTGTCCCGGCTTGACTTGACCAGACGATAAGCGAAATAATGTTGATGCGACAAAAGCAGAACTACCTAAGCAAAGGACAACGGAAGTACAGAGTCTCCACCATGATTTACCACCGTTCAGAACAAAGCGACATTCATTCCCTTCAGCTCGTCAGGAAAGCCCCTGTGATGACCGACGCAAGACGCTCGGTAGTGGTCTGACCATTAACACCGTTCTCGTTCGACTCTCCACTCCTCTTATCTAAAGAGTCTTCCCCTTTGGAGCCGTTCTCTTCAGGCTTATCTGCATGCTTCTGAACACCCTCAACGGGCTGCTTGTTGCTTGCAGCAGTTGTGGGCTCGGTTGGAGGTGCAGGTGAAGGCGCCGGCTCTGCTGCACCAGAAGCAGATTGCGGTTCTGGGATGGGCTCTGATGCTGGCTCAGGAGCAGTTTCATTCGCTGTCTCTGCCTCGCCATTTGTGTCTGCCTCGGCTTCACCGAAATCCTTCATTTCAGTATCGGCCTTTTCGTCGATCTTGTTCTGCTCATCGATCAAATTCTTGATATACTCCCATTCCTTTGGTGTGACGCGAGAAACGCTCACGCGCGACTGTCGGATAGTCTGCAGGCCGTCTAAAGGAAATCCTGGCAGAGCGTGTGCTTTAAGTGTCTCCAGAGTTAGGGTTTTGTCGAATTTGCGCCGAAACTCGACATGGACGACTTCCCACTTGGGATTTTCTCGGCTGGATTTCTCGTCATAGTATGGATGAGCGGGATCAAAAGCTGATTCTGTTATATTAAACAAACCGTTAGCAACAAAGACAGGCCCACCATGGGATAGGGCCACAAACCATCTACTGAGTGCTCCTTCACGATTTCCATTTCTCCCACGATACCAGGAACCTTGCAGCTGGAATGGTAGAAAAACGCGTAGTCACCCTGCTTCATAGCGCGTATATTGTTTCGAGCTGCATTCATACGGTTAGTCTTTATATAAAACGCGCGAACGCGGTTTCACATACCGACAGGATTGCGAACACCTAAACCAGCTTTGTTAGCGGTGCAATACAATTCACAATCAAAACGGAGTCATCCATACCATCCCATGGCTCTGGCTCGGTAGCCGCACGGAGGTCATCGATCGAGAACTTGACGTCCACGCCTTTGACAAGTCGCGACTCGGGCTCCGCCTTCATGAGCCAATATGACCGGCCATCGGGTCCGTATGCATCATCTTCAGCCACCTCAATGGTTAGGTCAGGCTCTTTATCATTGAGGTATAATGGCTTGCGAGGTCTTCTGGTGACGGGTTGCTTCTTGACAAGCTTCCCGGCTGACCCCTTCTTTGGTAGAAGAATATTCGATACTTGCTTGGGTTTCCCAACGGTCCTCTTCCTCTTCTTGGAGGAGGTGGTGGTTGTGGCGGTGGCCTCGGTTGAGGGCAAAGAAGACTTGGGCGGTCTACCGCGTCGTTTCGCAAGCTTACCTGCAGCAATTTTTTTCGTAGTAGCAGCGGCTTTGGATCTGCCGGCGGCAGTCGTAGTAACCTTTTTAGGCTGTTTCGTGGGTTTTTCTTTCGTTTCTAAGGAGGACTAGACTTAGTCATTGCAATGGAAGTTTTGTTGTGACAACGACAGCAACTCTATACCTTTCACGGGCGTCGTGGCTTTCAGGGATGGACGGCCTCTTTTCTTCGGGGTGTCGGGGGCTTTGCTGGCAGAGGCAGTTCTCGGTTTTGCAGCAGCGGGGGCAACAGTTGCTGTCTTGGTTTTTGCTGCGCGCGGTGGAAGCGTTACAAAAGACAATCGCTTAGGACGCGAACTTGCAGCGGTCTCTGGAACTGGTTTGCGCGTGCGTTTAGATGGGCCCGTCGCGTCGCTGTTCGCGACGGTAGACGTGCGCTTCTTAGCTGGCATTTTGCGTGGGAAAATGCTATGATCCAATGCCGCGCGAGATTAGTAAAGCGGCGGGCTTGAAACAGAATGCAGTCCTCCGAGAGAGGCGAATGTAGTCCTAGAACTTGGGGATGGGAGGATGTTGATCGCGGGAGTTGGAGAATTGCGCGCGGGAGGCGCCATCGCTGCGCCGGAATTACATTAGCCCGACTATTTACTCCTTAAAATATCGAGCATGTCTAGATATTAAACAGTCTACTTACTGTGACTACAAGGCTTTGTAACTAGGTGAAGAGATGTCTGAAATATGATGCGAGAAATATCTTGAGGCTGGAAAACAGCTACCTGCTGCCATAGACGCTAAGTATAGGAAGGCCTCTCTCAGAGAGACCTTGTCCTTGGTCGTGCTCTGGCTCCTTGAAATCGCCAGTGAATACAAGAAGAGGTTCGCGTTGAGCCTCTGGATGAACCATGTGCCATTATGGCGCATGTAGGACAATAGAATTTGTCCATGTACACTGCGACCTGGCCTGGATAACCTAGCGGAAGGCAAGTAATTATAATCATAACTAGAGATTCCCCCACCGAATTTGATGGCCAAGAATTCGATCATGGGGACATTCTTGTGTTTGAAGGCCCAGCCAGAAAGCTTTGCGGTGGTGTGCTCAAGAGGAGCTCCGTCAAAGGGCAAATCTACGTCGGATGCCTTTTGGGCAACCGGTTAGATCAGGTAGGGTAGTCAGTTATTATACTAGGACTCTAGGTAACTACGAGCGGAAGATATTCATTAGTACACCACGCCCGATCAGCCAGCAAGCACTCGCAAATACAACACTCAGGGCAACTGTTATTAACTTGTGTATTACCTGATAGAGCACCGGCTTATTCGGCACGATAGAAATCACTATCAGCCCATATTTTGGCACGGGGCGTGCCTCCTATGCTAACATGGTAAGGGCCTCATTCATATGGATGAACGTATCTGCGAATGACTATTATCGAATTCTCATTTTATTTCCAAGCCATAAGTTAATTGTAGAAGGTTTTAAGGTAGTTCGGTGGTATTCAGTCCTCTAAGTCTTCCTCCGACCACAGACCAAACGCTAGCACAAATAGACTATCCTCTGTAATCTCATGTTGCATGTCTTGATAACACCCATGGGCAAGATTAACGAGATAGCTATGCAGAGTCCGTGTCCTAGTACTATGTTGTGAGTTTATGCCGGATCATGTCAACATCATCTCCAGGGACGCGGTCCATTAATGTACACCATATGCCGCCTCCACGATATACCAACTCTTCACCTTGTACGTGTCTGATACTGAAACGTTGTTTTGGCCCGTGGCCAATCTGATGAACCAGCTTTATCAAGTCCTTTTCAAACCCGGCATGCCGGCGGCAGAGCCGGTCGTTTTCCTCGATGTCATCGACCAGATACCGCTCAGCCTTGAGGCTATATATGGAAGCTGTTAGAATCAACAGAGGATCACCGTACTCGTACCTGATCTTGATCATGTACGGGGTATCATCTTCTGAGCTTCGAGCTAAAGTCAGGATGTGCCGCTGAGCCAGTACAGGGTCAAGGACTTCGGATAACTGATGCTCGATCTGAGTACCATTTGTCTTTGATTTCGACCTCGTGGTCCTTCCCGATTGTCAGCCCGCTCGTCTTCGAATTGGATGTGTTCACCAGCGTCATAATCCATGTTTGAGAGGGCTATCAGTTTTTGACCGAACAGGAAGAGATTAATTACACAAGGAGGGCTGCCCAGGTGATGAAGGGGAAGATCGCTGAATATATACAGGGCGGAGTGCAGCCTACAAGGCAGAGACTCCCAGGCAGATACCTATGTACTTAAGTATCTACGAAGTGCCGATGCCTACTTTCAATAAACGTGAGGAATATCACACAGTCTTTGCTCATTGATACGCGCCTCTAGCGTTCTGCCTAGGCAGTTGGCCTATACTAGGCATCATGAGGTCTTGTTATATGGATCCGCATGACTCCAACTAGACAGGTAACCCGACAGCCAATTGACAGTAATATTTTCCCCAAGAGTGCCTGATTGGTTGATGTTACAATTCTATATGTGCATCTTGAGCAAGAATGGATAAATGTCACGTGCCGGAGCACGGGACCAACTCCGGGCGATCTGGACGGACCCCAAACTTTTGGATGCGAAAGGCTGCGACGGCATCGACGGCAACGGTGGCATCTCCAGCACTTCCAGAGCGAATAAAATGGTGAAGTCTTGCAATGGAATCCACAAGCAGCCGCCTAGCCGTCTTACTAAAGCTCGAAGGCGCTTCTCCACTTGCCGCAATAACAGCCGAGTCAATCTTTTTCTGTGGCCTTGATTTTGTATAGCCTTCGCAGTCATGGGATAGAGGTCGAGAAAAGAAGCAACAGCTCGTTGTGCGTGTGTGTGCGCGCGTGCTGTCTCGAACCTACAAGGATCAATCAACATGGCTGCTCTAGAAGCAAGCAAGACGGTGGACATCAACTGTGCGGATATGGACATCGAGTATCTCTACCTCGACTTTGACACCGAGTTGCCGGGAGTATGGGATACAACGCCCGGAGGAGCAGCTCCGCCCGAGTGCCCCAACCTCACGAAATATACATCGCCTTTCCTCTGGTCAAAGACTCGCAAGTTGCTCATCACATGGCTGGCCTGCGGTGTCACTTTGCTGGCTGCCTTTGCCGCGGGTGAGTATACGCCGCCGTCGGCTCAGTTGCTCTCGGTATGGCACGTGAGCCAGGTGGCTTTCAATGTCGGCGTCACCAGTTTCACGACGGGGTTTGCCATTGCGCCGATGGTTCTGGCTCCGTTCTCGGAGATCAATGGTCGTCGACCGGTGTTTATCGCCAGTGGCATTCTCTTCACGGGTGAGTATATACATCTATAGTCCCTTGAATACCGAACACTAGAGGTATAAGAAGCAGATTATTGACTCATAGTAGGCTGCACCTTTGCCTGTGGTGGTGCGAATTCTCTCGGCGGCATGATAGTTGCTCGGTTCTTCCAAGGCGTGGGCGGGTGTATGTACCAATGAACCCTTGCCCCTGGCGTTCATGTTACACTAACCCGTATCTTCTAGCGACGTATTCGACAATGGTTGGCGGAGTCATCAGTGACATCTACCATGCCGAGAACCGCAATACTCCCATGGCACTATTTGCCGGGGCTGCGTTGTTTGGCACCGGCCTGGGACCGCTCATTTCCAGCAATATCGTCTCGCACACCACATGGCGATGGGTGTATTGGTCACACGGCATTGTCAGCGGTGCCTTTGTGGTCATTATGTATTTCTGTCTGAGCGAGACACGCGGAAGTATTCTTTTGAGTCGCAAGGCGCACGCACTCAACAAATGGTACGAGAGTCTTGAAGCAGTTGGCTATCAAGGGCTGGTATTCCCATCGCAAGTCCGGCCAGAGAAACGGCAGGTTCGTCGTATTCGCTGGAAAGTGAAGGCCGATGAAGAACGCGAATCTATTATCAAGTTGATTAGCATTTCGTGCTACCGCCCATTCCGTAAGTCTATGTTTGTCCTCGCAGCTCCAGCATGCAGCTAACTATTACGGTGTAGACCTGTTGGTCACGGAGCCTGTCGTGTTTTTCTTTTCTCTATGGATATCATTCAGTTGGGCCGTGCTCTATCTGCAGCTCGATTCTATCCCGCTTGTCATGGAAACCAACCATGGCTTTAACGTTGCCCAGGCCGGTGATGTTTTTACAGGTAAGCCTCCTTATCGGAAAATAAAAAGGCAAAAATAAAAATACTAATCTTTCTTAGCAATCTCTGCCGGCGCCATTCTAGCCACCCTTCTCAGCATCTACCAGGAGAAAGTCGCCATTCGCTTCGGCAAAATGTCGAGCACTCCGGAAGGTCGTCTGTATTTTGCTTGCATTGAATCCATCCTCATGCCCGTGGGCATGTTCTGGTTTGGCTGGACTTCGTTTTCGTCGATTCCATGGATTGTGCCTTCGCTTGCCGTGGCGTGTGCCACCATGGGCATCTTTTCGGTCTATCTGGCCGTCTTCAACTATCTGGCCGATACTTATCATCGATATGCCAGCTCTGCGCTTGCGGCGCAGTCTTTTTGTGAGTTTGACCTGACCCCTTTTCCATTGGACGGTCATTAATGCTATTCTATCAGGCCGGAATCTTCTCGGAGGCGTCTTCCCGCTGGTCACTAATGCCATGTTCAACAATCTCGGGTTTCCAGGAGCGTCGAGTCTGTTGGGCGGAATTGTAAGCTGCTCAATTCACACTTCTCTTTTTCCCCCGTATATCACTAACGCAGACACAGGGCGCGGTGTTGACGCTTGTGCCGTGGGTGCTGGTGTTCTACGGGCCGAGAATCCGGGCTCGAAGCAAATTCGCTAGTGTAGGTGACTTTTACTGTCTGACTGATGTGCGTGCTAACACGATTGTGTCTCTAGGAATTAATGCATCAATAACGACGAGGGCATGTGGTCGTCTATACATAATACATAATCGCATACCTATTAGAGCGCGCACTGGATATACCTCTTTGCTTACCTATGCTCATAGTCTAATAAAAGTTAACTACCGTTCACGATGATCAGGACACGAGGAGACATCTTCTGTCAAACTAGAGATAATTGCGCCATCTGCTTCCTCCTCGATTGGCTCGTTTCAAGATTCGGCCGATACTCTCGGGTGAGAGCGCTTCGAAAGAGGGTGTAGTTGGCTATCAATGGTGTACCTACTCCATGAAGCTGGCATGCTTCCCAAACAGATAACCGCAGTGCCGTATCAACGAAGCCAGCACGCATCCACGGACAGTTGCCCATGTCCGTACTACAGAGTACGGACATTGATGCCTGAGGTGCCAACTAGACACTAATCCGAAATAGGCAAGCGCGAACCACTCGTCCGAGAGGGTTCGCGGGGTCGCCCGCCTGCAGCTTCTGATTGGCCGGCGGCAAAATGAGGTAATCGGCAGCCAATCAGCAGCATTCTGCCGGGCGGGCGCTGGCGATTGCGTGATTGACTCGCGGATGAAGTCAAGCATGGCGAATGCTGCACGCTCATTCGTGGATGGCGGGGGAAGAGCACGAGGGGCAGCCTCCTGCTGCGGGGAGGCCATTTGTATAAAGACACCGCGTTCCCTGCCTTCTTCTCGTTCATTCCATCGCTCGGCATCTACAAGACAACACCCTTTGATTCCATATCCTATCGCAATGGCTACTGAACAGCGCGCTCCGTAAGTGCTCCGCTTGCTCAGCTCATCATCTCGTCCTGGTCTAACATTGCGCAGCCTTCGTCTGGGCTCGACTGCCCCCAACTTCGATGCCCAGACCTCCAACGGTCCCATCAACTTCCACGACTACATTGGCGATAGCTGGGCCGTCCTCTTCTCCCACCCTGTATGTATGCCGTGTCATGTCACGCCTTCGTCGTCCGTTCTGCAGGGGGACCTGCTAACAATTGACAGGATGACTTCACTCCCATCTGTACCACCGAGCTCGGTGCTTTTGCTAAGCTCGAGCCGGAGTTTACTGCTCTCGGCGTCAAGCTCATTGGTCTGGTCAGTATAAGTTCTTTGCCGTTCACCCTTCCTTCCCGAAGTGAAGAATGGCATGGCTAATGTCTGTCTGTATAGAGCGCCAACAACGTCGACTCTCACCACGTCTGGATCAAGGACATTGACGAGGTCACTGGCTCCAACCTCAAGTTCCCCATCATCGCCGACGCAGATCGCAAGATTGCCTACTTGTACGACATGCTGGACTACGATGACATCACCAACGTTGACCAGAAGGGTACGTACGCCCCTCCAAGAAAGAAGAAATATATATATATATATATATATATATATACACATATAAAAGACACAGAGAGAGCCATACTGAACTAGACAGGCCTCCCTCTGACCGTCCGCACCGTTTTCGTCATCGACCCCAAGAAGAAGATCCGTCTCACCCTGACCTACCCGGCCTCTACCGGTCGTAACACCGCCGAGGTGCTCCGTGTTGTGCAGGCACTCCAGACCACCGACAAGAAGGGCCTTACTACTCCTATCAACTGGCTCCCCGGTGACGACGTGGTCATCCCGCCCAGCGTGTCCACTGAGGATGCCGTGAAGAAGTATGGCGAGGAGAACGTTCGCATTGTCAAGCCGTACGTTTTTCTCCCCCCCCTCTCTCTGCTGCAATAGCACAACGCGGGCCCACAAGCTAATGTTGTATGACAGTTACCTCCGTTTCACCAACGTCGGCAAGTAAGATATGCCTGACCATTTTGTTGTGTGTACGAAAGCGAGTCGATCGATGATGACCTAGGATTAATTTTCTTCCTCTTTTTCTTTTTGTGATGCCCTGATGATACCGAATAGCTATTGAGCTAATGACAGAAAATAAGAATAACAAAATAAAGTTACCAATCAGACTGGCCAATATGTATTTACTCGGTAACTAACAATCATGCATTATCAATATGCAGTATGCATGCCATGCCACACACGAGTCATACCAACAGTAAATACGTACCGAAATACCGATACGTCCCTGTAAACAGCGTAAAGATCAACGAAAGCGTACCACGGTCCACGCGGCCATTGGCCCATTTATTCAAGGGGTACAATACAGCGCTAAAACAGCGGTCCGCACAAAATGCAGCCAATCAGCACTCTGAGCGCACGTCCAAGCGCCCGTCAATGCTCGACGCCTGCGCCGATTGGCTGGTTCCGTGGTATTGCAGCGGCCTATCATATGACGGGAGCGTATTAAACTATACCGTTATTTATCGAAAGAAAAAAGGACAGACTCAGCGTTGAGTGAGGCGGAGGGGGCTGAATATGACGGCCGCTTCTTTCTGTGATCTGTGACAGTTGCTGACCCTTGTTCTCTCTGCTCTGTCGCTATCCAGATCCTGTGGAGACACTGCGAGCAGTGAGATTTGTTTTCCATCGCTTTTCATTTTTGGTGCGGTTGGTCGACAGCTCCTCGTTTCGAAATTGCCTGGATCACAACCCATCAAACCGCGTGTTTCATTTCGAATCATAGCAATAACACGCACACTACTTGGCTGATCTAATGAATTAATGGCTTCTTTCTGAGCTGAGCTGGGCAGAAGAGATAATGCTGGCGCTACTTCGTCTCGACTCGTCCTGAGAACTTGAGCTGAGATATCTTTCAACTTGTTCCTCTACTTTTCTTTCTTTCTTTCCTTCCTCCCGTGTCCGTTCCCTCGCTTTGACACTTTTATAACCTCGACAATGTCGCGAAGCCAATCGAGTCTGAGTCTGGCCCCGACAGATGGCAGCAACAGAGAAGATGGTGTATCGCCCACCGCCCAACTAACGAGCTCGTCCTCGTCGCTGTCCATGTCCATGTCCGGCCCCATGAACCTGTCCGGCCTCGTATGCAACGTGCGACGAACCACGGGCCGCGAGCCTCGCGCTCTTGTGGGCGCCACCACCACCATCCTAGGCGACAAGCTCTACGTCTTCGGCGGCCGGTCGGTGTCGAGATCCCACTCGCACGTCCAGCTCACCTCGGATCTATACGAGCTAGACCTGATCCGCAGACACTGGACAAAAGTGGAGGTATCAGGCGACATTCCAGCACCACGCTACTTCCACAGTCTCTGCGCGCTCGGCGATACGAAACTCGTGTGCTTCGGGGGCATGTCTCCGGCCGTCGGTGCCGAGTCAAACGAGCAGACTGACCGGAATAGTCCGGCGGACGAACAGACAGACGTGCAGGTCATGTCGGACATACACATCTACGACGTTGTGGCGCGGACGTGGACGCGCTTGCCGGCGAAGGATCCGCCGCTGGGACGGTATGCGCATTGTGCTGCGATATTGCCGTCGAGTGCATGCTTCACGTCGGCCAATGCACCGCTGTCAGCGATCCATAATAACCCATCGTCGGGCAATCCGCATCAGGGCACGATTGGGCCTGATATTGACGGATACGGCGGCGCCGAGATGATCGTTGTGGGCGGCCAGGATACCTCAAATCACTATATTGAGCAGATCAGTGTGTTCAATCTGCGCAGCCTAAAGTGGACGTCGACGAGTCCGCTGGGCAGGAGTTGCGGTGCCTATCGCAGCGTGGTGGCGCCGTTGACGAATATGGATGTATCGGAGCTGGGGAGTGCGGGTGCTGCAGCAGAGCAGGACGGCCACCACCACCACCACCACCACCACCACCATCACCAGATCGAGGGCGCGGAGAATGGTACTGCGATGCTGATATATTCCAACTACAATTTCCTGGATGTCAAATTGGAGCTTCAGGTGCGGCTGCCCGATGGCCGTTTGGTAGAGAAGCCCATGTATGGCGAGGCGTCTCCGCCGGGACTACGATTCCCCAACGGTGGGATTATCAACAACCATCTGGTGGTCAGCGGTACCTATCTTACATCGTCAAAACAAGAGTACTCTCTGTGGGCTCTAGACCTAAAGACACTCACATGGTCGCGCATCGACGGTGGCGGGAGTGTCTTCAGCAGCGGCAGCTGGAACAGGGGCGTTCTCTGGGAGCGTCGAAACACCTTTGTCATTCTGGGGAACCGGAAGCGAAGCCTCGTCGACGACTACAACCACCGTCGCATCAACTTCTCGCATCTGTGCATGGTCGACCTCGAGGCGTTCGGCCTCTACAGCAACCCCTGTCGAACCGCGCCCACCTCGGGCTACGCCTCGGTCAGCTCGCCATTGGTACCAGCATCGCTGCAGCTGAAACTGGCGCAGCTAACAACCGGCGGCCGACCGCTGTCCACGGCGTCAGACGAGCTCGGCAAAGTCGCCTTCTCAATGCGTGAGATGGCAGACATGGAGCTCCAAGCCCTCGGCGGCGAGCGAATCCCCGTCAGTTCTCGAATGCTGGCTCGACGCTGGGGACCGTTTTTCATCCAACTCATCCGCGAAGCGTCCGACCCGGGCATCGCGGAAACTGCAACGCTTCGTGGCACGGCGAGCAACAGTAGCAGCGCTGGAGGAGACGGCACGACCCATCCCAACCGCAACTCGAATATTACCATCACGCCTTCTCTGGACTCGTCCAACAACAGCTTCTTCTCCAACACGCTAGCCAGCGGGAGCTCCCATAGCCTGTCATCTCCGCACTCGCGTCTTCTGGCGAACCTGGATGTCCCCTCTGCGCATTCAATTGCGCCGTCGCTAAGGCCTCGAGTGCTGTATCTGCCGCATACGCTTCAGACCGTGCGGCTTTTGGTTTACTATCTCTACACCTCGTCCCTGCCGCCAGTCAACTCGCCGCTTTGCACGCCGCTAGTTCTCTGCTCGATCCTGCAACTGGCGCGCCCGTATCAGGTTGACGGGCTTTTGGAGGCGGTGGTGGAGCGTCTGCATCAGGTGCTGGATGGACGAAATGCCGCTGCGGTGTTTAATGCCGCTGCCATGGCGGCGGGCGGCGGACGCGGAACAGGATTCATCAGCGGGATTGGCGGGACTCTTGAAGTTCTGAATGGAGTCCACAGATCGCTGAATGGGTCAAGACCGAATATCAATGGTGATGTTGCTGGTGCTGGTGCTGGTGGAGCAGGCACAGGCTTGCAACAGCAGAATTCGTTTTCGTCTCTGTCCACAGCGTCGGATTCATCCGACACCGAGCTTGGCCGACAACAGAGTCAACCTCAACAACGCATGCGCGCCGACTCGTCTATGGGCCGCCCCTTGCCCCTTCGGATCAATACGAATATGTCTCTGACGCGCAACAACGGCGACATTTATTACGACGATTCGCTCAGTGAGGCAGCCTCGTCCTCGACGTCGGCGAGCTTCAGCCACAGCGATTCGGACTACCTCGACGACGACGGAGGGAATGGCAACCGCAACAACGGCAGAGGAGTCGGGCGGCGACGAGGCACGGATGCCGAGGGTCGCGAGCGCCAGATCTGGACGGGCGATGTGAGCAGTGTGATTGGGCTGCAGAAACGGGGGTTGAAGGGGCTCATGGAGGGGAGGAGGATGAGGGAGAGGAGCGGTGGCAGGTCGGGCGTTGCGCTGGCTGTGGATGCTCAGTAGTATAGTTACGAGTTATGATGAGGGATATAAACATGTAATGAGGAATGCTATGCTCATGATTCGATTACTTCTCTACAAGTCAGGCTATTTGTACGAATCCTCGGTCCTCTTCAGGCCACTATATAGCAACTGCTCAACCGCCTCGTTGACATCGAGAACCGCGTTGTCTACACAGTCAGCCAGCTCGCCCCTCTGAACTAACTACTAGACAGCGGAGTAGATAAACCAAGACTCACCTCCATACGGCAGAATCTGACTGGCAATCATCGCGCCAATGCCAGACTTGCGATCCGCAAACCAGAACAGATTCGCAATTCCCTCCCACGAGCCCGTCCCCGCCGGCCGTCCAGTGACTCTGTTGTCAACATGCGACAGCGCAAATGTCAGGCCCCATCCCTCGGTTCGTTGCGCGTCTGCCGCGGGGTTTGCGAGAGGGCGCACAGGGCTGGGTTTGGCGAGATGCGGTTTGGCAGTCTCCGCGGGCCGGTTGGGGTATCGCGGGAGTTGGGGGATTTGGTCGGTGAACATCTCTATACCAACATTAATTGAGGCTTGACAGAAAGTGGATAGGAGTATACCGTTGATGGACTCTGGGCTGAGGATGCGAGCGTTGGTCCTGGGGCATGTGCCGTTGTTGAGCAGGACGGTGATAATTTCTTCGTCGCCATCAGCTGTTAACCATGATGGTTACGAGATTATGATTCCTAAGGGAGAGAGCTCACTGCAATACTCGGCCACCGTCCCAAAACAGCCTGCGCCACCAGAACAAAACAGACTGCTGCGCTTCTCTGCCAGCGGAAACCGATACTGGTGGTCGACGACCTTCAACGAGCCATCACGCCCGTCTCGTCGGTGCATATACGCCAGTCTCTTCTTCATATCCGCCGTGGGGAAGAAGCGTATATCCTCTATGCCGAGCGGCTCGAAGATGTGTGCCCGGAAGTACTCGTCCAGCGAGAGGCCCGTCACACGCTCGACGAGTGCGCCGGCCCAGTCGACGTTGACGCCGTACTGGAACTTGGTGCCGGGCTGGTTGACGAGTGGCAGGCCCAACACGTCGTCTGCGTTGCCCGCGAACTCATCGAAGCCGATGGGGAAGGAGTAGTCGCGCAGACGAGGGTCGTCGAAGGGGTAGCCAAAGCCAGCTGGACGTTCATCAGCATATATCTACGCGTATATACCTTACATACATCTCTCTCTACGGGGGTATGACATACCGGTATGGCTCAGTAGCATCCTCAGCGTGATCCCCCTTTGCTTTTCGACCAGCCTAAAGCCGGTCCGCGCATCGCCATCCAGTACCTTGACGTCTCTCAGTTCGGGGGCAAGCCGCTCGACGAGATGCACATCATCGAGCGCCAGCTTGCCCTGCTCGACGAGCTGCATGCATGCGATCCCCGTGATCATCTTGGTGCACGAGGCCATCCAGAAGACGGTGTCGGGCGTCATGCTGCTGCTGCCTGGGACCAGGCCTCTGGCTCCAGAGGCATGGCTAAATATGGGCTCGCCATGCCGGCCAACGGCCTGGTATACGAGGCCGGCCACAGACGGCGTTGGGCCGGCGGTGGTTTTGTCGAGGAGTTGGCGGAGAGAGGCTTGGATGTCTGCGGGGGATTGAGAGGCGGCCATTTTGAATTCTCTGATTTAACTGAAGGTTCTTCTACTCAAACTAGAGACATGGAGCAATTATGTAGATTAGGTGGTGATTTCAGATGCGGGGAGCTTCCCCTCTGCTTATGCGGGGCTGGGCTGTGATCGTATGCACGATGCTGGTATGTATGTATGTGGATGTATCTCAGGAATCAAGCTAATCAACCGGCCTCACCGTCTTCACGACCCTTGCAGGCTGTCCCATGGCCACACTCCAGTCGGGAATGTCTCTGCTCACCACCGCGCCGGCCGCAATGGTGCAGCCCTTGCCCACCGTCACGCCCGGCAGAATCACCACATTGCCTCCAACCCAGCAGTCATCGCCAATCACCACGGGCCGCGCATACTCGATATTTTCACGGCGACTCTGCACGTCCGTCTCGTGCGTGGCCGCGTATATCGACACATTGGGCCCGAACATCACCCGGTCCCCGATAGTGACCAGCCCGCAGTCGAGGATGGTCAGGTTGAAGTTGGCATAGAACCGGTCGCCGAGGCGGATGTTGCAGCCATAGTCGACATAAAACGGCGGCTCGATGAAGGCCTGGTCGCCCTTGACGCTGCCTACGAGCTCGCGCAGCCAGCCCGTGCGCAGTTGCTGGAGCGAGTCAAACGACGATGCGGATGCCTCGTCGGGCGCGGGGAAGTAGCTGTTGTAGCGGTGGCACCATGCTCGCGCCTTGAAGCGGGCGTTGGCGAGCTCGGGGACGAGGGAGTCGTATCTAGGTAGGTATGCGTGGATGAACAGAGGCCTTTGGGATTTATGGGATGATAGCTATTTAGGTGGTATGTATGTATATACGTACAGCATGCCCGAGATCATGCGCTCGTACTGCTCGCACCAGGGCACGTTGTGGAGCGTCCTGGCCAGCGCGAGCTGTTCTTCATTCTTGTGCTGTGCTGCGCCAGAGGTGGCCATCTTACGCTGGTGGATTGGATTGTTGATGCGAGGGAAGAAACACGCAGTCAAGCTTGGCTACTGATCTACTGTAGTGCGGGGCATTCCACGCGTGATCGATCAGAATTTCCTAAACAGGAAATTTTTGTGCATTGCAAATATATCGAATATCCCCCTGACCATCATCTTGATCTCTGCCTCTGGATTCAGCAATGAATGTCCATCACTCGGCCATGTAGCATGAATTAGATTAGAATCCAAGCAACGGCCGGTGCTACCCTTACGCCCTTAGCGAGCCTGCGAGCTGCGTAGTGCTTACCAGCGTCTCTAGCGGAATATTCAATATTGAGCTAGGCACGAAATTTTCCAAAGAAAAAGGTGACAAGACTCAACGGCGTGCATGGCGAGACGCCTACTACGTATCGCGCTGACCATGACTCGTAGTGACTAGTCGTACAGACATACTCCGTAGTACATACTACACAATATGATGATGAGTATGACTGATCTGAACATCGCGACATGCACGTTCAGGCGGAATTGCATCTTCCGAGCTGGTCACTGGATCTCTACCTTTGCGGCATGTATACACAGAGAGTGTAACTAGAAGTCAAGTAAGGATAGGGACCTAGGTATGCATGCATGAACAATTAGCGCCAACACATCGCTAGATCACCCAAGATCCATAAACGAGCGTGCACAAAAACAAAGAATCAGCTCGAATCGCGCCTATCACAGCGCCGAATGCACGAATATTCGAATATTTTCGACTGCAACACAAGTTGACTGGTTCGGGTATGTGCGAGCAGCACGCAGGATGCATGGTTAGTGCGTGACAAGCTACCTAAACTTTGTTTCCTTTCTTTTTTTTTTCTTTTTTCCTTCCTTTTTCATCTTTCTGGTCTCATTTTTTTTTACCCAGAGAGGTAGTTTTCGCCTTGACACTCTCTGCGCTGGTACCTAGGTCGGCCATTCTTTGTTCATGGCACAGAACATGCTAGACTGCTGTGTGCTTGCTACACTCAATGCACGATTCTATCTATATCTCCTCCTATACGAGGTCGGCGATCTTTTCAAATCAGGCCATCCGCGCGAACCGCCCGAATCAGAAGTAGAGACCTGCATGCATGCATGCATACATACATATATATATGTACTTACCCCGTACGCACATTAGATGCAGTTTGCCGGGTGGGACTGAAATAGATGTGCGCGTCATAGTATTGATGCGCTAGTAGTGTGATATGCACGAAAAGAAACGAGGGAAAAAAAAGTGATTGTTCATATCGCTTAGCGCTCGTGCCACGGCTGACTCGCGAATAATATAGACAGATCACCAGCAGTATACCCTTCGCAAAGCAGCACAATCAAATGCTATGGGGTCTATGCATGGGTACCTGTCAGCCGCGGACTGGCATATCATGTATATGATTATACCGACACCGGTGTGATCTATCACTGCATGTGCTGTGCGTACCCGAGCGACACGACACTGACACTTGATGTATCATATGCTGCCACCGGTACTGTCCAGCTTTGTTCAAGCCTGTCCACACGCAAGGAAACGTTGGCTGCCTAGACCGTTGGATTCGGAATGGCATGTCCTGTCTGTGTCGTTGAATCTATGCGTTGACATGTATGCTGTCCGGGATACGTGCTCATCTACCGATGGACTTGGATTGATACATCTTGCAACTTGGTCGAGGTCAAATGAATATGCAGTGTGATAGCACTTACTCCGAGCAAGATATGCAAGGAAGCAAGATGTTCCATCGCAGTATAGTTACCGTTACCTAAGTAACAGCCAGTGAATTGCACAGCAACTTCGGCTTCAATATCGTATCAGAATATCATGTCATGGACATGCAAGCGTGGTGTCAATATAGAGACGGACCCCCACTCGGCGAATGCTCCGAATTCTTGACCCAGCCTGAAAACATCTCCACTGTACTGTAGAACAACGTCAACAACAACAACTACTATAACAACTCTGTACTGTACATACTATAGACAAATTATCGTATACACACACCATGGCCAGCTCATCTCCCATCCAGCAATGGACAGTCACCGAGGCACGTACCTAGGTATCATCTAATGGCATCCCGTTTCTAACCACACAACGAATATAGCCCTACCTGGACATCCGCGGCGGCCTGCTCGAGGGCCCCTTCTACACGCCGGAGCGCAATGAGCTTCGCTTCGTCGATCTCGACTATGAAAAGGTCTACTTTCTGGATCTGGAGCAGGGCCCTGTTTCGCTGCGGGCGGTGCACACGGAGTCGCCTATTGGGTGTGTGTGTGTCCACATCCCTGCATACGTACATACGGGTAGTACATGCTAAGAGAAACAGCGTCACGGCGGATATGATCGACGACTCGGGGAATAATGTGCAGATTGTGGTGGCGGCAAAACATGGCTTTGCGACCCTGGACCGCCAATCCGGCGCCCTGAGCTATATCCATCGCACGCACACGTCGGAGCGAGATTCTTACCGGTGTGTGCTGCCTTGTATCCGAATTAACGGGACCTGTGCTGATAATCATGGCCACGGTAGGATGAGGTTCAACGACGGCGCGGTCGACAACCAAGGCCGTTTCTGGGCCGGCTCCAGCATCGACCACAAATACGTGCAGGGCCAGCACGAGGGCGTCCTGTACCGCCTCGACCGGGACATGAGCGTTCACGCCATGGTCCGACACATGACGACGCCCAACGGCATGGGGTGGAACGACGCCGACGACACCATGTACATCACGGACTCGCCGCACGGCAAGATATACGCGTACGACTTTGACGCGCGCTCCGGCGCGATTTCGAACCGACGCGATTTCCGGACTTGGGGTCAGGACGAGGGCGAGCCCGACGGCTTCGCCATGGATGTCGAGGGGTGTCTGTGGGTGGCGATGTGGAGGGCTGGCTGCGTCGTGCGAGTCAATCCGCACGGCGAGATTGTCGGCAAGATCTCCTTGCCCACGCGCTTTGTTACCTGTCCGGAGTTCGTGGGCAGCGAGCTGTTTGTCACGACCGCCATGGAGCAGCAGCCATACGAGTTTCCGGAGTCGGCGCGATGGGGAGGAAAAGTGTATCGCGTCGACGTTGGCGTGCAGGGGAAGCCACGGAATGCCTTTCGACGTAGTATTTAGGCCATGTCATCACATGTGACGCTGCGATGCTGCCAGTGCCAGTTGAAACAAAGAAATTACGAATAAAGAAAAGAGAGAGAGAGAGGGAAAAAAGAAAAAAGGGCAGCCAATCAAGAAAATTCCAACCAACTGCTGCTGTGATTCGCTCGCAGCGTCCAATAATAGCACATACTAGCGTAGACTACGCGATACGCCTGCTTAGCTTCAGCTCTTTGTCCGGCATTGGCATTCTAATTCTAATAGCGCCTCCTCTCAAGCAGCTGCACAAAATAGAACTGTGGTTACACGGAAATGGAGTCAATGGAGTCTGGAGTCTCTGGACAGGCCTCAGGCCAAGAATGCCTGTTTTGTCTTAGTGCGCGTCTGCTAAATTAATCCTACTATTTTTTTTTTCTTTTCTTTCCTCTCTCACCCGATCCTCTGGGTTATGCCTTGTCCAATAAATGATCCTTGACAGAAAATAAGGAATATGGCCGTTCCCGGCAAGCTGGAAACCGATAATCCTTTCAGCCTATAGCCCTTTCTTAATTTTAGGATCATGGGCATAGGCTTTGCGAGTACAAACTGCATACATACTAGTAAATCGAATTGGTGATGGTCAGACCCGGGCCTGTGGATGTCTCCATAGAAAAAAAGAGCTCGAGACAGGACAGAGTTCAGGGGAATGATCCGCGGAGGGGACTATTTGCGTTTAATATAATGCCATTTGATTGCTAGGATTAGTATTTAGTTTTACCCACCGCGGTTCGCCGTCGGGTCCGTTGCCCGTCTGTCTAGGAATGCTGGGTCGGTATGTAGTGTATGTAACAGTATTCACTGACTGGTGAGAGCTTTTAGTAAGAGCGCAGATGAAGTCAAAGAATGTAGGTCCGGGGCTATTGTATGTAGTGCCAGGTTGGCCGAGTAGGGCTGGCAGGTCACGTTACCCATACGCCCTAAGCGGGTCTTTTCTTAGACTTTCTATCAAAACCCCCCCCCTGACTTACTCCGATGGAGCACTCCGACCATTTGATTGACGGTTTGACATGAATCCATACTGTCCAATTTTCACGTAACTTAATAACAGTCACCAAAACCCAAAAAAAAAAGTATAAAACAAACTTTAACTCTGACACACCTTTTCGGATTCCCATGCTGCATGTCTAGACTTGCTTACTCCACCGGCGCGAACGTGTCTGCATAATATTCTTCAGAAGCTACTCCCAGAGAGTGGCTCTGGCTGCGGCGCTGCCCAACCACCTTTGCGCGCTGGCTGGTGCTAATGCCGGTAAGCATGGGGATGGGCCGAGAGCCAATTCTTCAGGAGACCTACGTCTAGTTATAGCATGACGTCGCAATAGTATGTATAGTTCGATTCTGATCTGGCTACGTAGTAGACTGTCGTTGGTCTAAGGCTGGTAGCCGGTTTTCAGAGGGAAACACGTTACTCTGACTTCATACTTGTCTCAAAGACTGTCGATCCAGCGTTCAACCTCGGGGATAGTTTCATAGTTCCAAGCTGATTGCCTAGGCAGTAATTGACTCTGTCCCGGTTCCGTAGCGACGGTAGCTCGAGCACACTCTCCACTGTGGATTAGTCATTAGTACTCTATGGCAAGGCCAACTCGACTCCGTCAATTGTTATTGACGGGACCACGACTCCCGCGCGCAATCTGTCTATCCCGTACTATTGCCATACTAAGACTACGTCCAGGATCACACCAACGCGGCCGGAATAGCGCCGCGCCTATTCCGGCGGGCCAGCTCGTTCCCAGTAATCCACTTCTGACAGGCTGGATTTGGGGGCTTCTGAAGTTTGCGAGCTTTGCTTAGTCCGACACGGAGTAGTAGTTAGTTATACTCTGCTACTTGCTCGGTACGGCGTAGTAGAGACTCGAGAGAGACTCCACACAACCATCCTTTGTGCGTGAAAGAACGAGCAACAGGGCCTTCTCGATTCGGAAAGAGAAGCACTCTACTCGATAGCTGGCCTAGCACCACTCCGTAGTAGTACCCAGGCGAGTTAGCTCGTAGCCAGCCTCTGTACAGAGTCATGCTGTTAGGTACTGGCGGTCAGTTGGGCCGCCAGTGTAGTATCAGATTCGCAATTGTGCATGCATGGCATGGCATACATAGATTTACAGTTGGCAGTCAGATTCCAAACCGGCCATCAGCACTTCGAGTCGCCACCAAGTTCCCTCCCTGACTTAGTCTCACGCCCTCCTAGACTAGTCATAGCTCGCGCTTCCCGGATCCCCGCCCCATTTCCGTCGAAACGCTGTGTGTGCTGTGCTGTGGTCTGCCTGCATTGCAGCGCGCTAAACCTACTTCCTTTTTATGCAGCATCTAATCGTCGTGCTTCACACCGCTGAAACACTAATCCCTGCTCACTATTTATTATCTGCTATATATTATGTACATGATGCTCGCATCCGTCATACCTACCGACGCCTCACCTGCATACATGTCAACCTGCCTACATACATACATACATACATACAAACGTACATACATACACCTTCATATACTTTGTCCCCGTCCGATCTCCAACCTCTGGATTCCTCTGTCAAACGGAATCAAACAAACAATTCTTTGTGTTTGACTGACTGAACTGACCGATTGACACCGCCATTCATACTTCCCCTGCCCTGTCGGTTGGTTGGACAGGTCCATTGAAATCTTCCGTGACACCCAAAAAAAAAATCCCACCCGCGGTTAGGGCAAACCGTCAAGCTGGCTGCGTTGGGAATCAGCGTTTGTTCTCTTCCTCATTCCAAATCTCTCGACGGCCTCGATCAATATAGTCATCTGGCCGGCTATCTTCCAAACGGCCCAGCCGCCTTCCCCTCTCAGGCGAGCCTGCTTGAGGGCACCGGTTCCCTTGAGAGGGGGAGGAAACGGCCATGTGTTGAGCCACGGTCGTGGTCTCAGGCCGACGGACAGCTGTCGCCCATGTCTCCAGAGTTTCCGCCATCCTTCGACATCCATGTTAACAAGCAGCAGCACGTGAAAAAGGAGGAAGACGAAGACGTCGACGAAGAGACCAACCGAGTGCCAGAGGGGAAAGACACCCAGACCCGAGAATCAGACCGAACCGGCTCCAAGAGACAGTATCCCTGGCCCGAGCCCGTTGCTGTCTCTGTCTTCCAGCCCCGGCTAGAATCCCATGCGCGCTCAAATCGAGTCCACTCCATCCTGAATCCCACCCCCGAGGGTGGTGACTCGCAGGAAACCAAACGGCCGGCTCATGATACAAGCAACAGCAGCAGCAACAACAACAACAACAACAGCAACAATATGTCCTCCACGGAAATCCTGCCTCCTCCTCCTACATTACCTCCGTCTCCACAACGGCGTTGTTCTTCCTCGCCTCTTCTTGCACCCATCTCAAAATCCAGCCACACCAAATCATACCATCACCATCTTCATCACGCCGGAAGATCATCCGTTTCTCCGCCGCATAACCCTCCTCGACGTATCATAACACCTGTCTCACCTGCCATGCGCTATGCCAGTGCCGGTGGCAATAACATTGCCAATGCTGGCTCGGCTGGGGTCAGTGGTTCCGGTGGCAGTGGCGCGGAAGCCAAAGTGAGAGTGTCTCAGTCACCGTTTGTCCCGCTGTCAGAATTATCTGCAGGAGTATACAGTACTCCGGGGGGAAGCGGACCAGGTCCTACCACTCCCATTGAGCCACCATCATTAATGACAACGCCGAGGTTTTCTCCTAAACTGGCAATTCCGATCCCCAGTCGGAATGCCTCGCTGCCGCCGGCTCCTCTTCAAGTGTCCAGACATTCGACCCCGACTCTCATTCATAGCTGTCATCCCAGCGGAGGACTGGCGAATAATCCGAGCTCACAGGCCTCGAGTCCCAGCACACCTCAATCTACTTTCAGCTCCTTTGCGCAGTCTTCGCCGTCTGTTGCGTCGGGCTTGCTGCCACCTCTTGGACAGTTGTCTGCAGCGCGGGAGTCCCCCTCACAGTCCCCCTTCATGGGCATGGAGCCATTAAGCCGAACGCCGAGTCGGACAAGCATGAGCACCTCGAGGTATGGCGATGATCATCATCCTCACCACCAACCCCAACATCAACATCCCGCTCCCTTTCCAGGTCCACCAGACCATCCCCATCAGCAGCAGCCGCCGCCGCCGCCATACCACACCATGATCCCCGTCACAATCGACCTGAAATCCGGATCCCGAAGCCAAGCCGAGAAGCGCAAAGCGAACAGCGACGCATCGCGCCGGTTTCGCAACCGGAAGAAGAACGAAGCTGCCCTCGAGCAGAAAATCAGCCAGTTGACTGAGCAGCTGCAGTGCGCAATTGAGGAGCGAGACTACTACCGCTCTGAGAGAGACTTTTTCAGGGATACTCTAGGTCGAAATGTAGACATTTCGCAGATGCCGTCTCGTCCAGCTTCCCCTTCGTCGACTCGTCGGTTTCATCAGACGTCTATAGCGCCAGCAGGCGGCGAAGACATGTCGAAAAGCGCCAGTACGGGGACTACCAGTTCATCGCTGGCGTCTACTCCTCATATCCTTCCTTCGCCGGTCTCGGGCCCAGAGTCTTTATCGTCGTCTGCTGCTGCTGCTGCAGGCCAGCATCAGCATCAGCATCATCTGCGCTCCTCTGCATCTACGTATCCGCCTGCAGATTCATGGCAGGGTGGTGGTGGTGGTGGTGAATACCACCATGCATACCGCGATGATTCTCGTTTTGCGAACCCGAGGCGATCTTAGCTTTCACTCCGTTTCTTTTTCTTTTTCTTTTTTTTTTTCTCAAATTGTGTATACCTTTTTTTATCTTATTCTTTTAGTACTACTAACATCATCATTTTTCGGCCTTTCTTGGTTCATCATACATACTATATATTCTATGTACTGCATTTCAGGCGTTTTGGTTTTCTTTCCGTTTCTTATTCCATCCTTTGTCAGCGTTTTTTTTTTCTTTGCAGTTGCAGCATCTTACACAGCGGAGAACTATTATCTATACCTATGTACCTACCTGTTGGTGATCTCCTTTCGTGAGCTGATCTATTCTATACATATCTAATATTCCAACCGTTGTGTTGTGTTGCCCGCCCTCTAGCCAGGGATACATACCAAGCATGCAAATAAATCTATGTTATCCTATTTCCATGTACTTAATCTAGATTATATTCTTGCATTCAATAAATACAGTTACCTCGTTATATGCCGTGGTGTTATATTATTTATATGCAGTCGACGTGTTCAGGGCAAGCAAGACCACGTGCTGCAGCGACAGGACGACAGCTGCACAACCTCAAACGTCAGCTTCCTAGTCAGTACTTGCTCTCTCATCTTCACTCTCTGCGTTTTCGAATTGTGACGGCTTACTTTAACTGCATGGTGTAAAATACAGCAATGAATAGCGATACTCGCGATAACGTCTCCAAGTCCCCCTACGCTATTGGCGAGGAAATACCCCTTGTCGGCTCTGCAAAACCACGCCCTCACCGGTTCCTGAGCAGGCAAAATGTGACAGCACTCACGAGTTTGTTTATAACGTGCTCAACAATATATATGGGACTTCTGATGTATGTTTGTTTGGCTATTCTGACTATTGCTATTGCTATTGCTATTGCTAAGCAACATGCTCTAGTATCATGGGACCCGGAACAGCCATCCACCCTCAAATATCGCACTACTGGGGCCAATACTCACCCTTCTTCTCGCTCGAGGAGCAGTCAGAAATCAGCCCTGCCACCCCGCCAGAATGCACTGTCACATTTGTGCAAGCCCTCTCCCGGCATGGCGCGAGGTATCCGACTGCGGGGAAGAGTGAGGTGTATGTCGAACTTGTTGATCGGATTCAGCAGACAGCGACAGAATATAAAGGCGGCGTTTATGCTGCGCTGGAAACTTATCACTATCAACTAGGGGATGATGAGTTGACGGTGTTCGGTGAGCAGCAGATGACAGATTCTGGTATGGCGTTTTATCGGCGTTATAAACAGCTAGCTAGGTATCATGTGCCGTTTATACGTGCTTCAGGCTCAAGTCGCGTGATTGCTTCAGGAGAGCTGTTTACTGAAGGGTTCAATGAGGCGAAAAGGATCGACCGGGGCTCCAATAGCAGCCAACAGGCTAGTAAAGTGAATCTCGTCATCCCTGAAGGGTCGCAATGGAACAACACCCTTGACTCTGGCAGCTGTGAGTCGCTGTCTGACGGCAGCCCTGTGCGCGAGGCTGAACAAGAATTCCTCAATGTCTTTGCGCCATCGATATTAGAGAGGTTGGTTTCCAACATGCCTGGAGTGAATCTCACGCTGGAGGATGTTCCGCTTCTGATGGATCTCTGTCCGTTTGAGGTTGTCGCACAGAAAGACACGAGCAAGGGACAGCTCTCTCCGTTATGCGACTTGTTCACACCGTCCGAATGGAAATCATACGACTACCTCAACACCCTCCGTAAGTACTATGCGTATGGCGCAGGAAACCCGCTAGCCTCAACACGAGGAGTCGGCTACGTCAATGAAATTATTGCACGTATGACCAAGACCCTGCCTGTGAATGACCACACCAGCGTAAACCACACGCTGGACTCTGACCCAACCACATTTCCACTCGATACCACTCTATATGCTGATTTCAGCCACGACAATGCCATGGTCTCCATCTTCGATGCCTTTGGGTTGTACAATTCTACTGCGAAGCTGTCAACGACACATGTGCAATCTGCCGCTGAGACGAGAGGGTTTTCATCGTCATGGGTAGTGCCTTTTGCGTCACGGGCATATTTTGAGCTTATGCAGTGTTCGCCAGATGATGACAACGAAGAGGAAGAGCAATTAGTCAGAGTGCTTATAAACGACCGCGTTGTCCCGCTTCACGGCTGCCATGTCGATGCCCTAGGTCGCTGCAAATTGAACGACTGGATCGAGGGACTCGACTTTGCACGAAACGGGGGTCGATGGGATGATTATTGTCTATCATCTGGTTTGGCATAGCCTTTTCTTTATGTTTCGTCCTTACTTTGTACATATTATATATCCTCGCTAGTATACATATATCACTTCATTCTTTTCAATTCCGCAGACTGAAAAAAAGGGGGGCAAAAAGGGCCAAGATCATTTCTCCTCATTGCCAGACTCCCTGCCCAATCTCTTCTGCACCTTTGACCCATACGCTACATCTCATTAGCATTCTCTTCAACCCACAATCACGCGAAAATAAAAAAAGAGATGTTACTCACTGCGCTCATACAACTCCCAACTCGTATAAATCAGAATCGGCAGCGCCACTATCGTCGATACCCATCTTAACGTACCCATCCATCAGTCATGTCCTATATCTCTCTCATATCTGTCTGCGTTTACATGAAGGTATGGGAAGAAAGGGGGGCCCGGGGGGGGGGGGAGAGCAATACCGTCTTGAAGCAGACTTATACGCTTTAGTCTTTGTAATGTCGATATTAGAAGTGCCATGTGCTACTTTTTTCGTTGATCTTGGTTTTGTCGCTTGGGAAGGAGATGAGGATTGTAACTGTTGTCGCTGACGGATTTCGGCAGGTGAAAGAGCGCGTGGGCCGCGCGATGGGTTCATTTTTTTTTTTTCTTTCTCTGTTCCCTCCTTATAAATTATGTATTATCGGGGGGAGGAGTGTTTGAGAAAGTGGAATTGGTTAATTGTGGCCTCTTTGAATGAATGAATGGATGGATCTGATATTGAGATGACGTGGTGGAAAACGGAAAGGGAAGAAGTTTTGCCGCTGCCTGAATGGCAAGGCATCAACTTCAGCAGCGGTCACTGGTCTGACTACGTATTTTATAATTTTACCAAGGCTGTCTATGAGAAACAAATTGACCTAATCTGGGCGAAGTGAATAGTGGAAGCGAATAAATAAACCTGATAGACATTAAAAGTATCCCCGCCGTATTCTCATCAGCTAGAACAGAACATAACAGACCAGCTATAGCATAGTATGGCCATTGAATATCGAGATAGAAGGAAAAGAATATACAATCGCTATTCAATAGGAAATGTGATCACTATAATACAATGCATCATTCATGCTTTTGGGGTGAAGGAAGAAGGGGGAAGAAATTGACGCATCAAATGTCAACATAATCAATCTCGCTGAGTAAATTATTGAAGTAGATCCCACGATGCAGATTTGAAAGAAGAAGAGAAAATAAAATGGTCATCAAGATGTTAATGTTCCAAGGCATACCAAAGAGTAAGCTTTAGACCAGGTCAGGTCACGACTCGCCCGGCTTCAATACTCCCATAGTCCGTCGTCGAGCGCGCCCAGATATTGTCGTTGCAGGTGTTGTCGCTGCCACTTCATGAGCAGCAGCAGCAGTTACATCCCCGCTGTAATGCTTACTGGCCAGTTTCTCTGTGTGGGCCATACGAGTTCCTAAGCTGTGTGCTTTTGGGGTTGCTTTTAAGCTATGGCCACCACTGCCAGTGGCCGTTGCCGGTGTTGTCGGCTGGCCTTCGCCTTTGAGGTTGGTAAACGTGATAGTGGTAGAATGGCGCTTCTGACGCGCAGGCGTTGTCTTGCCGTCATCAGTTTTGGTCGTTGATTGTCGTTTCTTGCGCTGCTGATGCTGAGCTTGATCGGTGTTTCCAGCAGAATTCAAGCCGGTCATGTCCAACGAGCGTTTCCTGCTGCCAGGGGTGCCGGCTGTTTTATTTGCAGACTTGGGTTTGTTAGCTTCGCCTGAAGCTGGTGCGCTCTGACGTCGCTTGCGTAGCGCGGATTTATCAGATGCTGCTGCAGGCTCTACTTTGAGTTTCGAGGAATCAACGAATACTATCTTGAGAGGACGCTTGAATCGAGGTAACCCCTTGCGGTGGATGTATCTTGTTTTCCGCCCAGGTTCGTCGCTATTCATGGCATCGCCCGCTCCTGAGGTGTCAGCCAATCCAAGACTGCCGCTGCCAACTAGTCCGTCCACCTTTTCATGTCTCCATACTTGTCCAGGATGCCTCTGATACAAATTGCGAGTCCCCGGACTAGGCGGGAACCCATAGATGTTATCACGTCGGATTTCATCCACTGACTTGATCATGGGCGGTGGCGTGGGAATAGGTCCAACAGGCGTGCGGTAATTTGACGCATGTTTCACCCATTGGTATTTACCAGCGGGCGCAAGACAATATTCCTCGCCATACTTGTTCACTCGACCGGTATGCGTCCAGCCATCTTCTTCAGTCCAAGGGCGAGGCTTATCAGGATGGTCGAGAGGAAATTCGTCGTTAATCTCGCCAGGGAGGTTGATATGCTCAATGTTCTGAACGATTTCTGGGGCCGGAACTGGAGCTGGAACTGCGATATTTTCTTCTTCTTCCTCATTCGCAGTTGCCGTTGTAGCTGTAGCTACAGCTACCGAGACTTCCTGGCTCTTTCTCTGGTTGAAAGCTTCTCGCCACTCGTCTATCTTTGCCTGATCATTGTCCGGTTGAGATTTCAGATCTTTAAGTGCGCTAGATGCCAAGGCGTATAGCTGTCGACCAAGAACGTCGGCATCCTCGATAAGAAAAGACAATGCCTCGCTGCCGACGTCACTAGTACTACGGGACATCGACACAGCCGAGGCAGCGTTTGCAATACTGGGAGGTTCTGGTGTGGATTTGCCCTGGGTTGTAGAAAGCTCAGCCACAGACACAAACTGATCCGAATCTCGAAGCCGCTTCCGGCTCCTTGGTTTTGACTGTAAGGCTTCAATGGCTTTAATTGTTGGTTTTCGCAGGCGGCCTGACGTGCGTGTATTTGCGGACAAACCCTCAGGAGAAGGAGGTGTGCCAAATCTCTCAGAATACATGTCATCTCTAGAGCCATGAAATAACATACCGGTCTCTGGAACAGGTGTAGAAGGGGATGCATGAGATACATGGTCGGATCCATTGATTGCAGCGGATTTGGCCGCCGACTGCGTGGCTGGTGTGGATGCAGCTTCTTTGGAAGATTTTTGTTTCCTAGGTGTCTCACCCAGCAACATGGTAGTGTTCACAGGCTTACGGATTCTGGTGCTTCGACGTTGTGTGGAATTGGATTCAATGGTGTCTGCCATGGTATGGCCTCTAGATGGAGTTTCGAACTGACTGGTTTTCTCAGGGCTTTTCTGTTTCTCCTGTTCAGGACCCCTTTCGAACGAAGGATGATCGTAGTCATCGACAGTACTTGTAGGTGATCGTTGTGTGAGTGATGGTGAGTCGACATCTACAAACTGCTCTTGTCGCGAAGGCTTGCGCCCATTATTGCGCAAGATAGGTGTGGCGTTTGGCGTGTAGCTCTTGAATTTAAGCATGTTTGCCTCTGACTTGCGAGTCTTGCGGGTAGCTTTTGCAGGTGGTTCAGTAGCAGTAGCAGCAGTAGTAGTGGCAGTGGCAATCTCGGTATCGGCAGCAGGAGGAGCGCTTTCAAGCTTAACCTCCATGTTTTCATTCGTGGATGATGATGGGGTTGCGGGCTCGTCGGAACGGTCTCTATAGGCAAGACGAGGGTCTAGTTTTGTTTTAAAGATAAAGGTCTGGATGTTCGTTTGCTGCGATGACCCCGTTCCCGACTTGACCTTCAGAACTCGTGAGGAAGTCTCTGTAGATCGTTCTGTCGGCTTGCGACTGCTGCGGGTGGACTTGGTTGGGGCCGGTTCAGAAGGGTCTTCATTATTGACCTTAGAGGTGCTTTCAACCACTGGGGCGTCCTCCTCAGTCGACGCTGCATCAGCTGGCTTGTTCTGGCCGTTTTCAAATGTCTTGGAATCTGAATACGATTCCACATATGTGTTGTTGAATCGCGTGCCAACCTGGCTGTCGCTTTTGTATCCATTCATGTGAATGAACTGCGTTTCACTGGACGTCCTCTGAGTGCGACGACGTTTGCTATTGGGCCATGCTTCCTCGCTATTTGATTGAGGAAACGGACTGTCTGTCTCGTAGTACAGGAATGACTGCGGCGTGGAAGGTATCGACGAGGACTTTTGAGCGTCCTCGTGAGCAGCCATTTCGTGGTGTGTGTCTGCGAGAGATTAGAAATAGACATACAAGAGTGCAGCAAGAGCAAGAAGGGGATGATTTACAAAGGTCGGCGGTGACGAGTGCTGGCTGTATGACTGCCATGCTGTTAGTGTGTCGTCCTTAGGCAGTGAGCAGCGGGGTTTGGGGCACATCAGAAGAAAAAAAGGCAACGCACGTCCAGAATCAGTCAAAGCAGCAGGCCCTTCCATGTATCTCAGAATGGGGAAGGCTGAAAACCCATGCCCAGCGGGTGGTTCTTTGATTCAGCGTGGTGGCAGGTCGATGTCCGGCGAGTTAGGGTCTAGGGTTTGGGATGGTCAGCGCTAGTGACAGCGCAGGAAAATCCGATGGCACAGGAACGGCGACACAGCGACCAAGGGAACGTCTGATGGGATCTAAATCGAAGTAGAGCAGCATGCTCAGGTTAGCATACCCAAGCAACTTGCACGTAATCCAACAAGAACTCTGGTCTTTGCACATTCGGGGCCGTGGCCATGAGCCCGACCGAAAAAAGCAACAAACACTCGTACTATCAGGCATCACATACGGTATCAACCACTTTCCCTGAACAGTCGGCGGGCGTACGGGGGAGCACCAGGTGTCTTCCACCAGTGCTTTGTGTAGATCGCTCGTTGCGTTGGCGTCAAAGGCCTGGCAGGTTGCGGGAGGGCTCGGAAGGATGAAGGGCGTCGGACGGTCGGTGGCAGGGCGACGGCGAAGGAAAATTTATCGCAATGACGAGCACACAATCGGCAGATGGGACTGGATGCTTCGCAGCGGGTTACCAGGGCGAGTTGCGAGCGGCGCGGGCGTTGCGAGTGTCGAGCGAAAGAAAACGAGGATGTTTTTCGGCGAGATCAGCAGAACAGGCAATTAGGGCTTGCTCCGAACGGCAGAAACGGTCACTGGACGCCGCTTGCCCCAATTTTCCCTGGGCGCCCGTCCACCTTGCACGCTGTCTCTTGTCTTCTCCCTACACTGCTGCTGTTGTTTGTCTAGTTGCCATACCGGCTTTTTTGTGTTTTTATCTCCTTCACGCACGCCTGCACAATGCGCCTGCTCCAGTACACGAGCCTGCTCGCGCTCGCCGCGCCCTCTGTGTACGCGGCCTCATGGGGCTTCGCTGATGCCACCGTGTCAGTTCACTCCAAGTCTGCGCCAGCGAGCATCAAAGAAAGGTAGGAAACGCAGCCGTCTACGGTCCATTGCTGCACGCTTTTTTGTAGGATTTCTGCTAATTGGAACGCAGCCTGAAGGAAAACACGCCTCTGTCCACGGCCATTTCGCTCGGCGCTTCGGATTCCCTCAAGCTTCTGCTCACGGCGCAGGAAGGAAGCAGCGCAAAACGACCCCATCAAGCCTTTTTACTGCTGAAAGACCCCAGCTCCGGCCTGGACGTCGCTTATCCTTTCAGCGTCAAAGACAATGGCAAGTCCAAGGTGGAACTGGTCAGTTGCATACGCCGCTCGGACAGTACTACACCAGTGCTTGAATACTGACCCAATATATTTTTCCATGCGCCAGACTCACAAAGACATCCCCGTACAATTCTTGGCCGCTTCAGAACCTGTCGACGCAGAAATTGTGATTGGCTCGTTCGGAGCCTCTCAACCCTATCGCAATCTCGCCTTCCAGTTAGCAATCAGCGGCGAGGCCAATGCGCCAGCCGCGTCTGATTCTGTGGAAAGATACGGAAAGCAGCCTGAGATACACCACATCTTCAAGGCAGGCCCCAAGAGCCCTCCAGCTCTGATCACCTTGATCTTCCTGCTGGCGACATTGGTGACGATTCCGATATTGGCTGCAGCGGTGCGTTTCCCCTTTCAAAGCTTCCGCGTTCAGGACATTGTGTACTAATTAGGAATTACTAATTACAGTGGATGCTCTTGGACGTGAACTTCAACCACCTCCCTGTCGCCCTGAAATCCGCTCCGATCCCTCACATTGTGTTCGTGGCGTCGGTTGTTGGTTTGGAGGGAATCTTTTTCCTGTACTATACCACCTGGTCCCTTTTCCAGATGCTTCCGGCTTCTATCGCAGTTGGTGCTATTGCTTTCCTGAGCGGGAGCCGCGCGTTGAGCGAGGTCCAAGAGCGACGACTAGCTGGCCTGCGGTAAGCTCTGGTTCTGTCAGTGCTGTAGAGAGATGCTTTCCCCGTAGGCTTTCGAGGCTCATTCAGGGTCTTTCATGTGTCATATATTAGCGCAGTTAAAAGGTCTGGACTTCGTCAATGTAGTTTTATGTATGAAAATTACGCATATTCCCTTTTTTAGCAATGCATTTCCATTTTTGCACCTGGCCGCCCGTAATTTGACGTCACAGACTGTACAGCGCTAGTACCCGCCGGGCTAGATTTAACCAAGCTTCCACTTCATCATTTATCATTTAAATGCAAATGCCACTGAATATAAAACGCAAAATATCATAGAATAAAACAAACCAAAATGGGCACCTCTGCATCCAAGCCTGCGCGATCAGCAGCCGCCGCGGCCTCTCGTCGCCAATACCCCAAGAAAGCGTCGCCGGGCACGACAAAAGCGCCGCCGCAAAAACAGTCGAGCAGCGCCACATCTGGGCCAACCTACCATTCGAATGAGCAGGCCTCGTCGTTACGTTCTGAGGGTGAATCCTTAAATAAGCGTTTATTCTTGTTCAGTGCTAAACAGTTTCCTAGCAATCGACCTCGATGCTCGCGACCCTCATTTCGCCGCCTCTCTACGCTCCATCGGACCGGTGACGCCGAATCCAACTTTGTCGAATTCGAGTACTTTCAATATTAATAATAACAATATTCAACCGCAAAATCAACAGAGAATATCAGTCTTCCCCGATGCGAATAATAATCCCGCGCTTCTGGTGCTTTCGTCTCGAGAGCGGATCGCAAAAGCCGCGGAAGAAGAACTCGATTCCCTTGGACGACAGAGCCACCAAGGACGGGAGTTTCTAGATGCAATGACTATCCGTCAGGTTTTGTCGATGCGGGATAGGCAGGGACTGGCAGCTGGGGATATTGAGCGATTGTTGCGACTGAAGAAGGGGGTTGTTGGGAGACTTGGGGAGAAAGGTGTTGTTAGCGAGGCTGGTTAGGTGGGTGATTGGTATATATGGGGTTTGTTGGAAACCTAAAGCTTTGGACTTGCTGGTTCATGATGTTCTATGATGTACATCAATTTGGCTATGTCGGTTATTTCTCGCGAGAACCAGTCGGGGGGGTTCCACATATGCTCGGAGGAAACGGATACTTGTATACTACTGTTGCTTTATCAAAAGCGTGTCGACATGTTCGAAATATACCTAATCTAGGTGCTCCCATCAGGCAGACGGTTTAAATCTTCTATTTTCTCGATGAATGAAGAGAATTAGATGACAACACATATCTAGGTGAACCTGGCTTTGGAATGTGTGAGAAGATAACTCGAAGTATTGTAGAACACTTGAAACCAACAACATGGTATGGAAGGATAAGGCGCCAGACAAAAAGTATCGAGCGCAAGATATGCTAACTCTTCAATACTGCTATATTTGAAGGAGACTGGCCACGCTTTTTGGAGTTTCTCGTTTTGCGCAGAATTGTCTCTGTATGCGCGATCGAAGAGACGAAAACATATGAAATATATACGAGATCCTACAATGTACCCTTCTATTGCCACACTCGTGTACCTCATGAGTTAGTAGAAACTACAATTCTGCGCTCTGTCGCCCGGCTCACTCTCTCTTCATACACCTGGGTCGGTAACGACTACCAACCATTCAAAGCGAGGACAACGATCGGTGTATAGACACGGCATTCATTCATGTTGGTCAAGTTTTCATGTGACAGACAAATCATGCCCGTTTTATTAAAAGATGGTGGCGAAAGTAGAAAATACTCGAGTACGGTCACAGCCCTTGATCGCGCCGCTCAGCAGGCAATATCAGTCTAGTGATAGAAAAAGTAGCGGAGAAAAAAACGGACTTTTTGCCCTTCTGATCGTCTACCTGATTCAATGTCAGTTCTCTACTATCTCGCTAGGTTCATGGGGCACGTCGTATGCAGGCATCCTAGCCAGCGAGCAAAAACGGAGTCGTGAGTCGAGCTCGGTATTGCCATATGCGGAAATAAATGAGAGAACACGTATCAAGCAACGTAACTAACTAGGGAGTTAGTCTAAGCAAAGAAAAAGTACTAACTACCGCCCAAAAGTGTGATCGACTGCTCGTTCCTCCGTCTCCCCATAATTATTATTGTTAATATGGATCATCGACATGAAACTAACACTCGGTCCGGTAATGCCGTTCGTACCGCGGCCGCGGTGGACTGCCGATGAGTTGAATATTCATGCAATCCACTTGACTAGCTAACTAGCTCGTATATATATCTGTAAGCTTGGAAATACAGGTACGGGGGCCGTGATATATCTTGGATTGTCTCAGACAAGCTCCTGCGGTATCTTCAGGAAATGAATGGCTTGATTAATCTAGACCAAGATTTCTGACGACTACTTGACAGGTCTTGGAGTTGGAAAGACTTAAAACCGAAAAGAAATCTTCAGGGCTTTACGCTTCTAACAAAAGGAAAATCTCACTCTGCTTCCGGTACGCCAACGTCGTAGCCGGTTTGCCATACCGGCATGCGCTCGGAACGCTTCTTGGGCCACACCATCTCTTCTCCTGTCAGTGATTTAATCTCTGCTTGTTATCATTGCCGTCAAGGCTCAGTCCAGCCGCAGCAAATACGAGTCACCAGGCTTGCAGAAAGGGCTGGTGCCAGACGTAGGATTGGTAACGGCCCACGCAGAGAGCTACATTGCTCCATTGTCCAAACCAAAGTCCACGTCCAGGTTAACATCAGCTCTGAAATCGCTGACAATACCCTTCTTGTATCCACCGCTGCAGCCATCAGGTGTCACAACTACTTTGCTATGATGGTCGGCATCATTCGGATCTCCTAGTCCCTCAACTTCCCAAGCCGACTTGCTCAAGTCTCCTTTCAGCACTGAACTTTCGGCATGTATCAGTGCAACATCCATCATCAGCTTTGATGCTGACATCTTGTCGTAGTCCCTAGTACCGAACGTAGCTGCTTTCACTAGTCCAAGAAAACGGTCCGCCTTGAACTAATTCGAGATAATGATTTACTTCTCTGGCGTCACGTCGACCTCTGCTTAAATAGCCCTCAAGGCTCTGGGCGAGGGAAGCCTTCAAGAATTTCTTCGCTTTTCGAATATGCTGGCTTGGAGCTTTGCGATGGTTTCCTGCAGCAAACCCTCGTCGTCGTGGCATTGCGCTGGAGGTGGAGATTGGATGTTGATGATCTCCCTGTCCTGAGACGTTCTCACATTGAACGTCACTTTGTCCTTGACTGCTAACCAGTCAGTACAGTCTACAAAGAGATCTTGTATTCGAAGACTCACCGGGGAGTGCCACATGTGCATTTGTGACCGCGAACGTGGTGACTTTGTTATCTTCTGGTGCTTTCGTGACACCATAACCACCCAATGTCCCCGCAGGAGCAGACAAATTACCCTGAATACTCACAGGGCAGCCTGGCTTGGTAGGCCGCACGTATTGATCCGGGGAAAAGGAGGAATTTAATAGAAACGTTTCCAGGATTGACTTTCCTCGCACTGTCAGATGGGGGGCTCACAGAAATGGCATGCGGCTATGTATTGACTGTCCAAGAGTTCCACGCCAATTTGTTCTTCTGCGCCTGGCTCAGCCAGAGACAGAATTTCCGCGTAAATCTCTGTCACAGCTTCTGCCCATGCTGTGCTGTCACTGCCGCTGTCTTTGTCATATTGGCAATAGAAGATTACACGAGGTGCGGATGCAGTGGTGCTGGCGTTTCGGTGTTTTCGATATGTCAGCTCCAGTCCACCCCCTAACGAGATACTGTGAGCTCGAAGAATTTCAGAGCAGCGCGATCTGAGTAGTTGAAGGTTGGTTTCAGTGAAAAACTTTTTTTCGCGTTCTGGCTTGGAATGTATGGCGTTCCAACGAGCAATCTACCTAGGTGGATGGGCACTAGGTAGACAAAAAATCCGCAAGAGATGAGCTCGCCTAGAAACACAATGTGGGTTGAGAAAACTCCGTTGACTCGAGCAGATCTGGGAACCTGGGAATGTCGTGGGAATCTATGGGCGGTTGCTTGTTTGTTTTGCTAGAATAATATCTCTCATACACGTCTCACGCCTTTGTGTAGTAATATTCCTTGCCGGGTTTTAAATGCAAAGTCAAAGACTCTTGTGTAAAACAGGGACTTACTTTATCTTTTCTTTCCTCGTGTTAGTTTCTTGTCGGTGGAGGCCATGATTGATTAAAAGACTTTGCCCTAACTCCTTATCACTTTCATTGTTGACTTCTTTTACGCAGGGAAGAGCTGCAAATAGAAGAGATAATGTTTATGCCCGGTCTTTTATGCAGTTGTTGTCTTCATTCTAGAATATTATTTCGTTTGTGTTACATGCCACGTTCAATACCCATCTCTACAAGACAGCTTTTCTACAAAGTAAAGCTAGACGGGTAGTTACAAGTAGAAATGCTTTGGTCCTATAGTACTCCTATTTACTTATAAGGAATTTCCATACGGAGAAAGCCGTGTGTCAGGGCTATAAAACGGTGGTTCTGATACCCGCGCTGTTTGCGGATATGTGGTTTTGCACGACGTTTACTATGTGCCATATAATGTACTCCGTAGACATGGCTATAGGTACACCATAAATAACGTAGCTACGAGTATGTAGTATGTAGCATGTCTAAGTAGGATTAAATTACTCAAGGTCTAGAATATTTCCCAATGCGGAATCTCCCTTCCCTCCGGGCATAAACCACCAGTATTCTGTACATTCAGGTCCATTTCAACCAAAACTAGCACACGAAAATTCGGTTGATTATGAATATCAGACACACTATGTGGGTCATGCGCATGCAGGTACCTAGCTAGCTCTGTAGGGAAAAGAGCCAGGATCTACCAATCTGCCACGGACTCTAAACTGGGACGTGCATATACGTATGGGATAGCATAAAAAAAAATCAATGTCCATGTGATTCAATTCGGATTACGCCACTGATGTCCATATCTCTATTGTATGAAAGTGAATTTACCGGTAGTCTTCTGTCAGTACGGAGGGTAGGGAGTAGAGAGTCTGTATGTAAATATTGGTAATGTATGGAGACGATAATTGATCAGCAGTGTCTTCTGGGCATGCCAGCCAGAAAAGAGAGGCCCGTCGAAGCTCGATGCAAGCAAGACCTTCTCGTGTCGAGGCAGATAGCAGACCGCCAAATCCCCTGAGAACACATATACAGGACAGGAACAGGTCTGGGCTCCCACTCGCACGAAACAGGTACACTTGTCAGTGGGCCAGAGCAGGTCAGCCGAGCATCAGAATCTGTTAGCTTAACTAGCTTATATCTTCAGTCCGTCGTTTAGTTGGGATTGATTTTATTCTCGGGTAGGGCGATTATACTACGGAGTACCTCCGTAGTATAGAGAGAGTAAGTATGTATGTAGGTCGGCCTGACGTGTCGCACAACACAGATACAACATACCTAGGTAAGTGAGAATCTTCTAGTAACTTTAGATGCCAGATCTAGACTGAATACGCCGATAATGCCGGGGCCATGATTGGCAAACAACAATGGCCTCTAGATGTATAACTGCTGCAGTATATAATAATAGAGAAGGTCCACATATCCGGCTAGGATCAAGTAGGAAATTCCGGTACATGCGTACTTTTTTTTCCGCAGTCCGGAGGATGGGGAAATTGATGGAAAAAAGTGGACATTGAAGGGCAAGAGTAGAATACCAATGCGGAATTTTGTTTAAGCTTACTCTCCTTCATTCCCATCCCTTACCACACAGTACATGCAGCCTACATGTCCAGCCCTGATCGTAACACTGTCAGGTGACACCCTTGATCATTCCGCAGCCTATTGTATTTTATATGTTGGTTAGTTATTTCTCAGCCATAAGTAGCAATCTATTATTGACATATCATTTGCAGGGATAGTTGAGTCAAGGGATAATGCATATCTATATAACCATGCAATAATGCAGTATAGTACACGTGACTGCCCCGCTGGAGAACCGCGACGGCGGGCTCGATCTAGACTTGCTTCAGATTCTGATATGCGAGAAGCTGCTGCTTACACGAAACTAACTAACTGTGCATAGATTAGCCAGAGACTCACGTCGAACAGCTGTAAACTTGCTAGCCTGTTCAACGGTGGCTCTGTGGCATTTGCGGATAATCGATACAGTACAGTATCCATCGTGGCGCCGGCTTTCCTCTTTGGTCGTTCCGACGCTGGGGACGATTCTTTTGCGTGCGACACTGTTGCCATTAGGCATACTGTATCCATTCAAAAGAGGACGACAAGATGTAACGATGATATCAACCATTCTTTTGTACGAGTGTATTATCATACGTAGGAAAAATTCAAGACAGAGCTAGCCAAGGAGATAGGGATAAAGGAAAACACCCCGCAAAAAAAAACACCCCCATCCCCCAATCGCCAATAATGAAACGGGCTGGATGCGTCTAGAAAGCGGTCATGTGCTGCCCTCCAGCTACAGCTATTAGAAACTGCTGGAGTAAAAAAAAAAAAAAAAAAATGGGGGTAACTATGCCGAGTGCAATCAATCCTCTTTCCGCCTGCCGCTGTGCCACGGAGTACTCCGTGCGGAAGTTTCTTTTTTTATCATCATCATTATTATTGCCCTTTTTTTTTTCAGTTCACATGAGCATTGCTGGCGCATGGATTACTGTTCTTGATGGGTCTGGACAATTTTGTCGGTTCCACTGTAGGGATGGCGGAGAGAGTATATAAAGGAGCCATGACATCCATGGAACGGGGTTGTAGTCAATTGAACATCCATCTTCTCTCTTCTTGCATCTGTCTATATCTCTTAGTCCTAATCTCTAATCTCTGTCTCTCTCCCTCGCCAGAAACCAGAATGTCTATCAACATCGAGACCATCGCCACCTCCCACAAGCCCGTCCGTGGCCCTGCTGACCCAGCAGACCCTTCTGCTGTCTACTTGGGCACCAAGAACCGTCTGCCAGAGTTCGCCCTCACAGACAAGGTGGTTCTTGTCTCCGGCGCCGGCCGTGGTCTGGGATTGGTCGAGGCCGAGGCGCTGATCGAAGCTGGCGCCATTGTCTACGCTCTTGACAGATTGCCTGAGCCAGTATGTAGTTTCTTGCTGCTCCGTTCAGTCTCAGTCCAGAAGGCCCAAATGCTAATCCGAATGAACTGTACCAGTCCGAAGACTTTGCCCGCATCCAAACCAAGGCCACGACACTCGGCACCAAGCTCGAATACCGCCGCATCGACGTGCGCGACACCGAGCTGCTCAACAGCGTCGTCGAGGCCATCGCCAATGCCGAGGGCCGCCTGGACGGTCTCGTGGCCGCCGCTGGCATCCAGCAGGAGACGCCGGCTCTCGAATACACGGCCAAGGACTCCAACCTCATGATGGAAGTCAACATTACTGGCGCGTTTATGACCGCTCAGGCCGCCGCCAAGCAGATGATTCGCTTTGGCAACGGGGGCAGCATTGTCATGATTGCCAGCATGAGCGGAACGATTGCCAATAAGGTGAGCACTGGCTCTTGTTCGCCGCGTTTGTTTTTGATTCTTTTGGGTCTGCCTGGATTTCCAGGTTGTGATTGGCATACCCCATGTCATATGCCTTTGTTTTTTTTCCTGTTTGCGGGGTATACGCTATATTGCATACTAGCCCAACTCAATAAATCCCTGTTGCCACGCGTTTCCTTTCATGACATAGCACGGCGTATCATACTAACCTGATGACCAGGGCCTCATCTGCGCCGCCTACAACGCCTCCAAGGCCGGTGTCCTTCAGCTTGGGCGCAACCTCGCCGCCGAGTGGGGGCAGTACAACATCCGCGTCAACACCATCAGCCCCGGCTACATCGTCACCCAGATGGTCGAGAATCTGTTTGTGCAGTTCCCCGAGCGCCGCGAGGAGTGGCCCAAGCAGAACATGCTGGGCCGGCTGTCGCGCCCAGAGGAATACCGCGGCGCCACCGTGTTTTTGATCAGTGATGCCAGCAGCTTCATGACGGGCAGCGACCTGCGCATGGACGGTGGCCATGCTGCGTGGTAGGAATGTTTTTGCTTTGCTTTTTGTTGTTTTCTTCTTTTCTTTTCGTCTTTTCATCGGCCATTTTCTTCCAGCATATACATTTCATGTCGTGATTGGCGGTACGAGAGATCTCCTGGCGTTTTGCTGTCTTTGTGTTAGCGATCTTTTCGGTGTCTTTGAATTATTATCTCGGAATCTCAGATGCTTCGCCAAGCGGCGCATTTTTTAGCCTATACACTAACTAATTTTAAGTTTTTAACCCTTTTTGAATATGAAAGCTTCAAAAACTACTTTTTTAACTAAATTTGTACAAATATTTTTCACATTTTATTATCTTCTTTTATTAAAGCTTCTTTTTATATACATAAGTTTATAACAAACTAGAAGCAAACAAACAGAAAACATTCATATCTATCTACTCAACGGTCTTCCGATCCTCAAGCTGGTGCTGCTTACTCTCCGCCTTGTCCTTTTCCGCCGTCGCAATATTCTTCCACCCCATCCCCCAGCAGACCAACAGCATCGCCCCCGTACAACCAATAGCCAGGTAAAACTCCGTCGTCAACGCCGCATTGTACGCCTTGAGGACTGCACCTATCTGCGCCGCCGGGACTACCTCTCTGAAGCCCGACGCGCCCGCCGCCTCGACTGCGGCGGCCGAGGCATCGGGCGCGTATTTGCCCATGTCGGAGACGAGTTGTGAGGAGAATACGGTCTCCGCAATGGCAAGCAGGATGGCGCCGCCAAAGTTCTGCATGAAGACCAGCAGCGCGAGCGCGACGCTGTTGTTGGCCTCGGGGAGGGCGTTTTGGACGGCGATGTAGGGCTAATCAAGTCAGCTTGAGATCTGAGGGGTAAAAGGGAAAAAGGGAGGCATACCATCTGCAATCCAAGACCCTGCCCAAAGCCGCCGAGGATCTGGTACCCAATCCACTTCCCAGTCGGCGTGTCCACCTGAAACGTGGACATTAGGCCAGCCGAGATGGTCAACAGAATGCCACAGGCGACGACAAACGGCAAATAGTATCCGACTCTCCGCACCAAGCCTCCGGACATAATCGACGCAACAATCTGGCTGAGTATGAGCGGCAGTAGATCCACGCCGCTTTGGAGAGATGTCACGCCCTTCACGGCCTGGAACCAGATGGGCACGTAGTAGGAGTACACCATCATGGCGCCGAACAGGAACCACATGACGAGACATGAGGACCAGACGGTGCGGTGTCGGATCAGCGAGAACGGGATCATTGCGTCGTCGCCAACGTAGTATTCCCAAAGGAAGAAAACGATGGCCATGGCGCCGGCCCCGCAGAAGAGGCCGATGATGGTCGCGCCGTTCCAGGCGTATTCTGATCCGCCCCATTCGAGGGCCATGAGGAGCATGACTGCGACGGGCACGAAAAGGAAGAAGCCGACGGGGTCAAGTTTGGGTAGAGTTGAGAGGATGCTGGAGAGGGTTTTGGGTTGCTTGTCTCTGTTGCTGTCAGGGATGTGGACTAATACAAGGAGGAGGGCTGCGAGGCCGCCGATGGGGAGGTTGATGTAGAAACCTGTAAAAAACAAAAATGTGTGAGACTAGACCAAAGAACCAAGGAATTTGGGATGGTTTGACCTACACCATCGCCAGCTGACAGAAGTAGTGAATGCGCCTCCGATCAAAGGGCCTGCAACGGCACCCAACATGGCGACTGTATATGATGAGAAAAAAACAGAACATCAAATCAGTTACAGACGGTCGACTTACTACCCATGGCGGCCCCAAAATGAGCTGTTCCATTCATATTAGATTCAGGTTCCGGTTCGCACTTAAATTTTGAAAAAAAAAAAAAACAAGGAGACGACTTACGAGGCCTCTCTTCCAAAGGAATCGACGCCGACATGATCGTGAGCGCTCCATTTCGCAGCCCTGATCCTCCCAGCCCGGCAACTGTCCGTCCAGCAATGAGCATGTTGGACGAGTGAGCTGCTCCACAAATGGCTGAGCCAGCTTCGAAGATAGCCAGGAAGGCGATGAATGTGTACTGACAATCAACACGTTAGCGGATTCAACGACGTGGATGGGAATGTCTATCCATATACCTTCAAGCTGAAACGGGAAAACATCTTGCCTGTCATGGGCTGCAGAGAGCAACTGGCTATTAGGTATGCACTGCCATACCAGCCGACATCAGACAAGGAACTGAACTGGGTAGTAATCTCCGGGATAGCCTATATACACCCGATTAACGATTGATTGATTCATGGGGGTTGGGTGAAGTGAGCAAGCTGTATACCGTCACGATGATGGTCGTGTCAAGTAATGTCAAAAACATGACCAGCGTCACGGACAGCGTGACCAGCCATCGCTTGAGGCCGTATACATAGCTGTCACCGGCCTCATTCCCAGGTGTTTGTGTTTGCAATGGCGTGAAGCTCTCTGCGTCGTGGTCGGACATGCTGACTTGAGGTTTGTTTGTGAAGCAAAACAGAACTAGCAAAGACTGAATGAGTGTGAATGACACTGAAGTGAACGCAATAATCAGTACAATCCTTTTATAAATCTCCTGAGCGTTGATCAGGTTATTCAAATCGGTTATCCAGTCGGGATATTCAAATCGGTCAACCGGGGTCGGACTCGGGTTCGGGTTCGGCCATGAGAAGCCCTAAAAGGAGATGACAGGCTGTATACAGATCGCATTGCTCCAAATGATCATCTCACTCGGCCAGTCTAAAATCTTAGATCAGTAGGCAGACTACAGATCTCAGTGCTCTAAAATTTAGTCAGATTGCTCCAAATTGATCGACTCACTGGGGCCGTTCCAAAATCTGATTTTCTCGCATAGGTTCAATAAAAGTTCATTCGGGCCAACATTCTTTATAGTAATTCTACAGCAATCCCCTTTAAACGTCTTGAAACTCCATTAGAGTGTTAATTCTAAGTTATATCTATCTGCTAGATTCTATAGTATTTACTAAAAAAACACTAGGCATTCTAGAATAAGACAGTAAATTCGTTATACGTACTAAGAAAAGGTTTATATCGGGACTTGCACTCAGAGCGACTCAAAACTTATAATAATAATGTCCCAAAACCCTTTGTATCAATTACTATAACTACTCTAGAGTTAAAAATAATCTGTAGAAGTAATTAGTTGATACTAATACTAATAACGGTTCGCGCTAAACGCCAGCTTTACCCCGTATTTTGCTGCCTGATGGGGGCGTGCTGCTGAGCCACAGCGGGGCTCGGTAGCATCCGTGGCTTCCGATTGGTTGCCTTGAGGGTATAACCTCGTATCTCGTATTCGTAACTAACTAACCGGGACTAGGCGCTGACATCACGAGCATAGCCCAGCCACAATCTGCCAAATCAGGATTGCTTGAAAAAGAATTAAAAAAAGAAAGAATTTTGTAGATAGAAACTCCGTCCGCCGAGTTCAAGTATCCCTTCGTCCAGCCTCCTCCCCTCTTGTGTTTTTGATTTTGCTTTTGTACTTGTATTCATTTATATATTCTCTTCGCATCTTTATCTAGTACATAAATTGTAACTGATAGAATGCCCACCATGCGCCTCGCCCTTGTCGCGGGCCTGCTGTCAAGCATCCAGGGCGTAACCGCTACTACATACGATGATGGCCATGGAGTCGTCCCGCGGGCCCTGCCAAATGCTCCAGATGGATATGCCCCAGCGAACGTCACCTGCCCAGCAGAGCGACCCAGCATCCGCAGCGCGGCATCCCTCTCTTCCAACGAGACATCGTGGCTCGCGCTGCGCCGCAACCACACCACCCAAGGCATGCGCGACTTCTTCTCGCACGTCAACATCACCGACTTCGATGCTCTCAGCTACATAAACCATCTCGCCGACACAAATTCTTCCAACCTGCCCAATGTCGCTATTGCATCGTCCGGGGGTGGCTACCGCGCCATGTTGACGGGCGGCGGAGCCATCAAGGCCTTTGATGCGCGCACGGAGAATACTACAGCCAGCGGCCAACTCGGCAGCTTGTTGCAGTCGGCAACTTATGTCGCGGGTTTGAGTGGTGGGAGCTGGTTGCTCGCTTCGATTTATGTGAACAACTTTACCACTATTGGCGCCCTGCAGGCGGATGGATCGGGAGAGGCATGGCAGCTGGATCAGTCAATCCTCGAGGGCCCTTCGACAGGCCACTTTCAACTGCTGGACAGCGCTGAATATTACCAAACTATCGCTGACCAGGTCCATTCCAAGTCCAATGCAGGATACAATATTACTCTTACAGATATCTGGTAAGTAGTCTTCCGTGTGTATACAACATATCGGATATATGTAGCTAACAAGTCAGGGCGCGAATGCTGTCCTTCCAGTTCATCAACGCCACTGATGGTGGCCCCAGCTACACATGGTCTTCAATCGCGCTGGACGAGAATTTCGCCAGCGGAAGCATCCCCATGCCGCTGGTTGTGTCGGACCTCCGAAGCCCCAACGAGACCATTGTCGGTGCCAACTCCACCGTGATGGAATTCAATCCCTTTGAGTTCGGCTCCTGGGACCCGACTGTCTATGCATTTGCGCCATTGGAATATCTGGGCTCGCGATTCAACAACGGCACTCTCCCCGAGGACGTGAGCTGTGTGCGCGGATTCGATAATGCAGGATTCGTCTTTGGCACCTCGTCCACTTTGTTCAACGAGTTCATTCTTTACGCAAATACCTCCAACCTGCCGAGCGTCATCGAGGACCTTATCACAGACCTCCTGGAACACCTCGGCGAGAACGAGGATGATATTGCTGACTACGTCAACCCATTCTACAACTACACCGACAACTCCGGGTTGGTTGCCCAGGCTGAAAGCCTCACCCTCGTCGACGGTGGCGAGGACGACCAGAACATCCCCTTCTACCCTCTCATCCAGCCCGAGCGTCACGTCGACGTGATTTTCGCCGTGGACGCCTCTGCCGATACCACTGACAGCTGGCCCAACGGAACCAGTCTTGTGTACACCTACGAACGCAGCCTAAACTCCTCTGGCATCGGAAACGGCACTTCGTTCCCTGTCGTCCCCGACCAGAACACGTTTGTCAACCTCGGCCTCAACACCCGGCCTACCTTCTTTGGCTGCAACAGCTCTAACCTGACAACTTCGAGCCCGGGACCGCTGGTTGTCTACCTCCCCAACTACCCTTACGTGACATATTCCAACATCTCAACCCTGACGCTGTCCACAAACAACTCCGAGCGCGACGCCATAATCATGAACGCATACGACATGGCCACGCAGGCGAACAGCACGCGCGATCAGGACTGGTCGATGTGCGTGGGCTGCGCGATGCTGAGCCGCTCGTTTGAAAGGACCGGAACCACCGTGCCTGACATCTGCAACACATGCTTTGACCGGTACTGCTGGAACGGAACCGTTAATAGCACTGATCCGGGCGCTTACTATCCAAGCTTGTATTCGACCGCATATAAGACGAGTGCGACGACGGGATTTGCGTCGATGATGCCGAGTACGGCGGGTATACTGGCTGTTGGGAGTGTGGCAACGATCATTTTGACTATATAGCAATAATTATGTTAGTTATTCCGCTGGATACGACGTGATGTTTGCATGGAATTGGTTTTCTGTGGTCCGGCGTTGCTGTCATTTTGGCTGTATATTGACATGCTTATGATATATGGATGCCTTAATTAGCCGTCTAGTTATCAGAGAATGATCCGCTCGTTTATTTTATCATCTCATCCTTGTTCTATCAACTATAGCCATTATATTTTCTGTAGGTATACAAGAAGTAACTAGCGTACGCCGAGTTGCGGCCTGAGGACCGAACCCGGCGTTGCCCCGACGACCGGCGCAAGATCTGCGAACCGCAACAAACACGCTCCGCCTAACCTTTTCAAGGGCCGCTCATGCAACTCAGCGACCTCAAGCCATATTCTGGATTCGACACTCGCCTGCATAAGCAAGAGCCAATCCAGCTGGCCTGAGCGTCGACCGGTTTCGAGAGTCAGTAAGCGTTCTGGAATATATCACCCAGCACTGGTGACTACGACGACGACCGACAAATGGTTATCCGGACCCTACGAATGCCCTCACCTTCACAACGATAGGTCGACTAGAATAGTATGGCACGCGCCGCAGTAATCCCCGGCGTGTCAGCGACGGATCTCCCGCAGCAGAGGACTACGCGAGGGAGGCCGCGAGTTGAGCAAAAAGAAGTCAAGAAGACAGAGCCTGCGAAGAGGGGCCGGAAGCAGGGGAAGGTTGCAACGACAGCAAAGACTAAGAACAACGATGACGGAGATGTGGAGGATGACGAGGATGACCTTAGCCTCGATGTAGCTGCAACGAGTACGAAGAAGGCGTCTACAACAAATGCTACGGCAAAAGGAAAAGCGACCAGTCGTGCCCCAAGAAAGACTGCGGCGAAGACAGTCGTGCAAGGGGGCAATGAATCAGAGGAAGATGACGATGACGAACTCGCCGACTTGGAAGTTCACACAAAGAAGACTGGCCGAACCCCAGCAAAAGCAAAGACTGCCACCAGCGCACCTACCAAACCTACCCGGGGACGGCCAAGGACAGCCAAGGTTAATGAACAGGAGGAAGTAGGAGCCACAGAAAAAAAGACAACCAGAGGCCGAAAACCAGCTACTTCTAAGAAAGTTGCCGCAGTCGACAAGACCATATACGTGACCACAGCTTCTTCTACGGCGTCGAGTCTGGCAAAAACACGGTCATTGGGGGATCCCGCAAAGAAGAAAAAAGTCACTTTTGCGGACCTTGCTGATTCGGAGGATGGATATTCTTCCGCCGAAGAACAGAGGCAGCCGACGCGTGCTGTTAAGAAGCCAACTGCATCTCAGAAATCTGCCGGGCTCAAGGCCAACCCAGTTCGTAAGACTGGAAACGCGACTAGAGGTCGTCCGCCAAAATCACAAGCTCCGAAGCCACTTTCTCCTAAGAAAGCTTCTCAACTGGCCAAAGCATCGTCAGCGTTATCTCCAAGTTCCGGTGATGAGGATGAGCTTGCGGGTGAGAAGACTGTTTTTTCACTGGCCGTTCAGAAATCGCCTACTAAAAGCCAGGAACAACAGCACACCGGTCTTAGTTCTCCAGTTAAGAGAATCATGTTGCCCGGACAGACTAGTACGCCAGTCAAACCAACAGCAAGTGCTCGTCCAGACGAGAATTCCCCTCTTTCAATGCAGAAGACACTTCAGCCACCATCGGCGCTTAGGGATGCAGTGCTCATGGGAAGTCCTGCACGTCGCCCTCCATCATCTACATCCAAGGAAACCATTAGAGACACACCACGACGTGGTCCTCTATTCATTAGCCACCCATCGGCCTCGAAGTTGTCTAGCAACCCCGACGCAAACACATTCCTACAGAAGCTTTCTCCGCTCAAAGCATCCCCCAAGAAGGGCGGTAATCTGGGAGCATCATTCATGTCCGCTGCTTCCCCTGAGAAGCCACTGGGGTCAACGCCTTTCAACGCCAAGCTGTCTCTTCTTCAGAGTCCGGCTAAGCGGGTTCAATCGCCGTTTATCTTTCAAAAGAGGGACAATAGCAAGTCACACACTGTGCAAGATCTCGGTAATGACGTTGACACGGAAATGGATGATGACACTTTTGCAAACAAGTGCAGGTCTCAAGCAACTTATCCAGTCGGCAACGAGCTTAGTGAGGATGAGCTTTCTATAGATGCGACGCCTGTCAAGGATGCGAATAACAGTGATGATGTATTTGTTGACGATCCTGAACTAATGGAGAATGACTATCAAATTGATGAAGATCATGAAGACGAGTCAGATGCCGACGATCGCTATGTGCGGGACGAGGCTGAGATCGTGGGAGAATTCGCTGAACTTATGGTTGACAATGATGTTGAGTATGAGCATGCCAATGCGGAGGATTCTGAAAACACGCAGCAACCCTGTGAGAGTACAGACGAAGATGAAGATGTGGTCATGGACAATGATGAACCGCTTTCTTTGAATGAAGATAACGCTCTAGCCGCCGATGATGTTCATGAGGAGGAAACCTTCAACGTCGAAAACGCTGCTGAAAACGAAGATATCCCAATTGCAGTTTTGGGGTCTAGCGAGAACAACGGATCACCGAATAAGGCTGCAGGCACTGTAGCTAGCCAAGATGTGGAAGAGAATCCCACGACTGAGCCGGCTGAAGATGTTGCTGAAGAGCCGACCAAGATGGTCTCGGATTCTGGCCATGTTGTGATGTATGCCGAGTCTGAGAACGAAGAGGACGAGGAAGAACAAGATGAGGATGTTCCTGAAGTCGAAACACCTCGCTCCAACACGACCCTAACCTCAGCCCATTCATCTGTAGACCCGCGAGATGCAGTTTCCGCCGACGAGATTGACGACAGTGATTGCAGATCTGTCGAGGGAACTCCCCGCCTGGTTCCTCCTGCTGCTCCAACACCGCCCACTATATCTCCTGCTCGCGCATTCAGAATGTCCTTCCGAGACAACAGCAATGAAGATACATACTCCGAATACGGCAACAGTCCAGCTAGCAGGCGCCAATCTACATTCTCCCATCGCGACAGCATTCTTCCGCAGTCCCGGCCCGACTCTGCTGATGACACTTTCAGCTCGCTGGCTTCCAAGCTGAGTTCGTGGAAGGCGAGCAGTCCTGAAAAGACGCGGAGAGGAACGACTGAGCGCAGTATCTTCTCGCCTGTTGTTCCGAGCAAGCTATCAAATCCGAGGCAGCCAATAGCCTCAGGCAATAAATATACCCAAATACAGACGATGCGTCGCTCATTAGCTGCCAGACACTCGTCTGCCAATTCTGTCGTTATGGACGGCGACGAGCCGGATACTCTCGGCAGGCAGTCTCAGGATGAGTCTGGCACCAGCACTCAATTTAACAATCTGACTACCACTACTTTGCACACTACTGCATCAAGCGCAGTCTTGCAAGAAAAGCCAAACCCTCGCTTGTCAATGTCCATCACCCCCGTCCGAATCAACCGAGATACACACCGTACCGTGCACACGGTCTCAAAAGTGCCACTGAAACCAGAAGCCGATGAATCGCCTACCAAGTATCCTCGCAAACGGGCCAGGTCTATGTCAAACGATATCCAATTGCCAATTAGGGCTTCCCCAAGTCGTTTCAAACTGGTCCCTAAAAGTCGCAAGAGTTCTGCATCTTCTTCTGCCTCGGCTTCTCCCTCCAGCACCAAGCGTAGCCCCTTGGCTGAAGTTGAGACACGGGAGTATGCAGCCCCCTCACCAACACCGATTACGCCTTCAAAGTCTGCTACTAGTACCACTGCCACTCCTCGTCGAACTCCGAGAGCGTCTGAGCAGTTCTTGCGCGGGGCTGTTGTGTTTGTGGATGTGCACACCACCGAAGGCGAAGACGCCAGTGGCATTTTCATCGAATTGCTTACGCAAATGGGAGCGAAATGCGTAAAGTCATGGTCATGGAATCCGCGATCTAGCCAGTCGCCCGGTGCGGATGGGACCGAGCCGGTGATGAACACTAGCAAAATCGGCATTACGCACGTTGTTTACAAGGATGGTGGAGTGCGTACAATGGAGAAGGTCAGACAAGCAGGAGATTTGGTGAAGTGTGTTGGTGTTGGATGGGTGCTTGAGTATGTACCCCAAAACTCTCTCTTTCTCTCCTTCTTTTAGATGATGCTAATCAGTTTGAGCAGTTGCGAACGAGCAAATAAATGGATTGACGAGGAACATTACCATGTCGACAGCACCATCATACCCCGTGGAGGCGCCAAACGACGAAAGAGCATGCAACCTCGTGCATTATCTAATGTAAACGGCTCTCTGTCTTCTTCATCATCGTCATCATCGTCATCCTCCTCCTCTCTATCTTCCTCGATCAATAGCACCAACAACACGTCAACCCGCCGCTCCCGCCTCCCCGCCGATTGGGAAGATACAATGGAAGACCTCCGACGCATGAGTCCAGGCAACGACGTCCCCAAAACACCAAACACCAGCCGCAAGGCTCGGTCTAACAACAGTAACAACAACAACGACGACTCAGACCCTAACGCAGAATACAACTTCAACTTCGATTTCGATTTCTCAACCATGTCCCCCGCAACACCGTACTTCTTATCGCAAAACGCGGGTCTGATGCAGCAAACTTGCCCGCCCAAGCAGACTAACCAGGGTCTTTTCTCTTCCTATACCTCGTCTGCCTCTTCCTCGTCAGTAAGAAGAGGGGAAGAACATGTATCCTCTGGCGCAGGACTACGCGCCAAACTCGAGGCAGCGAGACGCAAGACATTAGCGTTCAAGCCTAGATATGGAAGTCCGTTATCTCGAGCATAATTATACCTCTCTCTTCTCATTCTGTTCTTAGTGTTTTTTGTTCTGTTTGTTTGTTCTTGTCTTGAATGATACCTAGTCTAATTTCAGATTGATTTTTTTTTGGTTTGATTGTTGGTGCGGTTGTATAGTATTCCATCGTTTTCGCTCTATTCGCGTGTCGTACTGTTTATGCAATTGGTGATACGGTCATAATTTCTTTTCCCTATTCCTATATAAATCGTTTCATGTTGGTTTGTTCTTTGGTTTGGATATCGAGGTTGTGTTGTTGTATATACGTATATCAGGGTGGACATTCTTTTCTTTGGTTTGATTAGGAATGGAATCTCTTCTTGTTCAAGTCGTCCCTTCTATAAGACTTAGGTATATGTGCTATGAATCCGATGAAAGCATGTATACTGAATATCATTATAGTATGGAAGTGAAGATTATTTGACATTAAAATCAACAAACTTTTCTACTCTCCTCCTCTCTTCACCTGCTTTCTAGGAACACGCCTTCTTCAAAGGAACAATTTGAATGCAGATTTATATCACGCCAGTCAATTAGCTGATTAGTTGACTTGCGGATAATCCTGATTACTAGCAAGTCGTGATGTAGAGGCCGATTCTGCGATAAAGTCAGCAAACATATTACACACACACACACACACACACACACACACACACACACGCGCGCGCGCAGAGAGAGAGAGAGAGAGAGAGGCGGGAGGGGGGGGAGGGAAAGCTTACGGAGCTGGATTAAAATCCTCAAAATAGTTCAAATCCGTACTGCCAGCATTCTTCAACTCAAATGCCAGAGTCTCACCAACGGGACACGCAAAATTCGTGATAGTGTATGAATGGCCGGGCGATACATTGGTCACCCCGTAGTCAACCTTGACATCCGGCGCATTGCTGGATGAGGTCTGGTTACTAGCCGGTGCTTCCAGTTGCGAGAACTTGATTGCTCCATCACCTTTGAATGAAAACGCGGAAGTCTCTAGCTGGTCCTGTGTTGGGAACAGGAATACGAGAGAGCATTGCTTGTTGGTCACGTTTTGGCCAAAGTCGAAGTTGAAGATGGATGATATGCTGGATGTGATTGTGCCGTTGTAGGATGTTCCAGGTGCTTTGGAGGGTGAGGAGCTGTCGATGGGGATGATGAGATGAGGGAATTCGTAGCTGCCGTTGACTAGGGTTGTGCCACAGCCTGCTTGGCCGCCACCACCAGCACCAGCTCCTCCTCCGCCTCCTCCAGGACATCCTCCACTGCTACCCCCGCCACCGCATCCTCCTCCCCCAGCTCCGGGGGCAGGCGTGACACCGCCCGTTGGAGAAATTGCGCCTGTAGGAATAGGTGCTGTTGGACCGGTGCCATTGCCTGCGGGTGCGGGGGCACTGGAGTTTGCGAATGGAGGAAGACCTGGTGCAGTAGGACTACCATGTGGTGCGCTGGGTGTTCTGTGTCCTGAAGGCGCGTTGGGAGCACCTGATGTGGTTGGGCCAGCTTGTCCGCTGCCTGCAGGACCTGGGCCCTGAGGTCCTGGAGTAGGACATGAGCTAGGACCGGCTGGCGAGCTGGGAACTGCTGGCGGTGCTGGACCACTTGGTGAAGGACCACCGGGACCTACAGTATGACCAGGAGGAGCAGGGGCAGGAGCAGGAGCAGGAGCAGGGCTTGGTCCACTTGGAGGCGGGGCTGGCGGTCCTGCAGGCTTAGCTGGTGGTGCAGGCCCTGTAGGAGGAACACTTGGTGGTGCGGGTGCAGGCGGACCAGGCGGTGCAGGTGGTCCCCCAGGAGGCTGACATTTGTCTGTTTGCAGCTCAATAGGTTCACATCCAGTCACATCTGAAGGAGCTGGGCTTGTGTAGATGTTCATTTGGTCACTTTGACCAGACTGACATGCTACGAAGCTCGTAGATGCATTATGATGTATCTTCCCAGAGGAGTCAATGGTGAATCCTGGCATAGGGTTTGCTCCTACGTCGCACTGCAGCTGTGAGGTTGGTGCTAGAGTTATTTTAAATCAATATTATTAGTAAATGTTCCTAGCAGTCCGTGCTAAAATTGCGAGACTCACGAGTAAGATAACATCCGCGTCCATTTCCATCCTTGATGGCTCCTGAAGGGTCGATACAAAACTGACCAGGAGGCAAGCCACTGCCAATACGGACTTGGCCATCATCAATTTGCCCTAACACGCCAGTGGCATTTCCAGTTGCTGCCAGACCAAAGCAACATGTCGGAGTATCGCGAGCTACTAGAGCGTTTGCTGTAGCTATAAACGCTGCAGAAGCAAAAGTAGTTCTCATGATTGAAGATTCGAATGCGGGAAACTGCGGCCTCTTTAAGCTCAGGTAACTGTAATAGAGAGGATAGAGCAGACAGGGAACTTTGTTTCGTTCGATTAGTCTTATTTCCAGAATTGCCTCTTCCAAGTGGTATGATAATGTGCTAGTTGGGCAAAAAAACACTATGCCTTCCCAAGGCAAGTCACAGGCACAGTGCAGATGAATTTGTTCGCCGAACTGTGTAGATCACTATCAACCAATTTTGTAATGAAATAAGGCGATGAAGTGGGAGAAATGAACGACATAAGCTTAGAAAGGCAGAAAAAAGAATTTTTTTGGAAGTAGAAGCAACGGAGGCGGATTATATGACCTTGGCTGACCTTCAAGACAGCAGATGTTGAGGGAACTCTTGATGACGATGAATCGAGCGTCATAACCATCCTCTTCTAATGGTTATTGGGCAGGCATAAGCCCAGACAAGCATGATTGGAGAGCTGACAGCCTGTCAGATTCCTGGAGATGCTCGTTTTTTGCCATCAGGTGTCTCAAAGCCACACGGAATTCATGATGGGCGTGAAAGCTGTGAGGGACTATATCGGCCATACGCACCGAGATCGCTCAGGGAGTCATCAGTGGCCAACTTCTTTGCAGTCTTATTCCTGGGGACAAAAAATCCGATGTTGGTTGGAGTCCTTGAGCCCGTAGGGTTTAAAGCCATGCGGGTCAGAACCAAGGTTCAAGTCGAGAAGAGCCACCTATGACGATTTACGAGACAACGATATGCGCCTGAGGTGATATAGGTCTGAAAAGTCATCTATTTATAGACGGCCTAATGCGCTTATATTAGAGAGAAAACTCAAGTACGAGAAGAGGAATTGGCCTACATTAAGGTGACAGAGGCGGTAGAAAAGATTCGATATCTCGGGCTGAGACCCGAAGTATTGACTAGCAATGCATCAGGCATTCTCTATTGTATAGCTTCTCGTGCCTGAAACAATACTCTAGGAACTCGTGGTGATTCTCGACTATTAGCCGAACATCATGATGATCAACAATGCATCAAGACGTCAATGAAAGGACCGACTTCCCGAGAGAGTATTCGTAACAGAAAAGTAGGAAAGAAGTTGTTGCTGTTGAGGTGACGACAGAAGGTGGAAAGTATTTCCGGCCGCCGCTCGTCTTGCCCGAAAAGGAAAGACGGCTCAACTTTGATATCAACGTCAGACAACGAGGCAAAGAAGCAATCTGATATAGGCCCCTTCCTTGGATGTAGATTACTTACATCAAGAGCAATGGACCGCGCTTAATAGCATTACTAAACAATATACTTGCCTTTATCTTCCACCGAATAACGTGACACTGAACGCTATATTCCAAAATGCAGCTTCGAAGTTTATAGGCACTTTCTATAGCTACTGTTCATCTTATTCTAGTCCTACCAAGCCAGGCCATTATCTAAATATGGCTCCTCGATTCTTCACTCGTTGTTACTCGAGCACTAGTACCGGTGCTCTTACAAGTGACAAAGGCGCTTCAGGGGGGAAACTTGAGAGGCTCAAATTACCCAGGGAATTTCGAAATAACCAATACCATAACCCACGTGAGAGCCAGAAACTGGCTCTGGCGGCTGTAGTTCCTGTAAGTTATCGGATTATCAACACTCTTGGCTGTGTGTTAGTCAAATGTCAAGGAGAACAGGCTGGTCAGATATGGATTGCGTTCATCGCCCTTCCAGAGCCTGATAGTGGTATTTATCACCGCGCTAAAGACCTGGCGAAGAAACTGGGGGATGCGGATTACATGAAATTAAGCACGAATATGTTTTCGAGAGGGAAATTCCGCAGAATTATATTCGACACACGATTTCCCTGCAAACCCTCATAGATAGAGGTCTCGGAATTGAGGAATATATCGAGCCTGATAGACCTACCTACACGGCAACACTGAGAGAAATAATGACTGAGAGGTTTTTTTTTCTGGTTCTATATTTGAATACGAAGTTAGGTTGAATCTGGGATTTATGGCGCGGTGTTTCGGTGCGCGAGCGCCAGTTCTCGATATAGCTAGGCAGCTCATCGATGACTGTAACTTCATATATAGTAAGTATATCCCCAAATATACCTGTATTTTCTTCGACTCTGAGAGATGTCGCCAAGGGATCACTTCCGAACAATTGCGTTTGGTAGAAGAAGACATCGACACCGCCCTTTTTGACTGGTGGCTCGCTGATTTCAATTCTCTCCTGGAGTACCGTCAACATATCGAATGGGCCCGCGAGCTGGGGGAAGCTTGGATTGATTATTGCATAGACACTTATGAGAATGGGAACATTGATTCTGTCAGGGAACGCTGCAAACTTCAAAGGGAGTATAGGCGTATTAGAGTAGAGATTGAATCTGCCGCCACGAGGCCAGGGTTATAGTAAGGCTTTCACACATGCTATGTTATAACTAAATGTTTACCCAAGAGCATCGATCTAGCTCGCATTGTTTTAGTTCTCTCAGTCGCACATACAATTAATCAAAGTTAGCCCTTGATTCGGATGGGGTGGAAAAGTAGGACTGTGGTGAATGAACATTGCAGGACAGAGTCTCTATTATTTGTAGTCTGCATCGCTCAATGCAGTGGCCATTTCCCAAGGTCTACATTTCTAAGATGCAGCATAGCTGTCTGATCTTACCTAGTACCTAGGTACCATCCATGGTACAATAATAGGTAGGCAGAAAGGTGATCCGATCATAAAAAATGACCTACAACTTTCATCCTCCAATTTTCTACATCTAGTTTAAGCCTTCAAAAATTGAATGAGCCGTAATTTTGAAGGTGTTTGACTGAACCTGACAGGTGCAAACTTCGATACCTAGGTACATCATGCCTTTTTGAACACGGAAGATGCTCCAACAAAATGACCAGAACGACACCAAGCAAGGTATGTTCTTATCACTTCGGCGAGTCTGTTCTTGCTAGGTAAATAACAAATACAGTACCTCCGTTCTACGAGCTTAACGGCCGAGGGTAACCAGCCATGTGCTAGTTGTAAGGCCATGCCGAGTACTACCACCACAGAGATATACCCAAAGTCGGGAGAAACCTACATAATTCGCGAGAAATCTTCGAGAGGCATCATAGCCCTCCAAGACTGCGCAGTACGGCTGTTACCTGAATCCAAAGAAATGGCGAGCTTCCCTCGTTTACTTAATAGCTGTCATTGGCATTGTATTCGAAGGAAGAGTGATGGCTGGTTCAGTTTCCGCAATGCGACTTCGGGCACACATTTGGGGTACGATTACAAGAATTCTATGAAATTGCCCGGAGAGGAATTGGTTATGGGGCCTGAAGTTGAAAATGACAAAGTCGGCAATTTCCAGCTCTTTTGTATGGAACATGATCCACGAGGAGGATTTTCCCTTTTGTTTTATTACACGCGAGCACAGATCACCATATCTCGCTACGCGAGGTGAAAGTAAGTGGAACTACAGGGGATTTATATCTAGATTATTGCAGCCAGGAAGATCGGACATTTTGGGAATTCACAAAGGCTTAGCTGCATGCTTGTTCTCGAGTTGATTGTTTACTACAAACTCGCTGTTAATGGGTTGATCCAGGGAAGGAGAATGAATGTCTAGATAATTCGCTTATGGTATTTGGCTAACATTGAGGATAAAAGTCATCGCTGCAGGGAAATTTGACAGCTATTAGTTACACAGAAGCGATGGTATATGAAGTCGTAGGACGACAGGCACCAGTTCATGATCACATAACACATTTGTATACTGCTAGGCAGTGAAGTCAACTCGTCATATACTAGGCAAATTCGTACCTAAAATGTCTAATCACAGTAGCATCAGTATAATATAGTCCCTCATTCAAATATATCTACTTCATAAGCTAGAAACCCTGAGAAGGTTGTCAACATTCAACGGCAATCACTTTGATAATGCCTAATACGATGGCAAAGCAAAAGCAAAAACTCACCCGTACGTAAAATAATTCCGAGGCACTTATTTAAACAATCTCTCATCGACTCTTCGTTCCATGGGATATCTAGGTATAGCATACTGGCTGTTCACCTCATCAATAACCGAAGACGAACAAGCTAAGACACCAACGCAAAACGACGATTCAAAATCTAAATTTGTGTCTTCACTAATGTCAGCCACGAATTCCTTCTCCGAGACCGTCCTTGAAGCATATCCCTAGCCAGGTCAAACTTTCATCATTCGCGAGAAACAGTCACGCCGTGTGCTAGCGATCCGAAACGGTCAGGTCGTCTTGTTGAATGACGAAGAGATTGCCTATCGCTTCCCCAGGAATGATGAAAGCTGCCACTGGCATTGTGATCAAAATACAAGTTCAAGCTGGCTCGGTTTCCGTAATGCAATTTCAGGCACGTACTTAGGGTGCCAGAATATAGATTCTCTAGATGATGACACGATAGAGATGGAGGCAGAGCAACGTTTCCACGACGACTATACGCTCCTGTGCACACAGAGACATCCAAAATGGGGATACGTACTACTTGTATACGCAGATGAGAGTTGTGAGGATGAATATGTGGCCTATCCTATGCTGTATCAGGTAAGAATACCGGAGTCTGGTAAAGGATTAGTTGCCCATAGGAAGGACCAAAATGAGCACATGCTATGGGAGTTTGAAAAGGTTTAGATGCTTTTTTTTTTTTTTTTACGACTTCGACTTCTACATAGCCGGGTATGTAGGTAGCTACAGGAAGATTGCTTGGATGTAAAGAAAATGTGTTCAATCACTAGATTGAAAACCAAAATTAATTTTGAACCCAAATGGCCTCTCTATATATGAATTTAGTTGAACTTTTTGCGCGTGTGTGGAGTGGAACTATCGTCAAAGAATTTGCTCTTCGCGTTCCATATCCTCTCTGTAAAACCCAGCAACCAAAAACGCTAATTCAAGAGCTTGCTTTTCATTAAGCCTTGGATCACAGAATGTCTCATAACGCTCCGAAAGACCTTCCTCTGTCAATCCGCCAGCGCCTCCAACACACTCCGTCACCGCCTCGCCTGTCAGCTCGAGATGCATTCCTCCCAAAAAGCTGCCCGAAGCTCGATGTATCTCTAGTGCCTGTTTGAGCTCTGACAATATATTCGTGAAATGCCTCGTCTTCACGCCAGACGGTGTCGATTGCGTATTTCCATGCATCGGGTCACATTGCCAGACGGGCAAATGGCCAGAAGCCTTTACAGCGGCAATGTGTGCCGGGAGGTATTGGGAGATTTTATCGGCGCCGTACCGCGAGATGAGCGTGACCTTTCCGATTTCCTTGGTTGGATTGACGGTATTGAGTAGCTCGACCAGCTCATCGGCTGTCATGCTGGGTCCAATCTTTATACCGATGGGGTTGCTGAGGCCGCGGAAGAATTCGACGTGGGCACCCGTGACCTGCCGCGTGCGGTCTCCTATCCAGAGGAAATGTGCGGAGGTATCGTAGTAACCCTTTGATATTGATGCTGACGACCCACGTCGGAGCGTTCGTTCTTGATATTGAGCGGGTGATGGGAAAGCCTCGGGTGGATGACGCAGGAGACGAGTGAATGATTGCTCATACTCTAATGACAGGCCCTCGTGGCTAGTGTATATATCGGCCGTCTCAACGCGGCGGTCTTGGTCCAGACCAACAGTGTGCATAAAACGCAGAGCATCTGTAACTGCGTTGATTATTTTTTCGTATTTCTGGGTGATGGATGGCGAAACGACATGACCCAGCCCCCAGTCGAGGGGGGAGTGGAGATCTGCGATTCCGGAAGATAAAGCTGCACGAAGATAATTGAGCGTCGCAGCAGAGTGGAAGTATGCTGATACCAAGCGTTCTGGGTCAGGTTTTCGGGACTCCGGTGTGGCATCGAAACCATTTATATTGTCGCCGCGGAAGGAGGGCATTGTGATACCGTTAATAGTCTCATTTGGGCTGGATCGCGGCCTTTATTTTTCGATTAGAGAAATGATACAATATATCAAGTATGTGTACTGAAGAACTCACTTGGCGAATTGGCCAGCTATCCGAGCGATACGAACGACAGGTTTGTTGGCTCCTATACATCGTCAGACCAGTGAACTTTCAGGTCAAGCAAGCATCAAATTCAACATACCCCAGATTAAAACCAAGCTCATTTGAAGAAGGAGCTTGACCTTCGCCTCAATCTTGTCCTGGTTACAATAATCGAAAAGCTCCGCGCAGTCACCTGTACAGGGTCCGTTATAAGCTGAATGCATTCAACATCGCTACAGCATCATCGGACATACCACCCTGCAAGACAAAGGCCTTTCCAAGAGCAACATTCCGTAGGCTATTTTTCAGACTAACAATCTGGAGTTTGCGGAAGCTGTGAGTGTGAGCGCATAGCAAGTCGATTCTAAGGACAAATCTACCTCATGAGGGGTAACCAAAGGTGGCAGCTTCTGAAGTTTTGTCAAGGCGGCTTTCACAGCATCGGGGTCCTCATATGTGACATCTTGTTTGATCGGTTTCGACGTCCAAGCTGAACATGCCAGTCAGTCAGTGGTGCAGTCATATACAATATAAAGAAAAAGGTGGAACATACACGTCGGACTCCATTCTACCATTCTGGAAGGTGTAGCAGTGTATTCGCACAACAAGTATATTCAATTGTATTACATACACCCCTCCGAAGGTTGTCAATTGGCGTATTCCACAGCGTTGAGACGTCTGGAAAAAATTGGTCGTCCATCATGGAGTGAGTCAATGAACGCACCGCGTGGCTGCGGGACTGCTTATGTAAGCCGTTGCGGCGCATTTGGAGTGTAGTTTGCGCCGACTACGCACAGACCAAGTACCGCTACACTAGGAGCGGCATTTCTAATTTTCCATGCCAAGAGTTGTACTTGGTCTGTGCGTAGTAAATTTTAGGGTTTTTTGATAGGATCATTATAGAAGCACTTATAAAGCACTTAAAAATCACTACTAACCCATAAAGATCCCCTAATCCTCCCTAAACCTAACTCATACCCATCCCTAAGGCCCTCTAACCTATACCTAAGTAATTTAGAAGTGCTTTCTAACTGCTTCTATAATGATTCTATCAAAAAACCCTAAAATTTACTACGCACAGACCAAGTACAACTCTTGGCATGGAAAATTAGAAATGCCGCTCCTAGTGTAGCGGCTCTTGGTCTGTGCGTAGTGCCGCCTAACTTCTACCACACTAACGGAAGTTATACTCACTAGTTAGGAAGGAACCAGCTGATTGGTCGTTTCCCTCCACGCTAAACCCGACAAACAACAACGTCACAGAATCAACTTGCTTCAACATTCCATTCATTCCAGCACAAATCAAAACCACCATGGCCGAGCCAATTCCCTCTGCTGCCGAGGGCGAAGAACAGCGTCTGCCAGCCAATGCCGAGGACCGCAAAGCCGCCGCCGCTCTCTCCTCGCTCAAGGCCAACGGAATCTCGCAAGGCGACGACGATGCCGCGGCTAGCAACAACAAGCTCTCTTCCGCGGCTGCACAAGAAGCGCTGGGCAAGGCGATGAGTCGGCTAGAGATTGCTGCCGGGGGTGCGGCAAAAGGTGCAGCAGCAGGAGGAGGAGCTAATAAAGCTGCGGCCGACAAGGCGGTAGCAGCTCAGAAAGAAGAGGCTGCGAAGAAGAAGGCTGTTAAGATTGCGGCGGAGGATGTTACGTTGCTTGTGAGATGACCTTTTGCGGTTTGATAAAAAAAAAAGGGTTGTTACCAGGCTAATGTAATACTCGTCGGAGCTAGGTCGAAGAACTTGATCTTACCAAAAACAAGGCTACCGAGTTGCTTAGATCGCATGACGGTGATGCTAAAGTGGCCATTAAAGCATTTCTCACGCCCTCCGTTGCGGTCTGAGCATTTATTTATGACGACGAATATGACGAATAAGCAAAACGAGCAAGAAATTATCTTTCTTGATAAATGAACCTGTTTCACCGTGGAAAACTTCCTAAATCTTATATATGTGATCTGGGTTAGATGTCTAATAACTGAATACAATCTCATGAATCATGAAACCCTAAAAGGGAAGGCGTTTGTAAACTGAAAATATGTCCCGGAAATTCAACAAAATGTGTATATAAAACGTCGTCACGTATATATGACAAACCTTGTACAGAAAGCAGAATCTATATCGTCCCGCGATGTCGACCTCTAATTTTGCAACAAACTTTCTTCTTCTTCTTCTTCCTCCTCTTCTTCCGCCTCTTGCAGAGCTGTTTTCCTCTGGATGCCTTCACCTTCATATATCGACCAGCTAACAAGCCAACCCAAGGTTGCTTCCAGAGCCAAAGCCCACCACACAGCGCCAATAATGTTATGGGACAGGCCCAGACTCAATCCCAATCCGCCAAGGAAAGGTCCCAATGTTCGTGTTCCACTGGAAATACTCTGTGCAACGCCATGGATAGTCCCGAGAACAGAAGGGTCGGAAACGGAATTGTTGACGAGTATAATTGCCGCAGGTAGCACAAATGTTCTGGAGAGAACTTGTAACATCACTACGAAACTAAACGATGGCCAAATCAAGTAATTGGCTGCTCTGGGAATCAGCACGATAAAAGGCACTAGAGTATATGCGATGGGAGACAAGGGTAGAAATGAGCGGAACGATTTCAAAGTGCCGAGCCGGAATTGTACGCGTGGGTAAACGAAAAGCTGCAACGGAAGGCCAATGAGTCCAATGATCGAGGTTGCCAAACCGACTTGTTGCGTGGTCAGGCCTAAACCACCGCTGAAATGGAAGAAACCTCTGCGACTACCTTCGGGAGCGCGCGGAGTCGGAAGGAAGACAAATATCATGGAGTTGAAGGCGCTCGTGTGCATTGCGAGTAGAGAATGTGTGAGGAGAGTCAACACGACATTTTTAGTAAAAAGTTGCTTCCAGGAAGACTTCTTGTGTGCTTTTGTATGAGCATGTCCACGCCTCACCACTGCAGGATTAGACGGAACAGTTCCTTCTTCGTCTTCTTCAAGGTCGACCGACCTCTCATCATCATCGAGTCTACGGTATCCGTAACCGGGGGATCTTCTGAATCTCCTGGCTATCACTTTCCCCATCGACCTTCCCCAGTCAGGCTCGTATATAAGCGCTTCGTGAGTCTAGGTCACAAGTTAACTAGCTGACAGATAGGTAGAATCCCCTCCAAGACGGAGAGATGAGTGAATAGACAAACCTCTTCCAGGCCAAAGAACACCGCAAGCCAGGATGATAAAATGAACCCGGCGCTGACAAGGTTTGGCAGAGCATAGGGCCAATACCGCATCCACCAGACTCCATCTTTACCACCAATTAGAGAACCAGGCCCGAAAATGCCTGGGAACCCGTTGATGGGATCTGCCAGGAAACCGCCCAGACTAGGTCCAATAATCACGCCAACATTGAAACACATTGGTAAAAGCAAGAAAGCACGTGATTGATATCTAGACCAACAACATGTTAGGTGGTTGATTCAACCAAAAAGGAAAGGGGGGAGACGTCGTACTTCTTTTCCACGATTATCTCTGATATCATCGTTCTCATTACCCCGACATTACTGTTCATAAACCCTCCCAGAACCCGGAAGATGATAGCAGACGTGAACGACTTGGAAAAGCCAAAGCCGAGACACGAGATCAACGTTCCACACAGTCCGATCAGAAGCACTCGTTTTCTGCCTATGCGCGGCGAATCCGCCAAACGTCCCCACCATACCGAGGTCAAAAACTGGGCAGCCGTGAAGCTTCCCTGAAAGATACCAGCTTGGGATGAAATAGCAGAGTCCGAGAGCGAAGGGTTGAACGATTTCAACTGATAGAACAGGTACGACTGCAGCGAGGTCTGGGTCAAAGGTTCTACCAAGCGAGCACAAACCAGGATGAACAATTGGCTCTTTTGGGGTAGCTGACTCCATGATATTGGTTGTGGTTTCTCTTCCGGCTCTCCTTCTCCGCCATCGCCATCGCCCTCGCCCTCGCGGGGTGCTTCGGGAAGGCCGGTGCGCGTCTCGTTTTCTTCGGACAGTGAGAATTTGCGGCCGCTGGGGCCTGGCCCTGCTGCTCCTCCGAAGTTTGACAAGGATAACCGCTTCGGTTTTCTGGATGCGACGTATTGACCGCTGCTCACCACATCGTGCTCGTTGCCGTGCTCGCCGTTGTTTGCATCCCCGCCGTAAAGAGTCGATTCTCCCGACGCAGGTTGTTCCTGGCTTTCGACCTCTAAAATTGGTGGTATATGCTCTGTCTCTACATGTTGTGGTGCCGAGTGCTGCTGGGGCAGTTGTTGATGGGCGTCCAAAGTCATCAACGAGGTTGGGAATGTAGTGTGGAACGCTAGATTGACAGAATCCTATTGGATTGAGAACGTGTTATTAAGATTTGACTGCGTGGATTCCGGCACTAGGCTATATTAGTATATATAGTATATGGTTTAATAGTTAAGCTAAGGCATTTTGACGCCAATTAGATAAGATTCTGACTCGCTGTCAATCTCTTAGTTATTTCTATTTTATTAGCTGAAACTAGACTTTGCTACGCTAGAGAGCACTAGAGAGCGTTAGCGTGAAAATTCGTCGCCAGACGGTCTGAATTCTCTGAGATAAGCCAGCTAAATACGAATGAGGAAATGCCAGTAAGTTGCGGAGGTTTCGCTGCCTTAGGCAAAGAACTCTAATTCAACGGCCAATCATATCCTCACCGGCTTGGCCAAGGGCCCCACAGAGGTAATACGAACGTCGAGCGACTTGCCGAATAGCCAGCCGTTCATGTATCTGCCTCCTTTCCTTCGATCCTTCAGTTCCTACTGTATATGATGGATAATATAATAATATATAATAAATAAAATTTTAAAAAAAATTTTGCACAAAAAAGGATAGAAAAGACGAATGCAGCAACCGGGATTCGAACCCGGGTCACGGTCTGACCCAATAAACCCAGAGAGTTGCACCTCTGAAGATGGGAGGACCGTATCGTAACCCCTTGACCATTGCTGCGATGCTATCATCATGCCCTCCGCGGTGGCGACGTGATATATATACGCTGCCGATCTGTATGTTTTTCATATTCCATGCATGGTCAGAGCTTGTTAGGTGTTTGGATGAGCAGGAGAGTGCCCCTTAAGATCATCTTCAAGAGATGCCCCTGGCCTATTAATATTAGGATCTGATGTGTATATGATAGAATTGTTTTGAACTCAATTTATCACTACAAAGTAAATTTTTATTATATATAAAACAGCAATGATATCTTTATCTTTATTTAAATATATTAGCAGGAATATACGCTGGGATTTATGTTAATAGGTGAAGAAGCACTTCAAGGATCTTAATCATCATTAGTGGAGGGTTCTAGTTTCTTCACTACGCTTTTGAGTAAGTATTGGAATCTTACACCCAATTATCGATGACTCTAGTCCTAGTTGTCTCTTCTTGTAACAAACACCATCTACAACCTGGGCTTTATAGTCTGAGTACCCTCCCATGCATCCCCTCCCTCCAGCACCTGCCAGTTCTTGACAGCTCCAGGCTCAACGCAGACCATGCCCTTGTAATCCTCGTCTCCAAAGTCAATCATATTCTTGGCGTTTTCCACCCATGGATTCCACACTGTGACAGTATTGAGCCCTTCGCGAGTAATTGAGAAGAGAGGCTTTCCATTCTCGACTACGCTGACGGGCACCGTCGGGTCAATGTCCAGGTAGACTCGATCGGTCGAGCCAGTGATGGCGATAGCATTGGATGTCTCTTGCTTCTGCTGGCCCTTTTCGGTTTTGTCGGTGTAGGTCTTGTTTTGCAGATTCGTGACGCTGATTTTGGACACATCCTAGATCAAAAACCCTTTAGTCGCTGATATCTTTTCTTTGACGATGGGAGGGAGGACAGCCCTCCCAAAAATGAAACTCACAGGAACTTTGAAGTAATTATGCAACAGCACATGAAAGTCAAATGGCTGGGATCCCTTATTCTGCACCTGAAGAGAAGTTTCCAATCTGTCCGGACTGAGCGTGACACTATACACAAGCCCAAACTCGTATGGCCAGGCCCTGCGGAAGTCTTCGCTAATCATACTCGAAGACAATCCGAAGTCTAACTTGATTGTGGTATCTGCCTTTTTACCGAGAGACTCCGAAGACGATTTACCCAGGAATTCCCATGTGGAGGAGCGCGCAAACCCGTGCTGAGGAAGGCTGGAGGTGGCATGATTCGGCGGTGGAGGGCCGAACACCTTTTTTTTTTTTTTTAGTCAGAAAGAGAACCTATATATAAACTTCATAAGGAAAAAGTGGGAGAGTGAGCTCACCGGAAACACCACGGGGATACCGCCACGGATGGCTTTGGAGCCATTCAGGATGGCCTTGGAGCTGACAAACAACTGCTCTTCGCCGTCGGCAAGCTTCCACGAGACCACGGTGGCGCCAAACAGGTGGACAGAGACAGACTCGCCAGTGGGCAGTTTCGCATCGACTGTGTTTTCATTGATGGCTATTGTGGGCTGGGGGATTGAAGCCCCGACGCCAATTGAGGCGGGCTTCTTGCCGCGATCCATGTATGTAACTATGTATTATCTTGAAGCCCCGCGCTGACGTTTGCGTATCTTATCGGCCGGGCGGGATTAGAGAGGAGGAGAGAGAGGAAGAGACAAAGTAGAGATGTGGAAGAGATTATTTATCCCTTGTGCTGTTTTTTTCTGGGATGAAAGGCGAGGTACTATGAGTGAAGTAGGAAGAAGGGGTCTAGTAAGTTGTTGTCTCAATGTATGGAATGAATGGACATTTGACGGAGGGGCAAGTTGGGTGCCTGAGGTAACCAGCCGCACGGAATTAACCTCCATGCATGCCGCGATCTCTGCTGTTGGCCACTGAGCAGCCGCTATTGCTGCGAGGCCTGTCACAGTGGTGTCATCGCGTGCATTAGCCATCGACTAACTGCGAGGAAAATTACTAAATAAAGCAATAACGACTGCTGCTCGGCCGCCCAGTTACAATTAATTCGTTCGGCATTGATTGCATTCAAAACAAGCCCAGTTTGATTCCCCTCCATATGTGTATGTATCATGTATGTACGTACGCCGTCGCTATGCACGCCTTCAACTGGATAACCCAATCAACTAGAAAGAAAACAAGCAAACAAACAAAAAAGAAAAGTAAGGTACAAACAGTAGAAAACAAAAAGCAAAAGCAATATTCCTACGCGTCACTTCTTCGCGCCGCCTCGTGTGCTTCCACTCGAATATCAAACATCACATCATCCATCTCTCTCAGAAACTCTCGGCCAAAAGTAGCGTTTTTGATATCACTAAGCACTCGGCGAAGAGATTCAAGAACACGCATGTTATGATCTCCATCCTCCGTTCGATCCTCGGTTTGTACCGTTTGAGAAACGTAAGTAGTGAATGGCTTCTCTTGCTCAGGAGTTACCAAGGGAGCATCGGCGGTTTCCATATGGCTCTCTTCCGTCGCCATAACAACACCAGTTCCGATATCTTGTCCTTCCTGCCCGACGAGATTTTGTGCTTTATCTGTGGAATCCTTTTCCGTAGTTTCCGGGACGACTATGTCCATCGCGTCGGAAGTAGTAGAAGTTATCTGGGCTCCTGCATCGTTGTCATTATTTGCCATTGCAACATCATGCACTAGATCGTCCTTGCGGGCTTTCTCTGGAGAGCCTGAATTGTTTTTCTTAGCGTGGTTGCTATTATTCTGGGATCGCTTCTTGTTGTTCTTGGATGCCCCTGGCATTTCATTAGATTTCGGTGGCGATATCGCCGTGACTCCACTGAGCCGCAAAGATCTCCGCTTGTGCGATCCTGAAGACTTTGCTTTGATAGGGGATGGTAAAACCTCAGGGCTAGCATGCCGGGTTTCCCTTTTCGAACTTGAGTCTGTAGCGTTGTCAGACAAATCATCAACAGAAACATGATGCTTGAGTGGAGACGACTGGGGAGTTGAAAGACCCCGTTTTGGAATTGATGCTTGAGGCGTTGCTGGTTCCGAAGTGTCGTTCTCCGATTGGGAAGATTCTTCTTGAGCACTTTTTCGGCGAACAGCCTTTGACCGTCTCCGTGAGCGCCGTTTTGTGCGCCCCGGTGTCGACGCTTCTTCGGTTTCAGCATCGCGTTTTCGTTTCCGGGTGACCGGTCCACTTTGGAGATCTTTATCTGGAGATTGCGCAGATTGACTGCCATTCCATATCTTCAAATCCACTGCTAGCTCTAAGTCTTGTTCAAGCTGCGACGCAAGCTGCTGTTCAAACTCATCAGTGTCTGTATCGGGCATCACGTCCGTTGGTGCACTGTCTGCGTCCGGTACGTCTTGAACGTGGGGATCATGCTCCTTGTGCGACATATCTGTTTGATTTTCACTTAGCTTAGCATCGATAACTAAATGTTCTGTTCCATCCTTAGTAGACATTCCCGCGCTTCGTGGTTCCTCGCTGCTTTCTTCCGCATTGATCTCGACATCCCTTGGCATCTTGGATTCGGACTTTCGCGGCAAAGATTTCTGGCGCGCAACTCGTTTATTCCTAGATGAGCGTGACGGCGCAATCTCTGGCGGAGAAGAAGGAGGGTCTGATTGAACGGTATCCAAGGAGTTGATAGACAGAGCAGATCCTCCTTGTGCCTGAAGAAATATCTGTTCTTTTGTACCCGGGGTGGGAGACGAGCCAGGAAAATCATCGTCATTATCCTGCAGGTTGGCAAGTATAGGTGTCCCTGGGGCTTCTGCATCGCGTACGGTACTTCGCATCTTGGGCAATTGAGTTGGAGATAAGATCCCTGTATCTTCTGCTGGGTAAGGTAGCGCTGGTGAGGATGACCGTAACCCTTCTAGGAACATAGAAGGGTTTCCGTGCTGTCGTTCTTTCACTTCACGTTGATGCTCCGTAAGAAGCTGACTCTCAATGTCAGAAGAGCGCGGGGACGAATCAACTGCAACGAATTGTATTTGAGAATCCTCATGGCGAAGGCGTCCTCGACGATGGCTGCTATCGGCAGTTTGCTTTGTGGACGTATGGCTATTGCTCCATTCAGTCGATTGGATAATAGGCGAAGAGCTAAAATTCGTGGGCCGCGATAGTCGATTGTTTACGTGTTTGAAATCTCTCCTAATAGGGTTTAAAATCGATTCACTGACTCCGGTATCTTGAGACTCAACGAAGTCGGGCATCTCGAGTTCCTGAAAAAGTCAATACTGTATCCTTTGCCAGCTGGGCAGTTAACCTACTTGTGATCCAACTTGACTAGGTAAAGGGGAAGGTAGTTGCAATTCCACGAGTCGAATAAGCTTCTGAAGAGCAGTTTGAACTCCAGGGGGGTAAGACACAGACTCCTGCAGTCCAAAAGTAGCATTCCACATGTCGATGAAGCGATTGGCTGTTGATTTGTGCACCGATTCAAGGCCGGCCGAAATGACTGCTTCAAAGGTAAGAAGTGAATCTGTGTTATGCGGTATGGCCATCTGCAAGATATTTGCAACTGCCAAGGCAAGTGTACGACACTAAAAGCAGAGTTAGTCACATATTCGTATAGAAAATGTCAAATCTGACTCACTGCAGTTAGTAGCCTACTATCTGCACCGTTTTCAGCGGTAAGACAGTGAGCAGAGTCTCGCAGCCATAATGCCAAGGGACCTTGAAGCTTTTCAAGGAGTATAGAGCGAAACTGCAGGGCACCACTTCCCAAAAGTGAAGTCAAAGATTCAACAACATCTGCTAATACTGAACTCTCAGAAGCATTATATTGGTCGTAAGCCTCCGCAACGAGTTTTTCAAGGAGCTCCAGAAGCTTATCGGGGAGAAATACAGAACCGCCACGATTGGACACCGTTGATGTTGGTGGGAATTTGATTTGTTGATAATAGGCAAGAGATGATGCTTGATTGACAAGAGCCTTCAATGGCTGATATATCCGTTTACGATCGAGCTGTATGAGTTTATCGGCGATGGGCTCAATAACCAGTGTCAAAATTCCACATTCTCCCCTCTCTATTCGTATAATGCGGACATAAACATCAAGCAGCGAATTCCACGTTATAGACGCAGTAGCAAACTGTAAACCGCGGACGAGAATGCTTGTCATGTTACCGTAATCACGGGAGAGGGTTCCATCTCGGTCTCTCAAGGTTTCCATTGGCAAAGAGGCAAGGCAGTTTATTGTCAATCTCGCTGTTGACTCCCAAATATAGGAGTCTAGGGGGGGAGTGGTTTCGTTCCTGTCACCCTCGTTCAAACTGATTTCTGTGCATTTCTCCAAGAAGTCAAGCCGAGAGGACCTTGACTGTCGGCCTTTGGATGCGACTTCTAGAAGGTTGTCGATTACGCCTAGAAATTTTTGACTTGGCTCAGAAAGTTTCCCAAAAGAACTCAACATGCGTAAAATATGCATAAAGGAAGTTTCAAGATTTGCACCTGCATTTGAGCGACGATGTGTTGGAGTATTTGCAGCCTGAAAGGTTTCTTGCGAGGTTTTTAAAAGCAAGTTTTCAGTGAATGGAGAGGGTCCTACGGTCGATATGAGTGTTGTCGAGAGGTATGAGAAGCGCTCCAAAAAGATTTCGTTCGTTTTTGCGTTCAGTGAGGAAGGACCCGCGAGCACAAGGCGTTGGAATAGCCCTAGTATGGTTGCTATTGCTTGCATCAGTTCTGTTGACGGTTTGATTTCCTTGCTCGACGCATCCCCAAGGGCCTTGCATATATGAGTCCAGGCTAAGGCAATATTCGAATCCGAGACGTTTCCAGATTTCCAAGTTGAAGATGCTAATAGAACCTCAAAAGCATGAACCACCACGACAATGCGAGATCTGATCCATCTGCAATCGATAGGCACAATATATTCTGATTCCATTCTTGAAACCTCATTGATCTTATTTTCTGTCCATACCTTTGGCTGTGGAGTCCATAACAGGGAGCTCAAAGCTTTGCAGGCAGCATCATTGAGTTGAGGACTATTGGCAAATTTATTGGCGAACGGTTGAGAAATGTACTCCTCCCAGAGAAAATCAATGTGTTCATAAGGAGTTGAAGGCCGAAATGTATAGTAGATAAGGTTGTAGTAACTTGAAAGAAACAAGGGTGTGATGTGGGAACTGCCTTTCTCATTGCGCTTGCGCTCCGGTTGAGAAAGAATGGGCTTGGTGAGCATTTTCAACATGCTCATGCTGGTCGATTCATTGCAGCTCACGACGTAGACGAACTTATTCCATCCAATAATTGCCTGCGACTTGATTGCCGGTTCACTGCAATTAAAACATTTCTGTAGTACCAATACCCACTCCTTGAAGTATTCCCAGTGCTCAATATTGAACCTTTTGCTTCTCAGAAGCAAGATAATAATGCTCCAGATCTGCGGCACATGTACTCCACTCTCAACGGACATCATCATACGTGACATACGCTCACATATTTCCGAGACAAGCTTTCTGCCTTGCGAAAGCTCTTTATTGAATATATCCAAAATACACTTCGAAATATTCATGTTGGGTCCCAGTAACAGTGCGACCTTGTTGCCGAGAATCAAGGCTTTTGACCGAGTGTCTTTCACTGGATGAAGAAGGCCTGAGATAAAGTTCTCTACCCATAATGAAGCCTGTGAAGCCATAACTGACTTTGACTGACTGAGCAGTCGGGTATAAACCACCAACCGATGTGAGACAATGCCATTTCCATTCACGCGATCGGTGATGTCGTTTAGCACAGCTAATATCCGCGTTACTCTTGAATTCGTCATTGTCTTTTGTGAGAAATTTTGGGTGTATAGAATGTGTATGTAGTGATTGAGAATGGACTTTGGCAGCTTGCCTTCCTGCAGAACACTCAAGGACTGATCAATTATGAAGATCTTGAAGTCATCAGGGATTTGCGAGGCGAGGTCATCGCTCCAAATAATGTATAGCCCAAGCTTTAGCGCATTGATGACCAGGTTCATTTCAACAAGATCCCCCTTTCCCAAATCACGAGTAATATCGCGCTGTACAGATTGTAATAGAGACACCAACTTTGAGGCCAAAGCATCCTGCTCGGGAATATTTTCGTAGGCCTTCAATGCCCCTAAGAGCTGCATATACGCGTCCACCCTCGAGCTCAGAGACTCCCCACCCAACTGTTGCGTGGCTGAATCCAAGAGAATAGCGAAGGACTGTGGTTGGCTTTCTTCCGTCAAAGCCATATCGCCGGTTAGCAGAGTGGTGCTCGTGGCTTTAAGAATCGACTTTGTCGGTTTGCATTCGTTGGAAGGAGGCAGGGATCGTATTTCGGGGGCGGATATTGACGTATGATTCGAAAAACTCGGGGGCTTTATATAGCTCGTTATCGGGGAAAAGTTGACTTTCTTGTTCGACCTCAATACCCTCGACTCGGCCGTGGACGCGGGAGATTCACCAGGAGTGCCTAGCATGTTCGATCGGCCAGGAAGAGGTTCTCCGTCTCGCTTTAAGAGGCCGTGAGATGCCTTTGGAGGAGTTGGCGGTCGAGCCGTGAAGACTTCCACCATGGTTCAGCGGAGTACGAGGAAGACACCGCGAGCACAGCAAGACAGAAAAGGCATCAGTCATTGCCGGTCATCATTAGATGAGAGAATATGATGACGGGGAAGTGCGAGGATGCGCGTGCATAGGTTCCCCGGATGAGGGAAGGGCTGGATGTGAAAGGAGACATGTCAATAATCGACATTGCAATAAATCTCCACCGCCGACGCGAAATCGCGGAGGCAATCGCGCAGCGCGTAAAGTGGCTAGTCTAAGCCGTTTGAGGCGCGGCGCGTGAGGACCCAAGCCTCAGGCCGCAAACTAGTGCCTCAGGCTGCCCTCAGAGCCCTAACTTTCTCACTTTTGCTCATCAACCGTAATGTCTTACTTCCAATTCATCTATATACTGGCCCAGTAGGGCTGGCTAAATAGCAAGTTTAGCCAAAACAGATTTCTTCTCTTGCCTACGTAGGTATATACAAAATCTACAGCTTCGCTCTCTTCGCGTGCTGTAGAGCTTGGTTCACTAATGCCACTGCATCGGCTGCACTCCCGTAAGATGTCTGATACCCATAGCCTGCATGTCCATAGTTGTGAACCACCCAGAAATCATCAAACTTCTGTTTCTCTATGCGAGGACCACTCTCGCGAAGTGGGCGCAAACCGACACCGTGTCGAATGATACTGAGAGCTTCGATACCTTGGCCTTCGCCTACTAAACCGGGACACAATTCGATGCATCTTTTCATGATTCGAATTGCTAGATTTGGATCGGGGTTGGGATCCCAATTGTTCTTTTGGTATGATCCGCCAAGAATAGTGCCCCCGCCTGATGTGATACTTAACACAAGGACTAGCTAACAGAAACGGTCGTTCAAACTTACCAGAAGCGCGCGTCATAATATACGTAGCCTCATCATCGCCGTCATCCGTTCCAGAGATCGTAGCCATCAAACCAGGATCGTTTCGAACAACAACAATCTGGCCTCTCGCTGGCATGAGGGTCGTATCCATGACACCCCCCAAGCTACGAGCAGACAACCCAGTGCAATTCACCACGACATTTGCCTTCTTCCCGGAGTGATGAAGATCAGCGGCTTTTGAGATGTGATCGACAATAGCCCTTTTAAACACGACTCCATTCTTTCTGCATTGACCAACTAGCCATGGTAGATAGAGGGCCGTATTGATGCAGACGGAAGTAAAGCTGTTGGCATTGTCGATCTCGGGATTGAGCTCATCTGAGGATAATTCACGATACTTGCACGCTACGAATCAGCCAGAAGAAGAGGGAGGTTTTCTTTTGAGGGCCCTTACATCAGGCACGACCTGGCTATACCACGGGTTCGGTTTTATCAATTCAGCAAACCACTTCCCTGTTGTCGATCCCTGATCCTTTTTCCGGTTATAGGCCACAGTCTCTGCGGATTAGAGAGTCAGATACTTCCTGTGCCTCGAGAAAATTGGTTCACTAATAGATACCCTGAAAATGGATGCCTGCTTCAGGGCAGTTCTGGGCCAATTCCCGAAGGTGCGGCCATGTCGCTTTTTCCCATTGCCCGATCAAGTGATTCTCTTGGCCGACTCTAGTTAAACCATTTAGTTATATTCATGGACATCGAGGCATATGGCCGAAAAGAGAATTGGCTGGCAGACATACGGGAGGTAATTAGCACCCGCCCACGGTGAAGTGTATTCGATATCGTAGTCCCCTGGCATATGCTTTGCGGCGACTGTGACATGGTTCTCGGGGTCTTGAGAGAGCAGCATCGCCGTCGTAAGGCCAATGACCCCTGCTCTAAAGCGCGCATGGATACTAAGGTTAGATATCCTGGTTGTGGTCCAACGGAGTGTCCAGTTACTACATACCCGAGGACTACAATATCGTTCGAGGCCATTGTGTCTTGCTCACAGGCTGCGCTCGCTGTCGAGATCTGTCTCTGAAACGAAGCAGAGACAAAATGAAGATATTCCCGATGGAGTCATAGAGGGGACCACACACGGAGTACCCACCGGGGGCTGATAGCCGAGCGCCGACATGATTAAGCTTCACGTTTCTTAAGCTTTTATTTTATTTTTTTTTTCCTATCTTAGTTATGTTTTTTTTTCCCGTCTGTGTCATACAGAGATATACGGAGCTGCGATGAAGTCGATAGCTGCCTTCACTGTTGCTTCTCCACTGGCTGGAGATGCTGCAGCTCTAGTAGTCAATTTCCAATAGACTCACTGACTAGCATTGCAACGCTGCCCTGACTCATAATACTGTGAGTCATGAACCAACAGCAAGCAGAAACTCCACAGCAAATCACACCGCTTCAATCAAGTGCGAAGGCGACATGGCTTTCTTATCTTGCCTAATGCTAGGGGGGCGGGGTCTCTTCTGGGTCTAGTTTAGCTGCTTCTGGCCAGCTGCCTGAAGCGGTTAGATTGGCCTGAGAGACAGCATGAAAGAGAGCTTTTCTGCAGTTAACTTCAGCAACATCCCCCGGCTGGACCCTGCGAAACTTGTCGCGTAGCCTCGTTTCAATGCCGCATCGGTGATCATGCTCTTTAGTCTCAATCAGACTCCCCTGGCGCAGGAACCGGACACCTACAATGCGAAAGCTCTCGCTGCGGGTATTGCGGTCCTGGCTCTGGGCTTGTTCCTCAGTGTGCCCTCCGTAACGGCCATTGCATTCCATTATCGCCAGCCAAAACCAAAGCCAAGTCTGTATGAAGACAAAGATGGAGTTGCATCTGAAGAGTCAATGGCTGCATACTCAGCCAAAACCCCCAAGATCATACTGTCGGTCTTCACAATGGTCGGGTTTGCCGCGGCCACGTTCTTGGCCGTTGTGACTACTCTGCATCGGAACGATTATGCCATATTTGTTCAAAACTGGCTGAATGTCGCTCAATGGGTAAATAAACACCAGATCTTTACTAGGAATTTCCAATCAAAATTCGAAGATTGAACGCTAATAATGCTTTTTCAAGGCTCTCGTTCTCGTTCAGGTGGTATCCATAAACATCGTGCGAGAACCCACCAAGTCCTATTCACTCGGACTGTACAGCGCGTTGTCCTGCGCCTGTTTGTTCATGCTTCTTCTTTTCCAAGTTGGAATACTCGTGCAGAGCCAATCCCGGCATCACCATTCCTGGACATACTCGGCACAAATTGCCACCAAGTCCTCACAGTTGGTGGCCACGATTATTGCTGCCCTGGCTAGTGTCTCTTTGCCTCGCAGACCGGATGTCTTTTATGATGGCGCTCCTGTTGACAAGATGTTTACTCAATCAGCCTTGTACAAAGCTAGCTTTTCCTGGGTCCAATCCGTCCTCCTGCTTGCAAGGAAGACGGGACATCTGGATCTCAAGGACCTGCCAAAAATGAGTCATCGTATTCGTGCCAAAGATCTTAGCAAGACTTGGGCGGAACAAGAGCGTCCAAGAAGGCTTTGGATCGAAGTTATTCTCGCATACAAGTGGCCACTGATTACGCAGTGGTCTCTCACCATAGTCCAGGCATTCGGTAATTTCGCCCCTCAATTCGTCATTTTTCAGATACTTAGGATTTTGGAAAACCGATTTTATGGAGAGCAGGTCCCTGCCGAAGCGTGGATTTGGGTCATTGTTCTCACTCTCACAACTATCAGTTCTTCTTGGATCGAAGCCTGGCTCTATTGGGTGTCTTGGTCCGAGCTTGGTATTCCCGTGCGAGCTCAACTTTCGGCACTAATTTTCCAGAAGTCTATGCGGCGCAAGGATGTAAAGGCTGCCTCCAAAGTACTTAAAGTTGAGGATGGAGATGCTTCCAGGGACAACGCCGAATCTGGAGAGGAAGAAGAAGATGATAATCCGAAGGGAAAGCAATCGACAGTTAACCTCATCGGTGTGGACACAAAGCGAGTCTCTGACTTTTGTTCTTTCAACAACTATTTCCCAGGCAGCATTTCCAAGTTGCTTGTCTCGCTTGCTTTCTTGTGGTCCATACTTGGATGGCAATCCCTGCTTGCTGGGTTCCTGGCCATGGCGGTCACTATTCCCATCAATATATTCTTCAGCAAACGCTACTCGGATGCTCAGGATAGAGTTATGAAAGCTCGAGATCTCAAGATGGCTGTGGTGACTGAAGCTCTACAGGGTAAGCAGCATGACAAGATACTTGAGGTTCTGATTGCTTACCTATTTTAGGTATCCGTCAAATCAAATTTTCGGCTCTTGAGGCAAATTGGTACCATAAGATTGGCCAATTCCGAGCGAAGGAGCTTGAGGAGCAGTGGAGCGTCTTCGTGTAAGTTATCTATCGACATATGGACCTAGCCAGACGACGCTTTACTAACCTCTTATAGTGCCGATACATTTTTGCTCTTGTAAGTCAAAGTAGTGATTTGTATTACTTATACTTGCTAACCTGTACTAGTTGCTGGATTTCGAGCCCTATTCTGCTTTCCGCAGCCTCTCTTGCTGTTTACGCACTGTTAAACGGCACTCTGACTCCATCTGTTGCATTTACTGCAATCGGAGTATTTGGCAACCTAGAAGTGACCTTGTCTGTTATTCCAGAATTGACCGCGGATCTGATTGACGCATACATCTCTATTGGACGTATAGAAAAATACCTAAACTCACCGGAGATCACCGCGATTACAAGCGACGTTTCTAGTATTTCATTTGAGAACGCATCGATAGCCTGGCCATCAGACGAAAGCAGTGATACAGCCGGTGACCGGAGATATATCTTGCGAAACCTCGATTTGTCTTTCCCGAAGAACGAGCTTAGCGTGGTTAGTGGCAAGACAGGTACTGGCAAGAGTCTCCTCCTGGCCGCTATCCTTGGTGAAGTCGACATTCTTTCTGGGAAAATCAAAGTTCCACACGCGCCATCTACTCAAGAACGGCATGACCACTTGGCCACAAAAGACAACTGGATTATACCTTCTTCAATCGCGTTTGTGGCCCAAATACCTTGGATTGAGAATGCCAGCATCAAAGACAACATTTTATTCGGTCTTCCGTTTGATGAGCAACGATACAACAAAGTCATCGAATCGTGTGCATTGCGAAAGGATCTGGATATGCTCAGTGATGGAGAGGATACAGAAATCGGTGCCAACGGCATTAATCTGAGCGGTGGTCAGCGATGGAGAGTTACCTTTGCGAGAGCATTGTATTCTCGCGCGGGCACCTTGATCTTGGATGACATCTTCAGTGCCGTGGATGCCCATGTTGGGCGATTTATCTTTGAGAAAGGTCTTACCGGGGAACTCGGTGTCGGTAGAACTCGAATTCTGGTCACCCATCACGTTGCTCTCGTCAAGTCAAGGACCAAATACGTTGTAGAGTTGGGTGATGGGACTGTCGAAAACGCGGGACTAGTGAATGATCTGGAAGAAGCTGGCACATTGGACAATATAGTCAGTCACCAGGAAAGCGAAAGTGAAATCCAAGAAGATGAAGAAGCCCCAACAGCTGTCAACTCAGAAGAGTCATCAGACACCGAGACCATGGATCAGCTGAAGAAAGTCAATTCCAAGCAGTCTCCGAAGAAATTCGTTGAAGAAGAAGCAAGAGAACGTGGCAGAGTGAAGATTAAAATCTTCTTAGCTTACATGAAAGCTGCTGGCGGGTTCAAGTTCTGGGCTATGGCTTTACTTGCATTTGCAACTCTGCAGTGCGTTTCTCTCTGTCAGTCAATTATTCCTCCTTCCCTTCTAAAATGGTACGAGGGCTACTCTACAGTCATATACTGACAATAACCTAGGCCGTTCTTGGTGGCTCAAAGTCTGGACGGGTAATGGGGACGAGGAATCCATGGCACACACAGTTGGCTACTCTTTTCACTCCCAAACACTCACGCCTTTCTACACTACCTCATCAAACTTGTCTGTGCTCTCAGACAATGCAAAACCGGACTACAGCCTCGGGTTCTACCTGTCAATTTACGTTGCTCTATCGGTCATTGGGGCTAGTGTCGGCACGTTCAAATACTACTACATCTATACCGGAGCGATTCGTGCCTCTCGAGTTTTGTTCAATGATCTGTGTTACACGGTTCTGCGAACGCCTCTGAGATGGGTCGATACGGTGCCACTGGGCCGAATCCTGAATCGCTTCACTTCCGACTTTGAGGTTATCGATGCTCGCCTATCTGGCGATATTTCAGGTGGTTTACATGACTTTTTACAACTTTGTGGAATCATTGCCGCTGGGTAGGTTACCTTGAATTATGTTTTTCTTCTTCCAATGGTATGTACGTTAACATGATTCACATAGGATCTTCGTTTCGCCATACGTCATCCTACTCTCGGTAATACTACTTGCTATTTGCATCTGGATTGCATCGATATATCTGGATGGCGCCCGCGAGGTAAAACGCCTCGAGTCCACTGTTAAATCACCTATCTTCGAGCAGTTTGGCTCCGCACTCACAGGCGTCGGTACAATCAGAGCTTTCTCCAAAACCGACACATACATTACTCGTATGTACGGCAAACTCGACGACTACAGCACCGCTTTCTGGCATCTTTGGGCATTCAATCGCTGGATGGGATTGCGAATGGCACTCGTTGGCGGCCTCTTCTCTACGATCGTTGCGTCCATTATCCTCGTTGTGCCCTATATTGAGGCATCTCTCGCAGGATTTGCCTTGTCGTTTGCTTTGAACTATGGCCTGGACGTCATTTGGATCATCAGACACTACGCAAACTTGGAGCTGGAAATGAACGCTGTAGAACGTGTTACCGAATACTCCAATGTCAAGACTGAATCTCAGGATGGTGCCGATCCACCAGCTGCATGGCCTAGTGAAGGCCATCTCGAGGTCAACAACCTAGTTGTGGCCTACGCACCAGACCTCCCACCCGTTCTCAAGGGTCTCACTTTCAGCGTCGAACGCAGTGAACGCATCGGCGTCGTTGGTCGTACTGGAGCAGGAAAATCTTCACTCACACTAGCACTCTTCCGTTTCCTCGAAGCGAGTCAAGGAAGCATCCACATCGACGGCCTTGACATCTCGAAAATCAAACTCCATGCGCTACGTTCCCGTCTAGCTATTATCCCTCAGGATCCCGTTTTGTTCTCAGGCACGGTCAGAACGAATCTCGACGCTTTCGATGAACACACCGATTCAGAACTCCGTGATGCTCTTGAACGTGTGCACCTTGTCACCGCTTCTGAATTTGCGTCATCGCCCGGTGAACCGTCAAGCAGTGCAAATGACGGAGCGCAACCAGACAATCAAAATATCAATCCTTTCGCCTCGCTCAGCTCACCCGTCAGCGAAGGTGGACTAAACCTTTCACAGGGACAGCGTCAACTTCTCTGCCTTGCCCGTGCCATCGTGTCCCGCCCGAAGATTGTGGTCCTGGACGAAGCTACCAGTGCAGTTGACATGGCGACGGATGCGCTGATTCAAAGGAGTATCAGAGAGGAGTTCGGTGATAGCACACTGATTGTCATCGCGCACCGCCTGAGTACGATTATTGACTTCGACAAGATTCTTGTGATGAACGACGGAAGAGTTGCGGAGTTCGGAACGCCCAAGGAACTGATACAAATAGAGGGAGGCATATTAAAGAGTATGGTACAAGAAAGTGGTGAAAAGGAGAAATTGGAAAAGATGGTCTTGGGATAAAAGTAAAATTCTGTTTGATTAGAAAAATATTAGTACTATCTGACCGTTTGTAAATCAATGTATATAAATTAAATATAGAACTCAACCGCAACATGCCAAGGGAGTCCTCGCCGAGTCTAACTCCACCACAACATACATGGAGGGCTCCCATTGATCAGAAAGTTGACCTCGAAATACAAATTCTGGCCCCCAAGGGCTTGGGCCATTGCTTACTAGAACAAAAGAGGCTCTGCTGAGACGGGTATTGACAGCGGATTATGACCGCTATTCCGAATACAGCGTGTAATCCACCATGTCACGCGCCTGGATCCACCTTAGTCGTCACTGGCTGTGTCGAGATACAATACGATAGCTTTGAACCACATAGAGGTTCCTAAGGATATTCCTTATTAATGGTCGAGTATAACTCAAGTCTAGTAATAAAAAGTATTTATAATCAAGATGGAAAAAGCACCCTAAAGTATTATAATCTTTAAATAGATTTATCTTATTAACCCTTTTAGTATATAATCAAGTAACTTTGATTAAAGAATTATAAAGAATAACTAGATATATAATATAGAAGTGTATTTATATAGATCTATTCTTTTATAATCTTTTTATACTCCTAGATGTATATTCTAGTGTATGTGACGATGCAATACCAAATCTATTTGGTCGCTAAACACGAAGAGACTAAACTGGAGAGAAGAAGGAAAGAAAAGAACAATTACTGGCCTTTTTCCTTCTACTTATACTTCCCAGCCGACATATGTCCAGTGATCTGGCTCGATTTCAGTCTATGTCGAACCTTTAAACACCCGATGGTCTCTGCGATTAATGTTTTCTGTATGGCTGATGGTACCATCAGCGTTCAGGTATTGAACCTCCGCATCTTCGGCCAGAATATCATGATTCGGTTCAAGTTTCAATTTGATAGGCTCCGCGTTATTGTGTACCGTCACCGCGTTGTAGGAATATGGCGGTCGCGGCAAGGGTCGCGGATACCCGGCCAACACCGAACTTCATATCTGTGATGAGTCGCACTCGCGAGGCTCTCCCGCGGTTGCTCCGCGGTATATCAGATGAGTATGAGGTGAATTTGATCGGCGGTTATGGGATATCGCGTATTGATCGCAAACACTCGTCATCCAAATCATCAGATCCATACGAAAGATCGATAACTTTCGGAAGCGCAACGACGGAATCAGACGAACAAAACGAGAGAAAAGCGCCCACTGCAGCCAGCGCATATCCTACATATACGTATCGTGCCACACCAAGATGGTTGCAGGAAGCTGAGCTGATCTTGGAACTTGGCGCAGCAGCCTTGGCGATGCAACCGCTTGTCGGTAACAATACTGTACGTACATCGCGATTACCATGTCTCGGTAATATTACGGTCCAGCCCGTCCTAATTTACAGTACCACGAAATAAGTTTCCGGACCCTTGTGCGGGTATTATGGGTATGGGGGGGGGGGGTCCGAACACTTATTTCGCCCCACTGTAGTAAGGGGGATTCTTGGCAAATCTCAATGGCGAGGATATAACGACGTCCAATGAGCACAGACGAGTGGATTTATGCGCTGCCCTTACCATATCCGGGATAGCCGTAAACTAATCCTGTCAATTAGACGATGGTACAGGCTTAATTCTTGACGAGACACACTTTCATACCTTTGCTCAAATAGATTGATCTCTGTCAGTCTGTGTCAGATCTGCCATTGGGACAGTACGCAACCCAAAACATGGATAAACTACCAATAGAGGTTCTCCGGTTGATATGTGGTTATGTATGTGACCGAACCGACCACACAAGCTACATGCATGCTAATTACTTGACAGGTACAGGCTGATGACCACGAAGACTTCTCTTCTTGGACTCTTGTGAACCATTGCTTTCATGAGGTTGCAGTTCCGTTCATCTATGAAACTCTGAATGTGAGGTTCTCAGACTACACGTCTCTCCAGCACATTGTGACGGAGATTAAGGAAAATCCTCGTCGGAAACAATTTCTCACTCATGCAAGACGCCTTAATATTATGGCAATGCCAGATAATGGTTACCAGGAAGTCTTTGATTTGGATAGCCTTAGGGGCTCTTATAACATTTTTGGTCTTGATGAGGATCTTAGGGCTCGGGACCTGATACCTGATACATTTGGCTCTCCAGGATTTTTCTTCAATAGACATCTGTCTGAACCTTTAATACAGACTTTACGTGCTTGGCGAGAGCCAGGATACTATAATGAGAAGAACTGGGAACCTTTGATATGGTTGATAGGCAGTATGTCGCGCTTAACAGAGATGAATTATCTGCTCAAAAACATGTTCCCAAAATGCCTTCTTGAAGTGATCCACAAACACCACTTGACCTGTCAATTGAACGTCTGGGGCAGACAATGGTTGCAGCTTCGAGAACCAGGGCTCGAAGGATTTTTATCAACACCTAACGTGGTACCGGAATTGAGGGATCCCTTTGAGATGGACCTTCTACGATCACCTTGTCTACATGCGCTTTTAATAAACTATAATGTCTACAGACTCGCAAAAACTCAAGTGGCGGTTGAGAACATCTTCCCTTTAATCACAATGGCACCAAATCTCAAACATATAGATTTAACGGAGGGTGCTGTTAGCGAAATGAACGACATCACGAAATATAACCAATCTTTGGACGAGTATGTCAGCAAATCGAAGTTCTTGGCCAGTCCAATTTCCTTGAGACACCAAGGTTACTGCTTCGATTCTCTCAAGGAATGGGCTAAGTCGACGGACTTCTCTTCTCTGCGAGCATTCGAGTTTCCCAACTCATACTTTCCACTCGAGATCTTGAATCAGCTTTCCAAGTTCCCACAACTGGATTATTTACATCTCGGTCTTCAAAGTCCTTTTGGAATGGCGCAAGATCCAAGCTTTGCAAGAGATCTGAGTTCTCTGTTTGCTGGTCTGAATCCGCTCAAGTATATTCGCGTTTGCTGTCCTCAAGATACAGCTATCATCCATGAGATATTTGCTCACCATGGTCGAACGTTACGAGGATTTATTATTGAACCATACATGCCTCCCGGTCGAAAGGCCCATGAGAAACACCCGTTATATCCTCTATTCAGCACTTTTGACCTTGTCAGCCTGAGCAGACAAGCGCCTCATCTTGAAGAATTCCGGCTTCCACTCAGACGTTCTTTGGGTAGCCAGACAGAATGCAAACTCTATAAACGCGCTTGGCAAATTCCCTTCACTTCATAGTCTTGTTCTAGATCTGGACTGCAATTTTCGCGAGAGCATAGCCAGAGACTATAATCAATTCTCTGAGCAGAATGCAGAATTACCAACCCGTGATGTTTTCATCAATGCCGCGATGGATGAGACATTGGGCAAGGCGATCTGGGATAGGATCGATCTAAGCGGAGGGGGAAAGCGCCTAAGGAATCTCCGCATCTCAATTCTTGGGGTCTCCAGCTTGAGACGGGCAGAGGGTGAGATTGCAAGGCGCCTAGCTCGCCAATTTCTGATCACTCGATCGATGTCTTACGTGGGTGGCCATATGAAGATAAGGGAAATTGGACAAGGCCGAATTGAATCACAAACCGCAAGGCAGCTGGAATATGATCAAGACGAAGTGTTTGAACTGCCGAAGAGAGTCCAAGAGATTGTTTTCTCCCTTTGGCCCTCTGAAACAGAGCAGTTTACGTGGGATTTCGAGTGGAAGAGCTTTCCGCTTCAAGTGGAACTTGCGCTCGATAGTTGAGATAGTGAAGAATATGGATGGTATTGGGAAAATATTATGATGTACAGAGAAGGAAAAGTAGTGTTGAAAGTCACACTTGGCACATTCAAACTGCGAAACTGGGTCTTTCATATCTGATCAACTGAAGTCAAAAATTCTTTTTTGGATGATATAGATTCTGTCAGCGGCAAAAATGAAGCGTTTTGCGTCGCAATTCAGTTCATTAGACATAGGTCAAGTCTCGCTAATTGGGCCTCCTTAACTGAGCTTCAAATATCTAGAGGCTCAGGGTAATCGCAAAGGCAGAGACATAACGCTGTCTCTGCACTTCTAGAGAATAGAGAGCGCCGTCAACAAAGGCCTTTGTATTGCCAGTTTGCCCCTGCCAACTATTTGCCATTGATGCGATTTGGTCCTCGATCCAAAGATTGCACCGCTCTGCTTGATATATTAACATGTCTGGAAACCATTCATCCCAAGCATTTACTAAATCAATCGGAAAACCAGATGGTTGGGTCGGCCAACGCTGTTCTGTAATTGCGAGCTGAGCCCGCACGTTGTTTGCGACATTAACCACTGACTGAGTCACCGGAGGGTCATTCAAGTACGCCCATACCGCAATAACATCTCGAATTCCCTTGAGCGCTATGCTCGGGTTAGTAAGATCGGCAGTGTAGGTATCCATATTGTCCACAATATTCTCGTTGTTTCTGAATATCTAAAGAGTCGATTTGAAAGTATTAGCGATGGCTCCGCACCTTACATCAGGGGACTCTGAGGGATCTTATGCTTGCCTTGACTCCATTGAGCTCACTCCGCAGAAGGTAAAAGTCCGCCGCATTTCTTGTAGCTCCTAAGGCGTACATGATTCGCTCCGCAGGTGTTGGGTCCGGTGACTGACTTGTCGGAAATGCTGCCACGTTTGCTAGGAAAGGCAAGTCTATTGCAGAAAGGCCACCTGGTGTCTGTCCAGCAGTTGCGAAAAATTCACAGGGAACCGGAGTATAATGAATGGGGGAGCCAGACATTAGGTTGCTAGCGGTGATAGACGTGAAGAATTGCGGTATGACTTGAAGCTCTAGGACGTGCTCCGCTAATAACAGGACATTATTAGCATAGTGTTTCATGAAGACGGTTCAACAATTAGTTGTCGCGTGATAGGAGAAACCTTACTATCAAAATTGTCACTATTCTTGGCAAGTGTAGTGATGCCCGCCTCAGTACAGTCATTGGGGAATTGGAGATCTTTTGCATTCTGGTATTGAGGGTTTGCTGGTTTCCAATAACCCCTGGATGGATAGGGCCACGACTTGATTTGGAGCCCATAGACCCATTGGTTTCTCGATTGGCACCACACATCATAAACCTTATCACTCGATCCAGCACGTCGGTCCAGAGAGTGTGAGGAACGTGACTGAACGTCCTGGCCTTGGATATCCTCGGTCCTGCTAGAGCGCTTTTGAGTGGATGAGGACGAGTCATCATTGTCTTCTTCTTGACAAAGTTGTGGCTCATAGGCAGCATCACAAATGGAGCCTTGACAGTAAGGATTTTCGTCTTCGTCTTCGTCTTCCTCAACTAGTTCTTCATAGAATGGCATGCGGCAAAGGAGATCAAAGGCGACGGACTGGGCACCGTCCTCAACAAAAGGTGTAAAACTTTGCATAAAGGGCCGTAGAGTCGAGAAAACCAGATTCGGAAATGTCACTGTGACTAGATTGTTCCAGGTAGTGATCATTTGCGTTACCAATTGAGTAAAGAGAGTCGTCTTTAGAAGGCGAGCCAGAGTCATAGATAGATAGTCCACCTGATTAAGGCTACTTATACCGCCATCATAGGTCGTGGCAAATCCAGACACTCCTCGACGAAGAAGCCCTCTCTCCTCGTCCGTTGAGTTTAATACATCAGGAGCTGGACAAGTAGCTGTTTGTAAGAAATCAGTCAACTGATCCTTCCATTTCTGTAGCGCGGGGCTGAGAGTCTCTGTCGTTGTTAGGGTTGCATATATGGCTTCACAGCAGAAAGAACGCGCACCACCCTTTCCCTGACAAGAAGAATCATATTGATCAAGGGCTGCTCGAACTTGACCAGTAGGGCAGCTGGACCTACAGAATGAACTGCTTCCTGAACGTGTTTCTCCCAAGTCTGAATGCCAAGCGCATTGTTTAAAAGACAGCTCTGAACTGCTTGTATCAGCACAAAGCTTCCTCTCTGAGTAGGGATAGTCCCCATTCCCATATCCGTAAAGAATATATGAGGGGTCCTCAGCGCCGATGAGGTTGCACGTGGCACCACCACTGCCAGTGGTAGAGTTTGCCAATAGTGAAAAATCAGTTGTATCGGACCAAGGACAGCTGCCTTTATCGCAGTCAGGCCACTCCGACCACTGTATCGTTGAATACACCTTCATACTGTCTTCTGCAGTAGTACAGCAAGCTGCTTGGTAATTTTTGTTGCAGTACATAGAGTTCGACCCTATTTCAACTGTTGTTATCAGGGCAGGCTGGATCGCACTTCCCATTGTTGTGCGTGTACCACCCACAAGTTGGCATCGCACTGTTCGAAGGACAGCAATACGTATGTACTGAATCAGAAGGGCATCCGGTCTGGTCCAACATCAACTCGCCCTTTCGAGCTCCGCTGTCGCCTCGAGAAACAGCGGTATACCCAGAGGGGCAGACTTCTCCACACCCTGTCCACATACATTGGGGATGTTGCTCGTAAACAGTGATATTTGCTGACGGGCCACCGTCGCTGCGGTACCCTGCCAGTGAAGTAAATGGTCGAATTGTAGTATTTGAAAGCGACTGTGAGAATGTTCCGCTGGAATCGTCATGACTAACGGCCCAGACCATCACACCACTGAGACATTCGGATCTAGCAAAATCGGTCTTCAGCTTGAATGATGATGCATCGTCGTATGTGGTCCATTGGTCGTCCCAAGTGAGTATCTCAACCTCCGCATCTTGATCAAGACTTGATTCGATCCCTCGCAGAGCCATTATATTCTTGATTTCACTGTTCATGAGCATACTCGACGTTTGACTGCAATTTCCTGGAAGAGACCCCGAAGAGAATGTACAGCCGGGCTCCCTAAGGTCACACAACGAAAATTCAGCACATCATCCATGCATGTCGCATTTCAGGTCAGAAAGGAACTTACGTGCAGCTGGTACTGGAAACGGTGAATCCTCGCCCATAGAATGCCAATCCCATAACTACTTTCTGAGGAGGCACGTTATTCCGCCAGAGAAGATCAAAGTCAAGCGTAATCTCTGTCATGTTTGTATGACTATCCAGGTAGGGGCCAGTCCAATGGTTCGCTTGATGTTCTTTTTAGCTTGAGGAAATCCGGATATGAGCTGAGAAACTTACATTTATCCCACAACCCATGAAGGTCGTAGGTCATAACGTTGAAATAATCAACTTTTTTAGAAAGTGATTCAACGTCAAAGTTCTGCAAATACCAGTAAGAAGCTGGGAGTGTCACGCTCAAACCATCTCTGCCACCAGTACCGCTCAGCGCCTGCTTGAGATTTGCAATGAACTTGGGGTAATTTGCAAAGTCTTCTGGACGTCCACTGCGGTCAGTGGCCCCAGGATATTCCCAGTCAATATCAACGCCATCAAAATCATATGTTGACATAAATGAGATTAGCGACCGAAAAAAAAATGCACGTTGATTATCTTCCGATGCAACCAAATCAGAAAAAGTCGTGGCTGACGGGCCAGGATCATTAAAGCTCCATCCGCCAATAGCTATATTCACCTTGAGATCTGGATCCTGGGCTTTGAGTGCCGTCAATCGCGTGTAAAGACCCGGATCAGTGCTGTATGTAGGGACCACGTTGAAAGTGTTGGGGTCAATTGAAGCAAATGCATAGTTGAGATGGGTGTATATCCCCAAGGGGATCTGCTCTGGGTAAATGGCATTACAGGGTCGCTGAGGAGACCATCCCTCATAATAGCCTACAACACGAGACAGTGTACCACTTTTGCTGCAAGACGGTCTTTTCACAGTCTTATCGCCTAGCCAATGGTCAGCACCTATGAGACTCGAGTTGTGGGCCAATGGATGCTTCACCACAGAAATCGGTTGTTGTACCGCAAAATCCGTACCTAGAGAATGGCATTAACTACGTGGTCGACAATTGCGTGCGGATGGAGGGAGTAAAAACAAACTTGCTGCAGCAGACATTCAACGGACAAGTAGTAGACGTTGCGAAATCGGATCCCCAACTGCCAGGATCACACTCGGATTTTTGGTCGCATGTCGATACTCAATTCTCCTTTGCGCAATCTACCGTAGAAAGCACTGTTAGCACTAAAAAGCACTTAGGTAGTCGATTAGGGTTAAAGGGGGCGTCCACTGACAGTCCGGACCATAGCCACAGACACCGAATTTCGAACAACACCCTTCTGGGCAGTGATTATCGGCGTCACATTGAGCCGTGGCTGTAGAGTCACAAGTGCTTACACACACATCGGCGCCCTGTTAAAGCGTACAGACGGTTGGTCAACTGATGGCAAATTGGACAAGAAATACTCACGCAATAGCCGGAGCTGTGTTGGAAGTCGTCAGCGAACTTCGCCCATACCCAAACCCGTAAAATCCTCGAGTTCCTTACGTAGAGCAGCATCCAGTTGCGCATAAGTTGGTGGCACTACAATCCTGTGATGTAGCGATTGCAGCGCAGAGCAACAACAGCAAGAGCGTAGGAAGTGGCCGAAGTAGTATGATCATTGACCCCATAGTTAGGCCTTTAAATGAGGCAGCAAAGCAATGTCGGCTCGATGAGATAGGCTTGGTTTGGTACAAAGGTACCTCCTTTTATCAACGTGCAGTTGCGCGAATTTGTCGACCGGAAAGATTTCTATCGTCCAAGCCATGGCTACACGATGGTCAGGGGCCATTTCGTCCGAGATCGCACGGAAATCATGGGATCCATACTCCTAGAAATACAGGCAAAATCTAGTAGTATGTATGATAGTACTAATCAGGTACTATTTGATAAAATGCGGGCGCCTCTGCTGGAACATACTACACTAATACCTACATACGTCTGATGCATACCAATCTGGCATCCTTGTGCCATACGTTATACAGTGCAGAATTGTGCGCGCTAATTTAGTACTCGACCAAGCTATTGAAATTTGAAACCAACATCTGATTTCGCGAAATTAGGACGTCCACTGCGATCTGTCAAAGTACTGTACGTAGAAGAGATCCCTACAACCAATATCGACTAATGCAGGAACCTGATCTTGTGATATCTAGCAATACCTCCGTACATGCGAGTACGCCGCTTCGGCGATAGCCGTAAAATATGTTATCTCCACCTCGTATATGGATCCTGGTGTCTTCGCTTGTATCGGGCCATGGCTGTTGATGCTATGCTCCGTCTCGTGGAACGATGGGACGTCCTCCATAATGATTTCTAGCGTCACACTTACAAAAATGTCTCGTCCCGTGCTAAAGCCCTTGGTCCGATTTACTGACCGATGGGCGATAATAGGCGATGTCTTAGGCCCTGCCTGGACACGGCATTCCTCGAGTAAAAGTCCCTTGAGATATTTTTCCATCTTTGGCCAACTACCTTCGTGAAAGTATTTCGCCAGAGTGCGACTTTAGACAAAAAGTCGGCTCAACATGGCGTTACCCTCAGCAAAGCACCTTTGCCATTCAATTCAGGCCTCTTCCCAAATGACCCGATCTTCGCTGATTGTGATACAAGCTCAACGGAATGTGCTGTCTCTTGGGCGATGAGAGTGATTGATTCAAGCACAGTGTATTCTATGGGTTCATCTGGAGGTGTTGTTGTTGGTGATGTGTGCTGAGTGCAGGGAATTTGCAGATACTCGTGGACTTGATACCTCACGCATACCTAGGTGTATTCATTTATTCTCATCAAATATACCTCCTATGTTTGGCACTGCTTCATACCCTCTGATTGTTATATGTTCCATTAACCCGGTCTTTCATGATGCTGTATCTAGCGATCAACGGAGGTGCTTAGCTCTAACCCTAAATATGATTGCTTTATTTGGGCTTTTAAGATATAGTAGAAAGCCTCGATGTACAAATTAATAGTCATACTACTAACATTTGTCTTATAGAATAGCTGCAAGTAAGGTAATCAAATGCCTAAGTCTCATACAACAGCAGCACGTACCCAAATTCCAGGCTCTCTCAATTCAAGCCAGCTGCCGTGCCACGCATCAGTCTTGGCCAGAATCACAATTTTCTATCAAACGCTGACTACTATCTTGATTACCCACAAACATTCTAGTTCCTACCCTCGAAGCTATCATGAAGTTTATCTCCGCTCGCTTTAAGGTACCGTCCACATCCGCTAACGATTCACGGAGGCTATCATTCGGCCGTGTATTAAAATAATATTGAGCCTTGTCAGGAGAAGTCATGTTCTGGCTTCGGCTGGTGTTCTTAACGATGTTATATCAGGCAGCGTTAATGGACCGTTTTAGGGCTATGGCTAGGGCATCTCCTAACTGGCCCAATCACAATGATTAGTCCGTATGTAGTGTATTATTATTATTATTGCGTCTACCTACCCTCCGCTTCACATCTATATGTTAACAAAGATGAAATGTATGCATTTGTACTCAACTCATCCCCTCGACCACTCCACCTACCATTGTTTGGAGGGTTACAACTAGCTAATGGCTATCGGAACAGCTTTTCTACAATAATACTCGTACACGTTCTCGCCGCAATTGAAGCCCAGCTGTCACCTACCTAGATATATGTTATACTGCATAGTATACATACTATTCCATCTTAGCTACGAGCTGTTGGTCTACCTGACCGACGGGACCCATGAGCAATTCCTCAACATGACTAACAACAACAGGGCGTTTCTCTCCAAAGATGGCATCAATTTCTTCCAAACTCTTGCCCTTGGTCTCGACCCAGAACACAGCCTGTCAATGTTAGCTTTTATCCACCTACACGTCCCTTATTCCACAAAAAAAACATGCGCATGTACTTACAATGACGACGAAGGTGATCATGTCCCAACCCCCGTTGATCATATACATTTTCCACCCAATATTTCCAATACCGATTGGCATGATAAATATTAGAAGCGTGCTAAATCATACCATATCAGTATGAGCGCTGCAATGAAGTCGAATTGAATGTGAACCTACGCAAGAGCATTGAATATAAGGCTTGACAAAGCGAGACCGTTCGCTCTTATTGAATAGTTCATGATCTCGGGAGGATAAAGATAGAGCAGTGGTGTCCATGCAATCGAATAGAATCCTTGGAACAAGAACATAGCGGCCACATTGCCATAGACCAGGGCATGAGATGCACTAGAAGGGTTGTCGGCGTTCATTTTGGACAAGCCGCCAATGATAAACAGACATACGATGAGAAGTCCCTGAGAAAGCAGTGCTGTCGGCTTTCGGCCCCAGGAGGCAGTGAGCTTAGTACCGACGAGAGAGCAAGCGAGACACCACACGTTCATTACGACGTTCTATTTTCATTAGAAGAATGTCCGGAACGCCCGGGGGTAGTATATCTTACCGCCTTGAGCTGGGAATTCGAGTCGGTGATGCCTGCAGTCGCAAGTTCGGCTCCCAGATAGTACGATGCAATGACATTGCCGGCAATGCACGAGAAAGGAGCCACAGAACCCCCGATGAGAGCTCGCTTGCGAGAAGTTGGGGTCTTAAATATTTCCTTGAGCCTCATGGTCCGACCTTGCTTCTTTTCCCATTCGAGTGTGTCGACGATCTGCTTGTATATTGCAGTGGACGTCGCATCCGTAATATTTCCATCGGAGTTTGTCTGGGCGACAGATATACGCGCCTCTTCCAATCGATCCTGTCCAATGAGCCACCGGGGAGACTCGGGAATGAACGGCAGAAGCAAGATGCTGATAACGGAGAAGGTAGCTTGGAAAAGAGACGGCGTGCGCCACGCCCAGGTCGACTCCCAGTGGCTAGTTCCAAGGGTCACCAACGCAGCGAAGAAGGCGCCCACGTAATAGCAGTTGTTCAGCAAGCCGACGCCCCAGGCTCTCCAGCGGCTTGGAAACGTCTCGGACAAGTATACTGCGCCAGCGACGCCGCTAATGGCACCGCCCCAGCCAAGGACGATCCTCGCAACGACAAACATGGCGATGTTCTGCGCGGCGGTCTGCAGAGCAATGCCAACAAGGGAAAGCAAGGAGCCCCAGAGAATGGCAGGCCGTCTACCCAGGCGGTCAGCTATCATTCCGGACCAGATCATACCGAAGAAGGCTCCGATAAATATCGACGTGGTATTGAGACCCTTGGTGGTGTCGGTAAGATTGAAGTAGTTGCTGTACGACGGAAGAATGTTGAAGCCGTTGAGCATGGTGCCGTCACAGCCATTTGTGCCCGTCTGGGCCATGGAGCAGAGAAGAAGCAGAAGCGAGACGAGAGCTGTGGACTCTGGAACCCAGGCGGGCATCCAGGTACCTGTTCCTGACTTGCGCAGCATCGTGATGCGCACGTTTCTCAAACGACGTGGTGTTCTGAAATGTGACGCTTTGTTTCTGTTAATTACGAAGAGATGAAATTTTTTTTGCTGGGAGACGCCCGCTAAATATTCCGAACTGCGTCGTATTTTTTGGTCGTGCAGTTACATGGAATTTCTAGTATGTAGCATCAATATATTCCGAGGTTAATCATGCGGCTGAAGAGATAACGCGGCCCGGCCCATCAAAGACAAGGTTGGGATATGGCCAGATGAGAGGAGATGCGTAGAGAAAGGTCGACAAGGAGCCTTTTCTTGGACATGATACGAGGGCATCTAGCTTGATGGATTGGTTGTAGATTTCCAATTAGGGCTAGGGCACGTGAGGACTCATCAATTCCAGTCTTTTATTGAGGATGGCAGTATATATACGAGTTGTTAAGTTAATCGACTTTCTGTCTTGAACATAAGTAACAAATTATAGCTAATTATTTCTAGATACGTGAGTGTATTGGAATTTATAAGACTTAATATGAGATTTTTGGTCGTAGTGTCGAATAGTCGGGCTTATATTCATAGTCTGATGGCCTTCTTAGTACAATATACAAGCTTATGCTGAGCTGGCGGAATAGACCAAGTGCCTGCCTCAGGCGTCAGTCATCGTCATCGTCATTGTTGCCTAGGTCCGTTGAAACTTCTTCATCCCATCCCATCCACACATTTGCAATCAGGCTTGCCAAAGAGCGATTCTTCCCCTGATATATCAAAGCAGTTGACGCTTTTCCTACTAAGCAGTCACAACAGTGAGTACATTTCAGCAGCCACGATGGCCAGCGCATTCAATCGTCTTCCACTGGACGTGTGGAACATTATACTTCGATACGCGCCAGATCTTTCAACGATATACAGATTTATCTATGCTCCTGCGAATGCAAGTGCGGCTTTCAGCATCGACTCACCTTATATTCTGAATGCTGCGATAGAGCGCTCAATCCCAGAACTCAAGAAAGAAGCTCGTATGGTAGCTATTCTAGGCACATTTTTAGCGTTATCATCGAATATCATCTTTGAAAGCCTGGTCCATGGGTACAAAAATCTCCCGAAAGAAGTTTTTTCAACAGCTCCCGCATTTTGTGCGTTTATGAAAGGAACACCAGGTCTCGCTACCTGGTGTTGACAGCATACCGTATAGAGACTCTTCAACACATATACTTCGTCTCCCTTCTCCATAACATCCATGAGGCTTTTTGGCCCATTCTGCCTGATACAGAAATTTACTCTATGATTAAAAGTAAGGCTGGTGTTGATTTCCAGGCTGTTGCATGGTGGTTTTTGTCCAGGGTTGAAAAGATGCGAATTATGCGGGCATATTGGGAACCTAATTATCTATTGGAATATTCAGAAAATTTGCCCCGATCTGATGACAACAGATGATTATAACTTCTCTAAATACAAGGCGATAATTAAGCGCATCGATCCATATTTTGGACCGTATTCATCCAAGTGGTTTTCAGCGAATCCAATTGAAGATATGAAATGTGTACTAGGCGCTACCCGTGATTTCTTGAGTTTTCCCCATGATGCATGCTTATATACTCCATTTACGAGTCGCCAGTTTTCTAAATTCGGGCTTGAAAAATGGGTACCTACAACTGTGTTTAGAGGGAACCCGTGCTGGAGATTTGAAGAACGAAAATCGGTCGGGGGATACAGATTAGGATTTTATGCCAGGGCTTTGTGGAAGAGAAGGGACAAACTTCTAAAGGACTTTTCTTTGTGTCATTCAAGTTCAGACGATCAATTTATAGACTACCTTGGTATCTGCATCTGGGACGGCCCACGACTTAGATGGCTTGCAACGGGATCTAAATTCTATCTGAGAAATTTCCAGATCCATTTCCCCCCAAGATGGCCAGGAAATGATTTGAGCGCTGGATAGCTGTAGACATTTCCGATCCTGTAGGTATAAACAAGCTAAACCGAATAGGGCAACTTGCTCTCCGACAAAGTGGGGCCTAATTCCTAAGGCACTCACCAGCTAACCTTCCCCGCAGCTTCGGGGAAGCGTTCTTTGATGTCACTGTGCAGCCCGTCGTATTCTTTGATATTGATCAGTTTCCTGCTCTTCTTTCTTTCTTTCTGTCTGTCTTTCTTATTTCTCGTGAGCCATCTTTCACTGCGATTCCTGCGTCCCGAGCAGAGTTCTCAGTCTTCAATGAATTCCAGCTTAATGACATAATGCAGGCTCGCATGATGCAAGGTGAAGGCAAGTGATTGCTGCTATGATTGACATCTTACAGTGTGGTGGTTAACGTGTCTTTTGTTCATTAGAGAAGCTGAGAGATGTCCGCCGATTAATCGATTGTCTCGAACAAGACCTGTCCGAGAAAAAACTCTCGTCTGCGCGTAAGAACTCAACGGAACCCACAATAAGCGACAATCTTCCTTCTGAATTAGCTGTTAACGTATGCTTCATCACTAGAAAAGGTTCAGACGCTTTTGGCTCTTCGTCAGCATGGCACGAATCCGGATAATGCAGATCCTATATACTCAAAAGACGTACTTCAACCCACTCTGCATCGTATCGCTGAGCCCCTTTCTGATAGCTATAGGGAATCGCGCTTTTAGTGAAGTATGGCGTGGACGGGGACACGCCTGATGTTCGCCGCGCCGCTCTGCGCTGTATCGCGAACGCTCTCCTGTTGAAAAAGGAGATGAGGCAGATTTTGGTTGATACACAGTGCATGGGAAGATTGGCGGAGAAGTTGAAGGTGGGCGACATCTTGTCTTATTGTTTAGGAATTGACATGGCGCAATGACTATTGACGCGTTTCCGTGCATGTCTAGACCGAGAACTCCGACGATGAGATGATCGTCTCGCGGATTTTGTTTTACACTACATACGACACAGACCTGGATTTTGGCAAACTCTTAGCGCAACATTCGCTAGCCGAGAATATTCATTTTGTAGGTGCCTGGGGATAGTTAGGAGAAAAAGAGATGATCAAGAAGCTGTCCTGCTGATTCTTCTACAGCAAATCATTCGACATGCGAAGCAATTTCCCAAAAATGGAAAGAAAACATGTTCACCAACAGACGAATTAGCATTGAGCGACGTTCTCAAACTAGTCTTCAACATTGGGAAGCTACACCCTGCTTTGGCTGACTCGTTTATTCCGTCAGTACCGTATATGTTGAAGATTATCAGTCGTGCCGACATTCCTCCACAGCCTCTTGACGGACTTATTGGATTCCTTGTCAACGCCCTGTCGACGTTAGATCTGACAGAAAAGTCTGGAAAGTTTGAGAGCAATACTTTCTTCCCAAAGTTTAATCAGAACTGTAACGTCGACAAGCTGATCAATGTCTTGGATACGGCTGTGCGGGTATACAAGCCGGAAGACATGGAGACTCGCGTAGTCCCTCTCTTGCACTTGCTTATTACGATCTACGAACAGGCGCCAGAAGGCCCAAGGAAGTACATGGAGTGGCTACTGCTTCCCGAAGATCAAGACCGAAGCGTACCGATCGGACGCAGCGACACACTATCCTCCAAGTTGCTTGTCCTGTCAACAACACCGTCCGTGCATCTCAAAACGACAATTTCAGAGCTCATGTTTGTCCTCTCTGGGAGAAACGCAGAGACGTTGACGAAGAATATCGGATACGGATACGCTGCGGGTTTCCTCGCCTCTCGAGGAATGGAAATTCCGAAGGAAACGAGCTCGAGCAGTCTGAATCCTGATATCAATCCGATCACGGGCCAAAGATGGGACGCGGGGCCACAAGATACAGGGCCTACAATGACTCAAGAAGAAAAGGAGCGGGAAGCCGAACGGTTGTTTGTGCTTTTCGAGAGGTGCGGATCTCAGACCTCATCTTCAAACGGGTGATTCATACTAACATTTTGTGTAGGGCTCGAGCCAATGGATTCATCTCCGAGAACCCTGTCGCCCAAGCAGTCCGAGAGGGCAGGTTCGAGGAACTTCCAGATGATGCCGAGAGTGATCTGGACTGAGTGCTCTATAGTCAGACGCTGTTCTTTCTTCCTGTCAGTCGCCCATTCTTTAGGTGTCTTCCTTCGTATACCCTGTAAGCGTTTGACTCTAGTTCTGTGCTGTGGAAGAATATTGGATGGATGGTATCCCAGCTGTCTCCCAGTTGGAGCAAGCCTCTTGGGCGGTCGAAGTATTTGAAATGTGCATATGAAATACCCAAATGCAAATCAGTTGAATAGTCCAGCGTATGACGTACAGGCACCTGGCGGGGCAGGTGCGGGACCAAAAAAAGAACGCGGCAGAAAATCTCCGCAAAGAACCCTCGACACTTTTTTCCCATCGCAACTTTGAACCTGTCGCTACAAGAAATTCGGAACTATTTCAGACATTTGTTTCCATTTATATAAAGGCTGTCGCTTTCAAGAATATAGCTGCCCACCATGTCGAAGCCATTTGACCCAGAGCAGGCGGAGAACCTGGAGGATGTGAGTGAGAACCGCTTGCTAATCAATCAATACGCCGCAATCCTAACGTGCCTCTTTTTTCGACTACAGATGGAGAAACAGTTTGCCGTCAAAGGTCCGACTTCCCTTTCCTTATGAGGGCAAAATATATATATAAATGAGTTGTGCAACTGATATGATACAAAACAGCCGTCGAGCATCTCATGACATACTGGTCCATCCTCGAAAAAGTGCCCGGCTCCAAACTACGGTTAACAAAGATGGATGACGAAATTTACGAGCATTTCAAGCGAGAATTTCCAGACTTCGACCCCAGCGCGACCATCAACGAGGACGAAATGAAGAGCAAGGCCGGCAAAGAGAAGTGGCGCAAGTTTATGAATGAATACGAGAAGACAATCAACGATTTCAATTTCGGCACCATGTTGCGATCCAATGCCAAGTTTGAGTATGATCAAGAAACCACAATATTTGGTAAGATATATCCCTTCATAGGTCAGGTTGAAGGAATGCGAGAGGCTGATAATGTTCCAACCAGCCATGCGAATGCAGTTTTATGCCGTTGAGATTGCTAGGTATGCTCCAGTCGAAAGAGAGTTCTCCTCACTGCGGTGAATAATAACAAATATCTCTTTCAGGAACCGCGCTGGACTGAACGACTGGATATATGAAAAGGCACAAGGCAAACAATGAAGAGGGACTTTTAATTTTATGACTCTAAAAGAACTGTACAGAACACCCATTTGTTGGAAGAGTGAAAGAGAGCGCAATTCCTCACCACGTCTCACCGACGCTTAACTAGGATAAGCAAGTTTTTATAAGACGGTTTTCCTGGGAAACGTATACTAGGCCTTCATTTCGCTATCAGGATCATCCGAGTGCGAGGATTCAGGGCCACCATACATACATACCATGGGCTTAATCCACAACCATCATATCAGATTTTCGACTTTCGATTTTTCTGTTGCAATCCTCAATCTACCTAGGTAGCTCAAGCTTATGGCATCGTGACAATGATTATTCACCGGTCTTTTCCCATGTAGGTACAAATTGCTGCTCGGTCACGTGACGCGGTCTCGCTGGTTGCAGCGAACAAAGAGAACAATAGTTACGCTCAAATGGACCGAATGCTATTGTCCTGGGGATATATTGTACCTGGTTTATTTTCTTTTTTTTAGTAGGACGCTCGTTTATGGCAAGCCATCAGCCATGTTTCTTCGTTTTTCTTCGAGCCTCGCCCGGCTGCATGTCTCCGCTGTCTATAAATGCAGCCGCAAAAAGAATCAGGTCACTTCAATTTGTTACATGCAGAACATTTTCGAGCTAATAGGGCACTTGCTCTCTGGAGATGACTGACAGCTTCGACAGCGGCGTTTCACCAGAAAGGCCTCCTTCCCTAGAGTCTACCGCTAGAGAATCTAATCACGATGAGAACGGCGACAGCAAAACAACTCTCCTGAGAACGAGTTGGAGATCTCTGTTCCGTTTCACGACACTCCTTCATCTCCCAGCTCTCCTAACAGCTATTCTACTCACACTCGCTGCCGGCGTCATAAGGGTGGTGTTCGCTTTGTACCTGGGCAAACTCTTCCAGATACTCTCACAGTTTGGCAATGGAGCGATCACAGGGACCCAGCTCTTGGAACAGGCAAGAGCAAAAGTTTTCATTTTCCTCATCTTGGGAGGATTGACATGGCTCTTGAGCTCTTGCTTTCTCTTATGCTGGATCGTCTTCGCCGAACTCCAGGTTAGAAGAGCTGGGCAGGTTCTTTTCGAGAAGTTGCTAAACCGGGATCTTGTATGGTTTGATATGAGGCAAGGCGGGAAAGGAACGTTTCTGTCTGATTCACAAAAGCAAGCTTTCCTTTTCTTTCTTTTCCTCTTTTCCCAATCGTGTATAATGTTATGTAGCTAAACTAACATAATTAGTCCAGGCAGTTGCGTGAACTGCAAATCGCAACCGCCCAGCCCCTCGGCTTTTTCCTATTGCACGCTGTCCGAATTATATCCGCCGTGATACTTGCATTTATCATATCATGGAGGGTAACGCTAGTCACAATGGCTGGGATTCCAGTCTCCTTTGTCGTTATTACATTTACTTCTGCCAGAATGGCGCCCATCATGAAAGCCCAGCAATCAGAACTCTCGGAGGCTTCTAAGCTGACATATGACGCTTTCAAATCCATCGATATCGTGAAGTGTCTCAACGGTCAAGCCTCGACTTACGCACAGATGACCGCGCGAATCAGGTCGGCTGCTCGATACTATATGAAACTGGCCGTTCTCCTTTCAGTTCAAGTGGCTGTGCCACGATTCATGTCGTTTTTGATGTTTGTTCAGGGCTTCTGGTACGGAAGTACCTTGGTTCAGGTTGGGGAATTGACTCCCGGCGATGTCTTGACCACATTCTGGGCATGTTTGATAGTTACTCAATCCGTCTCGCAAATTGTGCACCAATCTGCTGCTTTGGAGAGAGGGAAAATTGCCGGTGAAAAGTTGATTGAATATGTACACGTGCCTGATATGGACATCTCTCGCACAAGGATACAGAGCGATAGATACCCGGATCTTCAGACTGAAGATATCGTATTGAAAGATGTTCGTTCATCAGCGAACCTTATGAGGAAAAAGAAAAGGTTGAAGTGCTAATGCTTTTCAGGTTACTTTCGCTTATCCGCCTAGACTTGACAGACCTGTGCTCAAGTCCTTGAATGTCTCGTTTTCAGCAGGCAGAACAACGTTCATCGTCGGACGCAGTGGAGCCGGGAAGAGTACTCTAATAAACCTGCTACTACAGTTCTATTCACCGACTTCCGGTGGAATCTTAGTTGGAGACACCCCATTTCAAGCTATCGATACATCGTGGGTCCGCCACAACATAACGTTTGTCCAGCAGAATAGCTATCTCTTCAACGAGACTCTCTGGGATAACATCGCTTTCGGCTGTCGCAACCCGCGAAGCGTGTCTAGCGATCAGATGGAGATGTGTATCGAAATGGCAAACCTGCAAGAAACAGTCAACAATCTCCCGAACGGATTAGAAACCAATGTTGGACTACGGGGTAACCTGCTGAGTGGCGGGCAAAAACAACGGGCTGCTATTTCACGGGCGAGAATGAAGAACAGCGCAGTGCTCATCCTCGACGAGTTCACGAGCGCACTAGACTTTGATAATCGATCGACGGTTATGGAAGCTGTTCGGAAATGGAGAGAGGGCATGACTACTATCATTATTACTCACGACACATCCAATATACTCGATGATGACTTTGTTTACGTGCTAGAGGAAGGGAAAGTGGCCGCGTCTGGGCTCAAGAAGGACTTGGTTAAGGGAGACCAACGCCTAGATTTTGCGGAAGCTACTTCTCCCAATAATCTGCTATCAAGCCACGGATTGCTGGATGACGATTCCATCATTCAGTCCGAACAGTCGGGCAATTCCTTGGGCGAGATGTGGCTTGCCTCGTTTGAAGGCAGTGAAGGAAAGACAGGAATTACTGTCGCTGCGTTGGTTGGTAAGAAAAACACTTCCAGTTTGCACGAGCATGAGGAAATTTTTTCTTCCCCCTCGTCCCAGAGCTCACCTGAAACCCAAAAACCCCCCGCTGCTGCTCGCCGCAAATCCGGAGCAGCGCACGTTCGTTTCCCCAGCGTGAATTCTAACGAGCTTGTACATTCTCTATATAAATCCCAGACTACCAACACTACAACCAACCGTGCCATGTCCGAGAGTCGAGGTCAAAACCGGCGTTATACTGGGGAATCATCCCAATCGGAAAAAGCAGACATACTTCCCACAACTCTGCCAGTACACAAAACGCTACTCACTATCCCATCGATACTCAATCTCAGACAGAAGATCCTCCTAACAACTGCCATGGTTCTTGCAACTCTTCATGCATGTGTGACGCCCATATTTTCATATCTCCTATCTCGGCTTTTCGACTCATTTTATACGGCAGACCAAAGCAAAGCCAGTTCTGTAGCGCGAACATTCTCCATATCTATCGTGACACTGGCTGTTGTGGACGGCCTAATGACTTTTGTCATGCACTACCTTTTTGAGTACTGCAGTCAAACCTGGATGGACGAATTGCGCAGTCGATCTATGCATCGCATCCTGGCACAGCCATGTTCGTGGTTTGAACGAAAAGAGCATAGCCCACTCCAACTCACGATCTGTCTAGACCAACATGCTGAAGAAATCCGTAATCTGGCGGGGAGATTTGGAAGTTCTCTAGTGATCTCTATTATAACGGCTGTAGTTGCGATTGTGTGGAGTTTCTCTCTCAAGTGGCAACTTACCACTGTCAGTCTTGCATGTGCTCCAGTCTGGTATGGCGTCAGCAAGGGACTTGAGATTGTGAATAAGAGGTGGGAGCGTCTGACGAATGATGTCAATGAGGAAATTTCGGACGTCTTTTCGGAGGCCTTTACGGATGTGCAGACTGTGAAGGCTTTTACGTTGGAGAACCATTTCCGTTCCAAGCTCTCGATTATGCTGCGACGAGGGTTGGCGGTTGGATTCAAACGGGGATTTTACTCTGGGATCTTTTACGGGCTTGCTGAGTCGGTGATTATTTTTGCAAGTGGTAAGGATTATTCTCTCTCTCTCTCTCTCTCGTGAAATATTGTTGTTGACTTGCAATCTAGCATTGCTTATTTATTATGCGGCCGTTTTGGCGGCTCCTAAAGCCGAAAGCATTTCGAGCATCATGTCAGTTTTGACGATGATACTGTTCAGTTTAGGCTATGCGGTGTCAGTCATGTCATGGAGTACGTTATTCCCCCATCTTCTCTGGGATCAGTTTTATCAGAACAGTCTTGCTGAGTTGGTTGTTTCGTTCATCAGTCCCCCAAGTCAATTCAGCGAATGACACCGCAACTCGACTCATCAAGCTCTCCCAGGTACCATACGGATCTTTCTCGCACGAGGATTCGGGTAAACTGCGTGTTTTTGAACCAGTTCCAATTGAATTTCACAATCTACACTTTCACTACCCATCGAGACCCGAGGCGCGTGTCCTCAGAGATTTCTCCCTAAAGATACCCGAGAACAGCTGCACAGCTATAATCGGAAGCTCTGGGTCGGGGAAATCAACCATCATCGCTCTTCTGTTGGGTCTCTATGCGTGTCCCGATCCTGCGCCTGGCGAAGACGTCACTATCGCACCACTTACCCTGGGAGGAGTTGACATCAGACAGGTTCACATGCCTACTCTACGATCACTGATAGGCTATGTACCTCAGCAACCGAAGCTATTCGCCGACACCATTCGAGCAAACATCACATACGGCCTCGATGCATACTCGCGATTCAACTCGATCAAGAACGTTGAAGCAGCCGCCGCCGCAGCGGGAATAGCTGACTTCATTCACTCTCTTCCAGAGGGATATTCCACGCTGGTCGGCGAAGGCGGGCTAAGCTTGTCTGGTGGTCAGGCACAGCGCCTCGTGATTGCGCGAGCACTCGTGCGTCATCCCAGAATCCTGATTCTGGACGAGCCAACGTCCAACCTTGACGCGGAGAGCGCGGAGATCATCCGTCGCTCGGTGAAGAGACTCTTGGCTGCGCGCCAGGGCCTGACGGTGCTGCTGGTGACGCATTCCCAGGACATGATGGAAATCGCAGATAATGTGGTAGTTATTGATCGCGGCGCAGCCGTTGAGCAGGGACCGTACTTGAATATGTGGAATCGCGTGCATGGCAGCGGACTGCGAGAGATGCTAGACATGGATGTAACTACATAGTAGAGAGAACGGATGCCTGGCCGCTCAGGCATCAACTCGGACTCTTTCTCAAACCTAAAGAGATCGACTATCAATACGGAGTATTTTGGAGACTCCAAATCAGGCTTGAAAGTACTTACTGAATTACTTCTCGGCGAATTTCTTAAGAGTTCCAAAGGATTGAAGCCAATCTTTGGTAATATACTACCACTTTCTGGCGCTAACATCGAGGCTTTCCCTGCCTCGTATTCGTTGCTTGATCATTGGGTGGCTTTCTATGAGGTCCTCGATTTAGCCACAGCTACATGTGATTAACCATCATTATCCTCCATGCCCTCCGTCGTATTTATTCGACATCTATTGCTTCTGGTCGTGCTTAATAATTAATCAATGATGCGATTCAGGAAGTTTAACCAGCCCTTCCAAGGAATTTGCGTTCCATGCCCTCCGTCGTATTCACTCAACATCTATTGCTGCTTCGCAGTGTATCATGACAAATATCAAATCTGCCCTGTAGCAAGCAAGTGTGATGTCTGAAGATAAAAGTCTCTCTCGTAAAATGTATAAATAGAGCAACATGTCTCTCTTGATAGAACCTGAAAAATCAAGCAAGCATTCAAAAACAATTCCTCTAGTACTCTCTATTATTCCTTTAAACCTGATTCCCAAACTTTCATCCAATTTTCTGGACCGTCTGATCAACGGATTGATACAATGTCCTTCCCTGAGCCTGTCTCTTTCACCAAGACATGGCACTCCAAGCCATACCCCTTCATTGACCCTTCTCGTCCCGAGCTGTCTGCCGCCGGCAAGAACGTCGTTATCACCGGCGGTGGCAGTGGAATTGGAAATGCTGTTGCAGTCGCATTTGCCAAAGCAGGCGCCAAGTCAATCTCGATCGTGGGCAGAAGCACCGACAAACTCAAGCGCGGTGCAGAGAATATTCGCCGCGCAATCCCACCAAATAGAGTCACCACCGAAGTCATCTATGAGGCTGCCGATCTCCTGGTCAAAAGCCAGGTTGACGCCGTTCTCCAATCCATCGTCGCAAAGTTCGGCAAAATCGATGTCTTCGTGTCGAACGCCGGTGTACTGCAGCAGCCCGGTCCGATCACCTCTCAGGACGCGGACGCGTTTCTGTCTGGCGTGAGTGAAGGAATCCGGAGTGCGTTCATTGCCTTCCAGGCATTTCTTCCGGTTGCCGGTCCGGACCCCGTGGTGCTTTGTACTTCATCATGTGTGGCGACTATCACGCCAGTCCCGGGGATTCCAGCGTATGCAGTCAGTAAAGCTGCTACTCTGAAAGCGATGGAGTATTTCGCTGCGGAGAATCCGCATGTTCGTGTGGTCAATATTCAGCCAGGATGGGTTGCGTCAGACCTCAATGGTCATCAAACGGAGGCTCCGGATTCTCGTAGGTCACCAATTCTTGAGCTCTTTTTTTTTTCTGTTCTCGAGCTAACAGCATTACAATGAAATATAGCGGATCTTCCGGGCCAGTTCTATCTGTGGTTGGCTTCCGACGAAGCCAAGTTCCTCAAGGACAAGTATGTCTGGGCGAACTGGGATGCGGAGGAGTTGGTGAAGAGGGCCGGCGAGATTCAGGGATCAAAGCTGTTGAACTGGATAGTGGAAGGTGTTCCGATGTAGGTAGAATAGGTAATCTCAGCTTATCTATGCTTTAACCAATTTATTCCGTAACTTGGCGTGTGTTACTGTTCGCTCAAATGTAACAGCGCAAAAGTTAAAAAAAAATGGCCATCAAAATTTAGTATTTAGCGCCATGGCACGGAGATGTAGAAGTCGAGCCTCGGCGGACATTTATAATACATCCTCGTCCCTCACCTCTCATGCTGCAACTAATAAAAAGAGAGAAACTAGAAGCAAGCCATGCCCGTCAAAGAGCCTTCACAAAAAGTCAGGCCGCGACGAACTCACACAAAATCGCGATATGGATGCCGCAACTGCAAACTCCGGCGCGTCAAGGTAGGCAAAGTCCCGTGTAAATATTCGTTTAAACTCGGACTCATCATGGCATATCATAATAGTGTGACGAGATGAAGCCACAATGCCGAAAATGCCTGTCGTATGGAGTGGACTGTAGCTATTTATCCTATGTTGCTCCGGACATGCACATGTCGCTGGAGATCGAAGTGCCGACCCCAGTCAGCAGGGATGCAACAATGATCCTGGAGCTGGACAAAGCTGCTTCCAGTCGGCTCAAGTGGTTTGAATGGGGAGGAACTGGAGCCAGTATTTTCAACGCGCCCCCAAACGAGATCCTCAGACTGGCCTTGCAGCGCCCGTACTTGATGCACACAATCCTTGCGGTGTCGGCCCTACATCAGCGTCATCAGAGTTCAGTCCCTGGACCCCAGAGTAAGTTCGAGGCCTACCATGCTTCGGCCGCAGCTAGGCTCTTCCATCAACATCTCTCGCAGCACATCCAGCCAGACGATCGGGACTCGGTATGGCTCACGGCGACGCTCCTTGGTATCGTTGTCTTTGCGTCGCCCCCCACCTGCGCTCCGTCACGGTCCTGGCCTCTACAACCGGGCAGATTGGACCTGGCATGGCTGCGCATGACTAGGAGTAAGATGGTGGTCTGGGACCTCACCAATCCGCTACGAGAGGATAGCTTGTTCCGAAATATGGCGCAGGAGTATTCAGAAATGTTTGACGTGGACCCAAACACCCAGCTTCAAGACATACCAGTATCCCTGGGCGAACTGTGCGGTCTTTCGCCCGATTCCACAAAAGACAATAACCCGTACTATATCGCGTTGAAGACCTTGAGTCCTCTTTTAAATCGACCAGTGGAATCCCTATCGAGATCAAGGGCTCTCGCCTTTACTAGTCAGATGACTCCATCATTTGAGCGTCTTTTGAGGGATGAAGACCCAGTGGCCTTGTTGTTACTGGCATTGTGGTATGAAATCGCGAGGCAAGTTATCTGGTGGAGTCGACCGAGGGCACGAGTCGAGCACCAGTCAATCTCGTTGTTTTTGAAGCAAAACTATCCGAATATAGAGCAAATCCAGCAATTTTTGCAGTGAGATATGCTAGTTGTCCCGGCAGATGAAAGTGATCATTATACAAGCACCATTTGCTACAATTTCCGGCTATCATCAGGGCTAGCCACTAGTGCTAGAGACTGTGTCTGTCGGCGTGGATTAGAACGGGCATGTTGATATTGAGACGAGATCGTGGCATAGGGCCTTTCCTACGAAGCTAGTTGAACCAAATGTTAGATCAAGCGGCTTAGCGCTGACAGGAAGTGGGTATAAAGGAGGTTTATTTGATGACTATTCAGAAAAGGTCTATTGGCATGTATGATGTGATGAAATGCATCGCCTCGCTTCCCAGGCCAGCGCCCCGACGGTTCCTGTTTAGGATACCGCTTCGCGTACAAATGTGTGCTTGCTGGATATGGATGTAACTACGTAGTAGTAGTTAGATAGCATCGTTTCGGTCTGTCAGATCATCGCGACTATAAAAAGTTGATGCCTCTTTTTGTGGGTAAAAAGATCGCGCTGCGAACCTAATCGGGACTAGCTTGTACTGCTAGCTGCCAATTGGCCAGAACGGTCAATTGGAAGGATCGGTGGGTCACGCACAGGGCAGTTTGATTGGCCGACCATGGGCTAAGCTTTGTTGTTTCCACCCAAAAGAGTTAGTTTGAGCATAAGCAGGTATAGAGCTCGATAGCAGTATATATAGCATGGGGGATGTCGCTGGCAAAAGACTGCTTGTACTGCAACAGGATTTGGGACGTACCTCCCTATCGTCTACATTCACTCGATATACGAACCACAATACATCTCTTTCATAACTACCAAAATGGGAATTATTGGCAATCTTGTCTCGATTGGCGTTGGCCTGACTGCAGAGGCTGTCAATTCCAAAAAAAACAGACAAGGTTCTCTGCAACAGCAAATGCAAGGACCTCGACAGACTACTCGACAGCCAGCATACCACAAGGATTACGATGAAGATGGCTACGACAGCGACAGTCTTCCTCCACCGTATAGCTCGGCAGTCATTCCTCGACAAACCCCCCAGCCAGCCGCACGCCTACCATACCCAGTTATTATCCCCCAAAGGAGGCCCGAGAGCAGCAGTCGTGGCTGGATGCTGGCGTATGCACCGGACTTAGGCTCGTTTGGGATTGATCAGGCCACGTTCTTGAAGTTTATATATGACTTCAACGAGTCCTACAAGGTCGGTTCAGTCTTCATATTCAAATCCTGTTCACCTGAGAAATGTCAAAACCATATATATTAACATACTTCTAACAGACATCTCCATACTTGGATGCGATCAATCTGGCGGCGTTTGGCGTTGGCTTCATCCCTGGTATTACTCCGATTGTAGTTTCGGCTGGCGTCACGCTGGCAGTGTCATATGCAAAGAAGCAGCAAAGCAAAAGACAGTGAGTAAATTGATTTTTGTTTTTGCTGAACTGTCATTTGCTAACCAATACTAATTTAATTATCTTCCCAGTGCATGGACATACATTGACCGAATGAATAGCGAGTTATTCGAGCCGCGTGGTCTATTTGCCGTGGTTATGACCCTTCAACCAACTAACCAGGCCTCTTTGTCGGTTGATTCAGAGACTTCTGAAATTGTTGGGAGTTCTGGGACTCTCGACTATGATGCAACAACAACAATCACCCCGGAACTACCTCAATCCGCGCCTCTGATTTTTCCCAGCCGGGAAGAAATTGCCGCGCTTCGGCCGCGTGGGAACAAACTGGTAGAAATGGGCCATTTTACTGCAGACTACCTCGACCGAAGGGCCCAAGCAAAATATGTCAGTGCTTTCTATTCATCCCTTGCAATACTGCTTGTTCCTCTCCTGGATTACTAACCAGATATATGAGCAGGCCCAGAAAAATCCAAACTCGGGGCTGGCAGTTCGAAATATACAGTTCAATAGTTCGTTGAGTGATCCTCGATATTATAATGCGGGCAATAGCGGCGGTCGTTCGAGGCCGCTTACCAGTGGTCGCTCGAGTGAGGGAAATCTCCGAAGGGAAACGAGAAGAGAAGAAAGAAGGGAGGAGAGGGGAGAAAGACATCATCTAAGGGACAATATAAAGCCCAAGGCTTCGGATTCAGTACGTTATTTTTGTTTTTGGTCTCCTCGACCTGCTTGAAACCAGTGCTTGGCTGACCTAAGACAGATCCTTTATTTGATGATTGCCGAAAAGCCTTCCGATGAAGATATGGACAGACTAAATCACCCTACAGCAATGCCTTTTGCTGTCTCCCAGCCCCAGCCTCTGCCGGATCCTAGGGCTAATGGTGTATACATACCCTACCGGCCTGCTCCTGCTCCTGTTCCTCAACAACGACAGATGGGGTATCCTGTTGGTAATTCTGTCTACGAGAGTAGGTACATAGATGCAAATGCGAATCGATGGAGGTAATATCAATGCGAGAAGTGACCAGTTCCTGCTGGTACCTAGCTCAAGTGGAATGGACTGGTTTTTTTATTTTCTTTTTTATTTACTTTTTCAGTATTCAATATATATATACCATATCGTATATGCCAATATCGTGCTGTGGGAAGAGTCTTTCTGGCGCAGAAATTAAAATTAATTTAATTGATCTAATTTTATACAACTAGTTAGTTAGATGATTTTCTGCTAATTGCTGACTGTATCGCATCGAGTCAAGCAGCACACAGCCTGGGCCAATCAGCCGCGGATGCCCTAAAAATAGTCCAATGGAAACCACCGCGCCGTAACTTTTGCTCTCTCTCGACTTATTTCTCGTTTCAATTCATCCATCCGCCCGCCTATTTCCTCCCCCGTCATCGAACAAGTCTTCCCTTTGATTGCGTCGTCCCAGCAGCTAAGCAAGTGTTGTGAGGGCGTGGGCAGTGCCACAGTGTGCTGTCTGTGCTTTGGACAGGAGCGTGCGTCAGCCTCTTTGGGGGGGG